CGCAGTTTGAGCGAAGGGGCAGATGTGCACAGCCTGGGCGCAAGCTGAGATCCTTGGGTCCGTGACACAAACACATGTCGTACAAAGCGGGAGACATGTGTGCCGTGCGCCCCTGACTGTGGATTACTCATAGGCTGTGGGAGAACCTGTGGGTCTCGCCAGTGTCGCAAGGCAGAGACCGGAGCATGATTTCGTAAAAGATGGAGATTGTTGCCCCGTGCGTGTGGCTTCTGCGAAGCAGACGATAGGCAGGAGGAATGATAGGCACCCTAACAATATGTCGACTTGGTCCCACAGGCGTTAGGGGCATCTCGCGAGAAGGTGCTGTGGAATTGTTTTTGATCAGCATAATTGTTGGAGCATGCAGTTATAACACACCGGTAGGCTGTGACCCATCATAAAAGCTGACGTTGATTGTTCAGTCCTCTGTCTTCTAGTGGTATGCTCAACAATCTGAATAGCCCTGACAGCGGGGGAGGCTACGGTACAATATCTGCGAGGGAAGCATGGAACCGAAGGTTGGAGACCATCAAATGCAGGAAGGCCTTCCGCACACGGATAACTTTGACGTCTGTCCCTCTAGAAGACTTTGACGTCTAATTGGCTTGTAACCTGGCGAGCGTCGGCATCAACTCCGCGGAAGCGCACAGATGACATACCGCACGGCCGCTGCTCATCGTGTCATAGGCAAGCGAAGCGACAAGTTCTCACGTTCCTGGTGGTGTTCGAAGACCGGAGCGCACATCCGGAAATCGTCAGAGGGGAATGAATGTGTGCCCGCGTGATGCACCCAGATGAGAACCTCAGACGAGGGACGTCGTCATTACACCGCATAGTGCCCGCTCTTATGAGTGTGGTGCGCGCAAAGTGCACTTGGATGAAGGAGCAATTGGGAATACTGGGCTTGGAGGGGAACATGGCCAAGCGAGCGACCGAACGCCTGAACTTTGCAATTAAAGCGGACATATCTTGTCGCTGGCGGGCAGGCTGTTAGACTTTAGGAGTAGGCTGGGGTAAGCATGGAGCTTCCTCTCTCGGACGGGGCGATCGAAGACAGAAGTCGGTTCCGCCCTCTGCTCGCCTCCGCGTCAGCCCACGATCGCCGGTGCTCAAAAGTAGCTTGCAGCAAGTCGCAAATGACACAAACATGACTTGGAGGGCGCCGGACGCCGACGCCCAGACGATGTCATCCCCAGCGAACGACCGCGACTCTTCTCTGCGCACATGGCAATTAGCACAGGTCACTTCTCGCGAACCGTCCAGCGTGCCCCTCGCCCCGGAGGCTTCGCAGTTACTCCTGGCCTGCAGCCACGGGGCAAAGGGCACGCTGCCTGAGCATCCTCTGCCCCCGTGCTTATGGAAGAATCCCACGGCGCCTCCTACCGTTCTCACCTTCCTCATCGATGCGGTTCCCATCAAGCGGGCCCTCGGGCGCTGCCGCGACGTGGGCCACACCAAATCAAACACAAATCAAAACGGGGAGCATCACGATTGGGGGTGCACGAACCAAATCACTTTCCCACGCACGATCACCCGGTGTGCGCGCACACGCGCGCGCGTACTTTTTTGCTTCCGGGGGACGACCCCACACGAAACGGCAGTGCCGCGGCACGGCGTCCGCGGCGGAAGTAACACTCTTCTTCCGCCAAGCGCAAGCGCGCCAAAACGAACAGACAGCGGGCGATCGACGGACGGAGGCGCACGCACGCAAGCACGTAACGCACGCCCCCGCCGTCCGCTCCGTGCACGCGCGCTTCTCCGTGTTGTCGTTCCCCCACACGCCTGCCCCATCATTGCATCGCGAGCAAGGTGACCACTTTCCGCGGCGCGGCGGCCGAAGGGCGTGTGTACCACGCGCGTGCAAGAAGAAGTGCCCCCTCGTCGAACACGGCGACGGGGGTCTGTCTGCGAGCAATATAAACGAACAGCAACGGAGGTGATGTTCCGGCGGAGGTGGGTTGGGACGGCACACCGAGACGACAGCTCGCGACATTGCAGAGAGGGGCGCGCACCCCGCGCGCGCGTGCGCGTGCGTGTGTGTCAGCCTGCACGAATGCGTATGTGCATATGGGGCAATCACCCCCAGGCCCAGACGACTGGTGTCAGCTGCGCGCACGGCGCCATCCGAGGATCTCTGGAGCCTGCACCGAGGAAATGAGATGGGATGGCACCGTATACGGCAGGGTGCAGATCACCGACGACCGTCCGCTAGCAACGTGCGCCTGCGCGGTCGCGGCCGCGGAGCCTGACATGCAGAGGGAACGGCGCGACGGCATGTGCTCCGCCGGCATGGCAGAGTGGCATAGAAGCCCCTCGCGGCGAAGGCAGGCGCGAGAACCTGCCCAGCGCGAGCGAATCCTAGGGCACGAGATGATTAGAGTGGGAGCCGCGTCGACGCACACCCTTTTGCGTGTGTGACATCAGTCGGCGGGCGCGAGCTCAGGGCGGTCGCGCGGTCGCGAGCGCACGAGTGGGACAGCGAAGGCGCCACAATCCCTGGCGGCTACTCGAATCGGGACGACGATGGGGCACAGCGAGCAGTTGTGGTACCGGCACGCGACTGATCGACGGGGGAGGGGCACGCGAAAGAAGTTCTTCTTCTCGCCGTCGCAGGGGACCGCGAAGCAGGAGAGGCGAGAAGAGATGATGCCGCAGGAAGCTTCGTACGTCCGCGGTGGCCCTGCCAAAGCTTACTAGGGCGCTCCCTCATGCAGCAGCGGTTCGCGCCATTCACCTCAGCGAGCACCACCGTCCAGACTCGTGCAGCGGCCGCCCGTGTACGGCACCGTGTGCATTTTCGTCTCTCTATGCTTTCATATGCGGCTAGCGCATCTGCCTGTTAGATGAAGATGAGATGGGAGCCAATAGCGTCTACTTTGGGAACAGATTATTAACAAAGCGTGGCGGTGTCAATTGGATGCGTGACTCTCAGCCTGCCCCGTGTTGTGGTCAGTCCATGCATGGATGCCTGCCCCGACCCTGCTGCAGCTTGATGGCGCGACTGAATGTCTGCGCGAGAGGCCGAGTGGCACGATAAGGACGCACGCGCGACGCGTCGATGCGCCAAATTGCGATAGAGTGCTGGCACAGGGGGGTGTGGCCCAATGAGCCCCCGCTTACGAGAGGAGCTCGAGACTGGGCAGAGTCGATGGAGGCTGTTGGACAGATGGGGCAGAAGCCCAAGATGGGGATGGCGGAGGGGAGAAGCTTGCCGGCAAATAGACCCGGTGAATTGCCTCTTGACGGAAGGAGGCAGAAGGCCCGAGAGAACGAGTCCAGGGTCCGTGGGAAGCACGCGCAACAGAGGCGGAAGCAAGGGTGCTCACCCTCGAACGCGATCGCCCAATGGGACGAAGACGGGTCAGATCCCAGCAGAGCGTTTGCTCGTCTGCCCGCCTGCCGACATGCCGCCGGAATGAATGGGCCTGGAGAGACGAGTGCTGGTGTGGAGTGGGCCGTGGCCCTCGTGGCTCGCGAGGTGGACGATGATAGGGGATAAGGGCCCACGGGAGAGCGCAGCGGACACTGGGCAGACTGGGCAGATCTCGCGAGTGAATTCAACAGTCAGGATCGGCCGACTGCCCGAGCGATGGCATGGTGTGGCGCGTTTAGACACGGAGGGCACGGGGGCCAGTCGTGGCGGCCGCAGTGGGAGAGTTGGAGCGATGGCGAGTTCCGAGGAATGGAGTTGGCCGAGGCAGTCGCTGACTGCTGCAGCAGCGGCAGCAGGCTCAGCAGTGGCCAGCAGACATGCTCGCCTCGTCAGCGGTGCTCGTGACTGGCAGGATAAGCCATGCGCGGTCAGCGTCCGGAGGCGGTCGTTGGACGCGTCGACGTTCGATCAGATTGAGCGAGAGAGCGTTCAGATGGAAAGTTTCCAGCAAACCTTGTAGAGGCCTGCGCGGCGTGACGGGATAGGATCAGGCTGGCGAGCGTCACAGCGTAAATGAGTCACGGCGGCGGGGCGGGGTGGGACCCCGGAGATGTGCAGGGGTGGCAAAAGCGTCCGCCAAATCGAGGAGGAGGTATCCGGGGATACGGACACGTTCGGCGGGCAGGGCGTCGTGACGAGATCTGGTTTTTTTGTCTTATTTCGCGACGACTCGACACTCGCTCAGGCCGTCAGTAGTCGCTCGTCGCTCGCCTCGCTGCCCGGCCTTTGAGTGTTCATCATCATCAGACGCACATCAGAACCGGCAGTGCCCTGCATCTGGGCTCTGCATACCGCGGCATCAGCAGCAGCAGCACTCTGGTGTCGTCAATTGGCCTAGGTTTGCCCGCGAGTGAGAGAGCCCGAGTTGGGCAAGCGGGTGCTCGATCTCAGGAGGGTTTGCGCGGTTTACGTACTCCCCGTTCGGTCCTCGAATTAAATCCACCGCCAGACTCTCCGCGTGCTCTTTGTCCTCGTCCCGTCGTCGTGACAGCCTCCGTCACCGTCCGTCAGCTCTCGTCCTCTCCCACCCCGGCGTCTAAACAATTGCATTCCTCACCAACCTTTCGCCTTCGCTTATATCTGGCAGGCTTCCGCGACTAGAACATCTGCATCTCCCGGCCCTCCTCCCTTCTCTTCTGCCAATCCCTCCTTGCTCTTCCCGGGCACCGACCCTCCCCATCCCATGGCAGACCTCTACCCCACCTACGGTCGCCAGTACCAGCGACCGGACACCAACGGCCACTCCCACTTCCAGCTCCAGGGCGGTTCCTCCAACACCGGCGGCGTCATGTACCCACCCCAGCTCGTCACCCAGAACAACAGCTCCCCGACCACCACCAACGGCTCCTCTGTCCAGGACCAGGACCAGTCCAGCCCGACACACGACACCGAGTCCAACTCGCCGTCGTCCCAAACAGCCTCCTCCCCAAAGCAAGACTCGCCAACCGGCACAAAGCAAGACGGCGTCCCACCTCAACCGACCAAACCTCAGGCGACGTTCTTGACCAAACTCTACGCGTGCGTGCAGATCCCGCTTACCTGACCTGTTGCCTGCTGACGCTCGTGCCTCGTCTTCCTCGCGCCCGCAGTCTTCTCGAGCGGCCAGAGAACCACCACATGATCCGCTGGGATCCCGCCGGGGAGCACATCATCGTCGAACGGCCAGAACAGCTTGCTCTCCATGTCCTCCCCAGTGTCTATCGTCAATCGCGCTTTGCAAGTTTTTCGCGGCAATTGAACGTGAGCTGTCTCTTTCACACCACTGCTCACCAACGCCCTGATCTCAACATCGGCGTCGTTCTAGATCTACGGCTTCATGCGCAAGGTCAACCTGCGCAACGTCGACCCAGCCATCGATGACCCTGACGCGAGTACCTGGTGTACGTGAGATTATTCCGTGTGAACGGGGCCGGTGTAAGCTTACAATTACTGATCTTCGCAGCTCACCCCACGCTCAACCGGCATTCACCTCCTGAGGTGGTCGCGAACTTCAAGCGGCGCGTACCACCGCGCTTGCCCAAACCCCGAAAGCGCGACAGTAACGTCGATGTGCCCGTCATACCCCCGCCCAGATCTGCTGTCGGAATGAACCCGCACAGCTTGGGTGTTCCTAGCGGCCCTGGTTCGCCTGGCAGGCGCGCACGCGGATTTTCCGCACCAGGGTCCTTCACCCCGCTGACGCAGTCGACTGCTGCTGGCTGGGGTACCAGTTACCCTCGGGCAGCCCTACCTCCACTCACGGTACCTTCGGATCCCCACCCGCCCACCTTGTCTGCACACTCTCACAGTGGCATGTACTCGCACCACTACCCGCTGACCCCAGCGGACGACCCGCCGCCGTCGTCGAACACGGCATTCACGCCGTTGTCGTCGTATTCGAGCGGAGCGTCGGCTGGGAACGGGCGGGATATGCTCCTGCCCTCGCCGAGCTCTGCATACTCTCACTCGGAGCAATCCAGCTGGGGATTCTCGAACGGTGGCTCTAACGGTCATTCTTCGGGTAGCCTGTCCAGCCTTTTGAACCCAAATACGTCTGGCGGCGCAGGAGGATACGGCTCAAGGCCTCCGACTAGCATTAATTCTTATCCCAGCTCCTACGCGTCCATCCCCCGTTCTGCACATGCTGGTGGCACGTCGCCAGACAGTCGGCCTGCAACGGGCTACAGCGTGTCTTCAATGTCCTCGATCTCCACGCCGTACGATGAGACAGGCGCTCATCCGTTTGAATATTCTCGTCCTGGCTCTTCCCACCGTCCATTGACTCCGGCTTCGTCGCGACCGCCGTCGTCAAAGGCGTCACAGTACAATCCAGGCTCGCTTAGTGTCCGACGAGACCGACGGCACAGCCACGCCATGTCGCCGTACCCTTCGCCCTACTCTGAGCACCCGCCGCATTCGGCACACTCGGAGCGTCCGTCAACGTCGCCTCACCCTGGTGACGATCACTCGGCAATCCCACGGGTGCGGAATATGATGGGCATGAGCTCGGTCAGCGACACGTATGGCTTCAACCCGGCTCAGGCTGACTTTGCGTACGGTGCGGTCGACGATCACCACAGCAGCGCTCATCACCCGCAAAGTTCGCACGGGATGTATGGACGCAGTGTGCGGCCGAGCACGAGCGCGTCGAGCCTCTCGGGCAGCTCCTCGACGGCGAACACACCCGGAGCGGACGGCTATGGTCAGGCGGGCGAGAGCGCGGATATTAACAGATGTGAGTAAGTCTAGCCTTTCCTTGCTCCCCCCTCCCCCGCCCCTTCCCATGCGTCTGCTTGAAACAGCATGTTAACCACAGTCTATTCGCAAACGTCTCTTGTTCCTATAGAATTCGCCACTAACCCGCGTTAAACCACTCTAGTCTCGCCGGACTTCGGCTTCGTGCAGATGAACGAGCATATCCCGCAATACACTAAACACGGGGATCTATGACGGGCTCCTCGGAGCTCTTCCTAGACCTTCTCCTACATTCCTCTGCCGACTCGCGCGCTCTAGACCTCTTCTCGCAATCGGACATTGTTTTCTTGCTATCTGTTGCTGTTGTATATCCCGGTCCCCATCGTCGACGAGAAGAATGGTACGGAAAGGGAAGGTGGTATTGTTGAGGCGGTGATATGACATCGGGCTCCGCCGCAAAGGCAGGGCAGATGCCACGATGGGGAGATGGACAGGAGAGGCCCATGGATAGGAACCCTTGCGACATGGTGCTGTGGTGGGAGCGGTGGAAGGCATGCGGAACGGACGCCTTCTGGTTGCGGACGATTCTCGCATCACGCCGCGGACACTGCCAGCTCATGTCTGCGCACGATGGTCGATATCAGACGGGGTGCACTCGCTCGATGGATGGCCCGCCTGCCACACTGGCGGGTCTGGGTGCCTCGAGCTCGCAGGACCCTGGCGATGATGGGCTGTCCCCGTGCGGGGTCCGCGCATGGTCACATCATGGAGGGGGGTGATACTGCACATGGAGGACGCTTGTCTCTGGATCTGTACGTTCTGTTTTCGTCGCTGTTCATCATCATTCGCGCATCGCCTCTTCAGCTTTTCTCTTCATGTGTTAAAACATCCTGCATCGCATTACAAGCAGTTTTCTTTCGCATGCACACGGCCGCTGTTGGTCCGCTTGGCCCGCTTGAGTTCTCCTCTGGCTTTGTGGCGATTCTGTGATTTGATCCCACACTGGCTTCCTTGATTCTTCCTTTTGCACCAATTTCGCACGTAGCAGCCAACCTTGTCCCAACCCTGACCCCGCCCCGCCCGTGCTGATTGCGCCGTGCCGTCATCGCAGCATCCGTGCACTTTTGCTTTGCCAGTTGGGGCGCATCCCTTTCACCCTCGTTGTCCTTCGATCCATCAGTTTTTCTGTCTTTTTTGGCCCCTCGGGCACGCTCGTTTGGGCCGGATCAGCAGCAAGGCTTGCACGGCTTTTGGCCCCCTCCTCGCCAACGATCATCACCAGCCCTCACGTCAGCGGCCGACGCGCCAATGTCCGCCTGGCTTTCCGCCCTTTCATCCACGGATCCCGAATCGTCTTAATGCGTGCCTCGTGTCTCGCATGACCTCTCGCTCTCACTCTCTCACTCTCTCACTCACCCAAGTACCGCCGCCGCTCGTTCGTATCAGAAGATCCCAACCGTCGCTCTCTCCGTAATCACATCAAGTTCCCTTTTCCCTGCCATCCGCATGTCGCACGCCCGCAAATTGCATTCCATTCCTGTCTTTTGCATTTCATTTCCCGTATAACCATACCGGCTACCCTCTACTACCCCCGCGCGCTTGACTGCATATAATCGAAGTAACATACGACCATTTTTTGCAATTCTTAATTACAGCTCTCTCTTTCGATGTAGCATACGTATCATTTCGTTTCTCTCTGTCCTCCATCACCGATATACCCATGTCCATAGAACGTTGACTCCACACAGCAAATGTCATCTCGTTGAAAATGCGCTTAGCAGCACGCGCGAGCGAGCCGAGGAGAATTTCAATATTTGGTGTGCGAGCACAAGGCTGCTGATGCGCAGGTGACGGCACACACAGCATGCAAAGTAAGACAAAGGAAATCTGCTGATGGAGACACTGTTTCTACGATCTGGATGGGATGCCAGCTGCGGTGTGTGCCTGCGGTCGAGATGGCGGCATGGAGGCATGACGAGGTGTGTTGAGCAGAGAGCGGATGATGTGTGATATGTTTAGCAAGCGGGGCTGTTGGTTGGCGTTGGCAATATTAATGTCCTGACAGCGGACTCGGCGATGACTGAACCTAGGACGTGCCCGAGGGAGCTGCGGGCCAGCGACCTGGGATCAGCAGGGGGCAGGGCATGTCAAAAGATGTGCGGGGAGCAGGCTGAGGTCAGCTCTCTGTGCGCAGGCGGTCGCGGTCACGCCTCCGCTGGGGGCTCCCTCGGCTCGCGGGCTCTTGCGGGCTGATGCGGTGGCAGGGCAGTCCACGTCGGACGCGGTCGCCAGCGCGCGGATCGAGTCCGAGTCGTGCCAGGCAGCCTTTGTGGCGCCAGCACAGCAATTCATCACCCAGTGCGCGACCTGCGTCGCCCGTGTCGCGGACTTTTTGTATTTTATTTTATTATTGGGTGCGCAGGCGGCGGCGGTGTGCGCGGTTTGAATATTCCGCGGGTGAGAGATCGTTGTCCTCTCGCTGAAATGACGCGCTTCTCGGGTTGAATGGCCGATTTTAATTTTTATCCTGCTGTGCGTGAGCATCTCAGCTCAGCTCGGGTGAGCCTTTCTCGCTCGAGCAGCGGCAGATTGGCTTCCGGCCTGGCCTAGGCGGTCGGTCAACGGGCGCTACCTGGGCGATGCTTGTTTGCGAGTGTGGGCGACGTGACCGGGATCAGCGAGCACAGCGCCAGGCGCCCGAGGCCGACGCTGCCGCCAACCGTGTCCTCGCCCCATCTCGCGCTGGCCACCGAGTCCCGTCCCGCTCTTGCTGCTGACACACTCCTTTCCTCTCCTTAGGCAGCATCCTCGGCGACCTCTTCGTCCTGCGCAGCTGCCTTCCAACCACCAGCCCGTGCTCGCGTTCTGCGCTTCTCCGTGTTCCGACTCAGATCGCACGCTTCTGTCGTGTCTCTCCGCCGAACGACGACGCTGCTCCTACCCCGCCCCTTCTCGAAACTTTACAAGGCCGCAGGTCTTATATACCCTGTCTCGCGCCATCATGAGCGACTCCCCGCTGGAAAGGCTCGTCAACCTTTGTAGATCTAATGGTCCGTGTCCTTGTTGCTGCCGTCCGAGCGACCACTGACTCGTTCGTCGCCTTGTTGGGATCGACGCGATGCGCATGCAGACGTTGATGTTAGAGTCGATGCTGTCACAAAGCTGCAGGCAGAGTTTGAGGCGGGTGTCGAGGTGCGTCGTAATACGCTCGTTACATGCGCTCGAGAGCCTAACCCCGGCGCGTCCCAGATACCCAACCCCGACGACCTTCTGACGGTCCTCAAAGCATGCCTCCGCACACCTAACCAACACCTCACCACCGCAACCATCTCTGCCATCCCGCCGCTGCTTCCTCTCCTCATCAGCCGGCCAGGACTTGCCGCGTCTCAGTCAACGTCGCCACATGCCAGCACGTCCTCTGTCGGCTCGACCCTCATCGACGTGCCGATGCTCCGCCAAGTCCTGAACGCGCTCCTCCCCGCCGGCGGCGCCCTCGACCGTCTGGGCGACAGCCGGGACCGCGCACGCGAGCGGGCGCGCGAGTCCCTTGTGCTGCTCGGCGGGTACGCCTTCCGCTGCGCGGGCCCGGGCTCGTCCGTGCGCACCGCGCGCGACGGCAAGGGGGGGCCGGAGACCCCGCTGGCGATCTTCGAGCGGCACTTCAAGGAGCTCGGCCTGACGAGCAAGGTCTGGCGCGTGCGCGAGCAGGCGATCCTCGCGCTCGCGCAGCTCCGGCGCGCGCACCACCACTTCCCGCTGCGCCCGTACCTGCCGGCCCTCGTCGACCTGCTCGAGGACGCGGACAGCAACGTGCGCCAGCAGGCCCAGGCCTCCGTCGTCGAGCTCTTCACCGGCCCCGGCGTCACCGACGCCGCGCGCGCCGACCTCAAGAAGGAGATGGCCAAGAAGGGCGTGCGCAAGGGCACCGTCGAGAACGTCACCGCACGGCTCCTCGCGGCCGGCGGTGGCGGTGGCGGCGGCGGCGCGCGCACTCCGCCGCTCGCGAGCGAGGCGGGCTCCGAGAACGGCGATGCCCCCGGCGCGCATGTCCCGCCGAGCACGAACAAGACGCCCGGCCCGGGACGCAGCATGTCGCGCTCGGTCAGCACCCAGAGCATGGACAAGTTTGCGAGGCCTGCGAGCCGCTCTGCGCTGGTCTCGCCCGTGCCAGACGCCACGGCGGGCGGCGGCTCCGAGGCCAAGGCCGTCTACGTGAGTAGTCGGCAAAGCCTCCCTTTTTTTCCCCCAGTTTTTGTGGGACTGACACACCGCTCGAACAGATCGCGTCGAGTCGAGACTTGGAGAACGAGTTTACGTCTATGCTGAAGTGTTTTGAGGTGTGTGTTACGTCTCTCTTTCTCGCACGGCGACACAGCTCAACGGTGAGACAGGGCAAGGAAGACGAGCACAACTGGGCGCAGCGGGAACGGGCTGTCTTACGTGTCAGAGGCATGCTCAAGGGCGATGTTCACGAACGGTTCACGGAGACCTTCCTGCAAGGGCTGAAAAATGGTTTCATCGACGCTTCTTTGAAAACGGTTCGTTGTATGCGCATATGCTCGAGTTTAGGCGGCTAACTCTTGATTGTAGCTGGTCAGCTTACGTACGACTGTGGCTGCGAATACATGCTCTTTGTATTCGGAGCTCGCGATTACGCTCGGTGCCGCTATCGACCCGCTCTGCGAGACGCTGTACATAAACCTTCTCAAATTGGCCAGCCTTACGAAGAAAATCATCGCGCAGCAGTCACAAGCGACGGTCACGACCATCATGAATCACACTTCCCCGCTCCCCCGGATTATCCTGCCTCTTTTGTCCAATGCTGTTGCGGACAAGTCGGTCCAGACACGAACCTACGCCATGGGACACATTAAAACCTACTTGGCAGCGCACGGCCTCCGCGCACGTCATTCAATAGAGGCCATCGGCGGGGTTGAGACGTTCGAAAAGTGTCTCAAGAAGGGCCTCAGCGACCCGAACCCTGCGGTCAAGGAGATTACACGGCAGTCGTTCTGGGGGTTTGAGGGCGTGTGGCAGGATCGAGGGCGACCCATCTTCGAGTCACTCGATGCGACATCGCGCAAGCAGCTCGAAAGGGCATGCCCTGACCCTCAGCTGCTCGCCGGACTTGCCGCAGCCGTGTCTACGCCGCAGGTGAAGAAGTCGAGCGTCGCAGCGGCCATCGCAGCCAGCCGCGCAAAGGCCAAGGCCATCGCTACTGCGCCTCCAACGCTAAGGCATCAGGCCACTTCGGCCGCACGCACGACCTCCCCTCCTGCGAAACGCCCGGCGTCTCCGTCTCTGAGCAGCAGCGGCGGGCCGTCTGGCCCAGGCAGAGCGGCCTCGCCTATTGGACGCGGTGCTCAGGCCCCGTCTCCGCCGAGAGCCAGAGTGGTTTCGACCGGCACATTGCCCCGCTCGACCAACTCCGGCTTCGTCCCCAGCAGAGGCCAGGCCCGCGAGCCTGTGGTCCCATCCTCTCCGTCCTCTCCCACGCCCGACCCAACCTACCGCCGTCGTGTGTCGTCGCCCCTCACCAGCTCGCCCATCTCCGGCTCGCTCAATGGCATCTCGATCCTCAGGCGCGCCAGCCAGACGGCGCTACCGTCGTCCCCGACGCCGGGGTCGCCTTTCTCGCTTGGCGTGTCGACGCCGCGGACGCAGCCCCTCCATGCGTACCGTGAGTCGATCAACATCGCCGGCCTGCACGGTTCAGCGGACGACTCGCTCCTTCTGGCATCAAATATTCCGATCCCGGAGGACAGCGACTCGGACATGGACCTCGACACGTCCGTCAACCCCGTCTCCTTCTCGACGCCGTTCGAAGTGTACCCGCCCGGCGGCGAGGCCACTCCCCAGCAGCCCAAGTCTGCAGCGTCTATTTCGCCGCGCTCGAGCGGCTCGCGGCAGCCGCTTTCGAATGCCCTTTCCACAGGCACGAGCTCTCCGCCTGCCGGCATTCCTCAGCCGATAGTCGAGGACGCGATGCGTGCACGTGCAGAGCAGGCCGAGAGTGCTGCAGAGCGTCTCTTGGAGCTGGTCGACCCGGAGGACGAGCATCCGGAGGCGGGCGTCGCGCCCCTCCTGCTTCGTAGCTCTACCAGCGAGCCAATCTCGCAGAGGAGCCTAAACGACAGCGCGGGATCTTCGTTACAGGGCGCAGGGGCCGGCTCGCTCCAGCATCCACGGACGCCTCCCACCACCACGAACGCGGCCCTCATGCGGAAGGCGGCACTGTTCCAGGACAGTCCTGCCTACAAGGCGCGCGCGACGACGTCCCCGTTCGACATGATCAACGGACAAACGTACGACAATGTCTGGTGGCGGAAGCGCATGTCACGTAAGTTCCCCTCCGCTTGGGCCCAGCAACGGGGGGCCCAGAGCTCCCCTCCCAATTTTATCTATCAAACCGCGACGGAATGAATAAGCTGACTCGTCCTTTTCTCTCACAGTCGTGAACGATGACCCTGGGTACAGAGCCGGGGAGCATGCCGATCGTAAAGAGGAGCTTAGAGGATACATCGCCGCGTTGGAGCGCGGTCCCGCGGACGTCCTCGTGCTCCAGAAGCTCGCCCTCTTCTGCAGGGAGAACCCAGCGAACGAACCTATTTCGCCCATCAGCCCGGACTTTTCCGGAGGACCTCTGAGTCCGTCGCCCTTGTTTGGGAGCTCACACACCCTGCCTGGGCTCAAGACGGACCTGTGGGTACAGGGCAAGGCGTTCGAACGACTCTTTGCCGCCCTAGTCCTGTGTTTGGACCCTACCAGGGTACGTCCATTTAATCACTGCTGATCACAGAATGAGGTATTCATTATGTATTCGTCTGCGGCTTCTCTTCCAGAGTACTTCCGAACTGGAGTACGGTTTGATTGTTCTGTGGGAAATGCTAGAACATCAAGCACCCCTCTTGGAAGGCCGGGAAGCTGACATATTCGCTTTGCTGCTCAAGGTGCGAAGCTGCGGGAATGCGACGGTGCGCTCGTCCCTGTGCTCCCTTACTCTGCTTCTGACGGAGCCTTCTGCGCCGTCAGGTCTTGCAGGCCACCACTAATTTTAGGGACGTGCTCGCGTCCCGCATCGAGCCGGTCTATGGCCTGACGACCATGCACGCCAGTCTGCGTGCGTACCGGAACCCATCTGCGCCATCCGCGGCAGACGTGGAGATTAGCAACGGAACCTATGCGTTCGGACTGATTGCGCTGGGCAAGTTCGTCCTGCAGCTTCCGAAAGAAGTGCTCGAAGATGAACTGCCCCGTCTGAGGATCACCCTCACGTCGGTAGGTCCCACCGTAACTTCGCTCGCCCCTATCACGCTGATGGAAGCTTGTCTGGCAGGCTCTGACAGACACGTCGTCCGACTCATCGTTGGTCGTGAGGGAGGCCGCCGCCGCGTCCATCATCGCGGCGCAGCTCGTCCTCCGCGACGAGGCGCACCTGTTCGCGCTGCTCGACCCGCTGCCCGAGGACAAAAAGAACCTGCTGACGTACCTCTTCGACAAACACGGCGTGCGCGGGTCGTCACGCGCCAGAGCGGGGCTCGGGGCGTCTGGGATGGACAAGCTCGAGAGGGAGATGCGACGATTGGATGGCCGAACGAGCACTCCGCTGCGGCCAACTACCACCACCGCCGCATCTCCATTCATCTAAATCGAAGCTTTTAAGTTTCTCCTCTAAAACCACAATTGTCCCCCTTTATACGATTGTAAACTGCTTTGTCTTGTCTGGTAACTTAATCGTATATCCCATCTGCGTCCTTCTGATGTTCTCACGTCGTAGTGCTATTCATCGCTGTCTGCCCCCCGTCTTTGTGTTTTATTCGAACACCTTTTTTTTGATAATTCTGTTCCATTTATCAAGTCGGGTCGCCCATCTCGCATCTTTGTTCTCCCCCATCTCCCCCTCTCTCGTTTTGCGCAATGCGCAGAAATGACTTCGGATCCGTGTCCCGTGCCCGTATCCATCACCTGCGATAAGTTACAACTCCCGATAATGCATGCGGCTGGACTGCCTTATTACGACTACAAGCCTCACATGGGTAAACCCAGCCGGAGTAATCCCCACGCCCCGAGGACCCCGGGGCCCCCGTGACAGCTCTTCCTAGAACAGCACAGGTAGGACAGTATCACTTCAGAGGCTCTGCCGCGCAGGACATCCGCAACCTAAACGTTAGATTGGCATGTTCCTGATATTGCGCGGGCTCGCGAACGCTCTCGACCCTGGCAAACATGAGGCTTCAGCAGCACACCGGGCAAAACATACAGCGCTGACACAGGGTCCTGGGGATCTGGGCAACTATGCAGAGTTCGCACCCCCCGGCGGAACGACGTTCGCGGAGTTGGGTTTTGCGTACAAGGTTCGAACACCCGGTCTAACACGAGCCGAGTCGACCCGACGGCAGAGACTTGACGAGAGATATCATTGCATGCTAGATGTGTACGTGGATGTGGTGTATTTGGCGCCCTCGCATACTGTGTCGTGATAGATCAGGGCATCTGGTATAGCATGTAGTGCGGGACAAATCGGCGAGCCGCAAGGCACTGCTAGGTGCAAGAAGTTTGACGAGAGCACTGGAGCGACGTGAGAAAGGAAGAGTCAGATCCCAGCACGTAGCTCAACAGACAGATGTGACAAATACATAGATACGGCAGCGATATCTGTCCTTGCTCAGCTGGAGTCACTTTGCGTGGGCGCTGCATTCTTCAAGTCCGTCGTAGTGACGCTTGGCTCGGAAGAAGCATCCGTAGGAGAGACGATCCCGCTGAGAGCAGTTACGGTAACTGCACCCTGGGAGGTTGTTGTAGACGCACTTCGTTGATGAAGACGATCCTCCCGAGAAGGGCTGGAAGGAGTGAAAAACCCTAGCTGGGCCGCGACATAGCCTGGTGGCGCCCGCAGGTGGCGGTGGACTTTAGGCTCCTCACGCTCCGGCACTGCACGTGTCGGCCTGAAGCGCACAATTTCTCGCCATACGTCACGCGAAAGACGCGTTCGCCTGTTCACAGAACGTAAGTAGATATTCTTGCTGCCCCAAATGCGCCTCCCAAGCCGCTCCTTCACCCGCTGCACGGAGCGACCGAGCGTGTCAACGGCTCTCCGTTCGAGTTCCCCGATGTAAGCCTTGTCCCGTCGCAGGATCGCGAGATGTACGTCGACGTCAAAGATCTTCTCGCGACGAAGCTTAATCGCCTCTTCCGCAGGGTCAGGCTCTGGCACAGGTTGGAATGGGGTTTCTATCACAGGATCCTGTGACGATGGTGACGTTGGGGGCGAGGAGCTGCTCGAAGCTGTTGTCGAAGGGCCAGGGGTAGGCGTGGGCTCTGGCGGCGATAGTCCTGCTGGATCGCCTGAAGCTTCCAATGTTGTACCCGTGTGAGGAGCGGCGTCTCGCCAGCCCTCACGCAGGGCTTCCTCCTCCTCTCTCCACCTCTTCTGGACCTCCGTGTAATACTCGAGATCAGCCCGCTTTCTCCGTAGAGCCCTCCGCATCTTCACTATAACAAAGCGGAGCATCTCGATGTCCCTGTGGCGATTAGCCTCGCCCAGGATGGGGAGGAACATGTACTGTGTTATGCCGAGATGCGGGGCAAATATTTCGCCCTTGCGTTTTAGCATGCACTCCCCGCGTAGGTGTCTGTCGACCAGCCGATCCTGTTCCATGACCTGTATAAGATAGTGGCGAGCGAGCGTCGCGCGTCCGGCGCGAGACAGCCATTTTAACATCAGCTGATAGCTGGTAGTGTTCGGCAACGCGTGTGGAGGGGTGTAAGATGTGATGAGAGGGTTGTTAACACCGAAATCCTCGTCCTCGTCGTCTGCATAAGCGGATTCGGAGCTCGTGATAGCGTTTGTCGGCAGGGGTGTGGTCAGTACCTCGAATGTTTGTACGAGCTTTGATATATTCTCTATTCGACCAAGGAAGTCCAGCGCGCTGTTCAATGCAGCAGTCGAGAAAGGCTGTTGGACTGGGGGGTTTCGGATGTCAGAAGCTGAACCGTCTGTAGTCGCGTTCTGGTCCCAATAATCCAATGGAGGGCGGTCCGGGTATGCAAGGTCGATACCATAGGCTACGCGTAAAAGCTTCTGGAAAGCTTCAAAGTCCATAGTCTCCTTCAAAACACGCAATGTCAAGTCAACATTAAACGCGGTTATCGGAACCTGGTTGGCCCACATCTCGTTCACGAGCTTGAGACAGATCTGGGTCATAGCTTGGACCATCCTCTCTCGCTCTGAGTGGTATATGGGTAGTGTGAGCCGGTGAGCCAAAGCCGTGAGACAGAGGCCGTAGGTCTTGTGAGTCTTCTCGAGCTTGAGGTGTGTCATCTCCTGTAGGACCTGCAGAGCCCCTACATGATGCCCTACTGCCGCAAACTGCTCCAGAATGAAGTGATAGTCTTCCACATCTGGCGCGTACCCTGCCTCCCGAATGTTGCTGATGATAGCCTGGTAGCGGATCTCGTGGATGTGAGGGACGCGCGAACGCTTCTTGGCCGCGATCCGTGCGTACAATTCCTTGCGGGACTCCGCAGGTGAGAGGGTAGACTTGCGCAAGACGAGTTGGTGAGTCTCCAAAGGTACCTGTTCCGGGCCTACTATGCTGAGCAAGTCGACGTACCGGCCCCAGACCTGCGCAGGCTGAGGTTTATCCTGGGCCAGAATGATGACGAGATCATCGTATCTTCGCTTCTTCAGTTTCTCCATGGGTTTTCGAGCGGTTGTAGGTGCCTCCACCAGGTCCAGTGACTGGGTCTGCCCGAGGGCAGCCGCGAACCGACAGCGTGAAGACGAGTGCAGAGCCCGAGCCGCTGCTGAGACACATGGTGGCCGTAGGAGCTTAGTCGCTAGCTTGAGTTGTTGCACGACATTGCGGGACATCGAAACACCCGACGGAGACGAGCGACGAGCAGGAGAGAGAATGCGAGCGTCCGGCTCGGTGTTCACGCCCGCATTCCATCCCAAAATTTGCCACGTGCTATTTCCCATATTAGGAAAGCGTCGGGCCGCCCATTATAAGCGCCCCGAGTCTCGCCACAACCAATCGTAGATCTGTTGAGGTTGAATTTCTACGGCCGATTTTGTTGAGATCTTCGCTTCCTTGCATTAGTATTTTAATCTTCCGACAGTGTTACAGCTTCTTCCAGACTACAAGACGCTCCCTGCCTTTGTGAGTCGCAGAGCTCACTTCCGAGACTTCGTCCACCACCTTCTCCCATCCATCTCCGAGGACTTCGACGTAATGTTCAGGCCTCACGTAGTAAGGTGGACCATAGCTTCGTGGCGGGTCGATAGGGAAGATGAGCGTGACCAGATAGCCACCCGGCTTGACCATGCGCGACATCAATTGACCCCACTTGGTACGACATGACAGCGGGATGCAAACGAAAAATCTTCGTAACAATATCATTAAGCTGGGCTGCAGATTTATTTTGCTGGACGAAAATAGCATACGTATAGTCGTATATGAGGTCGTAATTCTCCTCGGAGCTACCAAGACTGAAGAAGTCCTTGAGCTCGAAACTAACTTTCACGGCGCTTGGCAAATTGAGCTGGGCTAGCGATCTGCTTCAGCTTGTAAGAGTGGTCAGCTGAGACAGAGTAACTTGGCACTGACTCTTCTGCCAATTTTACCGCCGTCGGGGAGATGTCAACGGCGAGCGTGTCGAGACCTGTCGTAGCTGCTATGAAAGGTGCGTCATAGCCCTGTGACGCTTAAGATACTCGCTCGCTGTAGTGATGAGTTACTTACTTTACCACATCCGGGAACGAGGGCACGGCCGGTTGTAGGGAGCTTCAGCTCGCGGGAACCAAGGAGGTCTCGTAAAGGCGGCTGGACATCCCCGGCATCCCACGGTGTGATGCTCGCTTTCCTTGTGATGAGAGGAGTGAGTGTTCAACGACCCCTATCCGAGCCGCAGCACAGACCATGCGTCGTCCCATCCACGTAAAGGATCTGCGGCGACGAAGGCGCGCAATTTGGCTTGTATCTCGCTGCCAGAAAGGTCGTCGGTAGCTGACATCTCTCAGAGGATTTCACGAGATGGAGGTCGCTGTACAAGCAAATCGGCATGCAACTTGCGTCTTAGGAGCATTTTTGATGCTTCCACTAGAAAGCAGCGCTATGTTGCCGCGTCAAGCACCTGAAACATCTGAAGTTTACAGTGTCTATTACAATTATAAGAGTAAGATAGCGATGTGCTCCACACCATAACATACACTATTTCCTGCGCGCTCTATCCAACACATGTCAACGGCCGAAATTGTGGGTATATCCGTCCCATCGTGTTGAGGTATAGCATAAGATATTGACGACGATGGAAGTATGCACGCGACCTGGATAGTCATATTGTCCGCACAGCGAACGCAACACATATACATATTATTGATTCCTGGAGACTATGAGTTATCTCGAAGCTCGAGGGACTAACAGCACTCACGTTTGCAAACATTTCTTGTGCCACAGTGTCTGTGTCTTCCCAGTGGCAGACCATGTCAGCCCTAAGAGGAATGACACATTCAGCTCGAGCCTTCGTGCCAGCATGAGCTACACACCTTCCTCCCTGCCCCAAATTTTCGTTGATTTGCGTCATGACGATGTACTTACTAGACCGTCATTGGTATCAGCATGCAACTAGAACTATACGCCGGGGCCACATACTATCCACGCGGTTGAATCTCTGCAATGGCTACTGCATAAGCGTGACCCTTGCATGTACACCCTGTAAAGCGCACCAAGCATGCGTTCTTTAACGCGCTCCCCAATCTCTTTCATCCATGCCTTTACCCTGTCTCGCTCACGCGCCGGTGGCCAGGTTGCGGTCTGCAGTGTTGACTGCAGCAGCTTCTTCATATAGGCTCGTAGCAGATCCGAATCGAACGACGGTCGGGGTGACGCAGCGGCTGAGCGAGGGTTCGAGGGCGAGCGGAGGCCTGTGGGCGACATCATGGCGAACGAGAGGCGAGACGACCCTTCCAAGACTTGTTAGTCCCAGCGAAGGCTCTCAAGCTCTGTCCGCAAATGGCAGGGTCGCGATCGCCAGGCGTCTGCGGACGTAAGCGGCAATTTCACGTGGCGCGTGTTTGGCTGCTTGCTTCCGTCGCGTCGACAGAGTCACCGCTAACAGCCATGTCCTCAATATCCTTCCCGCATGCGGCACACGACCATACATCGTCGATGGCGTCGTCGGCCGCCTCTTTGCAAGACAGCGAATACTTCAACTCATTTGGCTCCTCGTCGGGTGGTTCAATCCAGATGAACCCGCTCTCGCAGCATCCACCGCGTACGCCCCGAAGGTCAACGGCTTCAGGCTCACAAGTGTACGGAAGTGACATATATACCCCCAAGGAAGAGCTGCTCGAGAACCAGCCTAACTTGATCAATGAGGAGGTAGCAGAGGCTGTCCAAGAACGCGAAAAGAGCAGAGTGCGAGCTACGGAGATTTGGCGAGACATGCTCAAGACAAGCTATGGACGGGATAAGGCATTTGTACGTTTTCATTTTTGCATATATCCGCCCGTACTCATATGTGAATAGAAAATATTACAATATATCATGCGCCTGTACCTCCTCTTCCATACTACACTGGCAAAGTCATCCTTGTTCAGGCATACAAAACGGCCACCATGGGAGGCCGAGATGACAAAGCGGCTAGAGTCTGGGATAGCGGGCTTCTCGCTCACCAGGTATGCCTCAGTGGATCTCACTTGTCGGACGCCGCGCCGCGCGTCTTCAATGCCTCTGAACCTTGTACAGCCCAAGCTGATTGCGTTCGAATAGGAAATGTCTTATCCTGTTTAACTGGCTCGGACCTTTGACGTCTGTTCAGGCCCGACATCATCTAGACGAAGCTTTCGGAGGTACCAAGTCCAAAGGCAAGAAGCGACCACTTCTGCACACCATTCTGCATTCTCCGCCACCGACACTTGTAGAGCTGATGAACGGCGTTTCTGATGACATTGCCACGTTCTCGCGTTTGGGCCTCATTGGTAGGCGCACTGGGGAGCGTGCAGCGTACTACGCGGACTGGTGTTGGCTCCTAACTACGCTTATGAACCTTGTCGAAAACGCGGTAGAGCGAAGCGTCATCATCGAACAACAGCATCAAGGTACGACACTACACCTTAACATGCCATGATCTCGCCACTCACATGTCCTGTAGTGGAGTCAAGATCTTACACAGAGTCCTTGAGAGGTGCCACAGCCAAATCGAATCCTACGGCGTCAAAGATAGACGAGACGGAGCTAGCACGTCTACAGAGGAAGGATTATTGGATCCTGATGAGCAGGTGGAAGCTCCTCATGGATCTCATTTTTGTCTGTGAGTATCGCACACATGCAGATTAACGAACACAGCTTGAGACTTGTCCCTGTCTTTAGCCTACAACGTATTTGGCTTCAAACGTGCAAAGAGCCCGGTGCAGACTTTCACGGGTTTGGCGGCTGCATTGCTGAGGTCCGTCGTGTGCATTTACAGCATTAGATCTCGACTAATTGCAATCTTCACAGCACCGCCAAGGCTTACGAGCGACATTACCTGGAATTACTGAAGGCAGCGAAGGCCTAGACGCCGACGCTAATTCTGCTGTGTATTGCTATCCCTGCTTCTTGCTTACCTGCTCTAAGATACAGCTTTTTTTTGGTACAGTCCCTTTACTCTGTTTAATTCGTCTACTATATTGTGCTGTGATGTGCTTCGTGGAATACTAGAGACCTTTACCCAGGATGCAAGAGACGCTGAACGCGAACCTAGGACCTCTGACGCAAAATCGATTACGGTATCGACAAGTTTTTGGCAATCAGCCTAGGTCAGGCTTTGCACAGGATGCATGGGTGAATTTTGCATTGACGATCGGTCAGCTTGCTCACCAGCCAGGCCTCCGCATTCAATCTTCCAAGCTTGCACGACCTCATCCACCTGCGGAAGCACATGAATGACCAATGCGCCACTTTTCGAGAGAAGCGGCGGTCCCGTTGTGGCGTCTGGAATAATCATCCTCGAGACCCGAGTCGCAACGTCATCGCAATACATGGATCAGCACCAGCCAAAGCTTGCGCCGCAGTGTGATAGATCTTACTCACGACGAAAAATTTCAACGTCGGCATGCAAAGGTAAGCCTCGCTGTATGTACTCAGCTTGTTAATGATTACACGGCAGCTCATCAAACTCAGTAAAATAACGTCTCGCTGCTCATGTTTGACTAATGGACGTAACACGTCATAGTAAGCTTACCTGCCAGGGCCCGAGTTGACGTTGAGAAATTCACTAAGTTCACAGTAAGAACGTGTCTCGGGGACTGCGTCGTGATCGCTCCCATTGAGTTGCTGCAGCCTGGCAGGAACCTGTTGATAAGTATGCGCCTGATGTTGTGAGCAATGATCTCTTCATGCTCCAGCTGCTTTCGCCTGCAGGACGCAATTCAGCCTGATAACTTCGGATCCACGGGTACGCGAACAGCCGTCAGGCTTCGGGAAGAGAAGCACGATCCGCGTTGTGGTCGTCACTGGAACGCCCTGGCTCGCCACAAATCATCAGCAGAAGCTGTGTGTCCTTAGCGGTGGTGTCAGACGGCTGCCAGGTTAGGCCTTTGTAAGGTTTGTCAGCAACGCCAAGCAAGATAGGAGCAGCGAGATGGCGGTTACCCGGTGCACGCCATACCATCGCCGTCACGTTCTACGCGCCCGCATGCTACATTTCGTCGTGCCGTCATCGGGGGCGTCGGTGCTAGGCAACGTACACGTCACTACTATCAGACAACACGTAGTTGGCACCAAATGCGTCTCGGCCATACAACGGAGTAGTTGTGTTGTTGCATCCAGCCATCTGACCGCAACAACCGTGCCACGTCTGCGAATGTGCTTCCGGTAATCGAGTCGCCTTGTTCTCACAGCAAGCCATGTTCGGGAGCAAATAAGATACTGAGGAGGGAATCAATGACATGGACGGGTGCGATAGTGCTTACACCTCCGACAAGACGGCGAACGGTGAGATGTCGCTCTTTCACTAGAACCAGCCCCGACGTTTGCTCTTCTCCCCGCCCGCAGATTGGGGTACACTTGGTTCCACGTCTCCGCGAACCTGTTGCTCTCTTAACATCACCACCTCCTTCTCTAATTCTTGCACCCTTGCACGCGTCTCGTCCAAGTACCGCTCGTGGGATAGGCTTGCTTGCAGGAAGCGGAAACCCTAGAAGAATGCGGGACGTAATAGGACCAGAGAACGTGCACCTGGAAGCAATGGAGAACGTACCACGTATACCACAGAGCCTAAAAGAGCGATAGGCACCATGCCCGGAAGCATCTCAGCATACCACTGCGCATGGACGGACCGCGACTTGCTTCCAGCATTTTCTGAACTGTAGGGCCGCCTACAGGCTGTCATTTGCCGGTGCGAGTGTGTTACATTTCGAGAGGATGCACGTTGAACGAGAGCGAGAGACATGCCCGCAAGATAGGCTAGCAGTGTCGACTGAGACAGGAGAAAGCGGGGTTTCGCACGTGCGGTTCGACGGGCGCGGCAAATTGTGGCTGTGCCGGCCCCCTTCAGACGGACGCTCTCATCTCACTCTAGTGTTCTCCGCTGTGCAGAGCTAGTGGGGAATGCATCGGCCTAGCACATGAATGGACAGGCTATCGCTGGTGAGCACGTCGCAGTGGCTCTCGGAATTTGGACAGAATCATGTTCAGGGTGCGATAATTTTCCTGTCGGCACGTCACGAGAACCCCCATCGTCGCAGGGCACTGGCATGCGGTCCCCTCCTTTGCGGTATAGCGCGTGATATCGATACGTACAGGGCCGGTTCCGCACAGGAGTCGAGAACGTTGTTTGCAGTGGCTTTTCGCGTGAGTAGGCTCGTTTCCTCTGGGTGAAAATCTGTGCGCAGTGCTGCGGTGGTGGGATGTGTGATGCAAGGTCCGGAAAACTGTGTCTGCGTGGTGAAGATTGAGCAACTTGCGGACATCTAGAGAAGAACCGAGGAGGGGCCCGGGATATGCGCCCCGCCCAGACATGGGTAGACGCCCGGGTGAAGTGACCGTGGGAAGAGCGTCACTGGTAATAACCCCTTCTTAAAAAGTATTTGATGGCAGCTTCGCGGGCCTCCACTCCCCGAGTTTCCCTTCCTCTCGTTGCTCGTCTCTTCCCTGGTCGGCCTTGTTTATTCGTTCGAACTGATCATATCGGAGACACACATTTGGGCTGGAATCCAAATGGACGCAGCAATCACCCCAACAAGACTTGGACAGTCTTCCTCGTCACCGTCGCCCGCGGTGCCGCCTACATCTCTTCCACCGTCGCTCCACAACCAACCACTACCGCCATACTCCTTCCCGCGGCAAGATGAGTACCCTCAAGAAAAAGCAGAGCTAGACCTCTACTCTCAGAGTCATAGAGTACCGCCGACTTCATCACATCCCGCTACACCGCACCATACACGACCACCGTACCCTTATCCCTACTCGACAGGCTCGACAGCGACATCGTCTACCTACAGCCGAGCTTCATCCGCGTGCACTCGTCCGCGAGGCTTGCTAATAGCTAACCTTCTCAAACCGTGGACACCAATAATTCTGTACGCAATAACCACTCTGGGTTTCCTTGTTGCCATCAGCTTCTGGAAGGCAGAAGTGTTCGGAGGTGAGCGCACGCTTGCTCGAATATTTTAGTCGCGCACGTTGCTAAGACACCCTCTAGGCCTGGACAAGCTTTCGCGTTGGCTCAAGTCTGACGAGTATATCGGCTATGCTTCTATCTTTATATTAATTTTCTTGACAACTTTCCGTAAGTTCTTGGCCCGATGACCGATTCTGCCTTCCTTCTGATCGTGTCCCAACAGCACCTCTTCCTCTGTATTCTACCCTCATTATCTTATCTGGATATACCTTCGGTGCATGGACAGGCGCAGTGATCTCATATGCTGCGTCGCTTACCGGAGCACTCGTCGTATTTATGGTATCTCGCACGTTCTTCCGTGCAAGCATATCTCGCTGGCTCTCTTGCACGATCACGATCAAGCGCGTCGTGAAGGCCATCGAGAAGAACCCCAGGCTTCTCTTCCTTATCCGCCTTGCGCCGTACCCTTACAACGTCATGAATTGCCTCCTCGCCGCCTCACCATCCCTGACACTCCGGACATACGCACTCTGCACGGCGCTTTCGCTCCCCAAACTCATCATCCACACGAGTATAGGCTCCTCGATCCGGTCTTTCGCGCAGTACCACATCGTGAAACCCGGAGAATCGGCTCCTGCAGCCGGCGATGAGGGCATGCTCGGACACTACTCTACTGTAGCTGGTGTCGTGCTCTGTGTCGCCATCTTCGTCTACCTTTCTATCGTCGCACGCCGTGCAGTTGACGGCGAGCTCGGCGACGATGTACAAGACAGCGAGGAAACCGTCGCGTTCCTCGCACACGATGACGACGGTGCCGACATGCAGGAGATCATGACGGACCGCCCAGCGTTCCGAGTGGATGACCGATTTATCTTCGCAGGACGGGAGGAGTCGAGCATCGGACTGTGACTTGCATTCATCAACGGACTACTAGCACGCATACATCTGGACATTATTCGCTCTCTATCACTCGAATCCTGTATAAAGTCGCTACGTACGTTGTAAGATGAAGTTGAACAGGTTACTTACACTCATTTAGTTCTGTCGTTTACTCATAATACTCTTGCCGGCAGCAGAGACGCATGGCTCGATAATCAAAGATGTGAAATAGCGGATCACTATCACTCCTTGACACATTATCATAAGCTGGAATGCTTCGAGGCAGGTCTCAATTACTGCGACATGGCCGGTGTATGAATGCAGTCCGAAACATGATGCATAGGAAAGGCTGTGGCGTAACGAACATTTGCTCAGATGTGAGTACAGGTGCCCAGGCCCGCGTCTGATCATTCCGAAGTCTCAGTCATCATCATCGTCGCCAGAAGTGTCCTCGTCGCGCACAGTTCCGTCATCGGTGTACGCCGTGCTCGACGAATCAGTGCCCTGGCGCGCGAGCGGCGGGTATCGCGCCTCCGCGACAGGACTCTGGGTGTATTCTCCATAAACGCCAGAGGAGGCGTGCCGGGCGCCGTCCAGCGACGATGGTACATCCGCGAAGACGGAGCCGGAGCCGCTGCTCCATGCAGACGCCGATTTATGTCGCTGCGGAGCCTCCTCTGGGGCTGGGCCGACGGTCCAGACGTGAACCTCGCCCTCGTGCGTGCCCGTCGCGAACATCCACTCGTTGGCTCCGCGGTTCCACGCTATGGCAGTCAAATGCTTCAACGCTACAGGCGCCTGGATTCGGTGCAGCTGCGACGTCGTATCCCGGTCCCAGACGTAGATGTCGCTGGCTGTGTGTGTCGCAGCTGGTGTGTCAGAGAGTGGCTGGAGCGATATACTAGGTGTGAGAGTAGGGCGCACCTGTGCCGGCGCGCAGGATAAGGTTATCGTTTGTGCCACCAAAGATGGCCGGAAGACCGGCAAAGGCAGTAGTTGTCTTGGGCATATAAGTGTGCCTGAGCACAACGTTGTTCGCTTTGCCTTGCGCGTTGCGGAACTCCCATAGCTGCGGCGGCGCCTACAACACGATCATTGGAATGCACAGTTTTGACGGTAAGAGTGAGACAGACTCTGTTCTCGTAGCTGACCAAGACGAAACAGTCGTCACTTGCAAGGGCGATGTCACACATCTCATAAAATACCGGAGCCCTCCTATGACATAACTCGCATTAGTATGAGTGGGCAGTGAAAACCTGCAAGCATTGCTGAACATACTTTATGACCTTGAAATTGACTAGATCGTACACTATGACGCAGCTGTGGACCTGACGCGAGGAAACAGAAGATTGATGCTCACAGACTATCTCATGCTTCTTTCGACTGGCTTTCGCCGGCTTATCTTGTGCATGTTGCTCGTGATCATGCTTGCCAATACAGAGCATATATCTTGAGTCGCTCGTGACAGTGACATCCCGGACAATTAAGTTGTCTACGCGATGATGTTGAGTCTCCTAAACAGTGCGCTATGTGAGATTAGAAGCAGGGATAGCTATCGTGTAGAACCCACCTTTCCCGTTTCGTCCTACGGAAAGCTTGGTTCAGCAAGTAGCTACCGAAGATTTCTAGAGACTCACAATGTTGACGACCCTGTGTCCTTCTACGGACAAGGATTCTAGAAGGAAGCGCCATATAGTGGTCAAGAAGCCGAAATCAGACGGGAGGCAGCACACCTTGGCCATGTCCCTTCCATGCCACGGACCGGATCGGGTGGTCTTCATCAGACCGCTGGTGGCTCCACAGGCGTTCGCCGTTCTGTGTAGCATTGACAGCAAATGTACTGCAACGGTGAACCACTAGCTTGCCTTGTTCCAAGCGGTTATGCTTTTGTTATGACGCATAAGAAGGTAGTCTCCTTGCGCGGACCTGATGCCGTGATTAGCACGAGAGGCTGGACACAAGTAGTGTATCTCACCATTCAATCTGGTGAACGAAGCCGTATCCAGAGGAGTGCTCGAGACTTTTTTCGTGGGATAACTTGCCGAACTGTAAGATCTGTGTTAAGCGGGAGAATAGCGTCACGTTAACACGTAGAACACACTGTTACGTCCAGGATGAACGACTTCTTGTCCCAGCTGCGGGGTTTCATCAGTCTTAGCGGGCTGGGATTGACTGGTCCGGCTGACCTCGACGTCGCTAGGTATCTCCCGTCGCGAGAAAACTGCAAAAAGCGCACCAAGGCATCATGCGCGTGGTCGGTCTCGAGCTTCTGGGTAATCGTCATCCTCGAAAGGTGGGCAATGACACTAGCAGCCCTAAGCTGAGGGGACATGCCGCTCCTCAAAGGGTCACCGGCTTCGCGGAACAGACCCTTGACGTCGAGCTGTCGTGCCAGTCGCTCGCGGCGAGCCTCAATCGTGCGTCGGATAGCCTCTTGCCACCGGTGACTTGCTTTCTCCCTCTCGGTCATCGAGCTCTTGTCAAATGCCAGCCAGAAGGAGACTTTCTGCGGGGCGTTAGGGGTGTCACGAAGGCCGCGTTGGGGTGCACGACGTCCAATACGATTTTCTTGCACAGCGGGCTTCTCTGGATCTCCATCCGCGGCTGGAACATGGTTCAGCACTTGGAAGCCTGCTGACAAGGGGAGCTTAGTGACTTACTATCCTGCCCTCCGCCAATCAGCTGGCGACCTTGCTCGAAGACATTTTGAGGGTGCAGCGATCGCGCCGCTGACAGGAAGAAATGCTTGACCGGTTCCATCGTGTACCCCAGAGCATCCGAAAGCCACATGTATCCCTCGTAACGATGGTATATCCACCGCTCGCAGGCAAACCAAGCAGACATCAACAACAGGCCACAGCATGAAACAGAAGAAAAGACTGTCGACAAGACGCGAGTGATGTTTGCCTGTCCTTCCGTTAGCCCAGCATCAACCTTCAAAGTGCTAGCAGACACACCTGATCTGAAGAGAAAGAAAAGAGAACGAAGCCGAGGAAGAAGCAGATTACCGAGAGGACCAGATATACAATTGGGGAGTGCTTGATCCAGATGCGAATCCACCACGGGACTCGGTGATCTGGCGAACGGCTGAAAAACCGTTAAGCGATTGCACAAGCTGAAAGACTCCTCTGGCGCTTACTATATAGCCTCTGACCAAGTGAGACCCAACAAGCTGTTCACTGCGGCGCTGATGCTGAAAATAAGAGAGATGAACCAAAGGACATTGACGCAATCAAGCAAGCTGTTCCTCGGCGTGACACTGTATGTCAGCTGGATCATTGTGGCAGCTACGCCGGCGAAGAGAGTGGCAATTGTCGATAGGTTCACCAAGTTGACGGCGGAATGCTCCTGGGAGGCCTTGACGGTAGGGATCCCTGCAATTTATTTCATTGAGCTGCCAGTATACCGTGGATGAGATAGATATTCTGAGCGAACCTGTCTTCAGGAAGACGGGTATAAATTTATCGGCAAGCAGCTGAAGGCGGTCTCCGATGTCTATCATGGAGTAGAAGAGATACCGTTGAACGGCATGGCTCTCGAAGTCATCTGTCCGTCCAATAACATTCAGATAACGAAGAGTCCAGTGAAGGAATCGAAAGCGAACCTCCGAAGTCTTCAAGTGATGCGGCCCAGTGCTAAGGGGGTAAGTGTATGAGACCGCTAGCAACACTAATGCATGATGACGGGCTCACTGATAGCTCGTCGCCAAACGCCTGGTCAGGTATTTCGTCAATGAACTCCGGGAATTGATTGAAGCACTCCAGCAGAGTGTGGACGTCTCTGGCAAACAGTTGCAGCTCCAGTGCAATATGTTTGGGCTCGAGCTCAGTGCTCTGAGAGACCAAGTGGTCAAACATCCCGTGACGCTTTGAGACTAGACGTCGGAACATCGACGGCTGGAACTTCTCGAGCTGTGGTATCTTCTGCGGGAACAGACCAGCGGCGTTCTTGCGGAAGAGATAAAGCACTCGGCCGAGTCGCTCACGCAAGCGGCTGGAGGCAGATAGAATACCTACAGAGCTCCCGAGTTTTCGCGCTTTGTTTGAGAGATCACGTAGCTGGTCGCCACATCAGCAAGTGATCTGGAGTTTTGCGGTGACTTTCTTACCTGTTCATCAAGAGTCTTCAGTTGTCTGTCGTCGTTTGTACATCAGCTCCGTCCGACTTCCAGTCACACGTCAAAATCATGCTCACTTCTCGAAAGCTTCGAATGCTTTGTATTCATCCCCTCCACTGACCCATACTTGGTCTTCTAATCCATGGTCTAAGGCACGGCATCAGATCTCAGATAAGGCTTATACTCACTAGGTGCCAGGGACCTTTGTTTCTGGGCCGTTTTAAGGGTAAGGGTGGGCCTCCCGGCTAGTGTCAAGTGAAGCTGCTCTTGAAGCATCGTCACTTGGCTTCAAACAGCCGTCTCATTAGTTCTAATCGATCAAGCTACCGCTGGAGCATTACCGCTTCAGATCTTGTATCTGCGCTTGAGACTCGGGAAGTTGTGGGTCTTTGCCTGTCATGTCTTCACCTGAATTTTAGTGCGAAGTAAAAGTATGCAATGAAAAGCGGAGTACTCACCTCGCGACTGTGGATGCGGTATGCCCTTCTCACCAGAGGGTGCTGACTGACCGGCGACGCTCATCGTTGAGGCAAACTGCGCTTGCTCGGAGGGTTCACGAGAGTGATACGATAGGAACATGAACCATTCAGCTTGATCCTCCAGTCACGTCCTATAAGGCCAGTCGTGGGCAACCACATGCCTGCTCCTGACCTTACAGTCGGACATGCAGTGCTCAGGTGCGACCAGCACACCTCGCCCTCGTTGTCCGCGTAGAACAGCAATAGGCAAGGAGGAGAGGCTTCTTGGGGAAGCGGTTGAACAAAGCGGCGGTACAGTCAACAGCACCCTGGAGCCTGGCAATTAACGATCGTGATACCGGTATCTGTCTTGCGTAGCGCAGCGCACTCATGTTGATGAATGATGTCAATGCAAAAATGGAAGTCTAGGACCCTAGAAAGGAGCGGTACCTGGTGGGAGGTATTTGAATAGCAGGCATACGAACACGACTCTGCCTCACGTTCACAGTGACAAGACTCTCTAGATTAATAGCGAGACACGAAATCAACTGCTAACCACTGACGGGAGAACTTAGCATGTAAATGCATGTTGCTCCACCCAAAGGCTAGTGCCAAATAATACCTTGTCGTAAGTAGATGTGTAGTTTTGGGACGAAGCCAAAACGCACACCATATTCGATTTTATATTGCGAAGAAGCTTGAGAAGAGTCCACGAGACGTTTTGAGTTCTCGTAGTGAGCGGCTTCGAAGAGGTGACACCTCACTGAGTCACTAGTACTGGTAGCACGAACCAGGGCGAGCAGTGAGCGTTAGAACAACGTTCACACGAGTTTTTTCAAAAGCAAGAGTAGCATGCGGTGTTTGCGAGTCATGACGCTGTTAGGATTACCATGAGCACGACTGTAACAGAAATAGGAATCGGAAGAAAGGCCCATTTAAACAATTTCGGAGACTCAGGCGCAACCAGGGCTCGAACTCGGGTTTTGAGAATTTAATCCCAAAGAGGAAAAACAGAACTCAGCAGAGGCGGTAACCACTATACTATGGCAACATCGTCCACGCAGGCAAACAACCAACCGGTCAACTCCTTCATAAACCCCAACAGAGCTTAAGGCTAACCTACAACTCGGTGGGTGCCTTCAGCCACAATATAGGACGAACTGCATGAAAACGAATCGTGAAGCAAACAAGCTTTCTGCATTGTCATGCTATTCGGGCTGTTCAACGGTATTACAGCCCAACTTCGAGCATTCAATGAGTCTTCTCCCGAGCCTGTAGACTTCGCATGCTGCTCGTGGCCTACGCCGCCGAAGCGTATGTCGTGGCACTATCCACAGTAAGCATTTTGCAGTCCTACGGCTATCACAACGTCAGATTGACAGCTAGCTCGTACGGCGAGCTGCTGAACGGGGACAACTCCGATCATAGGTTATTCGTTCACGGATAGCTTTTGCTTCATCGGGTATGCAGCCGTACGCCACAAACGACATCGAAGCAGCAACGCATAAAGTCGACCCTGTGGAAGTGTACTTGCTGTGCGAAAATATCGAGCCGGGTTTCTACGATCGAGCCGCGGCCGAGGCGGACGCGAATGTTTCGGGTATGGAGGAGGCCGTGAGAGGCGGAGAAAGCAACATAACCATAACTTAGAGGCGAAGAGGGGCGGCACATGTTCCGAGTGTACGGGAAGAGCCAATCGAGATCTTTGTGGACGCTGCAATCGGTGTTTCCGCCCTCCGACATACGAGATCTCCGCGGGTATATAGCCTGCCTGGCGAGATGTTCGCCTCTTCGCCTCTCTGATCTCCTGTTTGCCTGTGATGCGAGTCCCGCCAGTCGCCGACCATTTGCTTCTTTCAAAGAAAAGCGATGTGGTGCAATGGGCGTCGGCGGCAGCGGAAGTTGCGAAGGAAGCTGGTGCGTTCCCTTATTTTCTCCATAATTCCCAAGCACATGTACCAATATTAGCGGCATAGACATCTTCATGAACTTGCTTTTCTGTCTTTTCGGTATCTACGTCTGGGAGATCTTTCGGACGTCCGACTTTGAGTGGTCCTTGATATCTCGCGCTCGCAAGTTTTCTTGGCCCTTAGTGAGTGGCGCCCTGCTCTCTGCGCCACTACGCTACTAATCGTGGGTCAGGGTGAGTTGACAGCAACAGCATGAGATACAAGCTGCGACTTACGATGATAAGTATTCTTCTTCCTGTGCAGATATTGCATGCTATTCGCCTTGATCGGGATGTGAGCCTCGCCTGTTGTCTCAGCTGTCTGCATCACTTATGATCCCGCAGGATCCTAACCGATCAAGTGACAACGCCTGTGTGTAGACTTCAGCATATTATCGTTACTGTACCAGCTCTTACACTTACTCAGTTCAACTGTAACGCACTATACACCTTCAATTTCGTACGTCCCTTCTCTTCGCCGTCGCACGTTTCTGACTTCCCCGCAGTGGGCTGGCAATATGGCAATCCTCTGCGCCTCCACATCGCTTATGATCCGCACGTCAGCACTATTCCTTTCTCTACATAGCTCGCGCTCACAGTTTTCCAGCGTTGCCCTCTGGAACAAGAACCGTCTCGTCATTTTGTTGCTCGCTACGCTTGGATGTGCACACTGGGCGATCCTGTGGCGGGGCATGTTCGTCCTCAAATCAACCTATTCGTCCGACGCTAAAGGCTGTGTCATCATCTCGACAAATCATATTTTCCTCAACGTCAGCTACTTCATGAGCACGTTCCATCTCGCTAGTTGTCTCTCCACCATGCTGATGCCGGTTATTCGCCAGCTATGGGTGTCAACTTTGCAGTACTGCTGCTGACAGTGATGGCTCTCGCTCGCAAGAGGCTGCACTCGCATCTGTGGAAGCTGCTCTTCCAGGACGGCCTCGTGAATTTCTCTGTGACGTTCGTCTGCAATGCTGCACCTGCTGTATGTACACCATCAGGTCCTTCGGGAGGCTAACGGCTGACATAGGACTCACTGTAGATCCTAAACATTTTGAACCTGGACGGTGCGTGCCTGTAGACCTTGCATGGGAGATATAACTGATATCAACGGTATCTCCAGCTGTAATGAACGTGTAAGCATTGAGCACTATATGCGCACCCCGGAGTGATCGCGTCTGACCTTGAACATGCAGCATTGCAACCGTCCCAGCTGCGACAATCTCGTACGACCACTTCCTTCCGTCCCCGACTGTAACTTACCAACATGATCATGCACAGCACCATCGCTGCATGCCGCCTCGTCATGCGCCTCCATAACTACAAAGCCTCGGGTGACTTGTACATCCATACTACGACGATGCTTACCGGAGACAAACACATACACTACGCTGGCGGGAGGCCCAGCCAAGCTGTGGACACCCGCCCGACGCCCGAGGTGCACGTCACGACGACCACAATCACTGTTGGGGACTTCCCGTGCGTCCTTCCCCTGCGCACAAGATCACCTTCCGCTGACTGCGTGCCCAGCGCCGTGCCACAGAAAGCGAAAGCGATGCGCTCGTCGAGTAGACTGAGCATTGGCCTCGAGTCCGTGCTCGGTTCCGAAAAGTAAGGACACCGCGCCATATGCGAACGGCAACGCCGACGCGGAGCTACTGCAACAGGGTGCTGCCACGGAGCACATAGCAGAACCAATTGACTTCATGCACAGCCTTGGTGCGCCGGCGCAAGCCGGCAGCCGAGGCGGATGGTGGACAGGTGGACGTACCCTATGCCTTCATAATTACCGACCATGCTTTCTTGCGCGCAATCTGCGCCAAGGCGATGCTGACGAACAGGACTGGTCTAGTTTTTTTATGGACAAACTCGCATCCGAGATCAGAGGACGCTTTTCGCTCCTTTCACATGGATGTGAGCCTTGGAGAAATTGTAGATAGTGAAGGCATGAAACGTACATTACAGTCGTGAAAGACCCTAAACGAGATGAAATAAAGAGACACGATAATAAAAAACCCTTCTAGCTAGCTAATCATCTCCTGCGGTGCGAGCGACCCGACCGCCGTTTCGCGACGGGCAGGCCCTGACGGTTCGTCTTGCTTGACTTGGCACGCACAGTGAGACCCTTGGATTTACGCCACTCTTCTCTGCGCGAGCTTCGAGGGCCGTGTGTCGATATGCGTTTTGAGTCTGTGCTCTCAGGTGATGCGGCGCCGTCGACTTCCATGCCTTCGCTTGCAGACACAGTGCGGGCATAATATGAAATAGAAGGATTCAGCCGTGAGATGGGTGTAAGAAAGAGGGTAAATTTGGAGCAAACCTTGCGGCTGCATAGCGGTCTCTGCCTGGGATTCATCTGCAGCAGAGAAGTGACGGATGAGCAGGTTGCTCGCAAGATGGACGATATGGGAAGTCCTGAGCTCGGGGACTCTATTCTTCTCCTACTGCAGCCCCTTTTTCCTCCTCCCCTCAACTTTCCTCTTGCGCCCTGAATATGCATGCAAGAGCCTCGGGCGTGATGTCCTCGTGGTCGAGCATGCCGAGCCAGAAATTCCAATACGAACCTCGGCGCGCAGCCTCGTCGTGTATCTCTTCCCCCTCCGCATCTTCCAGGGGGACGTCGCCATCGGTGTCCGTGCTCGCTATCCCGTGCAGCTTTTGGTGCAGACGGGCAAGCCGCGCCGCCTCGGTTGCAGCATAGACACCCTGCTCGCGCTTCTTGGCGCGGAAGCTGCGCTTTACTTTTGAGCGTATCGATTTTGCCATGTTATCTGTGTTGTGGTTGTGAGCTGGTGCGTGCGATGTGGTGGGGATGCGGGGGGCTGGATGTGCGTGCGAAGGCGAGCGGAAATCCTAAAAACTGAGTGATGCGGAGCCGAGCTGATGCGGTAGCACAGCTTACTGTATAAGGCAGGTGTATCGGTTGACTGACCTTGACTCGGGCAGGAACACCTGCGCACGCAGTCACTCCGTATATCCACAGCGATGACACCACCTGAGCTAGATCGCTAGCTGTGCCCGCGCACTGCCTCGGGAATTCACTAGAACTCCAGATATCCAGATTGCGACGCGCAGCTCCATGCATACCGTCGTGGACGGGTCCCCTGTGAAAGATCTTTGGCTTTATTCACCGAGCAGCTCTGTCTTGAACTTTCCAGTACTTTACAATCAACATGTCGACGGCATACAGTCTCCTTGTACAATCAGTCCGAGTAGCGAGTCTACTTCCCCTCCTGCACCAACGCCAACAGACTGAAACCCACGTTATCCTCTCTGTGGAGGTACGTGCGCACGGCCTCCAGTGCAGGCCCGCTCAGCATGTCTCCTCCCTCCTGCAGCTTCACGCCAAGGTCAATCGGACCCTTGCGATCGCCGTCGAGAAGGTACAGGTTCCCGGTCTTGCTCGACGTCACGAAGGCGATGTAGTGGTGCTCCACTTCGTCGTCCGCGTGCTCCGGCGGCGCGGTGTCGCCTTTCATCGCCGCAGTAGTGTGGATCTTCTCGAGCTCCGGCGAGCCTTCGAGGACGAGAGCGCGATCAGTCGGCCCCAGAGGAATGGCCTTCTCGAGAAGGCCTGCCATGACAGAGCTCGATTCTGCAGTGCATCGTGATCAGTGCATTGTATGAAACCAGATCTGAGGACCAGCACTCACGGATATGCTGTCTCGCAGGCCCGTTGCAGATAGAGTGCAGGATGCCATAAAGCCCACAAGCATTGTAGATCGTCTGCTTCCACCAGACGATTGGCTCATCCTCGCCCTTGCCAGTGTACGCCTCTCTTCCCGCCTCGTCTTCCTTCTTCTGGCTCTGGTACGTGGGCGTGGTGGGGAACACCAGCACGAGCGCGAACGCGGGCCGTGGTGTCATCGCGAGGATCTCGGGCTCGTCGATGGACAGCACGTCCGCCCAGACGAGCGACGAGGACACACCCAGCCCGTGGGTCACTTCGGTGAACACCTCCGGGTGTGACTCAAGCGGATAGAATGATTTGCGGTGAACCCTCTTTCCCTCTTCCGACATAGTGTTGTATAGCGTTGAACGAGAGAGATGTTGCCACTCGGGCTAATATTGACCGCTCTGCGACGGTGGTGGTCAATGTGCGAGACGCGGGCTTACGCGTCCGCCTCTTTATACCGCGAGAGTCACAGAGATCGCTTTACAATCGATAGGCGACGTGATAGCGGTCACAGCGATCACGAGCGAGTAAGCACGGCAGGCAACAGAAGACCATATTCTGCTGCGTGTTGATATTCAGAAGGTCTAGACAAGGAAAACTCACGGGGTCGGCAGCTCAGCCTCTTATGAGCACCGCACTTACAGGACCACGACGTCCGAAGCGCGTTTATTCATGCACCAGCACACACGTTCGAATTGAAGGCAAATAACGAATTTGACGATAGATGAGAGCGAAAAGGTCTATGGAAATCTGACAGCATTACGAAGCGGACGTCGACGTTCTGCCAAAGCCGACAGAAGTTTCGAGCCCGCCGGTGGTAAGGTCCACGGGAAGCAGTGCCAGAGTCTTCTACATGTTGAGGGGTGTCCTAGGCAATAGACGGCCATTCGAGGAGACAGCGACGCGGACGCGTCTCACCAACTAACGCCACAACTACCTGGGAGTAAAACACGTTTAGGATTGTGCCAAGTATAGAACCAGAATAGGAACGTACCTATCGCGGCTGCTGCTGTCGCTGCTCCCTGTCTCTCCTGATGTGAGCCTGTATCCGCTCCTCCTCTTCTTCCAAGATCTCCAACCCTGGTTTGCCGGCATCCTCCGTACCATACAGCGCGTGCATGACCCTTGTTTCGCGCGTGCTCTTCGCGCGGCTCCAGCTCTCCCTCTCGCTCTGCTGTTGCTGCTGCCTCACGGAGGAATACACGCTCTTGCCCTCGCCCATCTTCGGGAGCGTCCGCCGCTCCAGGAGCTCCGACCGCAGGTCCTTCAGCAGCGTCTCGCGCTCGGCCGACATGGCACTGCGCTGCGGCCTGTACACGAATACCTCGTCGATCTGCGCCGAGAGGTTTTCGGGCGTGATGAAGTTCTCCGCCTGATGGTACAGCGAGATGAGAGCGCGCATCTTGGCTGGCGGGAGCGTCGTGTGCGATGGGATGTCCGTAGAGCTGGGTTTTGGTGCCTTCGGGATCACTTTTGTCGAGACATGGCGGCGAGCAGACCCCACCCGCCGAGCAGCGGAGCGCAGGGTGCTGGACAACATTGCGGGCCTAGTGAAGTGGGTTAGACGCCCACGTGGCAGGTTTGGTGAATTATTATTATTTGCTAAACCCGAGATCCGCAAGATATCCAACCGCTTCACTTCCTCGCTCAAACGGGTGGTAAGATGCACAGCAGGATAGAAATGCTACAGTAGGAAAAGGACAGCTGACAACGTATCGTACGGTGGCGAATCCTGTCTCACTGACGATCCAAGCGCTCCCGCTCAATTCCTTGCCCTTCTACCACCCTGTCCATCGCGTCTAACCACACTAGAACATCCATACCTTCCCCCCTCTGCCGCGCTCTTCCTGAGATATCATTCATGTGTGGACTGAGAGATTTCGGAGGGAGCATGGCCATGGTGCCGATGAACTTCGCATGCGCAAGCACAGGTAGACGGCGCAACGATCGGCCAGACATACCCTGATTCTGGAAACACGCAGGTTGATAAACAATTCTTGCACCATGGGATGCTCATATCATAGCAATCTCCTACCTTGCATTTCTCCGCCAGGTTAAGCAATCTTAAGGCGACATATTTCGACTGCTCTCGCTGCTCGCTGCTACTTGGCGCGGGAGCGGGTGTATCTGAAACCGGCTCGCATCCGGGAGGTGCCAACAGAGGCAGGCCATTGGCGGTAGTGGTAGCTGGAGTCCTGACTGTTGGCGGAAATGAAGAGGTTCGTTCGTAGAGTACAGCCCGTGTCAAGCTTGGAACATCCTGGCACGGAAGGAGGGTCAGCAAAAGGAGTGAAGTGCGGATGATAACGGGCTGACAATGTTGCTAACGATGCCTTTCGCCACGAGCTCGGAGAGACAGCCTCGTAGGATCTCGTAGATGGCGTCCCGTGGAGGCAGGTCAACGTATTGGATAATATCCGCGCGATCAACGAACGCTGAGTCTGTATATGCGCGCAATCAGCGGAGAGTGACGAAGGCTTGTGGAAGAAAGAACCGTACCTATAGCTTTAGCTAGGTTACTCGTGGACATGACTAGGACATTCTTGCGATGCTTCAGCTTATCTAGCTGGGTTAGAAGAGCGTTGACTACCTGTAACAGGTCGGGAATACACCTGACAATAGTACGAGAGAGAACATACCCGGAGCGCGTCAGATGGTTCAGTGCCCGCCATAGCACCAGCTCGTGCAGATGTCAGTGACTCAACCTCATCTGCAGTCATATGCGGTTAGCATGTTCAAGGAAAACATGAGCGCTTATACCTATGAGCACGACTACAAATGTATCCTCATCTTCCACCATATCCGTAACAGTGCTGAACAGCCGTTGTACAAGCTTTCCAGATTCGGAGAACCATCGAGAAAACAGAGAATGGGAGTTGATTTCGAGTAGCCGTGAATGTGGATACCTGATCAAGTAAGTCCCGGATGTGTCAAGATTGTGCAGCAACATACCGATCGGAGAGACGAATGGAGAGCTTTTGCGCCAGAGCGCGGCATAGAGACGTTTTACCCGTCCCTGGTGGTCCATGTAGCAGAACGACTCGGTTCCAGGAAACAACGTTGACTGAAGATTGCTGGTGAAAACGCCGGCCCGTTCAATAACTGGGAACTCACAATCTACATCAGCATCGCTGAAGACTACAGTAGCGTATATGTAGTCTAGGAGTTTAGCCTTGATACCGTCAGAGTATATTAAGCTCTCCCACAAGCCTTCCCAGTTCAGGCTAGGGAGCTCGCACACACTGGCTGCCATCACCTCCTCGCCATCCGCTCGACTGCCTCCGGTTGCAAGCTCGTCAAAGGCGCCTGAGTCTGTAGGTTGATAAACATGTATCTGCAGCGAGATCTGCTCTATTGGCAGAGACGGAGATGGACATGGCGACTCCGATGCGCGTATGCGGTCGACAGAAGAAGACAGCAGAGGAACGTCTTCCCAGCCTTGCAGCACTGAGGGTAGGTATATGTGCGAGAATGATGATGTTATGTACTGGTGCACGTAGTTGCGTATTGTGTCGAATCGCGCTGTTGCAGTCTGTTTCACGCGAACTTCGACTACAGGATGAAGTCAGCGAGGAGTTTTCTCGTGTCGGAATAAGATAGCTCACCGTGCACGGGCCAGTGAGCCTGCTGAGATTCCACGCTGGTCATGCTGACATCGTGTGCGTTATCCATAGATCTCAACGGCAAGCGCGCTGTTAATTGCTGGGGCGATGTTGAGGAAGGACAAGGACAAACACGTTAATATCTGAGCCGCGCGGGGATGCTGACCCTAACCCCAATGACGCGTCGCATGTTTGTTGCGTGGCGTGACCGTGTCAAAGAGCAATCGTAAGCACACCGGGGCATCACCTCGGACGTCGTTTCGTACTCTCTGCCTGCCTGCGTTCAAGGTCGTCATGTCGAGCAGTCAAGAGTGCGTTGAATGTCGCCAAGACAACGTCGATGCACCGCACCAACAGCCTGCCGAAGCAAAAGCTGAACAGGCTCCGCAGAATGCCACGAGCGATGTGGTGGTAGACCCCCTGAATCCTGCGACTTTCATTCCTCCAGCACCTCTAACAACTCCCAGCATCACGATAGAGTTTTGCGATAGGGTAAGTACTACTCCTTGAGACGCAGGAATCCAGGAAATCTCATCTCTTTAACAGTGCCGATGGTATATCTTACGCCTTGCCGGGTTCCGTTAACCTTAGCTCACTGTGTCCTGTAGGCAACATCGTGCAACATGGGTGTCGACAGAGCTTATGCTTACTTTTCCTACACCGACCATTAGGGGCATCACCATGCTCCCTTTGAACTCAGAGGAGACGGGTGGTCGCTTCCGGGTGTGGCTGACGATCTCAGAAAGGCCACCAATCTTAATCTGGGACCGGAAGGTGGAGGGCGGTTTTCCAGAGCTGAGAATTTTGGTGCGTATATATTGCGTACGCGTATCTTAGAATTATTGCTGATCCTGTACCAGAAACAACGCATACGAGACCATATACAGCCAGGCAAGTCCCTGGGGCATTCAGACAAGAAGCAGGAAACGCAGGAAACGCAAGCATGAACCGCTGTCGTTAAATCTTTGTGTATCATATGATTAAGGCGCTTTATCGTACGTTCTTCTTGCACGAACCTCACCAGTCTTCCTCGAGCTGTGACGCCTGGCCGGCTAGATCTTCTCCCGGATACTCCGTTTATATCTACATGTCGACTAGCCTACCGTTTAAGTTATGTCGCCATGCAAGCTCATCCATGGGCCACGGGCGTTCTTTGTTCTCACAGAATCCATCGACAGTTCGCTTCCTGGAACGCAGGGAAGTTCGCGCCTAACGCACGCTAATCTGCCGGCAGACGCCTGGCTTTGTTCTTTAGGAAGGGCTCTGGAACGGAAATTACGTCTGGCATCATGAACCATGTTCCTCGGGACGGTGAACGATACAATCTCCGTGGTCGCAGGAGCCTCTGGAGGCTCTTGGCCTTCGTGAGGCGGTTTCTTACGATCCCCCACCACCTCTCCTGATCCTCGGCTGTCTCGGTTAGAAATGGATCACGAGGCACAATTATCTACCGTACCTCGAGAGCCTCCAGTTGGTGAGTCGCGCCACAGCATACTTTACGACCATCTCTAACGGCGACTGCACGCAACGCAGCTCTGCCAAAACACGATCCAGAAATCCCCGGTGATGCTTCAGCTTTCTACACATTCGAGAGGTAAAGTCCGCACTAAGTGCGGTCTACACAAGCTGACGCTGGTTCTAGGCAAATAATAGATTTAGACCGTGAAGTGCGACGATATTTCTGCACCTCCTCGGGGCTCTGAACTTATCCATGCTATCACTTCAGCTTCGCCAGCTGTCAAACGCAACTAGACAACTTGGTAGCTCTGTGGGCATACTATCCGCGTCATTCCGCCTGTGTGAACGTCTTGGCCGGGTTCTTTTCCTATTTCGCGAGAACGCGGTCGAGTTGTTCCCTAATAGGGTTCGGAGGCAAAGACGCGAACTTCAAGTCGACCGCTACTGGAACTTCAAGCGTCAACGTCGATATCGACGACGCAGTCGGCTACTCAGCCTTGTATCCAGGTTGAGCAATGGCCAAGATCAGCCTACCGCTCGTGATCTTCCAAATGAATTGAGCGCTCTGGCTAGGGACATCGCCGCTTTGCTAGACTGTTTCAGCCAGTATCCCGAATTCCTCGATGAAGTTCCGGAGCAAACATTGGAGGAGGACATCAAGGGCTGGGCGAGCTATTTGACTTATTTCACCGGTACGACCATCTGTTATTGGCCATGCCTCATATTTACCGTCATATAGATGATATTGAGACCGCAGCCGTTCGCAGATACGTTCACGACCTCTCTGTTATGCTTGGTCATCGGCTCCAGCGAATCAGCGACTTCACTCCCCGGTTCATCAGAGTTGGTTCGTACCACCCATCAGCTACTACAGTGTCATTCATGACAAGTGCACTCACAGGAATACCCACTATACGTGCCGCGCAGAAGGGGTCCGCAATAAACCTGATTAACCTGTCCACCGTTGCTACGCTATTCTCGGGCGTCACAGCCACCGTGCTCCAGTTTTCGTACTCCAACAACCACGGCATTATGGCAGAAGCGGTCAACGGCTTCTGGTTCACCTCCCTGGTCTTCAGCATCAGCGCTGCCGTCAACAGTCTCCTCGGCCTGACGTGGGTGAAAGCTGTTTTGTACGTCTGAACATGGACCCCTCCCTCTCTTGCGCATTTCCTTAGAAAGATATCTCATCCGGGTTTATAGCCGTTCACCAGATCATCGGGTGCCCTGGTGGGTCCTGATGTGGATCGAGCGCTCACCAATGGTGTTTCTTGTGTTGTCCGTGGCCTGTTTTTTTCTAGGCCTTATCCTATTCGCATACTCTTCTCAGCAGGTATTCGTCCTCCTATCAGCTATCTTGGACCAACTAACAGAGGGTGGCACCAGAGTCCGGTGACGTCAATGCTTACGGCGGTGCTCTCCGCCGCCTGCTGTTTCGGACTAGCAGCGATATCCACCTGGATCGCGTTTGAACGTTGGGTATTCAATTGGCACGACGGCAACAAATTGCTTTCCGATGTTCTAGCAGAGACTGCCAAAGGGATCCTCAATGTCAGGATCATTGCATGGACCTTGGATCGGTGCCGTCGCGTGGAACCATTCAAGATGCGCCTCGCGCCGCGAAGTGCGCCTATCATACAAACCATTAAGAGAGCCCTCTCCAGCGTCCTGTACACTACAGAGGTGGTTGTAGACGTAGGAAGTGTCATCAGCCACAGCGCTGTCTCGAGTTACCCAGTGGAGTCCGCTAGGTCCGACCTCGAAGCGCAGAACGTCCAAGAGAGCATTACGTCGGAGCAGCCGGGTCATCTGCGTCTCACAGGGAAGGAGCGCTTTCGAAGGCTTGTTTACCGCGCAATGGCGGAACAACGATCGAATCTTACAGGCTCTCTACGTTCGCGTACAGGCATACGGCCCAGTCATCGGAACTCAAGACGTCATCATACAGAATTATCGGATATCAACACTACTGTCCCTAGCGGCATCGTTAGTACCCTGGTGCCGAAGCTCAAGAACTTTGAGGTCGCGCAGAAGCTAGACGTCCATATGGGACTGGTCAGAGATTTGCAATTCTCTCCGGATGGGAAACATCTCGCCACAACTAGGTAAGTCAACCTTGCACATAATGAACCTTTCGCTCACCAATTGGTTACACAGCTGGGACAAGAAAATCTTAGTGCTGAACGTCATGGTGTGTGTCCACTTTCGTCAGCCCAACGGCTAGCCATGACGGGTATATCAGGACGATTTTTCGACCGGAGAACCTCTATCCCACCCCGCAGGCTTTGTCGGCCAATTAGAGTGGTATGCGACATCTATCCTATCCCAACTGCATCCACTGATAGCCGAGAAGGTCTCCTTGTGGGACAATGTTTCTCACGAAGGCTAATGAGACAATACGTATATGGGCGAGAACAGAAGTGAGAGCTCTCCTGCAAACCGTGCCCCTTAGCACTTGTTCACGAGCGAATCAGACCGGCAACTACGAGAAACACTTTTCCATAGTGCGAAGCACGAGTGTAAACGCTATTCGGTGGCTTCCTGGTAGCAATGGTATCGTTGTTCACCTTAGCCTCTATATCACCTACTAATCACATCTATCATCTAGCCATTCTGTCTGTCGAACGCGACAATGTTGTGAAAATGGTAAGCATCCAAACTTGCTCACAACTGCGTCTACTGAACGTGAGCAGGACCTGGGAGGCACAGTTAGTCCGACTCAGTTCACGTTTGAAGTCGTTGCTGACCCACCTCAGCTCATCAATCGGTATACTATGAAAAATATGGCATTGAGCGATGTTGCTATCACTCAGGATGGGCAATGGATGCTATGCGTGGGGACCGTGCTGGCCGATTCAAAGAATTCCGAGGAGGGAAGTGGAAACAACCAGATTGTTCGTAAGTTGATGCTCTAGCAAATGATACTATACCAAACAATTGAAGCGAGCCATAGTCTACAACATGACGGCGCGCACAGTCGAAAAGTAGGTTGTCATCTGCCCTTGTCTGATCACCTTGCTAATAATTGCGCTCCAGGCGAGCTCCGTTATTTGTCGATGCTTCAGACATAGCCATTGCGTCAAACGATCAGTCTGTGCTTGTGAGCTTTGAGGCCAAGGTACGTGCATGATTCTGAGCAAGGATGCAGTAACTCATTGTGTACATCAGGCCCCACCACAGCTGTGGAAGCTGCAGCTCGAAAATTCGTCTGCGCCGCTCGTACTCCGTCACTCGTTTGTTGCACCTATGCGATCTGATTTTGCAGCGCTGGCCAGTATATTCGGAGGCGAGAACGATGGATTTGTGTTACGCGCAGAGACTGGTAAGCGTTCAAGCACATTGATCGGCTCAGTAGGACTGATGAGGGTCAGCTGGACATATACACGTCTACGACCGGGATACCGCGACTTTACTACATATCATTCGCGCGCCGAGTCCAATCAGTCAAGTGACATCTCTTGCATGGAACACTTCAGCGAACTCCTTAATGTTCGCCACGGGTAGCCTTGATGGTGCTGTTCGGATATGGACGGCAACCTCACATGAGCCAAAGTCCCCCGAGTCAGCCTCTCCGTGGCGCACGCCTTCTACACCTGTCCTGGACCAGTACCCTGCTACCTTCTTCCCGTCAAATTTCAGCTCCAGGCGCCGTGGATCATCTTTGTGTTTTGGCTATCGTTCGGAAAGTCCCATCATGGAACCTATGGAAGAACTTGGGTCTTCCATGTTCTTCGATGAGCCTAGCCCGCACACACCCTCGCGGACAGTTCAAAGACCCACGACCATGTCCTAGGTTTGGATGTATGACGAGATGAAGACTATGAAATGAGTGGCATGAGGCTATGTTACACTAGCGTGACGCTGATGTTTGCGACTTGTCGCAAATTGGTGCGCCGGTCGACTTGTGACTGAGCTGAGGTAAGGCATGCAAGCAACGTAGATACATCTGCTGATGGAATTTGGAATATCCATCACCTAGATTTTGAAACTGTCACGGAAGGCACGTTCTGCCCTCGGGCTGTCCAACAAGGGTCCTGTTGCTTCCATTCCAACAAGTATCCTATATGAGCATATCGCACCAATCCCGAAAGGTCTGCTAAACCCGCATCGAAGTACTGGATTGTTAAGTTTTGTTCGACCGTAACACATCATGCTCTCCGTTTACCCTCCCCCAATCTTTCTCATAGCCATGGGCAGCTAGAAGGCGGTGCTTCTAGGCCGCGCCTTTACGTTGTGGCTAAGGCCTCTTTATAAGTCCCACACAGCAGACCCGGAGCTCCCGCGAAAACGCATTCGCTGCTTCACGCCGACATGACTGAAAGCTTCGCCCAATCACTATCCGAAAGCGACCGGCAGAGATCTAGTGGGTGCCGGCCAACTAATCTGTCCCGCTTCAGCGCTGATGAACAATCGTTGAGCAGCGGATGACTTTATCTTTGGCGGTGACTATGACCATAGTGTCATGATACGGCAATGCCTAGAACAGTAAGCACTTCCCAACGACTCCTGCCAGGAGACTTTCTGATTTACAATATAGAGCGATTGCTAATATAGTGCAAGAGCAGGTACGATCGGCGATGGCCTTGCTGACGAACTTTGCCGTGGTTGATGTCGTCGGATTTTAGCTGCAGAAATTATCCCTTGATCCCCAACATCGTCGGCAAAAACTCCCGTCCAAAGGGAAAGGGCAACATGGTGAGTCGATCATGCCGTTGACATCTGCATATACCACTTCAACACCCTGACTTGGAGAAGGAGAGAAAGGCTATCACCCAGGAGAAGCCTTTGAAGTGTTCGAGGAGTGAGTCATCATCCTACCCAACGGGACTAGTCTTCACCTAACTGTTGACCTAGACAGATACGACGTCTCGATTATCAGGTGCGAAACCATTGCTAGTGGTCTTGGACTGAGTCAGCTGATGCGTAGTAGCTGCGCGAACTCTCCAACAAGACTCGCAAGCTGGGAAGCTCAGTCGGTATTCTCTCTGCGTCTTCTCGTTTACGAGAGCGATTGGGACGTGTTCTACATCTCTTCCGGGAGAACGCTGCCGGCCTGTTCCCACAAATCGTGCACAAAAAGTCATTTGAACCATCTGTCTTTCGTCGTTTGGCCTCCGAAAGACATAGATTTTTTGGTTCCTTGAATCTCGCCGCTCATGCGGCCGATCTAGTGCCTAAGGACTTCGCCCTCGAGCTCCAGCTATTCTCCCAGGACGTCTCGACCTTGCTAGAGTGTTTCAGCCAGTTTCCGGAATTTCTTGACGAGATTCCGAACCGGTCCCTCAGCGGGGATCTCACTGTACGTTATTATATCGATCCATGCTTCAGAGCTGACTCAGGACGTTGATTAGTACTGGGCTAAATCGTTGGACGACCTAGAAGGTAATTGGAAGCCCCATGATGCGGACTACGAGACTCACGCGAGTTCCTAGGGGACCTGAAGAGCCATGCAGTGCAAGCCTACTTGTACGATTCGATGACAGACATTGGCGAACGCCTAGATCGCATTACGGACAAGTTCATCCCCGCGTTTATTTCTATCGGTGAGTAAGAAGCGTCTCGATCAGATGCCTTAATGACTAACTCAGCATACATTTTAAAGGTATTCCGACCATTCGAGCATCACAGGACCATTCTGGCGATAACTTGGTCAATCTGTCTGCTGTCGCTACATTCTTTGCCGGGGTCACGGCCACGATGCTCCAGATTACATGGAACTTTACCCCACGAAGCAGACTTTCTGATTCCGTGAATGCCTTCTGGTTCATTGCTGTCATTTTCAGTGTCAGCTCTGCCGTAAACAGTCTGCTGGGACTGACCTGGTCGGAGGCAATATTGTGAGTGCTAGGAATTAGTTTTCTCTACTCTTCAGAGCCGTTGACGCGGCTCACAGCCGATCGCCAGACCACCTCGTCCCATGGTGGGTTTTGATCTGGGTGAAACGTTCTCCGATTGCGTTTTTGGTGCTGTCCGTAGCATGTTTCTTCGTTGGTCTGGTGCAGTTCTCCTATTTGTCTGACCAGGTAAGGCGGCCGGGGGATGATGATGCCAATCGACACAGCTGAGTGCCCTCTGGTCTTATAGGCAAATACCACACGCGTCTTCACGATCTTGCTTTCAGCCCTTTCCTGCTTTGGTCTAGTGGCCATGTCTACTTGGTTCGCTTGCGAGTGGTGGATCTACAGTCGATATGGTGGACACCTATGGTTGGCTGATATCCTAAACCACTTCAAACGGAAGGTCAAGGGCATGGTGTTGCATGTGTGGCGCCATATTCATCCTCGAAACATTTGGAATCACGGGAAGTACCTTGTGTTGGGAGAAGGTGCGCGTACAACTTTGTTTCCTTCCTGGATTTTATCAAACAAAGAGCGTGGCTTCCGTTCTAGTAGACCATGATATCGAGAAGACCGGAACGACAATGAGTACTAGGATCGGACTTCACAGCCGGACTACAATGCAACATGAGGCGAAAGATTCATTCTGGCTGGGGCTCGACAAGGAATCAATGACGAAAGAAGAGATTGCTACATACCGCTGGCAAGAAGCTCTCCGACGCATCCGCGTTCAGAGACTCCAAGAGCGCACAACGAAGGGCGAAAGGCTCACGATAATCACTGACAATAATGTGCATATCAGTAACATTATGGACACCGTGAACGTCACGAAGCTAGAGCGGATGACTATTTCCCATGAACTGCAATCAAAGGAGGCCCATGAAGCGGTCGTTCATTTTCTCCAGTTCTCGCCGGATGGTAAATCTCTTGTAACGTCGAGGTACCACCCCCACTATCTCATCATCGAGCGAGGCTAATCCTCTTTCCAGTTTAGACAGGAAGTCATTCATCCTTAGCGTTGCAGTACGTTGTGATCGCACGAATTTGCAAGATTCTGACGACTTGTTCGCAGGATAATGATTTTCGACGCGAGGCAATTCTGAACCATCCTACAGGTTCTGGTATTGTCCATCAGCTGGAATGGTGAGTCGCTCTCAAGTCCCCTGGCGAGACTATTACCCACTCTCGCGACCAGGGCACCGATCGGCATACAATCATTGCTTATGCGACGCAGTCGTACTGTCTCGCTCTGGGATTCAGTACGTCTTGATTGTATGTCATACTACAATTATGCTAAGTGGACCTAGACTGGGAAATGCCTGTGGGAAGCCCCACGACCGGGCAACCGCAGCATCCGCTCTGTGAGATGGTGTGGCTCGGGGGATGGTGAGGGCCCTATCTATGGAAAAAGTCTTGATTTCTGACAACAGCAATACCTCACAGGGGCGAAGTGTCTATCCGTTGAAGGAAACAAAGTGGCAATAATAGTAAGTGCGACAGCCGTGTTGCACGGCAATAGGTTGATTGAATAACACTCAGAATCCCGATGGTAAGGTACGAGTGCTTGTTATACCGTGTCTGAGAATAAAATGAATTGGCTGTCATTCAGGAATATGCGGTCCACCAGATAGAGGACCTGCAGGTCAGGGACATCGCGATCACGAAAGATTCAAAGTGGATGCTCTGCGTTGGAAGGTACCAGGGCGAGGACGCATCGCTCGCCAACCAAAAGCAGAAGCACGAGATTGTCTGTACGTACGCGTTATGGCACATACCCCTTCTCGCCGTCTAATATTCGCGCCAGTGTACAGCTTTGCCAGATCCAAGGTAGTCAAGTGAGACCGCATCTCTGATCAATTTCCACAACACAACTAAAGAGGTCTCGTCCCGGTAGACGAGCTCGTGTGTTTCACGAGATTTGTAGCATCACCGTAGCTCGCGACAACCGCCTCGCCCTGGTCAGCTATGATAACAAGGTACCGTCAGCCGACATCATCGTTGGAGGCACGCTTACTGTCATCTAGGCCCCTCCGCAATTATGGGGGTTTCACGCTGTCACCACTAAGGGTAAAGAAGAATGGGATCTCGTTCTCAAGCACACCTACCTTCCCCGTGAACGTACTTCGTTCTCCGGCTTACCCGCGATAATGGGTGGTACTCGCGATCGCCTTGTCCTTAGGGCTGGAATTGGTGAGTGGCATTGGTAAGTACGCGCACAGCGCTTCAGCTGACGTTTCAAGTAGCTGGAGACATTCATATATGGCACCGTGATATGGGATCTTTCTTACACTGCATACAAGCACCGGAAAACTTCGGCCACCTTACGTCGTTCGCTTGGAATCGCTGGTCGGAGGACTGGATGTTCGCCACGGGGACTCACGAGGGTGCGATCCATGTTTGGAGACTATCTGAGAAAGAACCGGAGCAGATCACACGGAGCCCTACATCAACACTGAGGACCACGTCCCCCCACAGTCCCAGCTTCCCATCCCGGCCTGCGATGTTTGGGCCTAAAGCGGTTCACGCGAAGTCTCTCAGCCAGGATCGTTTCAGCCTCAGGCACCCGCGCAACGGGAGTCGGTCATCAGGCCAAACGACACTCCGACATAACACCCATAGCTCTTTCAATGGAACCGTCGATGAGGAAGACTACGGTCTGAAGGATGATGGAGACAACGACGACGACGACTAGGATATACCTACACTCGCTATCAGCAGCATGGTATTTCGCGGCTTGTAGTCGCAGTCTTTGCTTCACTAGCAAGGGCGCGAATCTTTTCACATCTTTCAATGCAGAAATTTATCGGGCTCATTGGCAGCGGGGTCCCAGAAGTGAACGTGACGCTAGAATGATCAGGCCGAGAGCGGAAGCAAAGAAGTTGCTGCTTGACCTCGCAGAACAAGGTACATGTAGGACCAACTTCAGGGAGTATGTCAACTCTAGCTACACCATACGGCGACATGACCATCCGCCCCGGCACTGACCAGCCAGGGCTGCTTCGATACCCATTTAACTTGCAGCACACCAAGTCCTTCGCGCACCTGATGGCCACGCAAGATCTTGAGCGGAACGATGAGTGGGTCCGTCATGAGGTCGTTGTACACGCGCGCATGGAAGATCTGAATCGAGCCATCATCGCTGCTCGACGCGAATAGCGGGTATGTCGGGTGGAAGTGCAGGCTGCGGATCGCGCGGCTGTGGTATCGCAAGATCTTATATGGCTTGTCTGAGAGCTCGAGGTCGAACCAACACAGCTTGCGGTCGTAGCCACCCACAATCAGGTGGTCTCCCAGTGGGTGTACGTCCATCGACGAAATCCACCTGGTACCTGGCTGCAGCGTCTTGAGTAGCTTTTGCTCAGCAAGGTTGTATATCCGAACATAACGCTGTGTCTAGCCAATACAGTCAGTCAAACGGGCACCAGAAAGGTGACGAAAGAGCTTACTGCAACGAAGAAGTGTGGCTTCGTGGGGTGGAATAGGACAAACTGCACAGCGCCTTTGACCTTTTTGAATGGTGCCTGCGAATGCCTCCGTGAAATCTGGTGAATCCAGACACCACCCTGGCCTTCGCCGCTTGCTGCGCGTGCTTGCTTCAATGACAAGTACTCGCCACGTATGTGTAGTGTACTCACCAACTGTCGCCAAGTAGTCACCCCTCCTGTGCCATGCCACCTGTTTCGGCATGCCAGAGTTGGATGGCAGGTTGATAGTAAGAATCGGTGAGTCAGATGTGGATGCTGCGGCGGAGATCGATTGCCACTTGACTGGCGATGGAGTGGTCGGAGCAGGAGGAAGTTGAGCTGGCGCAAGCGCTGCTTGTGTTGCTACAAGGACAGAGGTAGGCAAGTTGGGTGGGGTGAGGAAGTGTAGCTGCTCCTCGCTACAAATATGTCAGCTAACCCGATCCCTTGCTATAGTTAGCGATACTCACGTTGCAACAACCAGGAAACAAACGTCTATGCGAGGGCACCACTCAACTGCACCGACCTTGCCTTTGAACTTCCAGCTCTTGACGACCTTGCCAACGACAACCTCCCACACACTGACAACGCCGTTCTCATCCCCGCTCGCGGCCCATGTACCGTCGGGGCTAATGCCGACGCTGCGTGTACGGCCTTTGTCGTGTATAACCTCGAGAGACTTGTACACAGGGAACGGCTTGAGGCTGCTCGGACTGGGCAGTTTCGGGACGAGGCTGTTCGGATCGATTTGCAGCTTCGTGCGCGTAACACGCGGAGCAAGATATAGGTCGAGCTGTCTTTGGAAACGCTCCTGGATGAATTGGTTGTATGCAGGCACGAGTCGCAAGGCGGGGAACTTCTGGGGAAGGTATTCGCGCTCGCGGTCTTCCCTGTCAGTTTCTTCCCAACTTTTCTTTTCCTCTTCCGTTGGCAGATATTCCTCTGGCGGGTTGTATGACTCGGCGTGTGTCGGAAGACGAGGTTTAGGTGCCGGGAGCGGTGGGGGCTGGTTCGAAGGTTCTTCAGCCCAGATATTGAAGAACTGAGGCTTATCAGAGGCTGTCTTGGGCTTGTTGGGTATGATACGGCCTTGGCGAATTGCACGGACGATCTTCATAACCTGTTAACAACGTAAGTGCACTATACCCAAGGAGATGACAACTCGGCCTACCTTCTGCTTCTCCCACTTACTGGGTACCCAGCGACGCTTTGGCTCTGGAGCAGCGGACAACGGCATAATCTCCTCCTTTCCCTTCCCTGTGAACCACTCCACTGTAGGCTCGTAAGGATTGTAGCCGGCATCAGGATTCTCATTCTCCTGTAACCGGCGAATGAGGTCCAGTTCATCGGTCGTAAGAGGCTTGTCCATCTGGGCTTTCTCATCGAAAGCAGATGTCCTAGGATTTGTAAGGTTATTTGTTACAAAGGAAATGGGTAGGTATGAACGCACCATGTCTCTGGGTCCTCTACCGTCTTCAGGAATTTGTCGAGCTCATCTCCTCGTGCGGGACGCAGGACCTTCTTGCCATTAATATTGTACCCTATATGTGGCAGATCGTCGTACCAATGCATAGGGACATTTCCGACACGGTTGGGGATCTACGTGACGGTTCAATACGAGAGATTAGGATTATGTGCAACACGCACATCTTCGGTAGACGAGTCCGAGTCGTAGTCCGGCTCTATCGGTGGATATACTCGTTTTGGCTGACCAGTAATGCCAGAAACGACGGTTTTGGCTTTCGGGAAAGGATGAATGCTAGCGTCGGAAAATTCGTCCTCGCTCTCATCCTCGTCCTCTTCGTCTTCGTCCTCTTCATCGTCTTCGTCGCCCTCCTCTACATCAACGTCTTCTTCTTCTTCTTCCTCACTGTCACTCCTCGTGTCAATCTCGGGAAACTCGTCGACCTGCTCGCCGTCGGACTCCTGGCCCGCGTCCGCGTCCTCGTCCTCGCTCTGCATCTCCAGCCCGACACCTTGGGGGAACGCACTCTCCTCTACCACCGGCCCCGGGTGCTCTCCCTCATCCCTTGCAACCACTCGCCTTTTCTTTGACTTGTTTGCATCCAGGTTCGCCATATCGCTGTCGAGCAATGAACCAACAAATGGATGCTGAGACTCTGAAGTGGAAGATGGGCGCCTACTAAAATTCTTGCGACGCCAGATCTGATCGGGCGAAGCGAACTCACAACTTGGACGCGTCCACTCAACCTATACGATCTCGCACGAGAAATGGTCAACTACGGTGGAGGTACGACGAGTGCTTGTTGCAGCTATGCGCACAAATGATTAACAGATGTCTTGCTATGTAGACGAAGTATCTGCGCTTGTGCTCGACATCGGCACTTCTACTGTTCGTGCGGGGTATGCTGGGGACGACACGCCGAAAGCGGTCATCCCGACGTGTTATGGCCACATGGAGGAGCAGGGGGATGGAGACGTAAATATGGAGGGCGCTGAGGAAGGTGCACAAGCTCCCAAGAAGAAAACAACGCTCTACGTTGGCCAGAATGGCCCTTCGGTTTGGAGGGCCGGAATGCACATCGCTCACCCAGTACAAAATAGCCTGAGTACGTGCCTTGAATATTATGTCAATTGTTATTGGTGACCAAAGCGCTGCCCGCTCCATAGTTACCGACTTCACACCAATCCCCGCCCTCGTCTCCCATGTATTCAAGGAGGTTATGCGAACAGACCCCTCCGAACATCCCGTACTCGTAACAGAACCGGCATGGAACACTCCAGAGAATCGCGAGCGGATGGCAGAAATTATGTTTGAAGAGTTCGATGTCCCGGCATTCTATATCGCCAATACGGGCGTGCTGAACGCGTACGGTCTCCGTCCAATGTCACGTCGCCCACGCTAACGATAATACAAAGTTTCGCCGCAGGCAAGGGCTCCGCACTCGTCATTGACGTTGGCCAATCAACTGCAAGTGTCACACCTATCGTTGATGGCTTCGTCCTCCGGACAGGTGAGCTGCTCATGTACGGCAGAAGATCATTACGCTCAAACCGTTTACAGGACTCTCTTATTCCGGACTTCCTCAGCTGATTCATGCTCACTCTAAGTTCACGCTGACGACGCCACAACCTGGTCGCACCGGCATTCAACTTATTCCACACCAGTTAATCACGAACAAACAGGTGTGTGCCGCCATCCTGAGGTTCAAAACTTGTCTGATGATGAATCACATCTGATATGGTACAGCCAGTAGACCCGACCTTCCCGCCCAAGTTCGTGCTGCGCGAGGACCGTGTGCCAGGCGTCACAGACTCATGGCGATCGTGGTACGAGGCACGAGAAGTCGAAGAGTGGATCCAGAGCGTCGCTGGCGTGCTTGATCAGGGCTGGAACGACCAGTATGGCTGCATATCTCTGTCTGGAGCATAATTTCACGCCCTGTGTAGGGCAGCTGCACAGCGCGGGCCAAGGCACTACGAATTTCCGACGGGCTACAACACCTACTTCGGGCCAGAGCGCTTTAGCGTCGGCGAGCTCTACTTCTCGCATTCGCCTCAGCTTGTCGTACGTTCCACGTCACAACCAAATAATTTTTGCGTTGCATTCACAGAATATACCTAGGCTTCGAATCCGAATCTCCCAAAGACGATTCCCGCTTTAATCTCGTCAGCGCTGGGCAAATGCGACCCAGACATCCGCCAAGTCCTTCTCGGCAATATCGTACTTACTGGCGGCGGAAGCATGCTCTCTGGCTTCGCTGACCGTCTCAGCGCAGAGCTCCAGCGGAATGTCTCACATGTAAATCTTTGCACTTTCGACACCCTGAGCTAGCTTTGCTGAGAGTGCGCGACTGTCTAGGTCAAAATTCACGCGCCAGGTAATCCTTCTGAGCGTCGGTACGGCGGTTGGCTCGGGGGCAGCATCCTCGCTAGCCTGGGCACTTTCCACCAGTTGTGGATCAGCAAGGAAGAGTGGAAGGTACGCCACTTGTGCTGTCAATACCCGTCAGTGTCTGACTACTCCATTTTCTGCAGGAACACGGCAAGGCGATTGTCGGGCAGAGATGCAAATAGATAATCGCCGTTTCTAGATACCTTTGTGTCCACAATGGCATGCTCGTTCGCACACATGAAGTCTCGAGACGGAGATATTCAATTGCCTGATGAGTGTACAGGGGGTTTAAACGCAACATGAAATAATCCTACGGACGTACACCCACTACACGGCTTCATCCATTTTGCGTGGTGGTGCAGTCCCCTACGAGGGGTGGAGGGTGGTTTCCTTTGATGACCGGGGGAGAGGCGGGAAGCGCTGCTTCCGCGATTCCCTGCGCCAAACCGTCGCCCAGCACAGACCCGCCAGCAACTGCTCTTGCCATTCCCATCTCCTATCGACCGAGATCCACAGACGCACAGACTACCGGAAGAGATAAGATCATAACACGCTCGAGCCAAAGAATGGCAGATAAAAGGGGAGAAGGAGAGGAAGCGACGGCGACCGCTCTGAGGTACAGTGCAAGCGTCCGGATCAGAGATGCGCTCGTCAATAATTAAGTTGAAAGGAAAGGTTGGAGAAAACCGCGCGATGACAAATCGAGCGGACACCAAAATGCTGTTGTTGGTCAATCATACAAATACATCAGAAGGGGGGAGGGGGGTGCTTTGGAATGAGCTGCGATGCGATGTGATCCTCGCATGGTTGTTCAGAATGCCTCCACGCCCTCGCGCCTCTCGCGTGCATCAAGCAAGGCGCCGAGAGCACCAATGGCCTTGCGACGGCCACGGGTGGCAAAGTTCCTGGGAATGAGCTCGTCGTTGTTGGACGGCGGACCAATCGGCTGGCGAACAGGCGCAGCGACAAGCCGCTGCACAGACGGGGGTGCGACCGCGACAACGACGGCGGGAGCACGCCCGATGCCGAGCCCCTCGTAGAGCTTCTTCGAAGCCTCCTCGCGAGGAGACAAGGGAGGCGCATCGCCGAGAGAGGAGGATGTGCGCGGCGTGCTTGGGGTGGAGCCAGACTTGGAGGACACGGAAGAACTGTCATCGCCATCGGCAGCATCGGCGTCCACAGCCACGGCGTTGATGTTTTGAGGTGCGGCCGAGTTGAACTGCAGCGCAGGGGGACGAGTCTTAAGAGGGCTGGCGGCGGGTGAGATGCGTTCGACAGGAGGAGGGGTGATCTTGACCAAGGGCGAGGACACGGCGCGATTGCCGCTCAGGACCGAGTTGTTGCCACCCCGCCTCCATGAGACAGCGGCATCAGACTTTGACGGGTTCGGGGAGCTAATGCCGTTCGGGTTCCCAAGCGACGTACCACCAGAGATCGTGTTGGTGAAGTTGGGCGTGGAAGGGGTCCTCAGATACGCCGACGTGTCCTCCTCGCCGAATTGCCCGGAGGGCGGCATGCGGCTACCAAATCGACCACCGAGAGCAGCCGTCATAGGCACCTGCTCATCGCCAGCAACGCCAAGCATGGCACGGAGTTGGTCGGCCTGGTTAGCGCGGCGTGCCTGAGCAGCCATGATATTCGAACGAAGATCGAACGACGTGTTGGTCGGACCTGCAGTAGCGGGTGGGACGAAGCCCGCGGTTTGTCGGCGTTGCGGAACCTGCTGACGCTGACGTTGGGCTTGCGCGATCAACTCGTTCTGGTACTGTTGAGCCTGATTGGTGGAAACAAATGTTATTGTTCTGCGAACGATTAATAAAACTAAACACAACGTACCTGCAGGCGCGCTATCTCCATTTGCATCATCTGCAGCTGCAAGGCCTGCATTTGCACCTGCGGATCCATAAAGTTACCACTATTCATGCCCATCATCTGCTGTTGAGAAAAGCGATTGGCCGCGCCGTCGACGGCAGCGGTCATGGGATGCTGCTGCATGTGGTTCACGTTGTTATGGACATACAGGTTCGACGAGACCATATCGGCGAGCTCCTCTTCTTCGTCAGGGAAAGCGTCGCTATGAAGAGGCGGAGAGTAGCGAGGAATGTTGAACATGCCGGCTGGAGCAGCGGTATGCGGCACATTTCCGACTGGGCCAGAGACGGAGCGGACACCTCCTGTGCGGAGACCTGCGAGGAGGGCGGCACGGTTATTGGGAGCAGGGGCAGTGGCCATTTCGATGCAAATGATGTGTTCCAAAAGACAGGTAGGTATCAGCTGAAGGTTTCAGACGGAAGCACAGGTGGGTCGAGAGAATAGGTGATGAATATACAGCTGTTGGCACAAGCCCCACTTGAGTCAGATTCATGATTGTAAGGAGAAAGCTAAAGGAAATACCGGGCGAGCGTGAATTGAGCTAGAGTTCCGGATAAGATACGGAGGTTAATACGTCTATCTCTCTCTCTGGGTGCGGTCTAAGCGTCGCGCGAGGAGACGGGTCTCTGAAGGGCAGGAAAAAGAGCCGGGTGGGCGATTAGGCGAGTGGCAGAAGAAGGAGACAGTTTTCTCGAGAGTATAAAGATGATAGAGAGTTATATATGCTAAAGAGAAATGAAGACAGAGAGAGACAGAGAAAAACGAGAAGAGGCCACCGATGAAAGGTCAGAGAGAGAGAGGACGAAGATCGAGACACCGCGCACGAGGCCCACAGCCATAGCATCGGTGGACCCCGGACACCAGTCCATTGCCTCCCGCTCGCGGAGTCTCATGGCAACTGATTGTGATCCACGCCAGCGAGTCATTCGTTTCGCAGAGAACCAGGGTTCTGCACACAGTAAGTATGCTTGCGTACTGTACAACAGAAGGTAGACCAACATATCGTGCTCTATGCACACCCCTAGGACGGCAGACAAAAAGTGCAGACGCGTGTCGCCCCATGACCCCACCCTGCCCCAACCACACAATTGAGCGGGAAGCGGAACTTCCGCACGCTCACAGGTACTTTTTGGCACTTGCCCGTACCCGTGCGTCAAAAACTGCGCTCCGTATCGGTGTGTGCGCGGTGTGAAACGGATTCAACATTGTCTGCATCAAGCCTATAAGCGTCTGCACATAGCCCTGAACGCCAAAGTGACACACCTTTACGTACAGTTCCCAGACGTCGAGGAAGAACGACCGAATGCCGTCGTCGTTCCTTGTCTCATGCAGCAACACAAACTTCATATCTGAAGCTTGGTCAGCAGACGTCGGTGCCCAGACTCGCGTGACTTACTTCCCGGTGTCACGAAAGCTGACACGGTCCATTCGTTGAACTTGTCCACGGACTTCAAGTACCTGATTGAACAGTTAGCACCGTAGGAAGTCACGTACAAGGAGGCGCCCACATGAGATTCTCTTTCCTCATAACATCTTCGATAACGTCCAGGCTGGCATTAGCAACCATTTGAATGACATGACGATCTTTCCCCCCGCCCACTCGCACATTCCCGCCCTGGGTGTGGTACGACTGTGCGGCACTGGATGCCCCGGATAGGGCTGTGAGCGTACCCGCGAATGCCGACGTCGACCAGCTGGGCAGGTTGCTCGAGAGCGGCGACGCCGTCGCCTGCGTCGGCTTGCTGGAATAGTGGGTCAGCTCATAGAGTGGCGTATCGGACGGCGAGAGGAGGAAAAGATGGTGCGACATTGTCGACGTCCCGGCCAGAGCCTCGGCGGTCGCGACGGTGCCGCCACAACGGCCTGAACTCTATGGTGCCACGTGGTTGAAACAGCCGTCGGGATCAGTTGCGGTCCCGACCCAGGAGTTTCGGGGTCCTAACTCTGTTCATGCCGGCCGGCCGCCAAACGTCTTTAGCGCCAGCATCTGAACTCGTTTTGCGAGTCGACTATGAGCTTGTACGCCAGCATCCTCACGGGTCACTTCCGCCGTGCATTCGTGAACCCACGAATATGCTACACAGCTCCTAGAGGCCTCTCAGGCCTTGGCCTTACTCTGAAGCAGGCGCATGCCTGGCGACAGCCACTACTTGGCGCACCACGGCCCTTTACCACTTCGCCGTCCGAAGCCTCAAGACCGCGGCAATCTATCGTGCAGTTTGCGCTGAGCAAAGCATGGGGGGCGACGCATAGGAGCAGAATAGCGCTCTCAGGTCGTGCGCAGAGCTCCTGGAGCCCACCACCGCCACAAGGGCCGTGGCAGCGGTTCATCCGATGGCTGGACTCCATCCCGTCGAATACCATATTCTGGGGCGTGCTGGGCATTAACGGTGCAGTGTTTTGTGCATGGCAACTCGGTGCGGCATTATACGTGCGTTATACAAATTTCTCCCAAACACATTTAAAGTATAGACTTTTATGTAGCAAAGTAGCGGCAATGCTAGCCTTTACATTGCGCTGCGGAAAAACTTCACTGTCAGCATGCAGAATCTCATGTCTGGACGAGTGTACGTCTTCCCGCCACTTGTTTTATGTGTCCAACGCGTCTCACGCGACAAAGATGGACTCTCCTGACAGCTAGCTTCTCGCACGAAGGCATGATGCACATCTTCACCAACGCATTTACCTTCTACTTCATGGCACCGCCTGTCCTTCAATTTCTTGGGACCTCTGGCTTTTTAGCCCTGTACCTTGGGGGTGGCATCTTCTGTAGTGTGGTCAGCCTGTGGTGGAATAACTCTGTCAAGAACAGACCGACGTACTCCTCGTATGGTGCTAGTGGTATGTACCCTTCTCCGTTTGTCCGTCTCTTTAGCGCTGAATAACGGTTTGTTTGCCAGGCGCAGTGTACGCTGTCATCTCGTTCTTCGCATGTGTTGCCCCAACGACTCGATTTGCACTGTTTGGCGTACTACCGATACCCGCCTGGCTCTTCGTCACTGGAGTCTTCCTTATGGATGGATATGAGTCATTGAAAGACTCGGTACGTGAATATCGCACCGCTTTCTCGCTTCGTAGCTGATAGCTGTCCCGCTCAGCATACCAGAGTCGACAACGCAGGTCACATAGGCGGGATACTCGCTGGTATTGGTTACTTCCTGGGCAAGCGGTTCCGCATATTCTAATACCCCACTCTCTATCACGACGGACGTTCCGAAACACCCAGCTCAGTCCATATTTGTAGTTTGATTGAAAGCATAAATAGAGCTGAGCCACTGTACGATACTTCCACAGAAAGTAGAATCAAAACGCGCGTGCAGTAGGCCCTGGATCCGGTATAGGGTCTTTGGGACCAATCTCCTTCACTGCATAGTAGCTGAAGAAGAGGACTTTGAAGCACAACGCGAGTGCGGCGTGCAGAAGCACGAGAAAGATTGCAACCAGTCGCACAGCCTTTTGATCAGCCTGTATGCGAGAGGGTGGTCAGCTCAATGCTACAGTAGGCATACTGCGAGGACGAACCGTAGCGAGGATCGGCCAAGTGTTTACTATCAGGAAGTAGCCTGAGAGCAAGAAGGCGAGGCCGACAAGGACCCACCGCAGGATCGGCACTGGAATCACGCACAGCAACTAGAGAGCCGTCAGTCTACGGAGGGAGGGATGCAATAAATGTCCATCGCGCGCACCGAGACAGGAATCCAAACGAACTGGCCGTACCCCCACAACGCGACCGTCTCGACAATGCTCCACTCCCCCACACCCAGATATCTCAGCCCAAGCCACAGTAGAATGGGTATGCCCAGTCCATATGCATAGACGAGCCCAAACGCCGTGCTCAACAATCCGAAGTCATACTCGATGGGGTTGGTCGGCGACGCGGCGCCTGGGTCGGAGAGATAGGCGGCTATAGACGATGCGAGCGAAGAGAAGACAAAGAGGGAGAAGATAAGGGTAGTCAATGTCCAGAAGGGGCCATATAAGTCGGCGGGCGACAAATGGTTGGAGATATAGTTTGCCTTAGGTATCAAGGTTAAGTAGCAGCGACGAAAGACCTGTGCATGGTGTTAGCGGCTGTGTCATGGATGACGCGAGAGGGGATATGTTCACAGTTTTAGTGTCTATGTCAAAGTATGGCTGGTAATATTCGACGTTCCAGAAACTTGACTTCCCCGGCCGATCAGGAATGTACCCTACGGAGCGTAAGTAGGTGCTAGTCCGGGAGGACACCACGACACACCTCTCTGGGAGTTGACTCCACCTCCTGAAGAGTCCCGCGCATCAGTTTCGAGGAAAGCTACAAGCGAGTCTGGTCAGCGGGGACTGTGACCTCTTCAGGACGTAGTGCTAAACGTACATTGGAATTGTAGACCTTCCGGCCCTTCTTCCATGCGCTACGCGACCATATAAGCCACAGCAAATATACAAACCATATGGCATCTACTCACCTCGTCTGCCTCAATCGAAACATAAGCCATTCCGAGTGAATGTGAGACGAATATAGATGCCTGAGGGGACGATATAAAGCGAAGATATCCTCGTCATACACGGTCATGCTTCGCCACGTGTTTTAGACGCCCATTCATCGCGAAGTGTGTGTTTCTCAAGCTCTCACCTGTCTTATCTCTATGCTGTCTTCCACCATGACACAGCCAGTCCTTGCGATAGTCGCCGCAGGCGCGATGGGCGCAGCAGTCGGCAAGCGGCTCACGACAGCGGGGCTCACCGTACTGACTGACCTGGCCGGACGCTCCGCCGCGACGCGAAAGAGAGCTGCAGACGCAGGCTTGGAGGACGCATCGCTCCTGGATATCGCCGCGCGGGCGCAGTGGACACTCAGCATCCTCCCACCAAGTGAGGCGGAGACATTCGCGAAGGCCTTTCGCGACGCGCACACGCAGGTAGCGCATACGCGCCCCGTCGGCTTCGCCGATTGCAACGCGGTGAACCCGACTACGGCAAAACGGGTCGCGGCCCTGTTCGCTGGCACGCCCATCAAGTTTGTCGATGCGGGCATTATTGGAGGTCCTCCACACGGGGACTACGACCCAGTGGTCTACGCGAGTGCAGCCCCCGAAGATCAACCAGCCCTAGACGAGTTCGCTTCACTTAAGCAGTGGGGATTGAATGTGAAGACGTTGAAGGGCGAAGGGGCTGGCGTCGGCGACGCTAGTGCGCTCAAGATGTCTTATGCTGTACGTGCAGTTCTTCCGAGCCTTAGGCTCTACCGACACTTACGTTGTACATCTCGCCGTAGGGCATCAACAAAGGGATTATTGGCATTTGTACAGCCATGATACTGTGTATGTCCCGTTTGTTATCACATGTCGCACTTGTTTCTATGCCATCCTCCAGCTGCACACGCGTCATCCCCTGCGACTGCTAGTGCGCTCCTGCACGAACTTTCCGACTCTCAGCCTTTCATGCTTAAGCGCATCATCTCAAGTACACCCGATATGCTTCCAAAGGCGTACCGCTGGGCCGGGGAAATGGAGGAGATATCCGCATTTGTTGCCGATGGACTCTCACAATCCGGATCTTCAGAACAGGTCTCGGTCGGAGGTGCAGGCGAAGGCCTTACCCATCTAGGTCTGGCAAGGCTTTACGAGCGCATCGCGAGCTCAATGAAGGACAGTGGGGAGAAGGGTGAAGACGTAAGCGAGGTTAAAGTATTAAACGACTTTGTAAAGGAAGCAAAACATGTTGTTGAGCCGAAGAACTGAACAATTGTGGTCTGTAGCCTGTATCTTCAAAGTTGCTGCCAGATCTAACTTCTTCTATTATAGATACGCGCACATGCTTTAGGAAGTTTGAGGTGCAGTAAAGTTATTTAAGGAGCGAGGAGCAACCTCGCCTAACATCTGTATGCCGGCTATTATCTAGATAGATCAGTATTTGCTGAAGTGCTCCAGCTTAGTTTGGACGCTTGTTTGAAACTTAGCGCCACAATGGCTCTGACGTAATTTATGCTTTCCTGCTCGCACCTCTTCTTCCGTACCAACCACTACCTTGTCTATGACTTCTTTCGAGTATAATCACCCAGTTCGCATCGCACATGATAGTTTGGAAGCTCTTCATATTGCTTTTGGCGTAAATACCCCCAGGTTTCTGTCCCGAGGCCGGTCTTGCTGTCTCCAAGGCACGCAACCCTCAAAGTTCAGGGAGCATTTCCATCTCTATCCGGAAGCTATAGCTGTACAATATTAATGTGCCTATCGCAACGTGAAGGCCGTCATTATTTGGCTCCTCCGTATCCGCAGACACGCTGCTAGCTCCACTTATGCATGGAGCGTAGCGGTCCGAGACCCATAAGCTGCACTTCGTCTTCCTTGCTTTCGCTAACGATTCTGCCACCCAAATATGGCCATATCTGCTAGAGCTCCTTTTCTTTGCGCATTCGCACTGCAATTGATATTGTTATGCCGCGCTGATCTGACTCCAGATGTTGAAGCAGTGTCGAGCACCGCAAAGGCGGGACTAGCATGGCCCAACGGACCAAATGACGACATAGAGCAGTACACTACTACAGGGAAGGTGCAATGGTGCGTGACGCGCTTGCTTGAGGTAGCAAAGCGACTGAGCCAATCTGTCAGGTATTACACATGGAGCCCCGACGGCTTCCAGAGTAACTTGGAGTTCGTACCCATGTTCTGGGGCACGAACCAGATAGGTGACTGGAACTCGAACATCAACAATACCATCCAGACTCTGAACGTCACGCACGCACTGGGTTTCAACGAGCCACAAGAAGTCAGCCAGTCGAACATCTCTCCTTCAGACGGCGCATCGGCGTGGAAGCAGTACATTGAGCCGCTGAAACAGCAGGGCATCATGCTCGGCAGCCCCGCCCCGAGCTCTGCGCCTTCAGGCAAGACGTGGCTTTTACAGTGGCTTGATGCTTGCGCAGGAGGATGTACGGTTGATTTTATCGCGCTGCACTGGTACGATATCAACTCGACGGCGTTCATGGAGTACCTAGAAGACTTCTACTCCACGTTCCAACGACCAATATGGGTTACTGAATGGGCTTGTCAGGCAAGTACTCATTGCGCCTATCGTTTGCAAGTTGGTCTCACCAACGTTGACTTTAAGAATTTCAACGACGCAAATGAACAGTGTTCCCTGCAGGACATAGTCAACTTTATGAACGCCACGCAACAGTTCATGGATACCACTGACTGGGTGCAGCGCTATGCGTGGTTTGGGGCGTTCACGAATCTGCAAGGTGTCAACCAGGTCGGTTCCATACTTTACTCAGCCGCCTATCTGGCATTTGACGAACAGTGCTAATGTTGGTCCTCTCCTAGGACGACGCGCTTATGAACTCCGGTGGACAAATCAACACTCTGGGGGAACAGTATATTGGGGCGGTCACACCTAATGTCAGCTCGAACTACCAGCCTGGAGTAGTGCATGGTGGAAAGGGGAGCTCATCCACCGGTTCCGCTGTACGGACGACTCTCAGCCGAACCATGCCGCTTCTGACATTGGTCGCGTTTACGTGTGCCCTATTATAGGCGAGCATTCGGATATGTAGAATGTTCAACGTACGCTATGCATATTTTCCAGATGGATCTTTCGTATGGTACGACAGCACGGACATTGACGGTTGAGACCGGGACAGCATCTTGCTATTCCTTGGACAGATAAACTCGCCGCCCAAAGAGCACGACCCATATAAGATGAGCGGTGATCAACAGATTAATGACCTATGACATTGAATTTCACGAACGACACTGAAGCAATCATTGCTCCGATTCCAAACGGAACATTGGCCACCACTCCGGACGCCAAGGTTGGACGGAGACAGTCTCAGCCATGGAACCATCGGAATTAGGCCGATTAATGTAGAATTCAGACTCGCCTTTCTCCGCGGCAGTAACGTGCTCGAGACGGAGGAGTGCCAACCCAACGCCGTCAACTGATGTAAGTAATTTTCCCGTGCCTCGCGGTTTTGGCTTGCGCGTACCGTCAGGGTTGGCAGTGATGGAGCGGACTCGGATGTCGGTTCCGGAGGGTAGCGAAGGTGTGCTGCATTTACGCAAAGGAGTGTAAGCAGTGCGGGCCGGTGAGGCGGGTGTCACGACTTACGAGCTGCCTTCTGCATTAAGCATGACTGGGAATATCCGCTTGCGAACGAGGCCGGTGTGGTATACACGAACGGTTAGCTCCTGACCAACGTAGCAACCCTTGCGGAAGTCGACTGTACGAGGCTCTGCATCAGCAACAGCGACATGTTCCATAGATGCGTCACTGACGTGCTCCCATGAAATCGAGGTTGGAGTCCATGGGGAAGGCTTGGTCTGGAGGAATATCAATATTGCCTTCTGGAGTGCCGTGAAGTATTCGATGCCGTGTGTAATCATCCGACGTCGCTACATCGTAGTCGGAGAGACCCTGGGCTGCACGCAGTATTCCGGTAAGCGATCGTGCAGAAGGAGGGAATAACTCACGTCGATCTCCTTTCCTGATGAGAATACGACTTCCCATTCCGACTGCTCTTCTGTCCTGCAGTGGCACTGAGACTGTACCCCAGGGGTTTTGCTCATTCCACACAGGTTCGACTGCCCCGCTCCGAGAGTAATCCCATTGCCTCGAACTCTCCCATGCCCTTTCCTTCTCGGAGCCCCAGGCAGCCCAAACATCATACTCCTCCGAAACATCCCGTAGCTTTACCTTGGAGCGTAGCACGTATCGCTTCAGCATGGTGAGCAGGGGCGGAGCCTCAGATGACCGAGAATCATATTCGACGAAGTATCCCTTTTTGCCTTCAGGGGTGACATGAGCGTGCACGAAGGCATCATGAAGGACTCTGCCCTAGCCCATAGAACAGTTAGCTGAGGCGTACAAAATCCACTGAGCGCGGATAGGCACATGCCTGAGCTTGCAAGAACGCCGTGAAGAAGTGAGCGTCAGGCTGTGGGACAGTCGACGCGACGATGCCGTTTAAGAATTCTGCCGCTTGGGAGCCCGTGACAGAGAGCACGGCCCTGTTCGGTACACGGGCAGTCGTGGGTGTGCTCCGCACAAGTGCACGCAGAGCCGGAGGTAACATGACGGCAGCGGAAGAGCGAGGTGCACCGCGTAGCGCTCTCCCGTCCCTTTGCGTCCGACCTCCATCTGCGATTTGTCATCCTCGCCAGCCGGCATGTCGAATACATGCGAACCACTTCTGGCCGCACTGAAGGAGTGTCTCCTTCAGTCAGACTGTGTTGTCAAACAAGGGCACCTCCCTTCGGAATGTCTCAGGGACCATACATCCGAGCTTCCTGAAAGCTGTCAAGCTATACGAAAGGCGACATTTGAGTGCAAGCGGGGCCTGGTACGTCTTTCATAGTGCTATTTCTATGCATCGCTAACAAGACGCACTCTGTAGTTGGATATGCGAAAACGATTTCGAGGAAACAACGCGGGTGCTGTCGCTCAGCAGCTCAAAGAATCTCCGGTGTCTTCCAAAACAGAAGAATAATGCCCACATATGGACTCGGAACTTCTAGAGCTTGAACATAATTGTCACTTGAAAAATTCGCAAACGTGTCGAAACGTGCAGTATGCTTCACGTAACTCTGTCCGGTCGGTTGCAGTGCATTGTGCGTTGTTGCTCTAGACTTTGATGTTCATTCACGTGCAAAGTTTATTCGATATATGTGCCTGTGTATCGCCGCACTTGCTACACGCTTCTAATCGGCATTGTACTTGTTCATGCGTTGCACGTCTTCATTCTTCCTTGCTAACTCGAGTCCTTCGCGGCTCTATCCGGACTTCTCTTGATACCTGCGACCCATCACGGACGTCCGGATTCACGAATAATGGCGTGCATAAACTCTACACCGATCCTTCTTGATCACCTACGTGTATTGTCTCTGGCCCGTGGATCAAACAGTCCTTAGATCTGGCCCAAGGTACCGGTGCATTGGTGGCCCGCGTAGCTCAGAAAAGCTGCTGTGGGCCTAAGGCGGTCGACAGGGAGACAGACTTGGTTTAACCAGCGTAATATGCTCCGAGCCAGGGAAAATGCAGGTTGCTCACGCGTACCGTTAGCACGACTACCCTTAGTAGCAGCACTGCACAGCAAGCTTGCTTTCCTTCATTTTTATTCCAGGGGCGGTTTTAGTCGACTGTAAGCATGATTTTCTAGCCTAAAATGAGCGTGCTATGTTATTGTGTCTATATTCATTTTAAGCCAAGGCTCGATGCGCAATTAGCTTCCAGGGTACCGGAAGTTTGTACAGGTCATGCGTAATGCGATTAGTCATCATCCTTGTGGCGCTGATGCGCTTTTCGTGGGTCTAAATAGTGGACGTCATAGACAACGGCACCAGCACTCTCGAAAAATAAATACAGGTATCTAATTCGACAGGGAATACAATACATTGGATAGAATGCGGATTTAAAAACGGAAAGCGAAGTGTTGCAAATATAATGAACGTTCGTGAGCACAATCAAGGATATGTTGGCAGTGTTCTGTAGAGACTAGTTCCCGGTTTACTCTAGGCGACGCTAAACTTTCTTTTCGTCCTCAACCAGCTCTTCGACGCTATCATGTGATGCCCGAACGAGTGGAGACGACGTCGTGTCATATGCCAAGAGCGCGGCTAGTTCGCGCTTGCGCATGCACCACGTGAGGAGCAGTGTCGTAACGCAAGAGAGTCCTATCCATCCCACGATGACACCCGCACTCCGCCCGAGGTTTGGGGTTGTGTCGAAAAGGATTGTGCGCATAGATTGTGACCTGGAAGCTTCTAAGTCGCTGCCGGTTAAGCTCAGAGAGAGACGCTCTCACAAATTCCATATGGGAAAGCCTTTTCCATACGAGAAGAACGGACTCAGCAGCTCTGGGGGAAGCAGAGTCGGCGAGACGTTGTATATGATCTTAGCAAATGTTAAGTAAAGCGTCCACTCTTGATTAAAAAATAAAAATAAAAAATAGAACAGACATACCAATATGAAGAGGAAATAGGGTATATATTTGGGCGTGAGCAGGGTAATCATGGACTCTAGCGACAGTCCAAGGGCGAGCATGCCGAGATAATTGAATATAAAGGCGAGTAAGAAACCGCTGGCAAGAGAATACCTAGAATCATCTTAATAGATGCATCTGTGGCTGAATGGAAAAGGCTCACTTTCCGTCGAACGGAAGCCCGAACGCAAGGCTGACGAGCGTGTAGCTGAAACTTAGTGGCAGGTACGCCGCAAATGGCACAGCCAATCGCAGGAAGAAGTATGACGACAGCCGAAGGCGTGGTGCGATGATGGCGCGGGCGGCAGCATGAGCCATGGTCTGCGAGATGAACGTCAGCAGGGTCGCACGCTCGTCGCGGTGGTTCGGACCGTACCATGATGAACCTGTGTAAAGCTCATTCAGAAGCAGCACGGCACGCGGAACACGTGTGACACGTACGTGAAGATCGTCAAGAATATGTTGCCGACGAGCGTGACAGCCTGTGCTGTTGGCGTCCTGCGTGCGTTTAAATTGCATCAGATAAGGGTCCAATGTATCTGCTGGAGGTGGTGGAGAAGCTCACGTATAGGGCCGAAGATTGACCACGGTCCAGGAAATGGCCGGGCTGATAGTCTGTGGTGCCTGAGACAAAAGTTGCACAGCGGTCTGATTGACTGTGGTGCCCGGTGTGATTTCAGCAAAGTAACGTTGGGCAGCGGCGGTCGCATACGCCGTCACGCTAGCGGTAAGGATCTGCGTTGTGATCGGCAGGACATAGTTCCCAACCGCAGTTTCCTGACGCGCCTGTTCCGAATTTAGACATAAATCTGAGATTGAGTACAACGGAGAAGACAAACTTGGGCATAATAGACGGTGATAGCCTTGCTCGGATCGTAGCTGGGATCTCCGTTTGCTCGAGCGAGACTCAGATTGGCTGTTGCATTGGCTTCGACTAAAATAAACAGTGGGCTTCTCGAAGCGGAGGCAGTAGATCCTGAAGCACTTACTGACGACAGCAATCCATGCTTCGTTTTCGATAATAGCGTTGGCAATGTCTTCATCGTCTCCGGCTGCAACGGGGTCAATGAGCGACCAGCTGAGGTGTTGACCTGGGGTAGACGTGTTCCCAAACGACTCCCACAGCGTGTTTCCAATCCGTGCGCCGTCTCTGTTTATGAACCAGGCTTCGAGGTTGGTTGTAAGCTGCGGCGAACCCGAGAGTGCTCCCCAGAAGCTGCGAAAGATATATCAACGGCTGAGCCGTTTGGGCGCTTAAAAAAACTCACACAGGGAGCGAGATCCACATCAACACCAAGGTGAAGACGATGGGCTTGATCACGACGACGATGTAGTGCCGTCGTTCTGCTGCAATTTCCTGGGCAAAGACTGCATAGGCGGCACGGTTACTTGGGGGTGATCGCCGCGGCGGGGAGAAGGAGGACGTACATCCATGAGGGGTGCCGACGTCGGCCTGGAAGGCATAGCTTTCGGCACGCTTTCCCAGACTCATTGGATTCTGCGCAGACTGCTGGGGCGTGCTGCCGCCGACGGCCGTTTCAGTAACGTTCGTTGGTCCACGATCTTCCTCTGCGAGTTCGGCATGAGCCTGTGCCGAATCTCGGCAGGCAGGGCTTGCCGACGGCGTAACTGTCCACCCGGCATTGGGCGACTGTAATTCGTGACCCGGCATCGACGTCCTGGCCTGCTGCGCGGTGCGGGGATGCTCGGGACTCTGCAGGGAACGGCGGCTGCTGGTGGCGAGCGTTGGGAAAGACGACAGCAGGCACACGACCCTCACCTGCCAGCCATCGTCTTCCAGCCCTCTGGCGCGCTCGCTAGCTCGATTTCGTAATGAGCCGCGCATAAGCGCATACTACGCCCTGGCTTGGCGGCCCTCCCAAGCCACGCACTAGCAGACAGTGGCAGTCCCCCATGCTGCTGCCGTCATACAGCCAAACAAACTCCTCCCTAGGCAAAAAGAACTCAATGCTGCAGTTTTACACCGGCGACGTTCAGTGTCCTTCACGACGATCCCCCATCGTGGAGTTCTCCTTACGGGCGGAGGGAGCGAATAAACTCCGAGATGAGGATTCGTGGTACCGGTACGCCAGCTTGGACATGCGCACTCTGGGTGAGGGTACCACTGTACTCCTCGCCGACCGCGGCTCCACTCCCTCGCTGTGCTCGTTACCACCCTGGCCACTACGCGTGCAATCGATGCGATGTCACCTACTATTTGGTGTCGAACGTGACTCAGGCTGGCGATTTCCCATGGGAGAACTGCCGCTGCCTCCCAAATGAAGGCACGACCGTGTGGATCTACGCAACGGCACTTTTCGCTATCGGCAGAGTCACGCGTGCAAATTTTGAAGGGTTGTCAATCCACTCCGCAGCCAAGAGAGCTCAGATGTATCCGGCAAGGGTCGAGAGCAGACGGCAGCACTCAATGGGAAATCCGTCATTCCTTCCTGGATACGCCGATCAGGACGCAGACGTGTCTGTTGCTGGTCGTGTTCTACGCTTGTGTGCACGCGCAGGCGAAGCAAAAGCGGGTTTGAGAATATACAATTTAAGGGTAGGCGGTACAAGAGAATTACAACTGTACACTAGCTACGCCAAGGGCAGAAGATATAGCCACCAAGCAAAGTAAGCTACTGTATACGCCTTTTCGATAAAAATACACACAGGCAGGCTACTAGACTACAATAGACTCGCAGAAGCATATGAGTGAGTAGGCGTACAATAGCAAAGCTTGGTATGATATCCTACGCAGGAGGGTATAAGATTAGATGTTTGGCAGAATACGAAGTGTGACCATGCGCAGGAAAACGTCCGTCCAGTGCGCAACCCAGAGCCCGACCAGAAAACCCCCCAGAGCCCCAACTAGAAAACCCCAGAAGCCCGAGAAAAAGTGAAACGCATGAAACCCTGAGACGAGCAAGAGATGGATGCAGAAAAGGCGGAAATCAGACCGCATCTGACCTCGGCACGAGGCCAGCCGTGGAGCGAGGCAATTAATAACCCCATTCCATGAAGGCGTTTTCAAAGTCGTAGTCGCTATCGTAAGCAGCCGCCCCGTCTGTGTCGGCCGAGCGGGGAGAAACAGGCGGGGAAAGCCATTCCTTCTCATGACACATGTCTGCCGGGGCGACAGACTTGGGACGGAACTCCCATTGCATGCCGCCGAGCTCGAATGCGCCGAGCGAACGAAGAGACGCCAGAGCGTTCGCGATCTGGCCGTAAAAGGTCTGTTATAGGAAAGTCGCCAGTCAGAACGGACGATCTGCGGAGGACGAGCAGGGGAGAACTCACAGTGTCTGGCGTTTCCCAGAAGGCGCAGGTTGTTATCACCCTCAGGCTCGTAAGGTTTGGACACGCCTTTGTAAGCGCTGCGATGACTGCGACTGGCGGTGCGCTCGTGATTGCGCTGAGCGTCTCGATCCTGGACATCTCGGCCGCCCTCGTAGTTCCATGCTCTGGCTCGGGCGATCCTGGGACTTTCGGGACGTTTGGTGTCCAAGCGAGTGACTCAACGTCCTCGGGTGCGAGGTCGCCTGAGAGAAATAGGGTGGTGAGGGGACGCGAACCCAACAACTGCGGAAGCAGACACGCTGGTCCCGTGTACGTGGACAAGAAGGGTATAGCGGTTTTGGCGAGAATAACGAAGTCAGGTGAGGCCGCTACCTGCAATGAATGCAGGGACGGCGTCCCTTCGAGAAAGCGTGCGACGTTCACATCCAGGGGGAAGGAACAGGAGAAGTTCGCCAAGTTGGGATAGTGCGTGAGGTCAGGGGAACGAGCTTTATCGAAGAGAACCCAGCTCAAGCTGGCGTCGATGTGAATCTCTAAATCGGTGAGATTCTCCATGCCGCGTATGGCCTGATATAGCATGGCGAAGTATGTTTCGTCGACCTCGTCCTGTCCTTCAACGAGACTGATGGAGAAGGAACGGACGAGGGGCAATAGATGAGGCCGTGTCGCGAGTGTACGCACGGCGGACAGATTGTGGGCGTAGGTCGAAACGGAGACGCGACTGTATAGTAGACGGCTTGCACTAGCGTACAAGTCGGCACTTGTACGCGCGAGGGATACGAGAGTCGATGTGCTGAGAGGTTCGAATATGGCCTCCAAGAGCTCTGCGGGGAGGCTGACGAGGGACATGACTTGAGCGATGTGGACAATCACCGTAGGCGCTGTCGTAAGGACGGAGGGCCTGGGCAGAAAGATTGCAGAACTGTCGTTGCCAGGGAAGGATGATTTATAGCGGTTGAAAAAGCGAGGACGCCTTAAGATTCATACGGAACAGAGGGCGTTTTGGCGGACGGCAGGCGCGTGAAGTCGGACACAGGAAACGGGAAGCTGGTACGGCTGTCGAGAGGAATGTCCTCAGAAAGACCGCGCGGCAGGAGATGAATGTGAGTGGGAAAGGAGCCGTGCCGCCGTCAGAACGCGCAAGGGACGTGGCTCTGCACAGCCTTCTTAGTTCATAGAAGCGGGGTCTGGTGAATCAACGGGATGTGGGGGTGATTCAGAGGGACTCAACAACCCTCCAGTTTCCGCCAGGGCGATATAGGGTTCACAACGTTCACAGCTGACGCTGCAAACATATCCCGCCCAAGCACGACGTCGGATCTGGATCAAAACGTGCACCCTAATCGATGCTCTACGTATCTCAAGACGCTATGGCAAAGGGCGGCAGCTATCCACGTTCAGGGTCAGGACGAAGACATATTCTAGCTCGGGTTCGGGTTTGCTCAACGGCGACGTAGTGTCTGGGTTAGGGTTTCCCTGATGGCATACTTTGCGCGCCCGAACGGCCTGCACGACTTGCGTCTCGACCACGACGAGCAGCGCACCGTCCTGCTCACTACCCGCTGTTCCGAGCTCATAACCCCGTTCGATTGCATATGTGCAGACCGTCGCGCGCACTGACAACGCGCGTGATCGGAGCCACTATTGGCAGCTCTCTGCCCAGCCGATCGTCCAAGCCTCGACGACAACTCTCGCGTACATTTGGCACGTCCGCAGCCTGCCTTCAGTCTACGCCGCCCGACATTGAGCGGAGCGGCGACAAGCGCGTTATAGAGAAGTCACAGTCCCTCAAATCGCACAACGGTCAGTCCGAGTGCCGAATTGGCATTAATACCTAATTGATGGGCCTTTGCAGCACCTTTTCCGCGGAGGTCGCATCATTGCGGCTCGCTGTCAGTCAAGGATGCTGGCTCCAGCGTCACGCTCACAGGCTGGCTTCTTCCAGGCCGGTAAGTTGGCGATTAGTTTAATCCACGCTCCCTAACTGAAGGTTATAAGGAAGGTGGGCAAGGCCCTCTACTTCTACCCTCTGAAGGACCCTCATGGCACCATTCAATTAGCAGTGTCTTCGGCGGTTGGTGGAGGGGAGACCCTCGAGCTTATGCGGAGTATCCCTGTGGAGTCGACGGTTATTATCGAGGGTGTCGTCTCAGAAAGACCCCCAAAGCAAAAGCGGGCTGTAAGATATTCTCCCACCGCAAATCGGAGATGGCTGGAGATAGACTCAAGCGCTCTCATACCCCAATAGCTACCCGGAGGTGACATCGAAGTGACAGTAACCTCCTGTACATTACTCAATCCCGCGGAACAGCCCCTTCCGTTCGTACCTTCCGATGAGTACAATTTGGTACGTGGACTACTATGTATCTCTGTGATGTCTGCTTGACTCCGGCAAGCCTGCCGAAGAGTTTAGGCTTCGATATCGTTACCTCGACCTGCGGCGGTCCGTTATATCAGGCAACCTCCGAAAAAGAAGCCAAGTCGCGCACCTCATCCGAACTACGCTACACGACCACGGTTCGTGCGCTTTTGTCGCTTACGCATGATTTTGCCGAACCGCTCTGAGACTTACATCACAGGTTTCGTCGAAGTCGAGACGCCTGTCCTACTTAAGTCCACACCCGAGGGTGCACGCGAGTTCCTAGTCCCGACTCGAACGGCCACCTCTACTCCATCCGTCAAGTCTTCTATCGGCGCAACACGGCGCGAGTCGTTCACACAGCCCCTCTTCTACGCGCTCCCACAGTCGCCACAGCAGCCCAAGCAGCTGCTGATCGCTTCTGGCGCCGTCGATCGCTACTACCAAATAGCCAGGTGCTTCCGCGATGAGGATGGGCGCAAGGATAGGCAGCCCGAATTCACCCAGATAGACTTGGAAATGGCTTGGGTCTCCTGGGGAGACTACCCCTCCAACAATAATTACGGTCAAAAGGATAGCGACTCATGGCGCATTGGTGGTAAAGAAGTAAGGGAGACCATCGAACATCTGATTCGCAAAGTCTGGTCAGCGGTGGAGGGGATTGAGCTGCCCTCGTCATTTACAGTAATGACGTATGAGGAAGCTATGGGCCGCTTTGGCAGCGACAAGCCGGATACGCGCTTTAGCCTTGAGGTGCGCTTTAACCTTTGTGTCGTAACCTGGCGTATACTTCTCAGGGTCTGTCGCTGATTTAAGTCACTCTCACACGCCTATAGCTTCAGCTTGTCACCGACCGGTTCCCTCAGCCGGTAAGAGACGCGTTAGCCAACGAGGATCAGATTTTAGAGACACTGGTCATACGTTCTACGGACACGCAGTTCAAGAGCGCCGCGGAGAAGGTAGGGTTATATGAAGCCGCGATGAGTGTGAGTTTTGGTCTTTCTCGTGGCAAGAGTGTTGTCTCAACAGCGCCCTATGCGCTCCCGCAGGATGGCGCCTATATGGTACGCGTACTGTCTGATGGAACGCTCAACACCGCGAGCAGAGATGGATCATTCGGCATTCTCGGCACACCCAGCACCGTAAGGGATGCACTGGAGCTGAATCCCGGTGACACAGCCTGGCTCGCAAAGCGGCCTCGCACGGCAGAGGTAATTTTGCTAATACTCCAACGCCGTATATTCACTGACCGGACGCTCGCATATAGGGCGGCTCGACAGCACTCGGCCGTCTTCGTTTGCTGCTCGCCACTCTGGCACAAGCCGCCGGTGAATTGGTCTTGCCTGCGGCGCCGCATTTTCTCTGGGTCACGGAATTCCCCCTATTCACGCGAGCCGACCCTGACAAAGAGTTCCTTGCGCACGGACGCTGGAGCAGCTCACATCATCCATTTACGGCACCAATGTGGGAAGACATCGAGAAAATGTATGATGGTCGGATTGCCGAGGTACGTTTCGGCCGTCGTGCTGCACCACATTGCCTTGGTGCACAGACTGATTATTCTCTTCTGCAGGTGCGTGGCCAGCATTACGACCTCGTTCTGAATGGCGTCGAAATTGGAGGGGGTTCCGTTCGCGTGCATGACGCAAAGATGCAAGAACACATTTTTGGGAAGATCCTCCAGGTTAGTCAACAGTGACACAACCGCCCAGCGAACGCTCGATTAATTACGGTCTACACAGCTGAGCGAGGATGAGAAGGCGTCTTTCAGCCATCTCCTACATGCGCTGCGCTGTGGGGCTCCGCCTCACGGCGGCATTGCGTTAGGTGTGTTCGGATCGTTCTTCCGAGTTTTGTTGTACACCTAAACATCATTGCAGGTTTCGACCGCCTCATGGCGATCTTATGCAAAACAGAGTCAATCCGAGACGTGATCGCCTTCCCCAAAACTGGCGCAGGCACTGACTTGTTGTTCAAGAGCCCTGCACCAGTGGAGTCGGAGGATGTCTTGCGGCAGTATGGCATAACTCAGGCTCTTGTCGTAGATGCATAATATACACAAAGCAGAGATACAGCTTAATCGTAGTGGAAATCTGAAGGTCTCGGGATACATATCGGCCGGAAGTGGTGGTCGTGAGATTTGAGACGACCCTACAAAGAAAGCATACAGATTGTCCAAGAAGGTCAGGCTCACAAGGAGGGTGAAGCTGTCAGGTCAGATCGTGGGCTGAGTAGCACTCGGTCTTGGAAGGGAGCGTCCGGGGCTGGAGGTGACGGAGATGACGACGGAATGCGTACAGAACCTCTGGGCGTAACGTCATCCCGTAGGTCTGGTGGATCGGACTGTCGCGTCGGCCCCCAGGATGATTCTGGATCATGACGATCATTCGCACCGTTCACACGTGCCTCAACTGTTATGGCTTCGGTGGTGCTTCTGACGACTGGAGTAGCATCCCCGCTTTCTCCGTTAAGGTGTTGCGAGCGACTCTCATCGATGACCGCGAGGACACTTCGCAGCTTCGACTCCGACTTGCGGTGGGAGTGCGCAGGCAGAGAGGATGTAAACGGAACGGAGTGTCGCCGGCTGACGGCGGGTGGTGAAACAGAAGGTGAGACAGTGGCCGCTGATGAACTTGGTGACATTGGAGGCGTCGAAGGAACATGAGTCCATGCTGCAGCGGTTTCTGGAAAGAAGCCGCCCGCGTTGGTCCAGGAGCTCTTGCCATCACTACTGCCCTCAAGGTCGGGAGTCGATGTGAGAGGACTCGGAGTGGCAGATGGTGTGTTTGCCATGACAGACAAGGGTGGAAGAATTGAGAAAATTTTATCTTCGTCAGGCGGGGGGCCGTACGAATCGAATGGATCTGGAACTGCTTGCAGCATAGGCTCGATGATCGGGTCAGACCTGCGGTGATCATAAGCAAGACACAATCAAAGTTGAGCACACTGCGTACGCTTTGGAGGTTAGTCTGTCAAAAACATCGAGCGTGGACCTCAAAACGAGGCAGGTTTTGCCTTGAACGGTATCCCAAACTTGCTCCTCATGCTCCGCGATTTCTTGATAGTGCTGCGCTCTGAGGTCGTCGAGGTCGTCGACTTGTCGCTGAAGTATAGCCAGAGCCTCTCGGAACGTCTGCAAGTCTTGTAAGAGTTATCAGCTCCGACCTATAACGGATATTCTCCGTAACTCACTCCGGCCCTTCCTCTGCATATTCTCCCTCTCTATCTGTCGGATAACACGACTCTTTTCTCGAAGAGCCTTCTCGTAAGCATTGGAGCGTTCCTGCAGTCATGCCAGCGTTAACACTGAAGGTGCATATATAGCAAAGCGCGACAGACTGTAACGATGGAACGGTAGGTTTCTAAATGCTGACGCAGTGGTTTCTCGTATTGCTTGTCGAGTGTATCCGCCTGAACGCTGTATGAGCACACATACAATATGGAACCATGTCCGAATCACCAGTACATGCCAGTGATTGCTCATGAGGTGATGCAACCCGGATGCGGCTTGAAGACGTGTACCAGCCTCGTAGGTAGGGCCTTTCAGACTGCTTCGGGTCAATCACAGGTATGCCCACTTAGCACTTGGACATACCCTGCACAGGCCTCCATAGCATCCGCAAACTGCGCGGTAGCTCTTGACATAGCCAGGAGTGCTTGCCGATAAGCGGCGCTCTTGCTCAGTAGCTGCGGATGCAAGTCAGTTACCCCCAAAGCAGCAGCATCGAGGCGGCCAAATACCTCTCCGTATGCGTGTACGCTCGCTTTGAGATCACCTCTGGTGACAATCTTATCGGGTCCATTGGGACCGAAATTCATGGCAGACGCATTTGTAGTCTCTGTGAAAGTGGGCGACGGTGGACCGGAGGATACCGACGGACGCGGGTTGATGGCTAGAGAGCGAAGAGAACGAGCCCTTGGCATCGTTGCGGGCAGTGAGGACGAGGGAGAAAACGAAAGATGGGCACAAATGCCAGCCTCGGTCGCTAGAGATGATGTCGCTGGTGCGCGCTCTCCCGAATTCGGCAAACGCGCCGCGGGCGTCAATAATATGCCTGCACGTGACGAAATTTGTGCCGCACCTTTGCGGCGGCAAGAGTCGACCCGAACCAACATTTACCTGGCTTTCCCATTCGTCTATAGGCAGCTTCCTCTCCGGTTTAGCACTTAACTATGGCTGACGATGCCAATACTATTGCTACTGCGTCAGTTGAAGAGACAGCCGGCATAGATGACGTGGAGGAGGAGGAGTCCAAGGTATGCATCCTATCCTACAGGTAGCCAGATGATCTCACTGGCGAAGCGGCTTTTGCCCTGCATTCTATAGGAGATCCTCCTCATGAAACAGCGTGTGGAGGAGATGGAGAGGGAGGCAAACAAGCTTCGAGAACTTCAAGCTGCCGCCGAAAATCAAGAGCATGAAGGCGGTGCCAGTGATGCCTCAGTGCCTATGGAGACTGAGGATGAAAGGGCGCAAGCTGATCAACGCAGTATATTCATAGGAAATGTGCATCAAGGTTTCTTGTGCTTTTCTTCTATCTAACAACGATGCATAGGTTGACTATGCCTCTACGCCTGAGGAGATTCAGCAGCACTTCCAGGCATGCGGTACCATCAATCGAGTAACTATCCTGTGTGATAAGTTCACAGGCCATCCAAAAGGGTGCGTCTGGACAGCGAAATCGCATGCGAGAAGAATCTGAAGAATGTGTAGCTTCGCGTATGTGGAATTCGCTGAACCTGAGTCCATCGACACAGCACTAGCCATGGACAACTCACTCTTCCGTGGTCGTCTCATCAAGGCACGTCCTGTTACATTAAAGGACACTTGCATGAGTCTGACCATTTATAGGTCACTTCAAAACGTACTAACATTCATGGCTTCAACCGCGGCCGAGGCCGTGGCGGATATCGAGGTGGCTATCGAGGTGGCCATCGCGGTGGATCGTACGGATTCAACCCTTACGCTCGCGGGCGTGGAAGGTAAGCTTAAGCTCACATGTATGTTTGTCGTGTATCTCACCGACTTTTGTGCAGGGGACGCGGACGCGGATTCTAAACCTTCTGCGTGGACATATCTTCTTCGGCTTTGCCATACTATATACTTTTTTTTGCTGTACTCCCTAGTTGCACCAACAAGCTGCCTTTATTTTGCTGTTATTAATCTCATTTTTGAGATTCTGTGGCCTGATGTTAGTAATAAACGTCAATAAACGCCCGCATCTAGAGAGGGAAGCGTACTTAGCGCTTTCAACCGCCTTTCATTCCGACCACTCGCTATGGCTCTCAATCCTCTACGAAGATGGGCTAGATCGTTAACAACGGCTGCGTATCCATTTTCCAAAGCGGCCATAATACCATCCAATCCACCACCGCCACCCTCACCGGCCCTGTTGCAGGGCAAGGGTCTCATACCCTTCCTCAAGCAAACCACTCTTCCTCCAGAGAAGCAAAAGCTCCTTGACACGCTCTTCGCCAAGAGGCATCCCGAACGAATTCAGCCCGGTTCAGTGCTTACGGTCTCCCTTAATCACGCGCCGGGCATCTTCTCTGGTGTCCTCCTCAGCGTCCGCCGGCGCGGGCTCGACACGTCGTTCGTACTCCGGAACGTCATCAACCGCACTGGAGTGGAAATGCAATTCTTCGTAGCGTCACCGCACGTAAAGGAGATCAAGATTCTTTCGAAGGCGGGTAGTAGCACAGGTGGAGGGAGGTCAGGACGCAAGATGCGTAGGGCGAAGTTGTTCTACTTGAGAGACTCGCCAGAGAAGATGTCGGCTATCTCTATGAGCGTGAAGGGGTAAAACCATAATCATTCAGAGTATGTTCTCTTTGTTGCATACTGCGTCCACAACTGAGCGTTGCAACCAGGTGCAAACTGGCTCTACTGCATATGTGGTTTGGAGTTGTGGAGGGCACACGTTACGGTCGCAACGCGCGGGCAGTCCGTGCAGTCCGGCTTCGTCTGGACGCCTGGCCATCCTGCTTAGCGTGGGCGTGCATGAGGGGCTGCCACCGAGTGACATTGCGTAGCAGGCCCTGGAGTTTTGCCATCCGGGCAGCTTGTAGAGTGATAAATAGACCGCACCGACCTCCGAAAGCGACATATTATCTCTCCGGAGGATATAAAAACGCGCTTGCGTGATGTCAGGTTCTTCGTTCCTGCCATGGACCTCCTGCCATCCTCGTGGGTGAGTCTCTCGGCTACGTCAGTGATCTCGAATTCGGTCTTTGGTGAGAAGCAGTGCGTTCGCGTCCACTAGGATTTGCATCTTCACTTGTGGTGTTTCTGTGCTTTTGTTTGACCGACGAGAGCTCCACTGCCTGGCCGCTCACACCGGCTGCGGGCTCAGCTCCGGCACGGGTAGGGACGGACACCGCCTCCACGCTGACTCGCCCGCGTTCACGCACGTACGAGTTGCGCAGATTGTACTCGGAGAGAGCATAGGACCGGAAGAGGAATGCTAAAAGGGCCTAAACATGGCGGTGTCCGCCGACAACCATTGGCTCCCTTATGCCGTGCACCAACGTCCGCAGTGTGAATAGGCGCCGAATAGCACTTCTATATACGCCGCACCCGCGGTGAAACCACCTCCGAACAACTCACGTTACGACCGTTTGCCGCTTTTTTTCGGCCCAGGATTCTGACGACAAGCCCGCCGACAAAGCTCTTGTGGCCCGGGTAGTCTTTGGCTGGGACAAAGGCCTTGATCCTCGTCCAGATCTCTACTGCGGAGTGTAAAGGCTTCTTGCTGACCGTCATGACCGAGACGAACACGATGTCGACCTCTCCCGATGGAAATGAACACCAGACGAATTCTCAGCCCAAGAAGAAGAAAATCGATGACCCTCCACTTCCACCAGACCTCGGCATGAAACCTGTGCAGCTCCAGCGTCGCCGGGTTTGGCGAGCATGTGAAAGCTGCAGGTGAGCATCCCCTACATGCTTCGTATCTCCTCATTATAGCTTTTTTACCTTGCGTAGACGGAAGAAGATTAAGTGCGATGGAGTCGAGCCTACGTGCTCACAGTGTGCTGCGTCCAAGTCCCAGTGTACTTGGCTCCAGACAAAAGACAGGGCGGCGTTAAGTAGACAGTGAGCGACACCCTCTCTTCGCCGAAGATTATTGAAGGAGTTCTGAGATCCCTCATCGTAGCTATGTTCAAGAGCTCGAAGCCCGTCTCCAGCACATGGAAGGCCTTTTTCAACAGATCTCCCCGGTTCTCGAACAAATTGGCCAAGCAACCGGCCTTGATGTCTCCGGCCTTGCGTCCGGTTCTGGTGCACCTGGCTCGAACACCATCCCTCCCAATCTCCTTCAAGCTCTCTTGAACGCAAGGAAAGACCCGTCCGCTGCCCCCACGCGATCATCATCTCCTACTCAGGTGAAAACGGAAGACGACATGTCGGAATCGTTCGGGCAGCTAGCGCTTGATGAGCACGGCCAGATGCGCTGGATAGGTAGTTCTTCCACCATGTCTCTCATCCAGTCGTTCAAGACCCTTACCACGTCGCCTATGCATCGCGTCTCCCCCATGGAGGAGGACCCGCTTGCGCCTGGACCGAGCGTAAACAAGCTGTATTTCCCTGCATCTGTCTTCTTTGGAAAGGTCCGTGTGCTTCCTGGACCCGAAGAGGTTGAATGGCCGCCTAAGGATCTCGCAGACAAGTTGGTACGTGACGGAGTTTCCTGTGTTTATAAAAGTTTAACATGTGTTTCAGGTTGATGCATACTTTACTCGCTTCCACTTCCTCATGCCAATCATTGACAAGGCGTCGTTCCTTCGACGTTACGTTTACATCATGGATAACCTCGGCGACAAGGCAATAGCTCGCGAGCAGACAGCGTTTCTTTCCCTTGCGAACGCGGTCTTCGCTTGCGCGGCAAAGCTTGTAGACGACCCGCGGTTATCTAATACCGAAGGCCTAGACGAGTCCGGAATGGGTATGGTATACTATGAACGGTGCGTTCCAAAAGGTGGTGGTTCAAGCGTGCAGACCTAACAGTTCCATCTCAGGGCCTTGATCCTCCATTATATTTGTCACTCGACCATGCTGGTCGAGCATGTCCAGTGCTTCCTGCTCATGTCGACCTTCTTGTGCTCAGTGAACTGCCTGCCGCAAGCCTGGATCCTCGTAGGTCAAGCCGTTCGTATCGCGCAGGATATCGGTCTGCACGTATGTGGCTCTTACTCCTTTTGACCCTGCCGGATGCGAAGCTGAGCTTTCACAGAGATCTCCGCGACGCCTCGTGATTGATTCGATCGAGAAGGAAACGCGGCGTAAAGTCTGGTGGGGTTGTTACATCCTGGACCGAATGCTCGCCCTAGTGCTCGGACGACCTCTCGGCATCGATGATAAGGACTGCGACGTTGAACTGCCTGTGGACGTCGAAGACGAGAGCCTTCCAGAGTATTTCGCGGGTGCGAACATGTCGAGGAGCTCACCGTCTTTGATGAAGGGATTCATCGAGCAGATCAGCTTATACTCTATCGGCGGCAAGGTCCTGCGCCAGGTGTATTCCTTGGACAAGTGCAAGGAGTACCTTGAACCGGAGAAGCGCGCGGAATTGAACCGTTCGGTGGAGTCGCTGGACAGAGCCCTTGACAAATGGTGCGAAGAGCTTCCGATCGTCTTCAAGTCGAATCCCATCTCCGACAAGCAGGTCTCCATGGCGGCGGTTCTCTGTACACACTACTACTCCATTCTGACGACTCTGCACCGCAATTTCTTGCCGGTCAAACCCGACCAACCAGTCCTTGCCCGATCGACAGCAAAGGCTGTCTCAACGGCCCGAGCGTGTCTTAGGCTTGCACCTTCCATTCGGAACGTTGTTCCGCCCAGTCATCATATGGCGTTCTTCATTCAGACTTTATTCAGCTCTGCAGTGATCATCCTCCTGTATGCCATGCACACTACAGACCCAGGCGCAGCACGCACCGCAATGGATGAAGCGAGAAGCTGCCTCGGATTCCTTGAGAGCTGGGAAGGCTCATGGCCTGGAGCGCGCAAGTGTAAGGAGTTGCTGGAGGACCTTATCGCCACGGCTGCGCAAGCGATTCGGTCTCTCGTCGACAACCAGGCAAGGATACCCCCACTGTCGACGCCTTCCAATCCTTCGTCGTCAGGCACTCCGCAGAACCTCCCTTCCGGGCCTGCATCTCCGTCTCCCGTACCTGCTGGCTCCATGGGTGCTCCTGTGAACCTGCCAGCTGGAAGGGTACCGGTGAAGGACAGAACTTCGAGGCGCAACCGTTCGAGGGATCCTCGGCTGTCACCGCGATTGATACCTCAGTCTGGTTACCACCGCCATGATCGTAAGTTCTCAGTTACGTCGTAATATTCACTGACTCTAAATCGTCTCCAGCGTTAAGCCAACGCGCACGGTCCACTTCACGCAAACGCCCAATGGGTGATGATGATTTCGAGTACGGCAACCCGTCGTTGTCCAGTGTCCTGTCCGGTTCGTACCCAGGCCGGTCGACACTCAGTGCACATAGTTCGCCTGTCTCGGTCAACAGCCATCCATCACCGCCAACGAAACTAGAACCAACGTTGGAAGCAAGTCCGCAAATGGTGCCGATGAATTCATTCAACATGAATCCTCAGTCTCCCACCGTTCAAATACCTCAATCTTCACAGTACCAGACTTACGACTACGGCATAGCTCAAAGTCCGAGCGAGAATAACTGGACCGGCAGGGATCCGAACGGCACTATCTACGAAGACCCGTCACAGGGCAACGGCAACTACTCGTTCATGCGCGGCACAGGCGAGCCCGGTCTGGCCCCCACTCAGTACATGGATCAACTAGCCGAGATGGGCCAGAACCTATCGATCATGGCCGGCAGCCCGCCGCAAATGTCTGGCTTTGCTGGCCCTGGACTGCCCTTCAGAGGTCTGGACTTCATTCGCAACTACACTCCGGGTGGTTACACGATGTCCAACGACGACGCCTTGTGGCAGACACTCGACCCGGACTCTTTCATGGATCCGCAAATTCCGTTTACCTTTGGTGAACTGCCTCCTGATGCGCATGACGGACAGCAGCACTGGTCCGGCGAGGGACAGCCACAATAATTCTTGTAGTATTTATGGTTGTAGGTGACTATTACTCTATGTTCTCTATGATTCTCCGTGTAGGTGTAAGAACTTTGGGAGACCGTTTCGGCTCCTTGCCACCCTTGGCTCTCATGCCTTGTCGCTCTCCATTCTCGCCGTTATTCGTTCGTCTCTTGCTTTCGTACCGGTCGCAATGACCATATACGTAGTACTACCCGCTGTATCGATATTGGTTATGTCCTATCATAGCTTACCTTTTAACAACGACTACTAACACCCCTACCTATTTTTATTCGTTATTTCGAGCTCAGGAAATAATATCAGATGTCCCCTCCTCCGGCAACCTTGGGAGCGAAACAACGCCAGGCTAGACGCTTGTGTCGGCTTTCTCTTCCCCGGAATGGACGCGGGCAAGGGATTGACCAAATAACGTACACGACCGGAAGTCTCGCGGCCAGAGGGCCCTCATCTTCTTGCTCCCAGACCGCGATGTCGTCCCATCCTGTCATCGAGTTCACCTCTTCGTCCTCATGGGCAATGGTCAGTGCTGCCTGCCTCCGCCGAGCCATTAACGTTCCCTGAGTGTGTGTGCAGATTGAGGACAAGTTCTCTCCCTTCGCGAAGGAGACGTTGGCGAAGCTCATCAAGTTCCAACAAGTGCGAGACGGTCTCCCGTGTTCCCTTGCTCGAGTGCTGAAAGTGTGCTGCAGGAGGAGGTCTGGCCTGCCCTCAGAGTTGCGCATGCCCAGCTACCAGATGGCGAGGCGCGCTGGAAGACCGTCATTCCGATTGTCGCGGACCTGAAGAAGAGGGCGCGTCAGCTCGGCCTGTGGAACCTCTTCCTGAGCAAGACGCATTACCCTCAGCACGGTGTCGACTTGACCAACCTCGAAGTGCGTCCTTTGGCACCAGGTCCCACTGTTGTAGACACTGACGTTCCTGTAGTATGCAGTCATGGCCGAGATTCTGGGGAGGGGCGGTCACTTTGCTTCAGAGATCGTAAACTGCTCTGCTCCAGACACAGGAAATATGGGTACGAAGCCAGCCGTCCCTGTGTGCCCTCTCCGCTTACGCTCTGAACAGAGGTTCTTGCCCGCTATGGATCTCCAGAGCAACAGAAGAAGTGGCTGCTGCCTCTGCTCAACGGAGAAATCCGCTCTTCATTTGCTATGACAGAACGCTTCGGTACGCAACCTGGCATATGGCTCACTGGTCCACCTAATTAAACCTGCTTGACAGTCGCTTCCTCGGACGCCACAAATATCCGCACCTCAATACGTCAAGAAGGCAACGAGATCGTCATCAACGGTCACAAGTGGTGGATCTCTGGCGCGGGCGATCCGCGCTGCGCCGTGCACCTTGTCCTCGGCAAGAGCGACCCCAACAACTCGGACCGCTACCAGCAGCAGAGCATCGTCATTGTCCCCGCGAACGCTCCAGGCGTCAAAATTGTCCGGCCCATGAAGGTCTTTGGTTACGACGACGCCCCAGAGGGACATTGCGAGATCATCTACGACAATGTCCGGGTGCCCCTCAGCAACCTCATCCTTGGTTGGGGCAAGGGCTTTGAGATCATCCAGGGTCGTCTTGGGTATGAGCTCCTCTTTTCCTTCGGTTTCTTGGGACTAGAACTCCTTGCTCAGACCAGGTCGTATCCACCACTGCATGCGTTCCATTGGTGCTGCCCAGAGCGCGCTCGATCTCATGCTCTCCCGTGTCACCGACCCGGCGCGCAAGACGTTTGGCAAGTACCTGTATGAACATGGTGAGCACGTCACGCAGCGTGCATATCCAGGCACCACTGACTGTCACCCAGGAACCGTCGTCGCGGACATTGCCAAGTCCCGTGCAGAAATCGAGAGTGCACGACTGCTAGTGCTGAGCGCTGCGATCCAGATCGACAAGTACAAGGCCAAGGGTGCACTGAAAGAAATTGGTATCGCCAAGGTCAGCGCTTTCCCTACTCGCGAGCAGGAGCTGGCGCGCTGACAGCACGTCTTCAGTTCGTCGTTCCCTCAATGGCCCTCCAAGTCGTGGACCGCGCGATGCAATCCTTTGGCGCTGAGGGTGTCTCACAGGACCAGGCTCTCGCTGCGACATGGGCTGGCCTCCGCACCCTCCGGTACGCGGACGGCCCCGACGCCGTGCACATCCAGCAAATTGGCCAGCGCGAGCTGAAGCGTGCGCCCGAGGTGACCAGGCGGCTAGAACAAATCAGGGTGAAGGAAAAGGGACTTTTCGCGAAGTATGGTGTCAAGTCGCATTTGTGAACTCATGGCAAACTCCTGCTTTGCGTGTAAAATATCTGCTGTATGGTCATCATGAAGGAAATCCTCATGGTGAGAGTATGACTCTCAGTTTGGATGAACGACTTGCAGATGGGTGGCACGACCGCGCACGATGTGGATGACGCTGTAGTCAGAGTGAGGCAAATGAATCACAGGTTTAGAGATGGTCCCGATAGCGCTTCTGAGATAACAAGGATCGAGCGCAGTAAGCTGGGTACTGAGACGTCTTGTGCGGTTCATGAGTCACCCATAAGATGAAAGACGTATAGCAGGTGAACTAGTAGGACAGGAGGCGGTGAAGCTCTAATTTGGTATGTCGGTCAAAATGAATGTTCGAAGCAGCCGGCTGCAACTCATCGCTGGTGAGCGATATATGGGTGGGGGCCTGCGAGTGTCCGAGGGTATATTCCAGCTTAGTGCTGTATCTGCGCTTAGTTGAAATTGCCGAGATAGAATTTCTCCCTTGCAACACTCTTGATCACTGAGGAAGCCAGAAGTGATGATAAAGTCATCAATATGCTTCAACACTGTTCGACCAAGACAGTACTGAAGACATAACCCCCATCATGGCTGACCGAACAATGAAAGGCCGCTTGCGCGGTGGCTGAGACACCCTTCGGCTTGTATAACAAGACAGGTTTCTTGACATGTCGTAGGACAGAGAACTCTTTCCAGGTCGGCATATCTGCAGGATACAGGGCCTTGTATCCTGCTTCTTTTAGACTCCACCTGTAGCAAAGAAGCTCAGCAGTCGGACGCCTCAGCCGCACAGGCGAGACTCACCTGACCGCAAGAAACCTGGCCTGGACGAGCAAGTCGCTCGAGCGCAAAGCGCGCCAATCCTGCATTTCTAGAGAGCTGAGGATCCTCGCTGCAAAAGGTTCGGGTCCCCTGCGCTGTATGAGGGCGAGTATCCGCGGCACATGGACCACGTCGACGCCGATGCCGAGGATCGCCATGGACGGAAGTGGGAGCGAACCGAACGCGCCACAAAGGCGATCGAGAGTCAGACCAGGAATTGGCCGGCGTCTGAGCGAGAAATATTGGCTTTTTGAACGATGACCGGACAGCTCAAGGTCGACACCGCCTACATCGCCGCTGCCACGAACAGATTCGCGCACGCAGCCGATGCCTGCGGCTCGCTTGTCGCTTGTGGGTCGTCGACGCTAGTCGCTCTGTGGGACACGGCGGTGCGTAGCCGATGCCCAATTGGTGCAGAGATCTTGCGAGTCTGACATCGCTTGTGTAGGATGTGAACGACAGAGGCACTCATGGCACACTACCAGGGCATGAGGGTCTGGTTACTGCTGTGCGATTTGTCTCAGAGTCTTGCATTGTCACGGCAGATGATACTGGAGCTCTCGCGCTTTGGAAAAAGAATGGTACCCAGGTGAGTAGTATGACAGCTACCTACCCTTCGCGTCTGATAACACCCCTGCCCCCACAGTGGCATCTCTCCTTAAAAAAGCGCGCGCACGAAAAAGCAATATCTGCTCTCGCAGTCTATGAACACCTCATCATTACCGGAGCATCCGACTCGTCGGTGAAGGTGTGGACACTTTCGTCAGAACAAGATTCAGGCATGTTCAACGTGAACTCCTTTGCAAGTACGGTTAACATAAAAGATTTTCAGTGGATATCGCCGAAACACAATCAATTACATTCAAGAAGCGGTATCCTTTGAGCATTGCAGTGACTCGACTACCAGATTCTGAAGGCGTGTAGACTTATTCCGCATGAGAGCACGTAACTAAAGATCGAGACGTAGCTCTTGTACTTGCAATCGGCGGGACCGACAGGGACGTGCAGATTTGGACCAGATCTGGAGGAGACGTGAGTTGCATGCGGACATAAGCATGTTATAATGTTCATAAGAGCTTGCATGCAGTTTGTCTCATCGCTATCTCTTGCTGGACATGAAGACTGGGTTAAGAGCTTGGTGTTCCACGCACCAGATAGCACAAGCGAGGCTCTGATCTTGGCTTCCGGCTCGCAAGACGCTACAATTCGCCTGTGGAACATTGAGCTTCACGCAAGAAAGCAAGCTACAGCTACCAGTGCCAGTGCTGATACGCTGAGTGACGACTTGCTTGACGCTTTCGAGGCATCGCTCGGAGACTTGGACGACTCTGAGGAAGGCGGCCGTCAGATCTCTCTGAAGCGCCACATGCTATCCGTCAAAACGAGCACCGGTAGGTGAGTGCCCCCGTACATCCACACTCATCGCCCACGCTGACCCCTGCAAACCGCAGTCAACGGCTCTTCAGCGTCACCTTCGACGCCCTGCTCATCGGGCACGAGGCGGGGCTCACAAGCCTGTCCTGGCGGCCCGCGTCGCCCACCTTCCGCGAGCCGACGCTCCTCTCGACCTCGACAGACTCGTCCGCCATCCTCTGGTCGCCCTCGGCGGTCCTCGGCGCGCAGGACGGCGGCAGCACGAGCCTCTGGATCAACCGGCAGCGCTTCGGCGACGTCGGCGGCCAGCGCCTGGGCGGCTTCGTCGGCGGGCTCTGGGCGCGCGGCGGGGACGAGGTGCTCGCATGGGGCTGGGGCGGCGGCTGGCGCCGCTGGCGGTGCGACGTGGAACGAGTGCCTGAGGACTGGCAGGAGGCCGGGGCCATCACAGGGCACAGTGCCCCCGTGCGCGGGCTTGCATGGAGTCCCGGCGGAGAGTATTTGGCGTCGGCCAGGTGCGGCTTTGCTGTGCACATGCCCTGGTGCTGGCTAACTTTCTCGTTTAGTCTGGATCAGACGACGCGCATACATGGCGAGGTCTCCCTGCCAGACGACCGGGCCTCGAGGTCCTGGCACGAGATTAGCCGGCCTCAGGTCCACGGATATGACCTCCTAGGAGTTGCATTCGTTGACCCTCTGCATTTTGTTAGCGTTGCAGACGAGAAGGTCGCCAGAGTTTTTGTGGCGTCGCAAGAGTTTGTCGATGTTGTGCACAATCTCAATGTCGCTGATTTGAAGACAGTTCAGGTGGGGCGTCCCCTGAGCAAACGCGAGCGTTCACGGTACTCATTCCTCGGTTTAGGGGGAGCGTCCCAGGGCTGCGACTGTCCCACCGCTCGGCCTGTCGAACAAGGCTGTCTCGGATTGTAAGCGGCACCCTCCTCCCTTCATTCTTGCCCTGCTCAAGATACAACTGCTCTTCAGCGAACAGTGCCGATGCATTCCAGCTCGGTCGTGCGAAGCGGCGACCGTTCGAAGGCGAATTGGCCGCGTTCACGCTCTGGCCCGAGATCGAGAAAGTTTTCGGGCACGGCTACGAGGTGTGCCTGCACTGCTCACCCAACTCCGCCCGCTCTTGCTCACAGCACCCACAGTCCATCACGCTCGCGGTCTCGTCGGACCGCAGTCTTGCCGCAACGGCGTGCAAAGCGACGTCGCCCGAGCACGCCGTCGTGCGCGTATACGACACCGCACGCTGGCAGCCGCACGGCGCGCCGCTCGCGGGACACCAGCTGACCGTCACCGCCGTTGCGTTCAGCCCCGACGACCGGCACGTCCTCACCGTTTCGCGCGACCGCTCGTGGCGGCTGTACGCGCGGAGAGAGGACGGCGAGCGTGCGTAACCGCTTCTTGGCATGCAGAGAGAGAGAAAAACGCGTTTTGCTGATGAGGCACTACAGCGGGCTTCGTCCCCGTCGTGGCGGACAAGTCGCACGCGCGCATCGTCTGGGATTGCGCGTGGGCACACGAGAATGACGTCTTTGCGACCGTGTCGCGCGACAAAACCGTGAGTGGGGTGTTGGCTCCCGTCTGTGATACAGCTCGATAGCTGATGCCGCCTACGCCTAGGTCAAGATCTGGCACACGAAGTTCCTCTCGACGCAGGAGAAGCCCGCACCGGAGGCTACGCTCAAGCTGCCAGAAGCGGCGACCGCCGTCGCATTCGCCCCCATAGACCGAGATCAGAGGTACGCAGTCGAAGGTCAAAAAGTTCTCCAAAATGTTGCTGACGACTGGCGCAGACGCCGCTTGGCGGTCGGCCTCGAGTCCGGGGAGATTGTCATCTATTCAAACGCGGTCAACGCCCCTTCCGAATGGAGACAAGACTGCGCGATATCTTCTCAGTAAGCTCTATGCGCGCGGCTGTCTCGACAGGCGCCTCACTTTGCCTTTCCAGAATTGCACACGTTGGCCAGATACACCGCATTGCCTGGAGACCCCAGAACGGTGGCAACACCGGGCAGCTTGCAAGTTGCAGCGAAGATGGTACATTGAAGGTATTAGACGTCCAAATCAGCACAGACTAAGCAAGCACAGTCAATATCGGTATCAGGTATCGAGATCAGAAGGACGCAGAGGGAATCAAGACGAGAGGGAGATGGGTGCTATCAGTATACAGAGGGGGCTGAGCATGCCCAAGAGCCAGGTTAGCGAGACAGTCAAGTAGGATGTGTACGTAGGGGTATATAACACAGTAATGAGTGCCCGGGACGTCTTGATAGAATAGTAGCAGCGAACTAGCATGAAGACGACATAGCGGAGCAGAGAGAGCGAACACGTAGGGATACAGGAGAATCACACGGCGTCATCACAGGATTTCTCGGAGGCTTGAGGGGACTTCGGGCTGTGACAAAGATGAGCGCTTAGAGCGGGAGATACTTTGATGTAGACTTACGCATTTGATCCTGGAGAGAGCGCAGATGGATGAGTATAGCGCGCAGAATAAGGCAGACAAATACGTACTTGTAGAAGCACTCTATGGACCGTAACATTTCCACGTCTCCGCCCGTTGCAGTTACGAAATTAATGACAATTCCGGCACGAGAGTAGCCCGTAGCAATAGCAGGGTTCACGCTGAAGCGGAGGTCAGAATGACGCTCGGCATGACTTCGCTAACTTACCGATGAGCATATTCTTCCACCGCCTTGGGTAAGTCTATACTAACTGTTAGCAGTTAGCGTGAAGCGGGAGCATGAGAACTCACCGTAATTAATCACGAGCGGGACCTGCGGCACATCTCCCGTCTTGATAACAACATCGTACACGACGAGGACTTTGGTCGAAGGCTGACGCATCAAACCCGCCGCACCGTTGCGGAACTTGTTTAGTGCCCCCAACTTGGCACCCGTGTTTATATCATTGTTCTGTAGGTCCTGCGTCAGAATCGTAGGGAGTACCAGATCTAATAATATACTTACCAGAGGGATAACATCAAGTCCGCGGCTTGCAAGTTTGTAGCTGACACTGTCCAACGCCATTTGTCCGCCCACATGCACGATCACATGCGGCACGTCTATATCCTCAAGCAAATCTGCGAGAGCATCGAGCTTCCACTCCCGGGCTTGGACGGTTTCCGCACTGGACACAGTGCCGCGGCCGGAACCGATGATTCCGGTGCCACCCTGGGGCAGCGAGCTGTCTGGGCGGCCGCCTCCAGCAGTGAATGCCAAGTACAGATAAAACTGGCGCAAACCACGGGCACCCTGACCAGGCTCGGCCTGGCTGACATTGCCGTCGCGGCGAACGAGGACGCGCACTGGTTCGCGAAGGTTGATGGCAGTCGCCAAGTTGAGCACGTCCTGGGGTACCGTGTTGGAGAAAAGGGCAGTCTGGCGATCGATCGCACCACTTGGTATATCCGTTGGTGGGGATGAGGCAATAGCAGAGAACCGACGCTGATTAGCGAACGGAGGATTAAGCGAGGATGAGGAGCTGTTGCCATCGAGAACCGAGTACATTGACGAAGAGGCGCTTGCGGGTGGGAACGTCGGTGTGGTGTTAAGTGGGCGGGAGCGCGGAGCGGGAAGTAGCTTAACGATATTGAAAACGAAGTCTTGCAGATTGCGTGCGATGAGCTGATCAACTTCATCAAGAACCAAGAAGCGCACTTCCGAGCCAGAGATGCCACCAGCGGACGTGAAGAGAGCGTGAAGCTTCTGCGGGGTTCCACAAATGATGTGGGGCATGCTCTGGTGAAGGAGACGGAGTTCTTGGGCGAGGTCATTTCCCCCAATGGTTGAGCCAACACCGAGGGCGGAGCGGATACCAATACTGGACCCAAGGTCACGAATCATGCGGTGCGCTTGGGTCGCTTGGTCGACGGTAGTAGAGATCATGACGACGAATGGCCCGCTCATTGGGCCCAGCGTTGCGTTTGTAAGGGCTATGTGGATCGCGGGGATCACATACGCTGCAATGCGCTCTTGAGTGGGCGGCGCTTGAGCAATAATATCAGCGCCTCGGAGTAGGAAAGGCAGTGCCCTTTGCTGGATCTTGTTCGGTGGGCCAACGCTGTGAGATGGTCAGCGCATATCCATTTACAAGCATAACTTGCTTACCCGAAGCTTGTTAGAGAGCGCAGTAGGTCCGAATGAAGAGGGAGCTGCTCCCACTTTGATATCACGGGACCACCGTCACGAGTAGCCGTCGTGTCGATGGTCTGCAAAAAGTCAGTACTGGTAGCAATCCGCGAGTGCGAGCAAAACACACCGCAGTTGAATCACGCCGGAGCAAACCAGTTACGGAGCGTCTCTTGTCTCTCAACCCCGGATCAGCGCGACCTAACGGACCAGTCAACTGCTCGTTCGACCGCATGGGAATGTCAAGAGTGCCGGTAGACCAGGTACGCGAGGGTGGAACTGGCAGTCTAGGACCAGTCCTTCCGGGGATGCCGAGCCCGATGGCGGCCGCTTGCGGAATCGCTCCACGGCCAGCCATCATGTCGTTAGGCTGTGGGCTCTGAGTGAGCATGGGTCCGTTGAGTGACTGCTGTTGAACAGCAATCAGCTGGTCGACAGACGTAGAGAGAGAGCTGAGGCGATGGGATATCACAGAAATGTCATCAGCCGGGGCGGGCTGGTTCGGAGCTATGTTTCCAATTATGGACCCGCGGGGACCGCTGAACCCATTCAAGCTGGGCGGAGCGAAAGAAGGGGCAGAATTTCCAGCGAAAGGGTTGCTGAACTCCGGCGGAGAGCTAGCCTGTGCAAAAGCACGGTCGACAAGAAGATCAACTTTCCGATTGACGTCAAGCAAGGAGCGATGCATCTCGCGCATCGCCCGCTCATGCTTATCGAGTCGGTCGAGTACCTCGTGGAAAGCGGGTGACGCCCTAAGATGAGTGTCAAAGCTCACATTGAGGTCGATGTTGGTCGAGAAGATGCTACCAGAGTCGAGAGACGACGCCGGAGACGATGACGTGATATGGTTGTTGTGCACTGAGTTGAACGATGAAGATCTGGAGTTAGGCTCTGGGTTGACGGGCGGGGTATTCAGTCTCTCCCTAACACGTCCCATAACGCTGGAGTAGAGGGTGTTGTGCTGGTACGAGCCATTGGCCGTGAGTGGACTCGGAGTTTCTTCGCCCTCTGGACCGACCTCTAGAATGGCGGTCATACTCGACTCTCTCAAGATGGGCCTCTGCACAGCAAATCCGCCTCTCTCCGAGTCAAGTTGGACGATATTTGCGGGTGAGCGACGAGACAGCTCGGCCGGCGAGTGGAACTCGCTCTGTCGGTCAAAGCGCGATTCAGCACCGTCGGTCTGCGAAGGACTGGGCGATGACTTGACCGAACGGTATTCCGAAGGAGAGATGGAGAGACTGGAGGTCGATGTTGCGCTGACTGCGTCTCGACTGTTGTGACGGAGCAGCGCGGCCACGATGCCCCTGCTGTCGTCCTCCTTATTGAAACCGCTTCCTCCGGGGAAGAACGGCGTCGAAGCAGGATTGAGAGACGGACTCGCTGACATCATGTTCATCTTGTCGGGTCAGGCAAGACACTGACTCAACCAACCAACCCCCACTTCGACGTCAGCAACCTGCGCGGGATTTGTGCAGTGGTAGACGCACCCTATGTGTGAGTTAATTCTCACAGGCCATGCAGAGGTCGTATAGGTAGGGATCGCTGGTTGAGGAGACAACCGGAGGTGGTGGTTGGAGGCGAAGGGAGTTTCGCTCGAGCATCCCCAGGCGCGTGTGCCCCGGTTTATCAATCACGACGAAATGATCATTCCCCGACGGCAAATAAACTGCAACAAACTAGTTCCGCACCAGGCCACGTATGTATATCTTAATCTAAAGGATACGATAGGGAAGGTTGTTGAGCTATGGCATGCGGGGCAGGACGAAGTAAAGGCTACAAGTACACTCCGTCTGTCCGTCTCAGAGGCTCGGTGCGAGGTCGACTAGGGCCAGGTTCAACGGATGGGGTCATCGACCCATGGAAATCTCCTGGCATCTGCAGACCCTCAGCACCAGGCGGGAGCCGCCCCTTGGGAGGCATAGTACCGTTCTCTGGGATAATCACCGTTCTTTCGGCCGTAAGCCGCCTGCAGGCGCAACTCAACAAGCGGTATTCATGATCTAACAGTGGCGCAACTCACTTAAGCGAGTGCCATGCTCTCTTGATGGCCGACGGTTTCTCGTACGCCGCTTTGATTCGCGCCTTCTCCTGCTCGGCGACCTCCCGGAGCTCTGGGAGCTCTGAAGCATGTCTGGTCACCTTGGAACAGAGTGTAAGACGTTGCGTGACGTGAGTTGGTATTGCAAGCTTACCACCATCGGCATTCCGCGGTGCTTAAGGCCATTCATCACCAGTGCCTTGCGCGCATAGACAAGACTGCGATAGGTGATAGCAGCATAGACGAGTGTGTTCTGTGTTGCGACACCCCTCGCAACTACATCGTAATTGGCGGTGTCACCACGCGCCACACGTATGGAAATTTCCTTGAGAGAGCCGTACGGCCTGAAGAGATCCTTCAGCTCAGACTCCCGGGTGAGCGGATGAAGCTTAGTGCTCTCAGCAACCTCAAACATGATCTGTGACCAAGAACGGCAGACATACATTCCCTACGAAGATGTAGCCCTCGCCAGCGGCGAGGATCTGCTTTCTCTTCTGCGCCATACGAATCCTCTCCTTTGAGTTGGGCGGATCTCGCGGCATGTTTCCCAGGTTGACGAACTTCATTTCCTGTCTGGCCTGTGGCCATGGTTTCAGACTACATGGTTACACAGAAAATTATAACTCGCACCTTTGGCCTGGTAGAGGATGCAATGCCGGAAGCCGTGTTATTCGTATGGTGTCTTGTCATTGTTGTGCGTCGGAGATGGCTGCTTATACGCGGTCGAGGATGATAGCAGGAGCTCTGAGGCGTGCATATATATCATGTCCGAAAACATGAAACCGGTTAGTCAAGGAGACGAGGCCGGACCAAAGGCTCAGCTTGCATTTTGTGGGCCTCAAGTCAACCGTGAGGCCTCCCCCATCTGGAACAATGCAGAGGTCCGTGATCCGTTCTCACGTGGCGTGTGACTGCGCTGTGACAGGCCAATCAACGTTCGCGTTCGCGCCTTGCCAAAGACACTCACCAAGTTTATTCAGAGATGTCTTTGTCGAGTGTGCAAACCTACCGTTCAATTGTCAGGGAAATCAACAGAGCGGTTAGTGGCAGGCTGTTTCTCTGTGAACGTCCAGACTCATGCCGCATGCCAGGCCATTGCACCACGCCCGACCAGAAACCCGGCCATCGCTTCCAACTTCCGGAGGCTGTTTGAACATGGCAAGGGCGGCGAGCCCTTTGCGTATGATATGCAAAATGCGCTGACTTTCATGCACTCCCAGCGCATGCACAAGGTGTGCGGCTTTTTCATTTCTGATCGTCAACGTATCGCGACTGGACTTCTTCTCTAGGCTCTCTTGGATCGTTACAACCCTCTTCACGATTTGACGACGGAAGAGCAGATCAAGGCGACAGCGCGTCGTGTAGGTCTTGACATGCCCATATCGGGCGGCAACAAAGACAACTAAGCTGTAGCCGAGCATGGCATCTGGCACATCGCTTGCACTGCCAGACTCCGCTTGCGGTGGACAATAGCCCAGACAGCCGTCCTTGCGGTCACTGGGCTCCCTGATCGTATTGTGGGGAGAGCGCTATCCGACATAGAAGCCAATGCGTAGAATGACGCACTAGAATACAGTAACATATCTCAGCAGTACAAAGCAGGATATATAGTACCGAATGCACCAGATCATGCATGCCTCTCTGCGTGGCGCGAGGTGCGTGATTGGCCCGTGAGATACCATTCAACAGCAGGATGGTGGAAGAGCGTGTTCACTAATCCTCTTGCGGTGCCTCTCTGTATATGCGAATGTGCATGTTAGTGTTACTATATGTACTCAAGCGAAGGATACTTATGATATAGAGCACATTATTACACCTAAAAATCATGCGTAAGTTAAAGAAATAGGAGTACAATATGTTTTTCAGACGCACCGAATGAAAACTTCGCCAAGCGCACCGTTCGATTTGCCATCTTGGAACTCTTCCGTGTTGGCCAACTGTACAGAAGGGAAGAAGGTTGTCAGGAACTCCTCCCGGCAGAGCCAAGAGTGCCACGCACCTGGAGGTTCATATATCCGTCCGTGCTGACGAGGAAGCCCTTGTACTCCAACCCCCACTTCAGCCTAACGTAGACCGGCTTCCCGGTCAACTCCTGCATAAAAGGCTTTGGGTTAACTGGATTGACCTATCCATGGCCCATGCAAGACAACAAGCCGTCAGCAATGGCAAAACAGACGGTATGGGAGCGATCACGTACCGTGGACATGGTGGTTGAAGAATATACACGTGAGGACTTCCAAAGGCGCGCAACGGCTTATACCGTACTTATACCTGAGCTCTTCCATGTCACGGCCCTCGCCCCAGCTTGCCCCTCCTCTCCATACACCCACGTAGCCCGCACTTCACACGGCCCATGTCGGACAACGAGGGACACGGCGGCCTTCCGCCGAACGACGACGACCTCTCGCTGCCAAAGGCGACAGTTGCAAAAATGATCTCAGGTGAGAAGCTGGTCCATATTCAACATTGAGAGTGCCCCACTCAATGCTGTCTTACTCCCAGAGTATCTCCCGAAGGACGTCGCGTGTGCCAAAGAGACGAGAGATCTCATTATTGAATGCTGTGTAGGTGAAGATATCCCGCACACGTCCTATCTTGCCGAGCTAACCGTGTTCTGTGACAGAATTCATTCACCTGATTTCCTCTGAGGCGAACGAGATCTGCGAGCAGGAGTCGAAGAAGACCATTGCCCCAGAGCATATTATCAGCGCACTGAAGGTAAGTTACTGATTTTGTACGCGTGTATCTACTTCTGTTAAACCTTACTCGTTCGCAGCGCCTGGGCTTCGACAACTTCACGGAGGACATCGAAGACGTCTTGAAGGATCACAAGCGGGCACAGAAGGCGCGTGTTGTCACTCTTGCTTGCGACCCAGTCTAACTTTGTCTCTAGGACCGCGAGCGTAAAGTGTCGAAACTTGAGATGTCCGGGCTCACCGAAGAAGAGCTACAACGGCAGCAAGAGGAGCTCTTCGCACGCAGCCGCGCCAAGTTTCAGAATGCCCAGCAGTAGACCATACAGCGGCCTTGGCGTCACGCATGCGCATGCACATTGCATGAACCGCTACCTCCGTTCGTTCTCTCGCTCTGGACAAATGCTAAACGACCTTGTACCAATATGTTTCGCAGTCTTGCGATTATTGATGTGGCCCTTGTAATTTATCCCTCTTGTTTTCTACATGTATCCAGTAGTACTTTATTCCGACAAAAGCGAACATTCTGTACTTAGAATTGCTGGAAGACTGTTTGTGCTGGCACACCAGTGCACAACGCGCAGCGATGTCGAATGAAGTCGTCGAGCCGCGTCAGGCACAGCAGCAAAGCCTACGGGTAAAGCAGAAGGATAACATTTGATTTTTCTTGTTAGCTAGTAAGCCTGAGGTTCCGGAGAGATCCAGACTGAGAAGGCGAGCAGCGAGTTCAAGCACAGACCGTCTCAATCGAGAGGCTCGCAATACTACGGAGCGAGCGGGGTGAGGACCGGTGCTTGTAAAGCAGCGAAAGGTGAAACGCACCCAATATTCTCCAATAAGTTCTAAATTTGAGCCTGGCGGGTTCAATATACCCTCGGCCTTGCCTGTGCAATTGTGCCCCGGGCAATCGGAGCAACCTGGAGAGTCTACGAGCTGGCCAATAATGTGCCCATCCGTGGTCTCTACTGTTCCGTTGAAGAAGCAGTACCATGGGCACGATGCCGGCTGGCGGGCCTCAAGACTCATTCCCTCAGCAACTGGCTTTGCAGCACTGATGGTGTAGGCCGCCGCCGCAAGCAGAGTGAGAAGGGCAGTCCGCATCTGCCGACGTTTTGCAAGTTGGTAAGGGCAAATATGGGAGAGCGTAGGACGTACGTTGGGAATGATGGTTATGTGGAGATGCCGAACTCAGCACCAGCGAGGGCGACACAAGCTGTGGTCCTGGCGACCTTGTTTAGCCAGAGCTGCTTTATACTTACCGCGTAGCTCTGCTCTGCTCTTCCGCGATAATCGAAGCAGACAGGTTAGCCCCTAACAAGACCTCGAATGCTGCCATGTAAAAGGATCGGTGAAAAAATACCATTGAATGTCTACAGTGTGTCGTGCAACGCCGTAATATTTCAGTGAGCCAATCGATGGGAGGTGCTCGTCAGACGCATTCATGACAACCTTCTTCTCTTCTTATTGTGATGGCTGAATGAGTTTGGGCGGGGACGAAGGAGACGAATCTCATCTTAGCACATGGAACCCCAGTTCGCGACTCGCTATGGTTGAGCTTAATGTGACATATAGCTTATTTTGCGCTCGCGGGTGAGGCCAGTACACAGGCGAATCGAGGTCAGACGAAACTTGCTAATCTGGCGCAGGGAAGATACGTATGTGGCCGTCCATCTCAGGATGGTAGCAGAAATAAGTGTGCGCAATTCGGGACCGACTTACGATTTCCGACCGTGGGCTGGGTAACCGCTCTTGAACGATTCAATATGATCCAGTACTTGGCAGGTGAGTTAGTGGAGGACTTCCCAGTTGTTTGCTGGGGCTCAGTACCTCGCACATAGCTGAAAAAATGGGAAGAAACGGCTGACAATGACAGCGTCCGGGTGCGTATACCCCTTGACGGATGCGACCACAGCCTATCTGCAGTAATTAACAAGCCTCGCAGATATTACTAGCCTATACCAGGCGCCGACCTTACGGAGCAGTCCGACCCTCGTGTCATATCGATATCCTTTACTAAAAACTCTGAGAGTTTTCTGAATTTACGAGAGCATTAGTACTTGTGTTCATGCGAAGTGTGGTCAGCAGGCCCACTGGGGTTACCCAACAGCTACTAATATTGGTATCGGCCCCAACACACACAGCAGCACGCGGAATGCGGCATACCTAAGAGGGTTCGAAGCCCGACACTGGCAACCTGGGAGCCTCGCTCTCTAGCTTTACCCCACAACTGGAAGGTGCAATCAGAATGTGAACGGCGCGGCAGCATAGAACGCAAGAGTACGGTGAGTGTGCAAGACAGAGCTCCAGCGTGGGAAGGCGGGGCGCGTTCCGAGAAAAGTAAAAAACGGGACGCCACAAAGTGCCACGGCTCTGGCCACAGCAGCCATTTTCGCAGTCACTTGGAGAGCTCGTGACCACCGCGAAGTTAGGCTTTGTTCTGAATAGTCATGAGCTGATATGACATTGAGCGACAAACTCGCTCCTTCTGTTCTTCCTGCATGTATTGCCCCGGCCCCCACGCTCATACCCACACATGATCCGACAAGATTGGCCTTGCCTTGTTCCTAGCAGTGCACCCATAGCCTCCTACCTTGCGTGAGTTAGCAACTTTCCTCAGTTCCCTTACTCTTCCGAGCCTCAGCCTTCTCACATGGTTTCCACTTCGGGAGATCCTGCGTGCATGCCGGGCCCTTCTTCGCAAGAAAGCAGGATCGCGCGAAGGGGCTGGTGCATACCGCTGACACCGCCACTGCAGTTCATACTTCCGCTCGATTAGACGGGCGGTAAGCCAGATCTAAGCGTCTATTATAGAATCAGGTGAGACTGGCATTGCGGATCTCCTGACCGCGACGAGGACAGCCACACTGAGCGCGTCCCCAAACCTGTCTCCCGACATTTCCGGCTAGTCTTGTCCTCTTGAATCTATTCCCCGCCTCTTCTGGCCGGTCGTGTCGGGCTGAATCCCAAGTCTGGCAGAGAAGCCGTGCTCGGACCCTTGGTTATGACCAAACATCATTTGTGGCGACAGCCTCCGCTGACGTTTCCCCTGTATTCACTCTCGATGGAGTCTTCTGAATGATGCATGAGTGATCGTGCTCGGCAGGAACTATCATTCTGCCTGGGTCCCGCGCAAAGCCATATAACCAAAGGTCCCCCACCCATCCTCATCTCGACCACCGTCACCTATACGCCATGGCCTCTGAACCAATCACTGCCCCCTACGCTGCTCCCGATCAACACGCCAATGCCCAGGGGGTTGCGGAACACATCACGCTCTACAGTGGTCGCAAGGCACCTCTGCGCCTGCATATCCTCGTCGTCGGGTGCGGATTAGGCGGACTAGCCGCCGCTCACTGTCTCGCACAGGCAGGGCACAAGATAACGCTTGTCGAGGCTGCACATGCTATTGGCGAGGTCGGAGCAGGCATCCAGGTCACCCCTAACGTCACACGTCTCTTGCGCAGATGGGGCCTCGGCGACGCCGTCGAGAAGATTGCCGTCCGCCCTGAAGCGATCGTCTTCCGGAGGTACAGTACCGGCGAGCGGGTGGGCTACACTAAGTGGGGCGAGCAGATGGAGGACTACGGCGCGCCTTACTACCACATACATCGCGCTGACTTCCACAAGCTGCTCTTCGATTTGGCCACACCGAACGTGACCTTACGGCTCAAGTCGACTGTCGTAGGGGTCGACCCCGATGCGCCTTCGCTAACTCTGGCTTCCGGAGAAGTCATCCACGGCGACTTAATCATTGGCGCCGATGGCGTCAAGAGCTACGTCCAGCAGGTAGTCCTTGGTCGCGTGAACCCTGCGCAGCCGACCGGCGACGCCGCTTACCGAGCCATCATTCCGACATCGGTCATGCTCGAAGATCCTGACCTTAAGCCTTTCGTGGACACTCCGGAGATGACAGCCTGGATGGGCCCCGGTACACATTTGATGGCGTACAACATCGTAAGTCCCGAAGTACGTTGTGCAACTTGCGCTTCCCTGACGCCTTTTATTTCATAAGCGCGCCAAACGCGAGTTCAATATGGTGCTGCTGCATCCCGATGACGGTTCGGTGGAGTCCTGGTCCGCAGAAGGCAGCGCGGAGAAAATGCGGGCCGATTTCAAGGACTATGAGCCACGGTAGGTTACAAAGTCGGGGCTGCTTCTCACAACTCGTCTGACCTCCGTTGTGCAGAGTCCAAAAACTACTCCAACATGTCAGCTCTACGCTGAAGTGGCGTCTTATGGACCGTCAACCCCTTGAGAAATGGGTGCACACTTCGGGACGCGTCGCTTTGCTTGGCGACTCCTGCCATCCCATGCTTGTACGTACAGGACTCCGTGTTCACTTGTCTCTGACCCAAATTTAACTCGTGCCTTCGCAGCCCTATCGTGCCCAGGGTGCCGCGATGGCAATCGAAGACGCAGCCGTGCTCGGCAGCCTCTTCTCACGACTGTCTCACCCCTCACAAATCGCGCCCCTGCTTTACGCGTACCAAAGCTTGCGACTCAACCGGACCGCGGACACTCAGGCGTCGTCGCGCCTAAACCAGCGCATCTTCCATTTGCCGGACGGTCCCGACCAGGAGGCTCGCGACGCGGACATGCGCGCGGCCATGGACGCCGAGTTCCGCATGCTGCGCGGCGAGAACGTCGACGTCACCAGCGAGGGCAGCACAAATCAGTGGGCGGACCGCAAGAAGAACGCGATCCAGTTCGGGTACGATGCAGATGTGGCCGCCGATAGGTGGTGGGCCGAGGTCGGAGCAAAGGAGATCGGCAGCCTGAGTTCGCAGCAGCCGATTAAGATGAATGGCCGACTCTGATCTCCTCATTAGCTTGTATCTGATTTCGTATATTCCACTGCCATCGACATATGTCTCTTCGCTGTTGTCGTGCTGCGCATTCAACTGTACGAGTACGCACGTATTCTAACAGGCGGCTTCTGCACTTAGTAATAATTCAGTACATCCACTTCCTGTTGTACATGTAATATAGATACAGGACATACATCATTTCAGTACGTCTATTGCTCGCTGCAAGACCTCAGCGGCCTCCCACACCTTCAGCCAGTCTCCTGGAGGCCGACGTTCGACAATGCACTCGCCACGTGCATGGTCTTGCTCGCCGATATACTTCACTACGACGGCCACATACCTCTCTTCGCCGCGTTCGATTTCAGTACGCACGAATTTCCATCCGATGGGGCGTCTTCCTTGAATACGGACTACATCGCGCAAGACGTCGTACTCAATCTCCTTGAAGTCCATGCCCATGCCGGACCCGAGTGCCTTCGAGTAGGCTTCCTTTAGCGTCCAGATGAGGAAGAAGCGACGTATGGCATCGTTCGTGTCAAGATACGGATCTTGCAGCAGAGTCAGCTCGTACGTGGTGAGCTAATATACTGCGTCAGCTTTCTGCGAGAAGCGAACAAAATTCGACATCTCACCTGTTCGCTTATACTCTCCACGAACTCTGAATATGTTATGCGGCCAGGTTGCTGCAGCCGCATGACATCGATGCCTAGCCTGTACGCAGGAGGGTTCGGGTATAGGTCTTCCCCAGTGGCAAATGCCATTGCGACGCATCCGTTGTCGTGGGTGATGTTGTAGCCAAGAGGTTCACCTAAGCCCTCGGTTGTCTGGCTTTGGCACCGCGCAATGGAAAGTTAGCTGACTGCAGAGCCCGACTAGTCGACGCTACTCGCCACGTAGGGTTTGCCCTCGTCGGTTTTCGCAAACGCCATGAGATCCGTTGGTATGCCCCGATCCTTGAGGAGAAGCCTGATCAGAAGCTTGCCTAGCAAACCCCCTACGTATCGCCCGGTAAGCCTTACGTTATGGCGTCGGCACTTCATCACGCACTTATCGAGTCTATGCGGTGATAGTACTTCACGACGTCCTTCCGTGCTTCAGGATCTAGGCAACTAAGGGCTTGCTGATAGAGCTAGTAGAGGGACCGAGTCAGCCTGTCGCTGTTCCTACAGATCTTGAGGACGTACGTCATCAAGGTCGGCAACGGCACTCTCGCTAAAAGTCACTGCCCAAACCTGCATTTCGTACACTAGATGTAGCAGAGAAAGCGAGGTGTAGTGACCGTTCAGTTGATGTTTGAGCTTGTGGTCGGAGCGGATTTGATGGATTGATCGACATACACGATCGAGATATTTGGCATCACTCCGTTCCTCATCCCACTCTTTTTGCCTCCACGTCCTCCGTCGTTTGTGGCGATGGCGACGAGGTCTGTGGCGACACCCAGACCGCACTTCGTGACCTTGGGCATGTTCATCATCGATGAACTTGTGTTTCTGGACGGGCAGGGCAAACCGACAGGCAGGACGTTGCCGTCTCAGGTGAGCAGCATCTACAGTCTTGGGCCAAGTATCGCCAACTGAAAAGGCGACAGATCGGTGGCGGGGGCACCTACGCCAATATCGGGGCTCGTATCTGGTGTGTGTAGCAATTGCTGCCGGACACCATCCCTTGATCCAGAGTACCCGTTTCAGGCTGCCTCCTGAACGCCTAGGCATGATAGTAGACCGCGGGCACGACTTCCCAGAACATATACAGGAGAAGCTAGACTCTTACGGCACGGAGATGTGGATGTATAGGGATGACTCTTCCAGAGGCACTACACGGGCTTTGATCGAGTACAAAGGGGACTACCAGGGTAATCATCTTGCGAAATTGTCATCGTTACAAGTCTCACATCCGTCGAGAAAGATTCCAGTACCTGACACCGCGAATCCGGCTCACGCCGAGAGATCTCATCGGCACGCCGCTGGAGCAGCCGACCACGATGCACTTTATCTGCTCTCCCTCTAGGGCTCAAGCCATAGTGTCGGAAATAAAGGAGTTCCCAGGATGGTCGCCAAGAACTATCTATGAGCCAATACCGGTGCGTTACGGACGCTGCCGTTGTGCGTACGGCAATCCTGAATAAGGCGCAAGTTCAGATGTATTCCGGATGAGTTGCCTGCCTTGCGTGAAGTCTTGTTGTCAATCTCGATCTTCAGGTAACGTCTGTGCGCTATCGTTGGGTCTCGATCCTGCCATGACCATTTTCTTAGCCCGAATGCTGATGAAGCGCTTTCGCTTCTGTCGATGCAGGGTACTCCCACCAAAGCGACTGTCGAAGAGGCAGCGCAGCGCTTCCTGGACATGGGGGTAGGTGCGGACGGAAAAGGCACAGTCATTATCCGCAGCGGTGCTATGGGTGCACATATTTTGACACGTGAAGGCGGCGGACGCTGGATTCCGGCATTCTGGGGACCAGAAGACGTGAACAAAGTGGTGAGCGTCACAGGTGCCGGAAACTCCTTCCTGGGAGGTCTAAGTGCTGGGCTGCTTCTTGCTGATGGAGACGTGTACAAAGGCGAGTTGGATCAGTGTAGCCTTGCACTACTGTGTGCTAACCGTTTTAGTAGCCGTCTTGCATGCCTCTGTGTCTGCATCTTTCGCTATAGAACAGGGCGGCCTGCCAGCTCTGACGCAGAAGATTGGTGATGATGGATCCATCGTAGAGCTGTGGAATGGTGATACCCCTCAATGGCGACTAGAAGGGTTGCGGGCAAGACTGCAATAGAATGTTATGCACACAAATTTAATATATGGGTCCGACTTGTTGCATGCACACACTCAGTTGTAAATCCCTCACGCGGGCGGCTGGAATCGTGACTCCGGACTTGCTCATGTATCAATGATCTAGTCATTTTATCGATCCTTGTCGATTGCTCGTTAGATTGTCACGTTCAAGTGTGGGCCCACACGACCAGTCTGCGCACAAGCTCAACATTCCTCACGATATCACAGTTTCATTACAATCTCGTCGTTGCAATATGCACCAGCGTAAGTGTTAATATGACGGCAAAAAAGCGATCACATAGGACTTTTTCTCATCTTTGCCCGGAGCTACCCAGCGGTATGGACGTTGATGGTAAGGTGAAGTAAAAGCCTGCACAATAGAACATTGTTGCCCAGAAAATGGTCTATATATTTTAAATGAGAATCTACTGTCGGTCCCTTTCGATTTCCTTTTTTTCAATGCAGCATTTGTTGTACAACGCCGAAAAATGTGAAATGGATCAGCCAGAGGAGACGGTCAGGGGCCAAAGAAATTAGACGCCCAAAAGCGGTCAATGAAGCGCCCATTGGCGATCGCCATGACCTTAGCATTGTGTATATAGTAGAGGAGTAGTCGATACATACATAATACTTCAATCCAATCTTTATGATACCTACTTCCGGACTGTGCTCAGCATAAGACATGACTGTGACTGACCGTGTAGCTGGCGCTTAATGCAGCCCTCCGAAGAGGCTGCCTGGGGACGATGTGCACCGAAAGGTGGTGAAGTGCACTCTTCAGCCGCAGCTCGACACATGCTGGGTCTGTCAGTGTATGTATAGCACTAACACTTTTTGTTGGTGACGAGGAGAAACTGCATGTTTACTGTTTATAAACGTTCACACTAAGTTTACAAAAACTTTGTTTATATGCACGGAAACCGTAAACGGCGCGGTAAGAAACGTTTGTACACAGTAAACAAACAAAACGTTGGTTGTAGTCGTTTATAAGCCTAGACCGGGACTTCACACTTCTCGCAGTTCTTGCAATTGTACACCCTTTTGGCTGGCAAGTTCTTTTGACAGTATGGTGGCAACCATAGCCATAACTTTCCTCGGGACGGCGTCTGCTCAGCCGTCTTCTACTCGCAATCACTCGTCACTCGCTCTGAGATTGGACGGACATGTCTGGTTATTCGACTGTGGAGAGGCGACACAGCACCAAGTACAGAAGAGCAATGTAAAGATGGGAAAAATACAGAAGATATTCATCACACATACTCATGGTACGTATATAAAGTATGCGCATTCTGGGACACGTCAGCCGTAGCTGCTGAACATATGCAGGAGATCACATATTCGGGCTTCTCCCTCTTCTCGCCAGTAGGCTGAACGGAGCTGGGGGAATGGTCGAAGGCGTTGAAGACCCTCGAATACAGAATACAGCATCCAGCTCGATCATAGAGGTGAGGTACCCAAGACAGTCTCTTCGCGTGGATAAGTGTTAATCAAAGTTGACTGCTCTCTAGCCTATAGAGATATTTGGTCCTTACGGCACTCGTGCGTATGTCCGTTCCGGACTAAAATATACCTACACGAACCTCGGCGGTCCTTATGTCGTGCACGAGCTGCGCATGACCAACGACCCTCCCCCGTCAGAGGACTCGAGCACCCTCTCGCTGGACCACGCAGAACTACTCACAGGCCGGAATATCGTCCAGCAAGCAGACGGCACCTGGCGCGACATCTTTGCCTCGGATATGCTTACGGTGTCCGCCGCACCGATACACCACTCTGTTCCCTGCGTCGGATACGTTGTCCATGAGCGACCTATACCGGGAAAGATGAACCCCTCAATGTACGTGCCGCATCTGAAGCGGACAGGTACGCCCATGTCCGTGTTACGGCAGCTTCAGCGGGGTGAGACCGTCCAGTTGTCCGATGGCACCGTGCTGCAGGGCCCAGAGCGTCGCCCCGGCAGGAAAATTGTAATTCTTGGTGATACGTACGATCCGTCACCCATAGTGCCGCTAGCCGATGACACAGACCTGCTCGTACACGAAGCGACGAACGCGCACCTGCCCAGTGTCGATCCAGATACCAAGGCCTCGGACACCTACAAGAGCGTCGAGGAATGTGCGAAGTCAAGGGGTCATTCGACGCCTCAGATGGCCGGCGCATTTGCGAAGAGAATTGCAGCAAGAAGATTGGTTCTGAACCACTTCTCTGCCAGGTACGCTGGGGACGACGATAGTAACGAGAAGGCAAAAAAGGTGATGAATGCTCTCCGATGCCTGGCGGAAGAAATGTTTGGTGAAGGAAAAGAGGTCATATGTGCAAGAGATTTAATGACTCTGAATGTTGAGCCGCGGGAATGAGAAGCGGGGCCAGGCTTTTCGACAACTAGTACCGAACGTGACGATACGAGTGCAGTACAAGATAACATATACAAACCATCAGACAAACGTCGCACGTACTAAGCCAAATATTTCTTTCCTCTTGCTCCGGCCATGGACGCATGGACGAACGATATAGATATCGACGGTCAACTAGACTATTAAGACGTCACAGTTTCGCTATTAGTACCATAGCGCACCGAGACAAATGGCGACCCACCTGTCTCCTGGCCCTGCTACTCCTCCCGCTCTTCGCGCTAGCCACACTCTGCGCACGGCCGTCTTCCTCTATAGGCTCATCTACATCCATGGTGTCTTCCTCTGCATCTGCATCCGCGTCACCATCTGCACTGCCCTGGCCTAGTCGCTCCTGTGCAAGCCGGATTTCCTGGTCGATCTTGTCTACCTGCTTCTTCGTTTCAACAAGCGCAGTAGCAGCCTCGAGCAAGGCTTCCAGCTTCTGGCAATTGTCTTTGGTCGGCATGACCAGGCGCGAACTCGACACACTTAACTCTCCAAGAACCTGGGCAATTTTGTGCGCATTCGCAGACTTGGGAGCAGGAAGCTTGTAAGAGCGGAGATACACGGGTTGATGCGCCGCTTTCGTCGCAGTAGCTGTGGTCAGCTGTGGTACTTCCGTGCGATGGATGCAGTGAAGAGCATCTAGAGAAACATAGTCAGGGCGTACAAGCCAAACAAGAGTGTAAGGTTGCATACCATAGGCAGCACTCTTCGCACTTTGCTTTTTTGGAATTGGAGGTGCAAGCGAAACTGTAGTATAACTTGCACTTGCACTCGCGGATGTGGGCGTCTCAGGCTCTGCAGCAACCTTTTTCTTCGTCTTCTTGGTTGACACAGCTGAGATGCTTTCGGCTTGCGAAGTACCTGTAATACCTTCTTCTTCGGCCTGAACGTCAGGTAGTCCAGACTCGATACCAAGCAGAGTGCGCAAAAGCTCGTCTCTCTCCTTCTTGAAGCGTCGTTCATTCTGTTCCAGGCGCTTCAGCTCTGTGAACAGAGCTTCCTCCTCGGCTATCTCGTTTGGCGTCCGACTTTCAAGAGACTCGAGGTACTTCTTACGCATCACCTCTCGTTCTACAGAAACAATGAGATTGAGTCAGCGAAGAGATACTTCTTATACTGACCTTTGTCGAAAGCATAGCTCGAGAGGATCTGTGCTTTTGCACCCTCGTCGCCTGACCAGGGCCGATTGCGCACCAGCTTGCGACACACGCTAAAATATCTATCTTTCAGATCCTAAGAAAATAGAATTAGACGTTGATTAGAGGGCACTTGTCGATGTTGAATACCTCCATACTTCGCTGTGGTCCTTCAGGATATTCATATCGATCTGCGACAATATAGAATCGTTGATCATACTGTCTTACAAGGTCGAACAAATAGTCTGTCTCTTCTCTAGTCCAGTCCTTGTCTTCGCAGGTTAGCTTCCAAAGTTTGGAACCAATCTTCATTCACTGAGCGTGATATGTGCTTACCGACAAGGAATTTGGTGTATTCGTCTTGTGTGTACGTGTACGTTGTATTCTGCACATTGTATTGGGCGAAGGGATATTCTGATATTGCGCATGCATTAGTATGGGGGGATACTGACGAACGGTAGACCTTACCGGCGTCGTGAGGAGTCCCTGCCTTTACCCAATGTGATAACCGTAGTCCGTCAGAGCGAACTTGGTTCTGGAACGAACGCCATTCCCTGTAATAAAACGCCCCATGCCACAAGCATCAGGGAAGTCAAGCACATACGCTTATTGGGTCACCCAAACGTACCACTTGGCTCTTCCACCTCCGCCGAGATTCGGCTTCTGCTTTAGTCTAGGCTTAGCAAGTTGTGCGACAAGGGTTGGGGCAGATTGCCCAATAAGTGAGTACAGCTCCCTGGACATGCCCTCCGGCTTGCGAGCACGCTCGGTCGCAGGTGGAGCTTTGGGCTGGGAAGGACCTGGCGTCGAGGGAAGAGAGAACACAGAGCGGACGTCCGCCGCACTCGGGCCGGCCATTGTAACACAAATATGAGTTGGGTACGACAGAAACTGGGCCAAGTGGTTGAGAGTGGTAGTGGGGCGAGCAGACGAAGGTGAAAGCGTGAAGCAAGATGCGAAGCGCTCTGCGAAATTCAAGACGCGGCGCGGCGATCGCGCGTCCGGAAGTGATCGAGTGATCGCTCCTCACCTCTGCCCACCATGTTCTCCAGATCCTCCAGGCTCGCTGTTCGTCATATCCGCCAACATCCACTTGTGGCTCGACCAAGTCTGCGAGCATTTACTGCTACGCCTACTATTCGTACTGGCGATTCACCGACCAAGTTTGCGAACATCCTTGCCGGAGCGAACACACTTGCCGTACAGATTAAGACTGTGAACTCGGAAGGCATCCAACTCGAGGACGGGCTGATTATACCTTCAGCATGCCTCTTCATTGAAGGGAAAGTATTTCTCTGGAATGCGCCACCCACACCATGGGACGATTGGAAGCCAGAACACTTCGAGGTCTTCGATGCAGTCATCCCCAAGCCTGGTGCGTCTGGGTTAACTTTAATGCCAGTATCTAGCATGCAGCTCATCATTCGCTAGAGCTCGTGCTCTTGGGGACCGGACAGCGAGTGGTACCACCTCCCCCACACATCCGACAATACCTCAGCCAAATTGGCATTCAGATAGAAGTCATGGACACAGTATGTATTCCGGTAGCTCAGCTGTCAAAGTACAAACTGACCTCATTAATGTTAACATCTGTACTAGCGAAACGCATGTTCAACGTACAACCTGTTGGCAGAGGAAGGCCGTCGAGTTGCTGCAGCTCTCCTTCCTCCTACGCCCCAAGCATGGAAGTAGGCTCTTGTGATAAGTTCACAAGATCTAACAAGACGAGCCGACGCCCGGAATTCGTGGGTATCTGGAACAAATTCATATCTCCTGAACGCGTGAAGAGTGGTTTGTCATAGCTCGGGAACGTCTGTTGCTTTCCGCTTCCCCTTTCCTACGGTGTGATCTGGTTCGTCCTCGTCGTCTTCCACCAGAGACGGCAATGATACTTTGACGGGCTGAAGATTTCCTGTATGACGTGTTGTAGGTACAAGATGTCGTGGTATCCAACAATACATTACATATGGACGTATAATCCGGAAGAAAGCACATGCGACTTACCCTCTTCATCCTTGAACTGGATAAAAAGGCTTTCCCAATTGACCAGTTGCTGCTTGATAATGGTGTCGTCTGGGAGCGCCTCATACTGGCCATTTGGCCTCCCCCGTTCCTTGTGAGCTCGCGCGAAATCAAAGTCTTCTACACTTTCGATTGGTGGGATTGTCCACTCTGGCTCTTGTGGCGCACCGAACATATCGACGTCGCCGTCGCGATCTCTCGATAAAACATCAGCTTTTAGTGCGCTCAGGGCTTCAGCTTTGAGGTCTCCTATTGTTGTTTTCTCCGGTGTCGCGACTGTCGTGAGCACGGTCAGTTTGTGGGTCTTGATGGTAAGAACGAACGTCTTCGGCTGGGTGCGAGGGGGCTAAGGGGATTGTTAGCTCTATCGAGCTTCAAGACACCCATTGATACGAACCAAGACCGGCATAGTAGTTGGGTGCAGCAAACGCTATGTGAAGGTCTGGAGTAGCAATACGTGGTGGTTTGGGGTGAGAAGTTCCAACGCGTCGCGCGTTGAATGGCGGTAGTGAAGCAGGTAACACAGTCAGTCAAAGCTAGTAAGCATCTTTTGTAACGGCTTCTCCTTATCCGGACGCCCAGCAATTAAACGCGTGTGAATCGAAACCTGCCTAGTTCACCCTTATTTCAGCCTCCGAGTCGTGACGACCACTTCAGCGTTGTGCTCGCCCTGTCTACCGCAAGATGAGCACCGTGTACCACAAGCCCGACACGGCTGATCAGCCGTACCGCGACCCGACACCTCTCCCCACCGACTTGCCTAAAGTCGCCGAACTCGGAACGACCAGCGCACCGCTTAAGAGCGCCGCGTTCTTCATCGGGGCGTACTGCAAAGACTACAACGGTGCGTGCTCCTATTCCTCCTGCAGGCTCGCACGTGGGTGTACGACGGAGTCGCAGAAGAGGAGCGACCGAGCGAACTGTGAGGGCGCGCGCTGACGAGGACGCCTTGCGTGTACGACAGATGACTTTATGCTCTGCAAGGCAGAGAACCGCGACCCGGCACACTGCCTGAAGGAGGGTCGCCGCGTCACAAGATGCGCACAGGACTTGTACGCATCCTCCTTTCCTCACTCATCACTGCGGAGCAGCCACTCACAAAGGATACATGACGCAGAATTTCGAAGATGCGCGAGAACTGCCTAGAGCAGTTCAAGGCGCATTGGAACTGCTTGGAGCACAATAATCAGGTGCGTGAATTATACCAGTTCATAACTATCTCATTAATTAAACCGTCCTACAGGAGTACCACTACTGTCGGAAACCTGAGCGCACCCTCAACAAGTGCATGTTCGAGAAGCTTGTGAGTCACGCTATCGGAGGATCTTCTGATCCCTACTTATTGTTCTCGTGAATTAGGGTCTGGTGAAGACTATCCCTGGAATTCCAGAGGGCAAGACACCTATCCATGATGTCAAGGACCCAATATACGGTCATGTGCAAAAGTAGACGATATAATACATTTATTCTCCATGCCCTGAAGTACGCATTTACGGAGCCCATTTAGTCATACCATCTGTCTGTGGTTTGCTATCATACCGCTCAATCGTGTTTGATGCTGAAGGTCCTTTAGCCAACGCACTCAGGTTACAGCCTCAATGGACGCACATCAACATCGGTGCTATGCGGATTGGTAGCTTCCAGCTGGGAACGAAAAGTGGCATGATTGCACGTAATATATACAGTGGGTGCGATAGACGGCATGAAGACGAGCGCGAGGACTTGTGATGAGGTACAGAACATGGCGAAGGGATACAGCCTGACATAGCGGTCCATCCTTGATACGAGCCCAGTCAGGTGTAGTATGCATGCGTTTTGACTCGTGACCTCATCTCTCGTTATCGTCGGGCTGGAGAGTCAGGATAAGTATTGGGGTAATTGGCTGATCTTGACGACGACAAAGGGGTAACCGATGACCACTCATAGGTCTGGAGAAGTGAAACGTAGAACGAAGTTGGCGATAATTGCTCCCAGCAGGGCAATGCATAAGACGGTCTGCAGAACGTAGGTCAGTGAGACGCTAAGGCCAGACAGAAGAATGCGGCGCACTGGGCCAATCCGGTCGTCGTATGGTCCACGTCCTCCCGTGCGAATGGAGTTTGCTCTCCAGTGGTATGTCCAAAGTGCGTATACCATCACTGCAACCGCTAAGGTGGAGCGCATGAGGTTTAGCTTCCAGCTCACTCTAGAGAGGCAACATACCAACGACGGAGAACATTGCAGCACTGATTTGTCCAACCTACACCGCACCTTCAGCGAATTCGGGGTGGAGAAAATCAGCAAGCGTACCTTATCGCCAAAATTGAGCAGACCGACTGCCAATCCGCCGAGGACGACAGTGAAATGAAGCCATGACAAGAAAGTTCGCTCGTTGGCAAAGGAGACTTTTGGCTCAACCTTAACGGGGAGCGCGATGCGCTTTGCGGCAGTGCGCTGTAGGAGGGGTTGTGTCGACATGGGGGTGGGTCGCGTGCAAACAGCGACGGTACCTCGTGAAGAAATACACCACTAAGCCTGGCGAGTTGCCGATGGTCTGGAGGAGGTCAAGTCTAAAAAGGAAACTCGACGAACGTGCGCGGCATTAGAGGCTAGTGCTTCCGGTGGCCCCGCGGATGTGCCGGATACTCTCGGCTCTTTGCCGAACGTAAGGACAACGCGAGGACAGTCTGTAGAAAATGGCCATAGGGTGGCCTATGTTCACCCTTGCTCCGTATCTCTTCACCAGCCGGCATGCAATTATATCTTTGCAAAGAAAAATTATCCAATTATATCGTGAAAAGCCACGTGAGAGCCAAATAACGCGTAAACAAGGCGCGCAGCCTCGACCAAGCGCACAACATTCCACCTCTCCATGTTCCAGCCTCTCGCAACCGCTCGAGCGTACCCATAGAATGCCAAACAGCACGCCAAATATATTAGGGTGTGATGTGAACGAGGTCAATAACCTTTCTAATCTCAGCTTACATTTTTTGAGAGCTCCTTTATGATCTCCAGTCGGCAATCGTGCAAGCCACACACGAAGTGAACATCTCCTCTACCTTCATTGGCGCAGGTTGACTTTACATGACATAGATTGCCTACAAGGTGGGCATTCTGAATGTTGACCAAGAAGAAACATCCAGTACGCCCGATGAGACCGCATATATGCACGTTGCTCAAACTCCAGCTACGTATGAGCTCTCAGAAACAATGTTGAATCACGCGCAAGGCGAAGATGGAGTGCGGAAAGCCCCTGCAGCGTCTTCTTTTCTAAACTCCCAAGGTATGTAATGTGTTTCTGTTGACCACCCTAATCAATCACGGAAACGCTTTACAGAAGCCTCGGGGAACGTACTCTGCAAGCCAACCAGAGCAAATGAGAAAAGCGCATATATCCTACAAGAATCTACAAAAGGTAACCCCACAAGGGGAAGCGTTAGTACATGTCAGATCACGCTAACTACAGTGCTCGAAGATCTCACCTGCGGCGCATACAGCGAGCCCCACGAGCCTCTGGAGGGGTCGAATGATAGAGATAGAACACCATGTCAATCTTCATCATCATCAACGGTCCCCACTCCAGATCGCGCTCTTAGCCCTGCATCAACGGCGGGAACACATTCACCTCACAAGTCGGCCAATGGCGCGCCCATTCCACCACCGAAACACGAGAGCGGGACCAGCCTCCCAAGCGTCAAGTCTAAAACCTTATCAGATTTATTCCCTCACACTAGCGAGGAAGAGTCCTCGGTCGCTGAGTTTCCATCCACCACAGACTCATCTGGCCCTTCTCGATGCTTGGAACTGCCAGCGGCTCAGGGCACGTATATCAAGCCTTCCATTGAACACGCCGTGTACGATGCTCCGGAAGACGGGGTTGATACAACGAGCACGTATACCTCCAGCACTCAGGAGAACAGGTCGTCTCAGACAGATCCCAATATCAGCTCACTATTGTATATGCTCCCAGCAGCAGCGACTCAGCCTATCGCCGCCGCGGGTCTACATCCCTGTCCCGTTTCGGACGGACCTGCTTCATCTTTAATCGAAAGCTTGCTCCTGTTCGATGAAGCTATCCCAGAGACCCTCGCTGTGCCTCTTGTGCCTACTGTTAACCTGGACCTTGGGGACTCTTCAACTCTTAAGGACGGCTCTATTCTTAGAGACTTCGCCGTGCCCACTGGACGTCTTGGAAGTCTCGACGATAGACCTGCTGCATTTGCGCCTCCGGCTGTTGAAGCTGGTCTTCCAGCTACTTCCACTTTAATAACTCCTCTCTGCGGCAGACCTACGTTCTCTCATGCTGTCCACCCCAATTCCGCGCGTCAGTCTGTCGATTCCTGCTCCACCGCATCCCCAGCCTCTTCAGCTGTTACGGCGGCCACCTTTGTGCCTGCTAATCGCCCTGGATCACCGTCCGTCTTAGATCTTTCCCTTTTGTCTGACCTCGGCCCCTCGACGGCTGCTCCCGCTACTGCGATCTTGTCTGGCACTGATCTCGTTTGCTCTCAACGCTCTGCCGCAAAATCTGGTCCTCACCTTATAGATTCTGGCTGCGGAACGGCTGCTCCCTCGCCCTCACTTCCTACTTCCGTTATGAATCCTGCATTGTCTTTACCCGGTGTTCACTACGACTTAGGTACTATCACAGCCACCACTGACGCTACTCCAAGCGACTTGACCGACACTCCCGGCGACATGAGCGCAACGTCTCCATATCTGTCTGACAGCCTGTCTGAACCTGCTGATACTGGCGCTAACCCGCACATCCTCGTTTCAGAACTCGAGGACATCTTCCCGGTCATAGTCCCACCGGACGAGCGGACGAAGGCTGTCATCAAGGCTGCCGTTGCCGACTTTTCTTCCCGGGACGCCGATGACCTTGCGTCGCCCGGTTTGCCACCTTCGAGCCCACCATGCAGCCAAGTATCTGACTTCCATCTCCCGCCCTCGCAGCATGGATGCCGCGGCGGCACCTCGAGCGTATTCTCGCTCGCAAATGGAAAAGACCACGAGAAGGGTAATAGCGAAGCTGACATGGACATCTATCTCTCCCAACCGAGCTCGTCCCCTCCGGGCCAGGTCTTTTCATCATCTCCCCCATTGGCTCTTAACTCGCCACCGACGTCTCCTCAACTCTTGCCGCAGGGCAGTGGCAAGGACAGGATAAGCGACGCTGAGTTGGACTTGGAGAGTTGTTTACCCGATGTCGAGCCAAAGGACATGCCAAAGAAACGAGTGGCGACAGACGACTTAGCCGATGAGTTACCGGAGCTCAAGCACGCGGTAAGCTCCTTTCGTCACCCGAGGAACTACTGTTACCGACTAGTCATGCGCAGAGAACGACAAGTTATTCGCCACCTCCGCCACCGAACCCGAAGCGCCACACGCCGCTGGGTCAGAAGAGGGCGTATAAGAAACTCATCCAGCCTTTCCGTTCTCCACTCGTCAACATCGAAGACGTACTCGCTGGCAAGGACCACGTATACACGAGCGGGCGTGCCCACCCTATAAACAAGCCTGCGGCGAAGGCTGAGCCACAAGACGATCCTGGGCTCGAAACTATGAGCGGTGGCGAGATTGTCGACCGCGCGCCTAGCCAGCCTAGCCAGTTCATCGCGACGAAGGACCGCACAGCCAATGCAGGCAAGCCCTTCAAAGCTCTTGTTATCCAGCCTAATGCTGCGGCGGTCTCACCGGGAACGAAGACCGGTTCCACTCTTCAAGCCTTGCAGGCCCGCGTGCAGAAGCTCAAGCAAGCAATCAAGATCAAGCACGACCGCGAGAAGTCGGGCGATGGGCACAACCTCGAGGCGCTCGTGAGCAAATGGCGGTCGGTCGGTCGGGAAGTTGCCTGGCTCGTGTGGGATACCGTGAAGGACCTCGATCCTGGGGATAGCTTAAAGGTCGCCGTGCCCGTTAGAGGTGAATGGGACGGCGATGAGGTGCTTCCGACGAAGAAGAGAGGCCATGGTTCTGCTAACGATGGATTTAAGGATGGGTGGGGATGGGACGGCGGGAAGGGCGGGAAGCATGATGGATTTGATAGTAACTGGGGATGGGATGACAGGAAAGACGGCGAGATTGTGAGCGGGACTGAGGAGCGTGCCACGGAAGACGAAAGGACGGGCATGGGCGAGGAGAATGTGCCAACCATGAACCACTCTTTGGGCACAATGCTCAGGCACCTCGGGATCGACCCGGAGACCTTGGGATGGGACGAAGATGAAGGCGACTTTGTCAGTGAGCCTTGACGTGATAGAACACTTACTGGTACATTTTTTGGTAGCAACAGCTTACTTAGTCTTGTCGAATCCTGTGTCTAGCGGAAGGCGTGCTAACTACCCACCGTCCTCGAAGGCATAGGAAATAACTGATTGTGCCGCTCGAAGATTGGGAACGTGGCGAACATTTCTTATCGTTCAGAGTAGGATAGGTTGGGCAGATCCAAATGAAGTATATTCATCTAGTTTACTACATGCCCTTTGGCCGAAAGACGTGGATGATGCCCGGGATACGGAAGACGTGGACGATGCCCGGGATACGGGATACGGGATAAATCTTATGATGCTTATTTCTGACGGTCCTACCACGCAGCGAGCTCCCGTATCTATCTTTCTGACCTGTATTTATAGGGGTCATGTCTAGCTCGGAGGGTAAGAAAACGTTGAGGATGCGACAGGAATGAACGCACCATTTGATAAATAAAATGGAGGTTGAGCCCGAAACGATCCTCATGCAGGGGTGTGGTAGCCAGAGGTTGATTGACAGCTTGGTCTTTCGTCCACGCCCTCTGCATAATGCAAAGCCGTAATAAGTAACAGGCAATTTGAATACGGCATGGGGCCGGAAATGCGATGTCTTGGACAGATCGTCGTCATATCTCTAGGACGAGAAAAACAACAGGTGTGATGACGGAAAAGCTTCGTTGATTTCGTGAGAGGCGAGTCTTCTCTATTCGTTAGAGGCGCGTCCTGTATATCGCTAGTATGATCGACGTGGAGTGTGTTATGCCGTGACGAGCGGGAGGGAGCGCGGCAGGAGTACGTTGAGACGTGGGTAGGACGGTGAGTAGAGGCCACAAGCGGAGGTGGAAGATAGGGTCACTGGGTACAGCTAACTGTGGAAGGCGGCGGCGAGCGGATATCCAGATGGGCCCGCGGGGTGCGTTGAGCATAGTCGTGATGGCCGAGGGAGAGGAGGTTATGGTGACGAAGCTGAACGTGGGCGGTTCGATCGATCGCATTCGGTTGTGTTGAGCGGGCGGATGCACTGCGTCCTCGTCTCTGACCACGACCACAACCGCAATCGCCACCTCGACCACGACCTTCGGTCGCTGCTCGATTTTTTTCTCTAGCATGTCGTCACCGTGTTCCATGTCGTAGCATCGCCTGGCCTGCTTGGTACCTCGATGATCGCCAAGATCCATGCGAATCCGAACACTCAGCTCCGACTTACGCGGCATCTTCAGACTCGGACTCTTGCAGTGAAGATAATTCAATAACGCCAGGATCTTGGAGTTGCTCGTGCGTTCTGGTATCCTTGTTTCGGATTGCCATGGTGCTGCTCGGTCGTGTTCGCATACCGGCCCATAATCAAGGTCGTCGCCTGTCGCACGCGTGTGGTGGCGGCGCCCTGTCTACTTCAACGGTATCTTCTTGCATGCGTTACTCTTGCTGCACTCCGTCTTCAAGAGTAGGTCGGTATCGTCGAGAGATACGTCAACCTTTGTCGGACAGGCAGCGGAGCTGCGAGAAAATTCCTTTGTGGAGAAAATAACGGTAGAAAATGCCTTAGGCCTCGCCCATGGAGAGCTATACGTTGAGCTGCCGTATTCGCGTTGGTTGATGCCGCGGTAAATGACAAACGGCCGAGCACCTGGAGGCCACCGGGAATAGTTGCTTATGCATGCTGTTGACCAACGATCACATAGGGTTTGTCGTCCTGCAAATCTCCCGTTGCTTCACTTGTCCTGGAGAGTCCATACGCTCGACGTCCTACACGTCGTGAGGGCAAAGACTGTTGTCTCTACGGCATCGAACGTGGACCCGAGAAGAACGGTCCTCGGAAGGCCATGGTACGTCTTCCGGCGAGTATATACTCCTTGAGCTCAAGAATATGTTTTCTTCCAGCAATGCAAAGGCTGAACCTTTCTATTCCTCTGCCAGGATGCACTACGCCGTCCACCGGCCGTCCTCTGGCTTCCCCACGTCACCTGTCACAGCCACGATGTGTCACATATTGTCACAATGCGTAACGGCAGTCGTGACAAGTCGCGAACACGCACGAGGTAGGACAAGGGTGTACGTGGAGAAGCCAAAAGACAACCTGGTAGTCGTCCTATGGCATCTCCTTGGTACCTGATGGGCGGTTGTGGCACCGCCTCACGGGTGGAATAGAGAGTAGGGCCCACTGGACAAGGGGCCATGTGCAATTTGCTTCCGCGAGAGTTTCGCGTGAAGGGGCAGACATCATGTTCTGCCAACCTGCGAATAGCGTCAGGACATTGCTCGTTCTCAAAGAGCTCGAAGAAGGCCACCATACTGTTCATTGGGTCGGTTTTTGCAGTTCTGAACCTTGACTTCGTCTTGCCACGCCGTCGCTGCCTTCGCACCAGACCGCCGATGGCAGCTCGGCTTTCATTCCTGTTATTCCGCAGATGGGTCGGCTACCACTAATCATGGGTCCTACATCGGTCACAACAACGCTCGGCCACGATCTTTGGTCCCTTGCTATGGTACCCGTGTCTTCGGTTTGTCTTCCTTAGCTTCCACCCCATCTCTCCCACGACTAGCCTTCATCTTGATGTTTGGGGAACGCAGCTCGGAGAGCCGCTCATTCTGGCCGGCGAACGATCACAAGCTGCCATGGGAGCACACATACAACGGCAGATTCGGGGGCTATTGGCATGCAGGCCGTGACGCGTACCAAGATTGTAGTCGGCGATTGAGTCTGGTTAGCTGGCTTAAGCTTCTTGATTTGCCGCCGCGTTTGCCTTTCCAATCAACCCCGCCGCGTAACAAGCTCGCGAGTCTCGACCCCCCGCGCTATTAAAACCCTGAATGATTGCGACTTGGTCCCTCGTGCCCCTCTTTCTCATTTCCTGCCCCGGCCAGGAGCCGTCCAGCTCTGCTCCTGCGCATCTGCTCTAGTCGACCAGCATCTCGCATAGCCGCTAAAAAAAAACTTGCAAGAGCCGAGCTATGCTCCTGTGCGAGACAGACGAACTCCTTCTCGACGTCTTCGACCCGCCGCCGCCTTATGAAGAGGAAGAATACGACGTCTATCTCCTTTGGCCGTCGCACTCGCCGCCGCTGCTCATACCTGCTCCGTGTAACGCGGAGCTCGACCCCTACGCGGTCCACAGAAGCCCAGTTGCGGCACCCGAGTGTGGAGTCGCAGGTTTACGGCCACCTCATTTCCTGACGAACAACAACAGCGGCGGCGCACCGCCAACAGCCTCCAGGTTGAGCACACGACCGCCATATTTCCATCTCTCTTTTCCAACGCCTCACAGACGGCAAGCTGTTGAGCTGGACGCGTTGGCTCTTCCGGTATGCATTCTTCGTCTTGCTGGTTGCAGGAGACTGACTATTGTGCAGCCGCGCAATCTTGAAAGTTCGTTCTTCGAGGAGCCCGCCTTCATTGAAGATGATACATCTCAGCAGTTGGCGGACATTGGCTACAGCAATCTCTTCTGTTCGGGCTTGGCGTTAAAGGTCGGTCTTGCTTATCTTCGTGGTCTGCCTCGCTACTGATCTTGTCGTTTTCTTGGATTTTGCAGTCACGCCAGCTCACGAAACAACTTGACACGCTCTACCGAAAGATTCAGCATGCCTTCAAAACCTTGACGGTAACGCGCACGCAACGCGGCGTGTAGTTGCAGTTTGAAAGCCCACGCTCACACCTCTTGATTCACTCTTGTTGCACGCCGTTTGAAACGGTGAGGTCGGAAAGTCGGAAGCTCGGTCTGCTTGCATCGTGTTCCTTGGTCTGCTCTTCATTCTTCTTGGTCACTCTCTTGGTCACTCCTCGTACACGCTCGTTGCTGTCTGATCCTTTCTTGTTGCGAACATCTTCTTGGTCACACGTTTTCTTGCACACTTCTTGCTGTCCTCTGTACATATATCTTGCTATCGGCATATTGTCTTGCACATCTTGCTGTCTTCTTGGTCATACTGTATCTTGCTGTCGCTGCATCTAATCACCACACTCAAAACATGCACTTTGTATTCTCAACGTGGTGTCAACAGGGCAAAGCGACGGTGTCTGGTCGCACGGTGTCGAGAAGACGCGAAGGGAAGGCCAGCGTTCAGGGGTGCAAAGGACGCGGGGGTTTAATTTGACTACGGGAGCTTGTACCTGGATCGTAGGTTAGGGAGTGCCACGACGAGATGAAGACGACATCGCGTACTTACTCACTCGATGTCGCGCCGAAGTATACGTTGCTGGGTGTTCAGCTGCATGCAAGGTCGATAGGAACGCAGGCTAGGCCAAGAGGTAAGTGTCGGGAACAAAGGGCGGGCGCGCTGCGAGATGCAACGAATCATCGCCATCGTCCTGCCCTAAACCCATGGCGCCTGCGCCTCTCCCCCGACGCTACCCCGAATAGGCAAGTCCAGAGTCTGGCCAACGCGTCTACGGCTCCCCGACGCTCCAGCAACGGCGCCGACGATTGTCCACATTGTTTTAGTCTATGAGCCAACTGCCATTTGTATTGATCTCTCCTGCAAGCCGAGGGCTCGGGCTCGCACTTGCAAGGCACTACCTTCGTACAACAGACCTCCCGGTCTTCGCAACCCATCGCTCGGACGTCCCTGCCCCGCTCCGGACGCAAATGCTCAACGGCATACCAGACGTCGACCCTGACAGGCTGACCCTCCTCCGGCTCGAGCTCACCTCGGAAGCGAGCATCGCGCGGGCGGCCGAGAGCCTCGCGAACCAACTCCCGCGCTCGGGCGCACACATCCACACCGCGTTCTTCGCCGGCGGCGTGCTGCACCCCGAGCGGCGCCCTGCAGACGTCGACGCCGTGCAGGCGCTCGAGACCTTCCAGGTGAACACGCTCGCGCACCTCCTGTGCATCAAGCATTTCGCGCGCTTCCTCCCGCGGCGCGCACAGAACGTGTCGCACGACGCTGCCGCCGCGCCGGTGAAGTGGGTGCATGTGTCTGCGCGCGTCGGGAGCGTCTCGGATAACCGCCTCGGCGGGTGGTACTCGTATCGCGCGAGCAAGGCCGCGCTGAACCAGGTCGTGCGCACGTTCGACCTGCACCTCCAGGCGAAAAGGTTGCCTGCTATATGCGTCGGCGTGCACCCCGGCACGGTCAGGACCGACCTCAGCAAGGACTTCTGGGGTGGAGTGCCAAAGGAGCGGCTGTTTGAGCCTGATTATGCGGCAGAAAAGCTGGCTGAGGTCGTTGGCAGCCTCAAGGAAGATCAGAGAGGTAGGATCTGGGACTGGAAAGGGGAGGAAGTTGTGCCGTGAAGGAGCGATCGCAAGTGCGAGGTTCAATGTGCGTGATACCCACAGCAAGATACCCAGGACAGTAGCAATAGATACACAAGACATTACAGAGATGACTCGACAGCGTAGTGTAGCATAGAGAGCAAAGCAGAGAAATACACTAGCCTAGCCTAAAATCCAGTCAAGCTTGTTGTATATGGCTGCCGTTAACATAACGGTTCTGCCCATTCACAGCACGCTCCGGATACCTGTGTTAACCACGGTGAGCACATGGTGTGGAAGCGCGAATGAGTAGCATACCTAGTCTTGATCCTTGTAGCAAGGTCTTCTTCGTAAATCTGGTCGCCGCCGAGCTGGTTTCCAAGCGTCAACCAGCCAGACCTCGTGTTGTGCTTCCTCCCAAAGATCTCGATTTTGCGTCCGCCGGGGCACATCCGCTCGATGAGGCCGTACACCTCGTCGGGTTTGCGCGACGTCTCGCGCACCTCGGAGACGATGACGTCCGTGTCGAGACCACGGTTGGCCCAACTGGGGAACTTGAGGCACCCGTGCTCGTCTGTGACGGTCTTGACGCCGACGAGCATGTGCTCCTTGGTGTGGTTGATCCAATGCCCTGTGCGTCCCGTGCGGATCACGCGTTGCAGCTGGTTGGTCTTCACCCAGACGACCTCGTCGACTCGCGTGTAGCCCCACACGCGCATACACTCGCGTCCGACCTCCATTGCACGGCCGGTGACCCAGAGGAAGAGCATGCCTTCATCCTGCAACATGGGAATTGGCATCGCGCGCATCTCGTCGTCGGTCATGGTACCGTACGGGAGCTGCATCAAAGTCAATAAGCGAGCGTGAAGGGCGAGACAGGCACGCACACTCATGTGGATATCCCAAGGCGGGTCTGCCATGATGACTTGAAACTTACCAAGCACAGAGTAGTCGAATCTGCGCAGATCACAATTGATCCACTGTGGCGGGAGCTGAAACGATTGTTGAGCGACGCGTAGACCAGCATGTGAACAGGAGCTGACCGGTGAAACCTCCTTTCCTGTAGGCCCTAGGCCAATGCCAAGCTTGTGCAGCATCTTCTTTGGCTCCGTCTGGTCGGACCTGCCGGCGCCGTCGTTGACGTCCCAGTCGATCTCGAAGTGCAGGTATCTGCACGGCGCCTTCTCTTTGCCACGCCCACCAGCACCAAGACCGCTGGGAAGCGCCACGGTCGTCTGGCCTTGAGCACCATAGCCGTGCGGCGCCCTGTTCGATGGGAGTGGAGGAATCGAGGGTGATTGCGCATATGTCGGCTCAGAGTAGCACGTGTTGAGATATGAGCAGTGTCCTAGTGTTGGGTCCGTGTGCGGACGGATGAGCGGGCGAAAATGCACACGCTCACAGATGGTGACCGACGCGGTATCGCTTTCGGGCGCGATGGCGCGACGCGCGCTGAGGCATTCCTCTTTGGTGATGTTCGGGCAGATGGGCTCGAACGCCGTATTGGGAGAATGGAACTGATAGAATATGGTGAGCAACTGAGAGCAAGATATTCAAAAATAGTACACACCTGCTCGGCGAGGAGCCTTCCCCTGGCCGTACCTCGTTGCAAGAGCGCATACACTTCGCGCATGTCCTTGCTCAAGCTGTCCAGCGTAGAGGGCATAGGTCTGCGGCATTCTGCATCGCTACTCGCTTCGTCTTCCTGCACAGCAGTCGCAGAGTCTGCGTCCTCGTCTACGATGCGCTTGCGCTTCTTGCCATGCGCAGCGGTGCCTAGTCCGCCGTTCTGGCCCCTGGACGTTTGACCGAGCTGGACGTCAAGGACCGTCATCTCACCGTCACGAGACAGCACAATCTTTCCCTCCTCCCAGTCCTGCGACAGAGAGTCTAGTATGTGTTCGAACCGAGAGAGGTCCGTGAGGCGGAAGTTTGGTGGTGGATCAGGTCCCGGGAAGAGACCAGGACTTGGAGGACCCGATGAGACAACGCGTGCAAGGAGGTCAAAAGACGATATCGGCGTGTGGATTTGCCCAGAAGCAAACAGATTCCTCAGAGCGTTTGAGGCCACGATCTTGAGCTTTTCATCATTGGACATGGCAGAACAAAGGTAGAATCTGGTCCTCCGACGCTGCGAGCAGCGTATCGTAAGCTTGGCGCCTCCACACCCGCGACTTGAACAAAATGCAAAAGCGCTTCGGACGGGTGGCGCCAGATCTCTCTTCCAACTAGCGGCAGAGGGCAGCACAACCAGACAACGCCCTCGCCTTTTACTAGGGCGTTCCGTGTGCTGCCTTCATCGCAATGCCGCTTAGCCAATTTTTCAGCTCTCAGCTTCGCCCTGAGATGTCGTATTTCTTTGTCATTTGTATTTTTGCAACCGTTTTGCCTTCCCGCGCAGCTTTCCAGAGTACCGACCACCCTCCCGCCCGCCACCTACCAAGTAGACTGGCCACGAGTCTACCACGCAGCGCGTATCCTCGACGTGAGTCTTCGTCGTGTGGGCATCACCGCACTGACTGCACATCCCGGCTGGTCATTGCTAGTAGGCTACGTTCCTGAAGAGCGCAGGCTACATGTGGCCAGGGCCGCCGTGTGCACGTCGCGCTTCGCCCGTTACTACGTCTGTTGATGCGGACGGCGCACTTGGCATCAATAGCCGCGCTTTGTACAGCCTTTCCTGGCGTTACATCTCCTACGCTGTGCCCGCCACGGACTTGACGGCCATTCTAGGCCATTCTCCAGGACTCTCGGTTCCTGCTATCCGGCTGCTGCGCTCTCGGCAGCCTTGATATCTCAGACGAACACCACTATCTCCCCGTAGCAGAGATGTTGATATCAGCTCACGGTGTGACCTAGGTTGCCACCTTTGCGGATATCGCAAACAACGCTCGTCCAGAGACGAGTGATGTGCGTGATTTCGCAGGGCATAGTGTGTCCTTCCTGTTGATTTGTTGGGCGCCACGGTAGCTTGTCTACCTCCAGACATCACCGGACCATCGTCGGGAAGGAGAAAAAACGGAATCTGTACAGCCCGCTTGATCCTGATAGGCTTGTGCTCGCCTGTGCCTCCAGTGTGCCGTCTCTCCGCCCGGGTGCAACCCACTAAGTGGAAACGTTTCAGGTGGGACAGATCGTTGACCGCTCGCGCAAGCATGAGTGCCAAGCAGATGGCGCTCCGCGACTCTGCGCTAACTTTGCAGTATAAAAGGGCCTAAGAAATATTCACCGTTCCTCAGCTCCTCAGCCCCCAGCTCATCTCAGCCTTCTTTCTTCTCCAAGTCCAGGTGCCGGTCTGTGAGTACTTCCATCATATACGTTTACGATGCACTTGACACTAACAATCATCTCCCAGCCTGACTTGTCTTTATTCTATTCACTTTCGACTAGCTTACGACACAACTCTCCTTTTTCGCTCACACTTTAACGACACCCTTCACTTTTAATTCTATCACTCTTCACGACTCCAAACATGTACGCTCCCAAGGCCATCCTCGCTCTTGCTATCGTTGCTGCCGCTGCCCCCGCTCTCGCTCAGTCGTGAGTCTTGCAACAATATCTGCCAAAATGAACTTTGAGCTGACTAGACTTCACAGCTACGGCGGACCCCTTGTTACTCGTGAGGACCTTGCTCTCGCTGGTGTTGCCCGTAATGTCAACCTGGTTCGCTCCGTCGGCGAGGCCATGGGCATGAAGCGGTCTGAGGTGGATGACATCCTCGCCCGCTCGTTCCACGGGTGAGTCTTGACAGCTTGCCTCCGCTTATGTGAGACGTCTTACTTACCGTGCAACAGAAAGCAGCACGGACACAAGGCCGGTCACAAGCTCGGCCAAAAGCACCACGCCCGTGCGCAGGGCGCTGGACAGCACAAAGCTGGTCGCAAGCACCACAAGGGCGCGAAGCCCCAGCATGCCGCTGCCCACGCTGCGCGTGCGCTCCTCGCTCGCGAGACGCAGGGAACTCCCGCCCCTGCCCCCGCCCCCGCGGACCAGTCCGGCGCGTTCGACTTCGGCGCCTTCCTGAAGGGCCTGCTCCGCCGCGAAGACGTCGAAATGCTCGCCCGCGCCGATCCTTCTGACCAATCTGGCGCTTTCAACTTCGGTGATTTCCTCAAGGGCCTGCTCCGCCGTGAGGACGTCGAGATGCTCGCGCGAGCAGACCCCACTGACCAATCTGGCGCTTTCAACTTCGGTGATTTCCTCAAAGGTCTGCTTCGCCGTGAAGATATCGAGATGCTCGCCCGCGCCGACCCGTCGGACCAACAGTCCGGCGCGTTCAACTTCCTCAAGTTTGTCGGCGGCCTCCTTCGCCGTGAGGACGTTGAAATGCTCGCCCGCGCCGATCCTTCTGACCAATCTGGCGCTTTCAACTTCGGTGATTTCCTCAAGGGCCTGCTCCGCCGTGAGGACGTCGAGATGCTCGCGCGAGCAGACCCCACTGACCAATCCGGTGCTTTCAACTTCGGCGCGTTCCTCAAAGGTCTGCTTCGCCGTGAAGATATCGAGATGCTCGCCCGCGCCGACCCGTCGGACCAACAGTCCGGCGCGTTCAACTTCCTCAAGTTTGTCAGCGGCCTCCTTCGCCGTGAGGACGTCGAGATGCTCGCCCGCGCCGACCCGTCGGACCAACAAGCTGGCGCGTTCAACTTCCTCAAGTTTGTCGGCGGCCTCCTCCGCCGCGAGGACATCGAGATGCTTGCCCGCGCGGACCCTTCTGACCAATCTGGCGCCTTCAACTTCGGCGCGTTCCTCAAGGGCTTGCTCCGCCGTGAGGACGCCGAGATGCTTGCCCGCGCTGATCCGTCCGACGATCAGTCAGGCGCCTTCAACTTCCTCAAGTTCATCGGCGGCATCCTTCGCCGCGACGAGGACGAGCAGTCGGGTGCGATCAGCGCCAAGACGATCCTCGGTGATGTCGGCAAGGTCGCGGAATTTGCTCTCCCATTCGTCCTTCGTGAGGAGCAGATGATGTGAGCACTGTCGGGACTGCCTTCGAAGAGATTGCTTGCTGACGACTTCTTGTAGGGCTCGCAGCCTCAACGACCTCGACTAAACATCTTTGGAGACTTTAGCGACGAGTTTTGTGTTTTGGTGTCACCTTTAAATTAGCGATTAAGCCTGCTAGTCCTCTATGAATGAAATGAAGACCTGACGGCTCGCTGAGGAGCTCACTGGTAAATATCCCAAGTGCTTGTGTGGCCTAAGCAGTATGCAACTTCGGAAGGTAAATTGAAAATCAAATCTTGTCATCTATTGCTCGGCTGTCCCCATATCTCTATGTAGTTAAGAGCTGGCATTTCCCCGTATCAGCGAATGGATAGTCACTAGTCCGCCGTGTACTCATAAACCTTTACTTTGGGCCAGCGTTCTCGGCCGTATTCTGCGGGTCGAAGTTGTATTTTAACAAGACAGAGAAGGTGGCATACCCTCCATGACTCATCAGCCTCTCCACCTCGTTGCTTAAGCTCAATGTTGCTCGATGCATCGACCTGGGCGGCGGTTTCGACTCCGCAAAGCGCTGAACATCCGAGACTCCGGCTCACAGGCCCTTACACTTTGTTATTCGGAGCCTCACGATCGCGACAAGCCCAAGGTACGGATGGGCAACGTTGCAGTGCCTATGTCTATATAGTCGTCAGATAGTAAGCCTAAATGAAAAGCTGGTTGTAGAGCTGCTGGCATTGTTGGTTGCCGGCATTGTGCCCTGATTTCGTGGCATTCAAGCGCGGTTGCAGCCCTCAAGATATGCTTCCCCGGTGATCTTCATATGGTTGTGGCGAAGACATTTGTCCTTGCCTATAGACCGGTAAGCAGAACAGTGGAGGTTGAAATGAAACAAGGGGGCCCTTGAGGGCCACAACCTCTCGGCAATTGTATTGGTCGGCCCTTCCGAGATAATTGCATTCGACGATGTACCGGTTCGGGGCCTTATGCTTTTCATTGCACGCGGATTTTATCACATTATAAAAGGCTTGTGTACGAACAAAAACACGTTCCGAGTACATTTTTGCTCTGAAATGTTGTCAGCTACAAAGCGCGTCGTTTGAAGCGGCGATGCAAGGGTTGTATTGAAGTAAGTAATATATATGCATACTCTACTTATCTTCTATCTGAGTCTGCTGTATTATGTCTCGGTAGCAGTGACTGCACGTCCGAGGCGGTGAGCCAAAGCACCGGTAAGCACTTGGTGGTAGAGTATGAAACGCCCAGGACGATCAAGTTAGGTTAATAGCGTCCGGATCCGTACCAAAGTCTTTCGGCTTCAGGCCGGACCGGGAGAAAATCTGTGCTGATTGTGCTCATCGCGCACTTTTTGTCCTTACCTGCAGGTATGCCAGGATCGGCGAAATATGTCCTCAGGCATACCCCCAATCGTCAAGGATCCTAACAACGCTCGCTCTGAGACGAGTCGTGCCTGATTTCGCGGGTGTAGTGTGTTTTGATTCATTTGACACCATACTATAATCGCTGCAAATGACACGTCTGCCTCCATCACCACAGTGAGACAGGCTGAGCGGCATCTGTACAGCCCACCTGATCCTGATGAGCTTTGTGCTTGCTCGCCTGTGCCTCCGGTGTGCCGTCTCTCCGCCCGTGTCTCCGCCCGTGCAACCAGGTGCAACCCACTAAGTGGAAACGTTTCAGGTGGCACAGGTCACAAGTCACGTTTTAGATTACTCACATTAAATCTGCGGTATAAGAGGGCCTAAGAAATATTCACCGTTCCTCAGCTCCTCAGCCCCCAGCTCATCTCAGCCTTCTTTCTTCTCCAAGTCCAGGTGCCGGTCTGTGAGTATCTCCATTCCACCTACCAGCGATGCACTCGATGCTGACATTCATCTCCCAGCCTGACTTGTCTTTATTCTATTCACTTTCGACTAGCTTACGACACAACTCTCCTTTTTCGCTCACACTTTAACGACACCCTTCACTTTTAATTCTATCACTCTTCACGACTCCAAACATGTACGCTTCCAAGGCTATCCTCGCTCTTGCTATCGCTGCTGCCGCTGCCCCCGCCCTCGCTCAGTCGTGAGTCTTATGTTAGCATCTGCCCGAGCGAGTTCCGAGCTTACTGGACTTCACAGCTTCGGCGAGCCCCTCGTTTCTCGTGAGGACCTTGCCCTTGCTGGTTTCGCCCGCAATGTCAACCTGGTTCGCTCCGTCGGTGAAGCCATCGGCATGAAGCGGTCTGAGGTGGATGATATCCTCGCCCGCGAGTTCCACAGGTAAGTCTCAGCAGCTTGCCTTCGCTCATATGGCCGCCTTGCTAAACTTGTAACAGCAAGCAACATGGACACAAGGCCGGTCACAAGCACGGCAGCCAACACCGGGCTCACCAGCATGGTGCACATGTCACCGGAAAGCACCGTGCTAGCGGCACACACCGCGGTCGCAAGCACCCTGGACAGCACGGCAGTCTGCACCACGCCAGTTCGCAGGCCTCTGGGCAGCACGGTACCAGCGGCATGCAGCACGGCAGCCAGCACCAGGCCCGCGCTCAGGCCACCGGTCAGCACGGTGCCAGCGGCATGCAGCACGGTCACAAGCAGGCCGGTCAGCATGGCAGCCAGCACCATGCTCGCGCTCAGGCCACCGGTCAGCACGGTGTCAGTGGCATGCAGCACAGTGCCAGCGGCACACAGCACGGTGCCAGCGGCATGCAGCACGGCTATATGCACAACGGGCAGCATGGCAGCCAGCAAAGCAGCCAGCACCACGCCCGCGCTCAGGCCGCCGGCCAGCACGGCGTCAGTGGCATGCAACACGGTCACAAGGTCCACAAGGGCACGAAGTCCCTGCACGCCGCCGTCCACGCTGCACGTGCGCTCCTCGAACGTGCAGACACCTTGACCCAGCAGCCCACCTCGACCCTACAGTATACTGGGGACGACGAGCAGTCGGGTGCGATCAGCGTCGGGTCGGTCCTCGGCGACGTCGGCAAGGCGGCTGGCTTTATTCTTCCGTTCCTCCGTCGTGAGGAGATGATGTGAGTGTTCTTGAGCCCGCGTTCAGAGGCCACTTGCTGACTTTGTGATAGGGCTCGCAGTGTCAACACGGCCACCTCGACCCAACAGTCCGCTGAGGACGACGAGCAGTCGGGTGCGATCAGCTTCAGTTCGATCCTCGGCGACGTCGGTGACGTGGCTGGCGTTGTTCTTCCGTTCCTCCGTCGTGAAGAAGAAATGATGTGAGTATTATCGGGCCCGCGTCCAGAGGCCACTTGCTGACTTTGTGATAGGGCCCGCAGTGTCAACTCGGCCACCTCGGCCCAACAATCCACTGAGGACGACGAGCAGTCGGGTGCGATCAGCTTCAGTTCGATCCTCGGCGACGTCGGCGACGTGGCTGGTGTTGTTCTTCCGTTCCTCCGTCGTGAAATAGAGATGATGTGAGTATTCTCGGGCCCGGGTCCAGAGGTCACTTGCTGACTTTTCGATAGGGCTCGCAGCCTCAACGACCTCGACTAAGCATCTTTGGAGATTTTGGCGACGAGTTTTGTGTTTTGGTGCCGCTTTAAAGATAACGATCAAGCTTGCTAGTCCTTTATGAATGAAATGAAGACCCGTTGGCTCGCTGAGGAGCTCAATATTACAGTGTACATTTTGTGTGCTTGTGTGAACTACTCGCGGCGTGCAACTTCTGAAAATAAGTGAATAAGCAAGCTTAAGCAAGTCTTATCGCCTCTATCAAACTCGTTTACCAACCACTCGTAAAGGGATACAAGTCTATTACTTAGCCGTCTCTAACTTCATGTGTCTCAGAGCTAACACTTGCATCCGTATTAGCGAATGGATAGTCTGTGTACCCATAGCTCAAGCCTTCGCCTTCCGGCGCCGTGTAGAACGTGACCGGGTCCACGACCTTATTCAATGGCAAGCCCCTCTCGGCCCTCTTCTGCAGGTCGGGATTGCATATCCACAGGACAGCGAAGACGGCCGCATCCACGACGCCCTCCGCGATCAGCCCCTCTGCCTCGTCTAGCGTCAGCCCGCCGTTGACGAACACGCGCGTTGCCGTCGGGTTCCGCCTTTCATACTCGGGCGTGGGCATCGCAGGCCCGCGCAGCATCTCTTCGATGCGACCGTCGAGCAGAGAGGCGTGTGGCCGGATGATGGCAGCGTAGACGGCGAGCACGTCGTGCGGCGTGGAGCGCCTGATCTTTTGCACGGTCCCGTTCACGCTCGCAGGGACTGTTGCCTCGAACAAAGGGTTGTGCCGAACGAGTTGGACGTAGGCGAGCTTCATGGCGCAGATCTGGGTGATATAGTGGATGAATGTATGGATCGTATCTGGGAGCGACATGCTGGCGTGAAGGCAGGTAATGTCGGTGTATGAGGATACGAGAAAGGTGAGTAAAACGTACCCGACATCGTTGTACCCACCACAAGGGCTAATCTTGATCCCTATACGCGCAGGTCCCCAGACATCAACCATTGCTTTCAGAACCTCGAGGCCAAGTCGACAGCGGTTCTCGACGGAGCCGCCCCATATGTCCGTGCGTTGATTGGAAGTATAGTCAAGAAACTGGTGGATAATGTATCCACCTGCAGAGTGTACTATGTACATGTATTTAGGGAGTGCACAAGGAGCCGGCGGAAAGACACGACGTACATTCCACACCATCGAACCCGGCCTTCTTGGCCATTTTCGCCGCATGGCGGAACTCTTCGATGATCGACCACGGATCCTCTATTGGCGTCGGCTATGTGTACTCCTGGTTAAACTGGCGATATATCAGGCCTCGTCAAATTTCAGACTTGCCGTGACGTATCCTGGCTGGCCGGGCAGCTGCCTGAACCTGCCTCCTCGGGCCGCAATCGCGGAAGGTCCTGGAACAGGCTGCACATCATAAGTACTTCGGGCAGAACGCTCGAGACAATAGGATCACGTACTTTTCCAGCCTTCTTCTGCTCGTCCATGTCCGGATGAGAAACGCGTCCAGTATGCCATAGCTACGCCGGACGACTGAATATGATTAGCATCTTGCGTCAAGCAGTTAGCTTACTTGCCTGGCAGAATATATGTGTTCCATTAGCGTGAACGGCATCGACGATCTTTTTCCACCCTTCGACCTGCTCCTCGTTCCAAATTCCCGGATTGTGCGGCCATTCGGTGCCCTGCTGCGACACGAGCGTTCCCTCAGTCATAATGAGACCAGCCCCTCCCCTTGCACGTTGCACATAGTACTCCAAATTCAGATCGTTTGGGACATTCGTGGGCACTGAACGGTTCCGGACACAGGAAGCTACGACGTTTCGATTGCGCAGCGTCAGGTCGCCTAGCTGCAGCGGTTCCGAGAGGTGCGGGCAATGGTCTGGGTGTGGAGAAGGCTCGCTGTCCAGAGACATGACAGCTGCTTTGAAAAAAAGGTCGAGATTACAGTGAAAGGGGTCTGCTGCGTTTTGGTCTATCAGCATCACACGGAGAGTGGGAAGCCTGAAGATCCGCATGCAAGCCTGGGAAGACCTCCTGTTCGCCGAGAAGGGAGACAGGAATTACCGGCGTCTCGAACAGGGAGACAAAGATGCATTAAAGTATATTTGCGGAGAAATAATACACGATTATTGTCGGGACTCAGTGCCCTTGCGGTTGAGTGGCAGGGATGCTAAGCCTAAGCGCCACAATGCCAGCGCTCCCGCCGCCTATGTTGGTTCGGATCAAGACCCCGAGAACCTCTCATCGCCTCCCAAGCTTATCATGGTCGTTGTTGGTTGAGGTTCGTCGATCGCAGGGAAGCGCAACGAAAGTTCGCAGTACGCGTCGTGTCGCCGTGATTTTGCAGCAATTATTATGCCATGTCGCTTTGTCCAAAACGCTCTAGATTCGAATTTTTTTTGTCGACTTGTGGGGCTTTCAATGGAGCCTTGAAATGAGCATATTAATGGGGCGGCACACAAAATTTTATAAAGGGCGAGCTCCTCAGCGAGCCCAGTCATTATTTCATTCACCAAAGTGAGTACAACATCGACTATGTGCAGCAGTCATGATCAAGACTCAGGAAACACCAATCTCGTTCTGATATTTGTACGATTAGCCATGAGAGAGCCTAGTCAAGGTCGTTGAGGCTACGAGCCCTGCAAATAAGCTATTAGCTGGCGGCTTCCGAAGATGGACCCAGAAACACTCACATCTCCTCGCGGCGGAGGATGCTGCTGAGGGTCTTAAGCAGGTTGAACGCGCCGGACTGTTGGTCCGACGGGTCCGCGCGGGCGAGCATCTCGATATCCTCACGACGAAGCAGACCACCGAGGAACTTGGTGAAGCTGAACGCGCCGGACTCATCAGAAGGGTCCGCACGGGCGAGCATCTCCATATCCTCGCGGCGAAGGATGCTACTGAGGGTCTTAAGCAGGTTGAACGCGCCGGACTGTTGGTCCGACGGGTCCGCACGGGCGAGCATCTCGATGTCCTCACGGCGGAGGAGGCCACCGAGGAACTTGGTGAAGCTGAACGCGCCGGACTCGTCCGAAGGGTCTGCGCGGGCGAGCATCTCCATATCCTCGCGGCGAAGAATGCTACTGAGGGTCTTAAGCAGGTTGAACGCGCCGGACTGTTGGTCTGACGGGTCCGCGCGGGCGAGCATCTCCATATCCTCGCGGCGAAGAATGCTACCGAGGGTCTTAAGCAGGTTGAACGCGCCGGACTGTTGATCCGACGGGTCCGCGCGGGCGAGCATCTCGATGTCCTCACGGCGGAGGAGGCCACCGAGGAACTTGGTGAAGCTGAATGCACCGGACTCATCGTCCGTCGGCGCCGCGCGGGCGAGCATCTCGACGTCTTCACGACGGAGGAGACCACCGAGGAACTTGGTGAAGCTGAACGCGCCGGAATCATCTGCGTCCTGTGCCTGACGGGCAAGAAGTGCGCGCGCAGCGGGGGAAGCAGCGGGGGCAGCAGCGGGGGAAGCAGCGTGGGCAGGCTTGGCGCCCTTATGGTGCTTGTGTCCGTGGTGCTTGTGGCCGCGGTGCTTGTGGCCGGACTTGTGGTGTGTGGTGTTCTCCCCGCGAGCGTGGTGCTTGTGTCCATGGTGGTGCTTCTCCTCGCGAGCGTGGTGCACGCCACCGTGGTGCTTGTGGCCGTGGTGCTTGCGTCCGTGGTGCTTGCTGTTGCACAGTCAGCAATGCGCATAAACAGGGACAGGCAGGCGTCACTTACTGGTGGAACTCGCGAGCGAGGATGTTATCCACCTCGGAGCGCTTCATGCCCACGGCCTCACCGACAGAGCGGGCGAGGTTGACGTCGCGGGCAATGCCAGCAAGGATGAGATCATCGCGGGCAGCAAGGGGCTCGCCAAAGCTATAGATCGATTTTAGGTCTTGTCCTCTGGGAATCACGAATGAACACTTACGACTGGGCGAGGGCGGGGGCAGCAGCGGCGGCGACGGCGAGAGCAATGATGGCCTTGGGAGCGTACATTTTTGAGGTCGTGAACGAGTAAGATTAAAAGGAGGCGTAGGGGGTCGTGAGTAGAGAAGAGAACGTGTCGTGAGATAGTCGAGTGTAAAGGTAAATAAAATAAAAACAAGTCAGGCTGTTGAAGGCGTCATCAGCTTCTACCATCTCCAACAAGCTGTTGTGCTCGCTACTCACAGACCGGCACCTGAACTTGGAAGAGAAAGAAAGGGCTTGAAAGAGGAATGAACAAGTGGGCTGAGGAGCTGAAGTTCTGGGACGTCTGCCCAAGGTTTTTATACGGCCTCGCAAAGGCGTCTGCTCGTGCTGCGAGCAGACACGGTCATCGTCGGAGCGCGGTATAGGCCTGTGTAAACCTGAAACGATCACACGGAGCACGGAGGTCACATCAATATGCGTCTCCATCGTTCCAGGGTCGCGGATGCTTGATTATTGGGGACTGCATCGAAGAGCACAGGAGCTCCGAGTTGGGCTACACAGGACGTTTTGACGTGAGCCTTCGGGACTGGAAATGTGGGGGGCAATCTGCTTACTCGCTTAACTCGAGAGCTAGAACTGGATCGTGAGTACTTGGTTCTCGGCACTCCTGGGCTCTAGACAGTCAGTTATGCAATGCATCACGAGAATAGGGCCGTGGGTCCCAAGTAGGCGCTGTTTGCTCAAATGTCGAATTGCTCGTCCGAGTTCGCAAAGAGGACATCAGCGCTCTGCACCGCCTTTGATATTCTCTGCTTTCTGTAACGAGATCGTTTCCTCTATATCGTACAGCATACAGATAGGTGCAAGCTTCCTTAGCTTTGGGGATCATCATTGTCGGCTTGAGAATAAGTTAGCGCCGACATCGCCACACTGGAAGGCCAACTACTCACCGCTTCTTGCTTAATTGAAACCTGTTCACTCAGATGGGAGGTTTCATGTACATCGTGGGCGATGACATTGTCAAAATGAATAAAAAGGATACGTGCAACACACACATGCCGACCTAGTAAGATGTCATAACGTCGTACTGCAAGAAAGAACTGATAACCGTCAGAAGCATGCAAATGAGGACCAGAGAAAAACTGCCTGGAAGAAAACAAGCAAACAACGGCAAGATGAAAGGGAAAAAGTGTCGATGGATGGTGATGTATTGGATCTGTGTAAGTTATGTGTGTGCAGAACATGATGGAGCAGAGAGAGGGCAGCGAGACAGCGATACAGCGGGACGAGAATAATGCAACAGGAGACTAGTAATAGGCTACGGGCTGAGCGTGCTGGTCGTATTGTTGGTCGTACGGAGGGTAGAAATCGTATTGTGCTACTTGATTCGACATGTCCATGTAGCCGGAATATCCATTAGGGTCGGGATAGTAGTACGGTTGTTGGTAGGCAGGGTATGTCATCATCAGAGGGTCTTGTGCCGCTTGCACCTGCTCGTTGTGCTCCGAGGCTTCGGATATTGCGGGCTCCTGGGTCGCCTGAGTCTGCTCAGCATCGCTCTCCGTCGTGCTCACCCGCAACCCCGAGGGACGAGGAATGTGTTTGACCTTGCCGTCCGGTGCCCTAATTTCGATACGGCTGCTCTGGCGTGCAGGGGCGAAGATCGGTGCACCAATTGAGGTGTCAACGAAGCCATTGACGGGTGGCGTATGCGGGTGTGGCATGTACTCCTGCGATGGGCGATGTACGTGTCCCGGAACGAAAGGTATACTTGTTGAAGGATGGCCCATGTAAGAACGCATCACGGGCTGAGGCGCATACATCGGCGGAGGTGTAGGATGTAAGTACACGGGGCGGCCGGTGGCCAACTCGTAGGGGTATCCTTGCTGACTCATGCCAACACCAGGAGGCAGAGCACCATACGGATACGAAGAAACATACGAAGGGGATGGCTGAGGGACCGGCGAAAAGCTTGTCTGGATCGGGTGAAGAGCTGGAGGGGCCGGACGCGACGAGTCCACGGCCGGTGCTTGTTGTGGGATGGGAGCATGCACTTCTGGTCTTGGTGGATTGCGCAAAACAGCTTCTTGAATATCCGCACTGGGGTCACTGTCGGTTTCGGGTGGCGCACCGATGCCGATCTGCTCCAGTGGATTCTTGCCTTCAGAAGCCGGTAGCACAGAAGTGGAAGAGACCGGGGTAGCATGAGGCCCTGTTCCAGATGCGGAGCTCGGAGGAACGGAGGCTTGAATTGGGACATGCTCTGGAACGACCTGTGGCCTGACAGTGAAGACATCCTCGATAGAGGGCTCCTGCGTCCGAGTTTCGAGCTCAACCGGCTGAATGCCCGCGGGTTGCGAAACCTTCTCGATCTTGCTGACGACAGGAATGCGGACAACAAACTGCCGGTCACCTTCCTCTGCAGTGCTTGTGGCGGTTGATGCTGTCGTTGAACCTGTGGCCAACTTTGTCTGAGTTTTTTGATGGACGACTTGCGATTCCTTTTGTCCTGGAAGCCGGACGCGGATGGATGGGGCTTCTCCAGGACGAGGGCGTGCAGCGTGTTCGAAGTAGAGGAAGTTGTCGGCGTGCTTTGTCCACATCTTGTCTGGCTTCTGAGCGTACCACACAGGAATGGATGTCGGGTCAGAAGGGTCAACGCGAGGCCCAGTGCGAGAAGCGGCAGAAACGCCGCCGCCACGCGAGAACCCGCCACGGCCTCTGGCAGCAAAGGCACCCCTACCACGAAGCGCACCACCTCGTTGCGAGCTTGCGGACTGACGACTCGTCTGAGACCGGCGTTGTTCTTCCCTCCGTTGCTCCTCCCTTCGCTTCATCTCCTCGAATCCGTCATGACCCCAAGGCCGCTCAATGGGAGGAACCTCCTGTCTATCTTCCTCGCCCTTCTCCACGTCCTCACCACCTATGTCTGCGGTACGACCAGGCAAGAACCCTCTGCCACCGCGTCCGCGGAGAGGCACTCCCCTACCACGTCCGCGACCGTACCAACGCCCTCTCCACCAACCACTCAAACTACGGAACTCCTTGTCAAGCAAGCGATCGTCGTGTCCCCAAAATTCCCCCACACGAGGAACAAACGCGGGATCATGCTGCAAGCGCTCTTGGTATGCTTGGCGAGCAGATTGTCCGCGTAGACGGTGAGAGTCCTTGGGTTCTCGGGGCGGGCCTGTCTTCGAGGGTGAAGCTGCAGGTTCTTCGATGACTGCTTCCGGCTGCTCCTGCTTCGTCTCGGTTTCGGTCTCGGAAGTAGAAGCGACAGGTTTGGAAGCGACTGGGGGCTGGGCTTGCGTGCGAGCAGCAGCAGCCTTCTTGTTCTGCTTGTGCGCTTTGCGAGACCGAGGAGGCGCGGCGGGCGCCGCCTCCGTGATCGTGTGAGCGTGCATATCGGCGAAGTCGATGACGGGGAGGTCGCCCGCGCCATGTGTGTTCTCATCCGCAACGATCTGCGCCCAGTCTGTAGTCTCCACGAAGGGCCCAGTCCCCCCATTTACGACGGTCGGCTTGGCGGGAGTAGAGGCGCCAGGGATGTCGAGCGGCGGAGGGCTTTGTGTGGTGCTAGGGGTAACGATGCCAGCGTGGTGTTCATCGTCAGATGCCGACTCTGTCCCCGACTCTGACATGTAGGAAGAGTCGTCGTCGGTGTCAGAGTCGGTGTGAGCTTCGCGCTCGATCTCGTCGTCGCTGTCAAGGGCGCTGCGTCCTCGGCGGCGAACAATGCGCTTCTTTGTATGATGCTTCTTGGCGACATGCGTGGAGCCATTTGCAGGAGTCGTGACAGTAGCTGGCATGATGGATATGTGTTCGTGAAAATGCGGGAGTCCTGGGTGGAGATGCAAGGAATGCGTGAACTTGAAGCGTATTATGACGAAGCTGATTCACACGTACGAGTATAGGATGGTATGAGGCAAAAAGAAAACGTCCAGGGAGAAACGCAGCCTGGTATCAAGTAATGGTGGAGGAAGGGAGAGGTTGAGCACGCTGTGAGTGGCGATGAGCAGAGGTACTTGGACGACGGGCGGGGCAAAGGCAAAAACGCTGCCGAACATTCCGTAAGCAGCCCTTTTCCATACGCCGAAACTGCGCGGCGCTTCGAGTCATGCTCGCGTCTCCAGTCGGCTCCGCCACTACAGTAGTGCTCTTGTCAGTCTCACTTTCTCAATATTCAGCATACTGCCATGCTCTCCGACATAACGTTAACCTTTGCAGGTCGCGTCGCTTGCGCTAGTAGCCTCTTTCGTCCCGGACCCGCGGCAGAATGGTCGTTACTCATTTTACCGCCCATGTGTTGTATTCATCAAATATCCTTCCGATTTCACGATATGTCAGAGACTCAAATACAACGAAGAACATTCAACACTGCAAGAAATAAATACTACGTGCTCTCTGCAGTATCACCACTACTACCGCTTCCATTGGTCGCTGGGACGGATGCCGAAGTCGGAGATCTCGGCTTGGGTGCTGACCTTGCTGTGGATGCAGCACCGCTCGTCCGGTCCTTGGAGCTCAACAAGCTCTGGAAGAAGTTCTGTAAAACCTCATGCTGTGTCTGACCGCCAGGCACGGGGCTTGGCGATGAGGGCAGTGTCGGGGATGAAGCCTGCGGCCTTGTGCCAGGAGCTCCAGCGCTTGACACCGACAAGCCCGAGGCTTGTCGTGCCGTGCTTCTGCTAGGGGGTTTACGAGGATCTGCGGCAACGTTAATGCCAAGCGGTGCAGGGCTACCCACAGCCCCTTCCATCTCGGTAAGGGCTTTTTCAACGTTTGGCAAGCTGAAGCTGCTGCTACCCATGGGACCGACGACACCTGCCGAAGAATTCTCTGTGGGGTTGCGGAAGGAGGCACGGGGATCGCGATCTGGCTTTTTCGAGTTCTCGTCGTAGTTCTTTGCAAGAAACACTTGTTCTGGAGTCGGATTATTGAAAGGTGGCAGTGGCGTAGGCTGCAACAGATGTTGGCGATGAAATTTGGCATATTTCTTCCACTCACTTTGGGACCTTGGTCTGGTACCATAGAGATATACAGCTTCCTTGCCCCCGTCTGCTCTTGGTCGCCCTCGGCCTGCTCAACATCATACTCCCACGCATCACCCCATGCCTTCGCGTCAAAACCCTCCCTCAAGACTACAATCTTCCCCCAGCTATCCCAACCTGCGGGAACCACAATACGGTCCCTGTCCAAGGTGTTCGCTTTGTGTTGGAAAGGAAAAGGGTTTCGGACCGGTGCGACAGCATCCGTGGAGAGCCCAGGTGAAGGTGCAGGAGGGGCAAAAAGGAGATGAAGTGCGTATTGGCGGAGCACCTGTAGGGTCTGAGGGAGCGGTGTAGTGTAAAAAAGAGCAGCGCCGTCTGACAGAGTCGCGAGATAACCAACGCCATCTGAAAAACAGCAAGCATGCAATACTCACATTTCAAGCAGATTGTCCGCAGGACCTGCATAACTGTGTCTGTTTGTTCTTCCCAGTCGCCACCCTTGCCTTTAACCATTACCCCCATGCCGGAAGCTCCTGGTCCAAGCCCATCGCCGGTATCATCTATGTGATCTGCCTTCGTGCATGCGACTATGATTGGTACACCGGCCGTATTATGCGTCAGGGTTCCTGGTCCGAGAGGAAGTAGTGTGGTGTCAGACAGCGTTGAGGTGGCGGGAAGCGGCTCAGCAGATGGCTCGGTGTAACGTTGAAGATGTGCCTGCACTACAGGGTTTTAGCATCAACACGAACTGCCCGCCTCGTAACCAGCTCGTTCGAAACTTACATCTCTCTCGGGTCTCTTCCCGTACAATCTGCAGCTCTCGTGACCCATCACCTTGAACCCATTTCTCTATCCAGCTCAGCCAGGTATACAACTGGTCGATGAACGTCCAAGGCTTCGTCCAGTCGAGGGTGATAACTACAACCGTATGTGGTAGTGATGCCCGTGGTGGTAGGAAGTGAGGAAGCAATGCGGTGTAGGTAGCTGCTGCTGATGGCACGGTGTATACAGACAATCTCGCGAGGGTATCTACAATGACGACACGTATAAGTATGCGGACACTTCGCACTGCGCAAGCGAGGCTCCGGAGTCGCGACACGCACCTTCGTCCGCGTCGTCTTTGACGTCTGCCCAGTCGTAGCCCAGTGCAAAATCAGGCCTCTGATCCTCTTGCACCTCCTCAGCTGCGGCTTTGTGCAAAAGCGCGGACGCCAGCGTCGACTTCCCTGAAGACGATTCCCCCAGAAGCAGTATTTGTTTGGCAGGTATCGACCGCGACGAAGAGACAGAATCAAGGATAGACGACCATAGGTCTTGCGGAGGAGCTTCAGGCGACGATGACCGTGAGTCATTCATGGTAGGATCAAGGCAACTTTGAGCAAGTTTTCAACCGCAGGCTTGGTCGTCTGGCTTGGATGGGAGAAAGAGAACTGATCCATCCCTGCATCGCGGCCGCAGAAAGCATCTTTGTTATCATCGATAGACAGAGTAAGAACCAGCTTTTACTCTATCAGAAGGATCCGTTACTTTAGTAACAATTGTTGTACTGATAAATCAACAAGTCGATACTCCATCGCTCATTCTTTCTGCTCATCATGTCTGCCGCGGCCCAGCTGCCCGAACACAAACTCTCGGAGACACCAAATTCGCGCACTATCGAAATCGGTCATTGGATAATTACAGCTCGGACGAACCCCATCTCAAATGCAAACGAGCTTGATGCGGTTCAAGGGTCGCTTCAGGGCATGCCTCTTCCCGAGATGACCTTTGGCAACAACATGCTCGAGCTCGAGCACAAACGTACCGGCTGGAGATATGCATTTGGCACTGCAGACGCGCTGCGAGGTGTGAAGAATGGGGAGCTTGCTGAAGGAGATGGGGGTGTCAAGGTAGGATATGCGGAAGCCTGGCTGAAGAGCCGGTGTGTTTTGCTTGAATTCAGCTGTCTCACTGGGGAGGGCTCATTGGAGTAGGACAGGTGACTCATCGCAACTTCCTATGCCAAAGACTATCGCGACGAAACCATACGATTGGACGTACACTACGACGTATCCTGGCCACAATCCCTCATCGTCCTCCAGTTCGATAACGTGGAATGAAGCTGACAGCGAGAATCCGCAACATGAAATCCCACTAGCGGAACTAACACGACAAGACCCCATCTTGTTCTATGCCGAGATTCCGCTGTTTGAGGACGAGCTACACGACAATGGCGCTTCACACTTGCTGACGCGCATCGTAAGTCGAATTTAAACCACCTCGAGCTAAATGTACTCATCGGCTCGACTATAGCGAGTCATGCCGACGTGTTTTTTCATCCTGTCACGCTTTACACTTCGCGTCGACAACGTACTCTTCCGGACATACGATACCAGAATTTACCATTCGTTCGCTTTGTCGCCTCCGCTCATTGTGCGAGAGACTAGTGGATGGGAAGCCCCTTATGACCGAGTGAAGTTGGTGAGGCAGCTCCTGCCCTGAGATATCTCATATACCTCTGATATACCCCACAAAGCAATTGCCAAGACGCAACGACCTCACGCCTTTGACCGATCCAACATGGATAGCCACAGCTCTAACGGGAATGCCTCGGCATGTTACTCAAGAAACAGGAGCAGGTACTGGCTGGAGAGGGTTAGGCGCGAAGGTGGAAGTAGCCGTCCTCGTCAAGGAAGCTGAGTAAATGTCACTTCTTCTTGAGCATGTTGGATATCGAAAGCGTGGAAAATTTATTACCTCCCATGTATCATCACAATCTTTTTGCACGCGTGCTTCGACCGGAGGCTGAGGCCTGAGGAGTCAGGCTATAGCCAGGACCCACCGCCGTTAACAGGCGCCCGCGCCACAAAGCTGTGCTCGGATTCGACCACACAAAAATGCGAATTTCTTGATCCCGAGCAGACGATATTCTCAACCGTCGCATTCAAATGACGTTTTCGCAGGGACATTTGTTACAAAGAAGTGAAATCACATAGGCTTGTTTGGGTTTGAGCCACTGAGGCTAAGACCATAGCCCATCTCCGATCAGTGGCCTTGTATGGAGGACAAAGACAAAAAACGCCGCTTACAGCGTCTTACATCTTGACTCTTGCACTCACCACGACATTCACGTCAGACCTCGCCCTCGAGGAACGCCCCAACTTTTTCTAACATGGCTATCCAAGACTATGACAACGGTCTGCGCAAACTATCCCGGCATGATCTTCAACAATTGGCAAAAGTATGCTATCCGGACGTATGCTATCGCTGAGCCTGAATACTAAAGTCCCGCACAGCTGCATAAAGTTAAAGCAAACCTCAAGAGCGAGGCAATAATTCGGCAGCTCATTCAAAAGGGAGTGAAGATGTGAGCACTCTTCATTACGACTGTGGCGCAAACCGCCACTAACCAATGCTAGCGGGAACGCGGATCCCCAAGGCCTGGTACTCCAACATCTGCCAGCTGAGCCAACCAGCGGCTCGATGTACCCTGGTTCGCCTCCGCCTGACATGGAGCAGACAGCCAGCATCCCAAACAGGCCAGTCTCGGCTACACAGTTCTTGAGCGATATAAACATGGAGGTCCAAAAGAGACTCAGCTATGTCAGTCCAGAGCCTTCTTCACCGGTCGCTGGTCAGTAGCTGTAATATTTTTATTGCCAACTAGCTCATTACCCCGACCTCAGGCCTCCCGCCATCTCTGCAGCCGCATTGGGGAGATAGTGTTTCCAATCGATATGAACCCACGAACGTCCAGAAACTAGACGATTCAATGGAATTGGAAGATTATGAAGACGTAATGACTGACTATAACACTCAGAATTCTATCGGTCCGCGTTAGTGCCTGTGCTTAAGCCATTACCCTTTGTCTGACGCGTTTCTTTCAGCGGCTCATCACCGTCCACAGTCCGCTGCTTACGACGCCCAATGCTTCGCCCCTCCATCGATACAAGTTGGCCGACAGCTTGAACCCCCGACCCAGTCTGCCGCTGAGGCTTCGCGACCCCGGTACACACCCAACGGCAAGCACGTTTACACGGACGACCCTAAGCAGCCGATACGACCCAGAGTTTTCTATCAAAAGCACGACCAAAACCGACCTTCTGCGTGTCACACTCAGCGGCCTCCCACTCGGAAGACCGCGCGTCGATATCTCCGGGAATGCCTGTCGTACATCAGCGAGCAGGAGGAGCTTCACGGTCAGCTGCAGGACATACAGGACATACAGGCAGTGGCCAAGCAAAAACTCAGCGCTTCTGAACGACGGTTGGCGAGGATCCAGAAGGCGCGTGTTGCCATCGAGAAGCACTGGATGCGGATGCTCAAGGCCGACCCTCGGCTGCACGACGGCTCCTGGTCTTGGACGCGTCCCGAGACGGCCGAGCAAGAAGCCGCGCCCCCGCCCCCAGGACCGCCGGAATGGAGGGCGGATGATTATAGCACCGACCTCGACAGTCCTGACGATGACTTTGAGATAGCGGAGGAGGTGGAGGGTCGTCGCGAGAAGAAGTACAAGGGTCTAAGGCGCTCGAAGACCCAGGCCGCACACTTCGAAGATGCTGTAGCACGCTTCGAGGCATGGACATCTCTGATATAAGCTATACCTCAAAGACACAATACCCTTTTCTGCGGCTGAAATCCTTTTCGCATACATACTATCTGTGTCGTGGTGCTGCGAAGCACTTCACAAACGGCCACGGTCTTCGTCACCAAATAGTTCGTTTATCCAGTACCATGGCCTGTAATGGTGCCGAGAGGCTACGTAGCCCGCTACGAACTCTTCTAGGCGTCTCTCTTCTCCCACCTGGGCATCGTTCGCATCTCTGTGCCGGCTCACCATGCCAATGGCGAAATATTCCCGACGAAGGGAGACGTTGTGAAAGTCCTTCAGCATATCGGCTGATCAGTCAGGGAAGAAGATCATTCCTTTTGGCTAAATGCTTATGTGCGGATGAGATACGGATTGACTGCAGTCTGCACCAGTTTGTATAGCAAGGGACAGGTGCGCTCAGTGGCGGTAAGCGTCTCTCTATCCAGCACGGAAGTTGCCGATAGGTCTACGGATCTAGATCCGCATCTCGTGTGCCAGGGCAGATGCGACATGCATCCCCTTTTCGCCCGCGTCGGAGACGATGTCCTTCACGCTGAGAACGCGCTTCGCAGCCCATACTCCTCGCAAATGGCGAGCGTTTGCCACTGTTACCGACGTGAGTATCTCTAGTACACACTGAACTCGCTGTACGGGTCTGATACCCGGAATCGCAGACGCCTGCATTCAAGATACCACTGATTGACTTTAGCAGATACTTGAAGGCCAACTCCAGTTCGGAGAAGCGCAAGGCGGCCGAGGAAATTGTTAGTGGGTTTAAGGAAGTAGGCTTCATCTATTTGGACAAGCATGGGATCCCGGACGCGACAGTCAAGAATGCGTTTGCAAAGGTCTGTTAACGATGACTGGTAAATCTTTGTGCACCTCACATATTTGCCCTTTCAGAGTGCCGAGTTCTTCAGATTGCCAGTCGATACAAAGGTGAGGGGTACTTTTGCCCATTGGGGAGGGAGCTGCTTTGACATTAACATATGCTTAGGACAAGCTGAAGTGGGTAGACCCTCGGTCGAATCGCGGCTACGTTGCAATTGGTCGCGAACGCGTCACCCAATCTTCTGACCCGGATGAGATTGCAAAGCTACGTGCGCAGGCCCCTGACTTCAAAGAGAGCATGGAAATTGGTCGCGACTGGGACGAGACGTGGAAGAACCAATGGCCGGAGGAGAGCGACGCGCCCCGATTCAAGCAGACCATGCTCGACTTCTACCAGACATGCCACGACCTACATGTACATGTGATGCGAGCGATTGCTCTTGGTCTCAAGCTGGAAGAGACTTTCTTCGACAAGATGATCGACCAGCAATGCCACAATTTGCGTTTGCTCTCGTATCCACCTGTCCGGGACGACATTCTCCGGAAGGAAGGACAGGCTCGCGCTGGTGCTCACTCAGATTATGGAACTTTGACACTACTTTTCCAAGACTCTGTGAGTGCATCTCTGCGGATGTCTGTTATCGTCTGTCTTTACACCCTACAGGTCGGCGGCCTTGAAGTGCAAAACCCGCATACCAAGGAATTTCAACCCGCACCACCGATCGTCAGTCGTTCTTCAGCGCTAGTGTCAATTTTTGTCTGACTCGTCTCACGCAGCCCGGCTCAATAGTCATCAATGCTGGCGACCTATTGGCTCGCTGGAGTAATGACGTCCTCCGCTCTACCCTGCATCGAGTGGTTGCCCCGCCTGCTCAGAAAGTCAGCAATACAGAAGCCATTACCCCTCAGCGGCAGTCCATCGCTTTCTTCTGCAACCCTAATTTTGACGCTGTCATCTCGTGCTTACCGAACTGCGGCAAGGAGGCGAAGTATGCTCCTGTCACGACTGAGCAGTACATAGTGGGTCGACTATCCGCTACATATATATGAGACCGATGTGTAGGTTGCAATTTTGCACCGTAGAAGATGACGCTTATTATGCCCGCATAGTTCATTATCTATGTCACACTGTGCCCTTCGGAGACGTTGCACTAACTCATAATTTCTGGCCAGATTATATAGGTGTATGATAGAACTTGGTTTAGTCCATGCGAAGTGTTTGTAACTATTCGATTAGTCAAAACCTTCGTAGTCGTTAAAGTCATCATAACCATTTCCAGCGTCGCCTCCCACTGCTGTTCCACTAGTGCTCGTCCCACCTGTTCCTCCGGTGCTGCCTCCACCCGTGTTGTCGACATTCCCGCCACTGTTGACGACGCTGCCACCGAACGCGTCACCTGCGTTGCCCGTCTCTGCGTCTCCGCCGTTTCCGAAACCGTAACCAGCGCCACCTATAGCGTTGCCTGAGGAGGTAGTGCCTCCGACACCGCCAGTCGCTACAATGAACAAATGAGGATGGATTTTCGCCGAGACTTTGCAAATACGTACAACTGTCGTCGTTCGTTATCGTGCCGTCGCCGTCGCCTTCGTTGATGACATCGCCGCCTGAGACGTCGCCAGAGTTCCCCGAGCGAGCGTTACCTCCATCCTGACGCTTCCTGAAGCCCGACGTGGCGTAGCGCACGGTAAGGTGTGGGTGCTCATGCTCAATGACTGGGCGGTCGATCGATTGTGGTGCAGGTGCGGGCGCGGGCAGCGCGAGCACAGATGGTATCGCCGCGGCAATGAGAAGTGCGAATGCTGTGGTGAAGCGCATTATGGCGTTTTTAGACACTTCAAAGGATGTTGTGCTGTGAAGTCGTGGATGCGTTAAGACATCTTCGCTTTCTACTGTACTTTATATACCCTCGCCGCTGCCGCAATCGCTGCTGCAGCGGAAGCAGAATTCTGCCCGACCACGACGACAACGCATACTGACGTACGTCGACGAGCTGGTCAAACTGGGTATTCCCGCCATAGCGGCTCCAAAGAAAGGTACGCGCATTCGCCATCATCGCCGACCTGACACAAGTGCCACATTGACATCCCGCCTGTGGTTCAAACAGTGTGATCGAGTTCTTAGAAGATTGACCGTGCGCTGAAAGATTAATGCTGAAGCTACTTTCTCTTTCATCTAAAATTCAGATACTCAGCTTGTGGCAAGCACCAGGTCCCAGCACGTAGATTACAATCTCAACGTCGAGAGCTTTCCACTACGACTGGCGCTGCAAACACTGGAGCTTCCTATTCGGGCCAAGCCGGCCTCCCAGTCGCGGATGCAGGAGTGTCGACCGGCCGCGAACCCACATTCTGCTTCCGCGCATGACGCGTGCCTGCGCCGCGGAGGACGACCGGGAAGATGGTGGTGCTCTTGAGTGGTAGTCGGGTGAAGAATGTGGATACACTACCTTTAAGCCAGCACCAAAGGTCGGCGCTGCAAAGTGACAAAGACGGTCGAACATAATACTGCCCCGCTAGAATATCTCTTTGAAGTACTCGAACTTGTATGCACAGCTCTGGCCGGGCACGTATTGTGCAAGATTCTTGTAGTAAATTGCCACCGGGCCGTGCATAAAGCCGATGTGACTTGAGTACCCGCGATGCGGGCCGATGCTCAGATGGTCAAATTTCTCGTCATCTGTGCCTTGTCTCCGTGCGGTACGATCGCGGGTTACGACCAGCCATGGCATAGCTGGCTCAAATCCTGAATCTCGAGGCTATGGACAATCCGCGTTGACGTATCTGCCCCGGCGGCTCAACGTGGGTCTCGCGGCCGCGGACACAATTAAGCACCCGAGTACCCACATCTTTGCGTTATATATGCATGAGGTACATGGTCTCTGCCGCCGCAGTTCTAGACCCTAGACGGCAGAAAATTTGATAGCGATGATGTACACAAGGTATGTGGCGAAACGAGACGATCACCACGCATGAGTAAACTCCCTTCAATGTTCCTTGCCAAATATTGCCCATTGTATAGGTACTAAATGCCTCGACATCTCTACGCCCTGGACAAGAGGTCCTTGAATAGATGTCAGTGGCACTAGTGACGGCCTAACGGACGCCTCTTCAGAGCTCTGATTCTAAATGACGTAAAGTAAAACACGCACCGCCCATGCGCGCACTGGAACGGCAGCGCAGTCTCGCACAGCTCGCTCACCAACTGCTCACAGCGCTCCGAGCTGAGCGGGTCGTTGAACATGATCGCGCCTCTGCATGCCTTCGAGTTCACGAGCTCCTGCAGCTCTTGTGGGCACCACTGCATCGCCCGCTGCCACACCGTACTGGGATCCGCAGAGACGGGCCTGAAGGATAGCAACGATGTGGCGAGGCCTGATCCGTCCAGATCGGCAAGATATGACTTGACGAGATCGCGGAGGTGATCATCTGCGAGCAACTAGGGGGAATATTGTTAACGTTGAGTATTGGACCAGCAGTTCGGAGCTCACCTTCCGAGCAACCACCTCCGGTACGGTTAGGACATCCACTTGGACATATCCGCTGTGCTCCACGGGCCCCACAGCTTTCGCAGTCGAGAAGAATCGCGATATGCACTCTTCCTCTTGCTGTACTTCAGGCGCCGGCCCAAAGCCAACCCCCCAGAGCCGGAAAGCAGCCTGCACGTTGGTGGAAGCGAGAATGTCGGCCTCGCGCCTCGTCAGTACGATCCTTGCGGGCGGGTCTAATTTTCGGACGTCCGGGGAAAGTGTGCTCGCTTGACCGTCTGCGGAAAAGCCTTTGCATAGCTCGCGCATGAAGCGCTCTACTCGGATGCGCTCGTCTGCCGCGTGCTGATCTAGCAGGACAAGGAGACCTTCGTCTTCTGTTTTGAGGGATGAGTCGCGTGCTTCGTGTTCTGCGACAGTATTTGACGGGATTACACATGCAACGAACTTCCTGTCGACCTGGCCAAGAATACAGGTCCTTGATAAATCGTTTCTCGAGAAACGAGCAAGCTGGGATTGGGTATTGGAAATTGCGTCGGCCTGAGAGAGAAATGACTGTCGTCCGTGCAGATATTGGCAACGCTCTTGGTCGCCTACGAAGGATGAGGATAAGGAAAGCGATGGTATACTGGGGAGCTTTAGGACGAATGTCTGATTCGCCTGGCGAATATGGAGAGAGTTAGAGAAGTTGCGGAATAGCTCTGAGGCAACGTACATACTCCAAGCGCTTCTTTAATCCAAGACGGCATGTCGTGTATGCCGGTAGTTGACGTCTGATTAGTGGGCCAATGCTGTAACGTGCGCCGAGACTGGGGGCCGCCCTCGGCATTTGCAGTATGTTGGCGAGATGCGTCGATTAGATATGAGTTGCCTGTCCGCCTGTCCAGGTTATATACCACGCCGGAAGAAGGGTCGGTCCATAGCACGTCATCGTCGTCAGTATCATCCAGCTATGCAAGTTGTTCTTAGGACTCTCGTACGTCGGTCGAAGGAGATCGCGTACCTTTGGCACTATGACTGGCAACTCCGCTCTATCTTGAAGAGAAATCCGTTCACACAATTCTTTTGGCTCCGTATCACAAGTAAGCTTTCGCCTTTTTCTTGGAGACGGCTTCGACTGAGGAATGCCTTGGGTCTTGAAATTGTGCTTCACCAAGAATGCTTGTATGATCGCCAGGAGGAAACCAGAGACTGTGCGATTGTTCTGGAATTTGTGTCAGAAAGACAAGAAATTGAGCAAGCATGATGACCTCACTTGAAGGTTCACAGCTGTCTTTCCAAGCTCGACACAATTGTCGACGTAGCGGGGGGACACAGTGACGTTCAGTACGTATACCGGTTTCTTCTCAGACATATTGGGTGGACGTCGAATCGTCTCTGCTTGTGAAAGCTGATTATACTCGTCAAGGGCCTGGGGTGTATATCAGTTTCCCATTTTGTATCGTGTGGAAGGAGGCGTTACAAACGTGTTTCCCAAAGGAGCTTGCTGCAAAAGCCGAATCAATGATGCGGTGTAGGTCACAAGTGCTTAGTAGGTGGCGGTTAATGTCTGATAATCCTTTCAGAGTGAGCAACCGGTGTTACGCATGCCGGCCGGTACTCACAAAGGTATTGGTATGTCTAAGGAACATACTGAATATGATGAACACGCTAGCAAAGATGGAGGTGCATGCCTTGGATGCGACGCCGTTCAGGCTGATGAATCCGTCTATGCTTATGTCTTCGTGGGTATCATGAATATCTTCGATGTGCTAGGCGACGGTTCAGCACATTACACAGGTGAAGGATAGCAGATCTACTTCAACCAATGCGCGTCCGAAAAGATGTCTAAAGGCATGCAGCATCGACGATGTCTGCGCAGCGTAGGTCAGTTTTATCGCAGACTCTGCTCAAGTAGAGCTACCTTCGGTATCTTTGCTATACGTCCAACGTCTGAGCGTCCAGCGTTGGATTTATGGGTATTCTCTAGCGAGAATGTCACGTGCGGGAAAACCAGTGCGAGTGCTTCGAGATCCTTGCGAATGAGTTCCAAAGTTCGTGATGGTGAAATGTGCGAGAGACGACGTATGGGTAACTAGATACTGCGTCAAGAGGGCAGATAGAGTTGTTACAGTATGGCATACGTTATAAAAAGCGTCACGAACACAGGCGACAGTCCCCTGGGATTCTTGCCGCCATCTAATCGCAGGGCCGCTGTAGAGATGCTTGCTACCCTGCGAGATGTCAGGCCCGCCGGGAAGAGGCTGAAAACGGGTAACGGTACCTTCCATATGGTGGACCAGGACTCGCGTGACATCGCCGTACGTGAGGTAACTTCAAGACATGAGAGGTCTGCGATAGATGCTAGTGCTATGCGTCGGGGCATGAGTAGTAAAACCTGAGCAATTCTCGTAAAATATACCTTCCCCGCGAAAGCCGAATGTGGAAATTTCGCCCAATGACTCCATGGTGTACGCCTTAGATGTTCCTGAACAGTGTTCAACATATGTTGGGTCATATTTATTGGGATTGCTTACCGTAGCGTCCTGCAGTTTCTAATGAGCTTAGATCTTGCTTGCTCATGCCTTTCCCATTATCTTTAACCCAACAGGCCCACTCTTCGCAGTCCACGCCTACGTCTACTTGCCCCGCGCCTGCGTCCAAGGCATTTTGAACGAGTTCCAACACGAGCTGGGGTAACGAGACAACAATCTGAGTTGAGCGTATCTTATTCTGCGTAGATGTAGGGAGACACTGTAGCTCGTTAGGTGTAGCCGCGGCCATCTGGAGAGGACATTGTCGTCGAAGGAGAGAGTGCGGAGGCGCTTGCGTTAAGCACTGGGCGTCTGCATCGCTGTAAGACAGATGACGTCAGAAAAACGCGTGTTTCACGCGCCTACAGGCAGTATCGCAACCATCCGCGTGCCCATCTCTGAGCTTGAAACCTTGACAGCTTTTGTTCTCATACCCACACCCAACGCCCAAACCAACTTTCCCCCCTCCCCCCAACGTCCGGCTGCGCCGCACTCGACATCATGCCCCGCGTTCCGTACAGGTATCCTGATCCTGGGACAGATCCTGCTGCGGACACCATCCGAACGCGTAGAGCAGGGGGGAATCTCATAGAGCTCGATGGTGCTCTGTAACATCCTTCCTCACACCATCCCCTGCGTGCTGCTTACGACTCTTAGCCTGAATGCGCCACAACTGGCAGCGGGATACAGCAGCCTGCTGGGAGCAGTTAGGCAGCAGAACAGCTTGCCGGACAACCTCAGAGAACTACTTGTATGTGCCCTGGATGGTATTAATAGTCATTCTGACGCCATTCCGTTAGATTCTACGCGTTGCTGCTCTCAATGGTGCTGTGTACGAGTGGTGTGTCTCCCTCTAGTCCGAATCATATAGCCTTCTCATGGTTATGTTTTCTGTGGTAGGAATGCCCACGTGCCCATTGGTCAGAAAGCGGGACTGACGACACAACAACTCTCTATCATTCGCAACGAGTCAACCGCTCTCTCAAAGAATGTCGACCCTGGCCAAGTCCTCTCCGATCTGCAGCGGGCCGCCCTAGTGTACACAGATTGGGTGACGAAGAACGTGCACGTCCCCCAGGATGTCTTTGACAGCCTGGCAGCGCTCCTGGACAACAAACAGGTTGTTGAAGTCACCGTGACCATTTCGGCGTACAACATGGTCTCTCGCATTCTTGTCGCGTTGAATGTGGCGGATAAAGCTGACGAGAAGGTTCCCGAGGTACCCACCCACTAGAGAGATGGGCAAGGATGCTTGCGCAGGCTGTTCGCTGTATAGTAACAGTGATGCCTGTCGCTCATATGAAGTTCAGTTCTTTGATCATTTTACTCTGAGCCTGCCTGCAATTGAGTTATGGACGACTTCGTCGCCAATGGTCCTGACTCCGAAGCTCTGTCGACATCGACTTTGAAGGCTGAAGAGTGTCGTTCAGAAAAGCCCAAGCCTGACTTCTCCGCTCCTTCACAAGAGGCAATAATCTGCCTGCAAATACGAAGACGTAGGGTATGTATCTTTTTTTTTTATAGTGCTAGCCTGAACACATTAACTCGTCGCCAGCCGGTTTCGGGGAGCAAGCTGCTGTCTTGGATTTCTCTAGTCAGCGATATCTGACGATAGGCAACTCATGGGTATTTGCAGCGGTCGGGTGGGATGTGCGCCATATAGCGGGCTTCAGCGCACAGACCGGGCAGCAGGATAATCGCTGTACGTCGTCCAGCTCCACACATGCTAACGTCCACGACGACGACGGTCGTCAGCGCATGATTGACGATGCCGGGGCTATTTGCCTCTGTGGGTCCACCACTGTCGCGTTCTCAAACTTTACCACGGTTGAATTTAATATTTAACCGCTCTTTCCTCCACTCCCTTTCCTTGCTTTTTCGACTCCTGCTTCGACTTGTCAATCCCTAGTCGGCAGCGATACGAAGGCCTTACGCCAATTCACGCTAACACAGCGCACGACACTCTTTATATCAAGAACGACCCCAAGCTCACGCCACCAACGACCTCAAGCACGTACGAATCATGTTGCCCCTCGTACCGACACTCGCCCTCGCACTTGTCTCGTTTTTTTCTTCAACATTCGTCATTCTCCGTATTGTAATTCCTATCCTTCCTCCGAACCCGCTCAGCAGGCGGGTTCCTCCAGTACGTCTCCGTTTTGAAAAAAACGACGCTTTGCACTAATACGGGCCACGTCAGTCCGAATTTGGCCTTCCAAACTTCAAAACACTCTCCGCTGCAGATAAGAGCCATATCTGGCTCGCCTCATGCGACATGGTGGCCCTCGTAATCTTCGTTTGGCAAGCTGTCAGTGAATATCTGGGCGGACCCACCGGCTACGATGTTGTCAATGACCCAGGCTCGGCAGGGCGACTTTGGATTGCTACCACACTCAGACAATCATGTCTGCTCCTTGTCGCTGCTATCACTCTGTTGCACGTTCGCCTGGGTCAGCCAGTCGCGTTTGGTGCCAAGCACTGGATGTTGTGGTGCCCGACGCTTCTCCTCATCATCACTTCGACCGTCCTTGCTGCAGTCTTGGCCGGTACTGGAGTAGAAACCTTCTTCTGGGGATTGTTGGGGTACTCTGCATCTGTTGCAGTCATCAGTAGCGTGACGTTCGGATGCCTCATCGGTACGCTCCTTATCATCCGCCGTAACCTCGCTGCTCTCGGCGACATGCGCGATCCCTGGCCTCCGGCTTCCGTAGAGGAGAAGTCACGTCGACGGTCGTTTGCCACAGAAGACATAAACGTGCTCAAAGACAACAGCTCCTGGATCACCTCGCGCGCAAGCTCTCGTTCCGAGTCTATCTCCGCCTTCTCATTCTCAACGCACTACACAAATCATTCGCGCATGCCCTCCAACGCCAGCTCCCGTGCCCAAGTCCACCCTAACGTCGCATCGTACCTTTCGATCCCTACGAAGTCGTCCTTCTGGTTCGGTCGCGCTACGCCTGCAAATGGGCGCGAATCTCCCATTCCACCTGTGCCCCCGCTGCCCGCCCCGTATCGTCCTTCTGACGGTACGTATAATGTTAGTGACGACCCCGATCCGTTCCACCGTGTGGATCCGCGCATTCGCATGGGTTCTCAGTCTTCCTGGCTCACTGAGAGTCCCGGCTGGCAGAACGAGCCCTCGATATCCCAGTGGTCCTTCTCTACTTCGCGTCACTCTCACGGCTCCCCTTCGCCGCATCCGCCCAGCCCAGACCTTGGCCAGGACTATTTCACTGCTCGGCTTCTTTCAACTTCGCCCTCGCCCGTCACATCGCGCCCGCACACCCCGGGTGTCGGCACCGATGTGCTTGGTGGATACGGTTACGCTCCTGACGCTTCCAGGGCTGAGACTAGCAGCCCTGGTCCATCCGGCTCGCCTGCAGGCGAGGTCGATATTTCAATGTGTCGCGCCGTTGGATGGTTGGTTAGTGTTTGGTTCCCGATGGTGAGTGCGCGGTTAGATCCCAATTCCTAACCGAAGTTTATCTTACTGGTCGTTGCCAGGGTCTTGCTGTTCCATACTATGTCACTTCTCAATTGGCTGAGCCATCCGCGGCTGCTTCTTTCTTGATGGTACTCTCCGTCACAATTTCCGCTCCTCTTCTTGCTGCAAACATCTTGTTCCGATCTCCGCTCCCGATCCCGTCCGGCCTGTTTGACACACCATCTCCGCCTCCTTCGGTTGTTCACCGTGCACCCTCGCCGTGCAGTAGCTCCTCTACCGAGCCTGTCGTCCGAGAGTACAAGCGCAGCGGCAGTACCACTGTTATCGAGGACTGTCGTAGCGGTGATGTCTGGATTGCCAATGGCGATGCAGTCGACGGCAAGACCAAAGTTGCGCGCGCTCTCACCCTGCTCCGTCCCAAGCCCAAGCTGTCAGTCCTGCCGCCGCAGGAAGAGGAGGTCTTCGATGGCCCGCTCTCACCCCCCCTGCCTATTCAAGACATTGATGGCATGTCAACCATCCCTCTCACGCCTCAGAGCCGCGACCAAGCTCAAGCCGGCATGAATCCTGAGATGGGCACGCGCAAGAAGGACTCGAAGGCTTCCTCATACTGCTCTGAGGTAGACGAGAGCGTCGCGTTCGCAACCAAGATTATGATTGCTCAACGTCACTATTCTACGCTTGCAATGACTGTCAACCTGCCGCCATCACCCAAGCCCAAACGCGTATCATCTCGCGAGGTCGCCGCGACGACCGCCGTCGAGGTTGAGGCGGGGCTGGCGGAGACGAAGCGCCACAGCCACCTCCGTGCTCGTTCGATATCGTCAATCAACTCGATTCCACGCTCTGTAATCGGCGGACCGCCGTCGACCCCGCTTCCTCCGACCCCGCCAACGCTCAAGTGCTTCAAGGCGGCTAACGCGTCCAAACGCCTGGCGCACCGGAAGTCGTACTCAGCCAATGATGAGTTCTCGTTCGGCCCTATTGAGAACGACAACACCCGCGAAATTGATGAGCTGTTTGCCGGGTTGCTCCCGCTGCTCGTGCCTGGCCTCGAGGTCGGCGAAGACATCAAGATCACGGATAGCTGGAAGATGTCGCCTACGGTCATGTCTAGGAGCGGAAGAGCACGCAAGAGTCACGTTCCGTCTGAGCTTGGTAGCACGGCTGGTGACATCTCATCTCCACTATTCCAATCGACGCCACAGAACAGGAGATCACAGACCCAGACGCGCACCAGGAAGATCTCTGCTCACAAGACTCATGCCAGTCTTCCCAGGTAAACTGCATTTAGCGATTCGATCTGCGTACACTGATGCTAACGAGGTGGTCAGCCTTAGCCTCCGCAAGGGCGGCCTTCGCACTTCATCGGCTTCGCGCGGCGACGCTGACCGTGCTCCTGACCACAAACGTGGTCGGCATGAATCCAGCAACGTCGAGATCCCTGAGATTAAGGTTGAAGATGACCGCAGGATCGCCGCGTACGGCGAGGAGTCTGCCGAGCACTACCTGAAGGTTGTCGCCGAAGAGGACGAGAGCTCACGCCCCACTTCTCCTTGCGAATATAGTGGTTTCCCGTCGATGCTCGATGTGCGGGAGGGCATTCGCACGAATCGCAGTTCACTCGTGACGCTCATTTCTGCACTCGATCGCGAGCTGAAGTTCCTCCCGCCTTCTCCTGTATCCGATACCACGTTGTGCGACTTCGACCCAAGCGTTGATGGTGTGCTCTCGAGCACACCGCAGGAATCCAAGACCCAGGCGAAGTCCCGCTCTCGCGATACCGATGCTCGGTCCAAGTCACTGCACCGGTCAAGCTTCGTGTACTTTAAGACGGACGAGAATGTTGCGCCTGATACAGCGTCGCCGGTTGTGCGTCCGCTTGTGCCGAAGACCAAGTCCACTAAGCATCGCGTCAACAAGCCTTACGTCGATCAGGAGAACGTCACGCTGGAGGTCGAGGCCCGGGGTCTGCGCCCACTGTCGCTCCTGCAGGACCGCGAGCACAATAGCGCGATGCAAACAACGAAGCCGCTCTCTCTCGGAAAGAATAGCAGGAAGGCGCAGAAGGAGAAGGCGGACGCCGAGAACATACGCAGGGAGCCGAGTCTCAAGCGTGCGCTGAAGCCGCTCAAGCTTGTGCGCAGTGAGACTACCAAGCAGCGTGCGATCCTGCGCGAACAGGAGGCCCTCCCCGATGTCGTCGTCCGCCCGCCATCTGACGGCCAGCATTTTGGGCTTCAATACACCTTCCACTAGTGAAGAAACGTCATTTCGATGTCTGTATATGCTGTAATCTGCTTTCCCCGGACTAAGTCTAGCTCTGATCAGCCGACCTTACGCAACCCTCTGTTCTCGTCTTTTCTCCTGTCCATATTGCTCTGTTCTGTTCGCACAATGTTGTCGCCCACCTCTCTCCTAGACGAAGGCCTACTTTACGCTTCGCTGTTTATAGTTATACTCCACGCCTTGCATCTTCACGTCTCGGTCACGCAGTTCACGATACTCTGACGAACCTACCCAAGTATATAGACAGTGTCACACGTACAAAACGTCCAAAGAACAGGTTTCGAGCAGTGCTCGGCCCTAGATTGACATGCCTGGCCCGAAGAGCGAGACCCACGCCGATCCCGTAGGAGCTATTGGCCCGCAATATGCCATGACGTATTTTGAAGGGTGCCATTGCACAGTTGGCGATGCCCCCAGAGCAGGTACACGATGAAGGGGTTCGCCCGTCTCAGTGGCACACTAGAGGAAAGTGCAATCAATGAGCCAGTTAGAGCCGCGATTGTCACAGAACTTACAATGTCGATGTATGGCCCTTGCGTCGAAAGGGCGATGAATTCGCCGTCATGCGAGAAACTAAGACCGGTGATGGCATGACTGGGAGGGAGAGGGGTCAATCTGGGTCAAGGGGACAACTCCTTCTGGGACGCACTCGCTTGCCGTGATAGTCCGCGCACATATCCATTCCGAGAGGTCAAACATGTTGACAATGGAATCGTGGCCCGCAGATGCCAAATATCTGGCCAAAATCCAGTTATGGAGGGGAATTAACAGTGAGAGAAAACCAACATACCTGCCTCGCGGGTCGAGGGCGGTCGCCACACAGCCGTTAACATGAGCGGGTGTGGAATGGACCATCTTCAAACCAGGAAAGTCGACGACGCGCAGCGTATGCTCTGCAAAGCTATTAAGTACGATGTATTCACCCGCGTGGCTAAATAGCGCGTTCGACGCTGTCACCTGTGCCCTGTGAGCGTGGTCTGAAGACACAGCAAGATGTCGAACATACTGTCTCGCTTTTGATAGTCTCCCAAGTCTCCTTGCCGTCTTCTTTCTTGTTGAGCTTTACGACAAACAGGTGCTTGCTGGGAGTAGTATATAGAAGTGTCTTGCCATCTGGGGCGTATATTGTTGTCTGCGGAGTAGTGTACTTCAAGGATATTTGTTGCACATATCGACTTTCTGCAGAACGTGATCAACCTAGAACGGGTGTTCACGAGCGGAAAACTCACGCCTTGCATCCCAAAATACAATCCTCCTATCCTTCTGGCTGGATGAGCAGAACAGATCCGGATGCTTGGGGTTCCATGAGATGTAGTCGACTTCTTCAGTGTGCCCTCCGGAGAATATAGTCGCTGCGCGGAAGTCCATCTGTCAGAACAATTCAGCTAAATATGCAGTAGGATGGCTCTGACTCTGGTTCACGCACGCTCTTCTCAGGCGACCATACGCGGACGAGCTTGTCAATGCCTACCGCACCCAACCTCCGGCCGTCACAATTCCAGGCGATGTGGTTCATCCCTTGGCTAGAGGTTATCCGGATATCTCGGGGCTTAAACGCGGAGAATGTCGGTGGCTTCGGGCATAGTAAATCTTATGTTTGGAAGCCCCTTCGAGACAGAACAATGCATACATGGATCGCTCTTGCAGTAAAGCTGGTGTGCGGTGGGGGTGATGGCTGACGTTGCGGAGGAGGAAGCTCGTCTTCCTCCTTAGTTTTGGCTGTGGTGTGAGACATCCTATGTTGTTTTGTTGCTAATAAACGGCAGAACGAGTGTGGAGTGAGCGAGGCTTTGAATCGAGAATGAACCGAGGTCAAGTCAAAGGATAACAGACGCCGAAAGTATCCCTAATGGGTATGATGGCGGGGCTGATCGGGACATACACCCGATGATGTAGGCTATGCAGTCCTGAATATATATCCTCGTCTTAGCTTAGCCGAGCAAGTGAATGGACGGCACTGAACGTATAGTGAAAGTCATGCGTGTTTTACAATTAACGCTGAATCTCGATAGCGATCCTACCAAACACCCGACGTCGCTTGTCAGCGCATGAGCTATGATGTCGATCAACAGCACGATGTACAGCTGGCATATCTTGACACTACGGGCATAAGCTGATTTCAGATCACCTGAAATGTCCTGGTCAAGCCATCAAAACTGTTTCATTTTTGAAGACTTAACTGGGGCTTTCTGGTGTCCCAAAATGATAGATTTGCTACCACTTTCATAGCCATTTGCGGTGGAGGAAAATGATAAATTTTGTGTAGCCTGAAATGAACCTGAAATGACTCAATATGGCTACATTTCAGTACGGCAAAGAGTTCATGTTTCAGGAGACTTTGTGGCGCATTTCAGGACATCTGAAAGAACATATGTAGAAATCATTTTCGCCTCATGTTTGCAATGAGGAAAGGTGCAGGCAGGGGAAACTTTTGAGGGTCCTGAAATTGCCATTTCTGATGGATTTTGAAGCTATTTTATGGGCTAGAAGATTTTTACTTGATATAAGTCAGAAACATCCTAGAAATGTACTACAAATGTGTCATAAATGGCAATTTCAGGACCATCAAAAGTTTTCCTTGCCCGCACCTTTCCTCATTGCAAACATGAGGCGGAAATGATTTCTACATATGTTCTTTCAGATGTCCTGAAATGCGCCACAAAGTCTCCTGAAACATGAACTCTTTGCCGTACTGAAATGTAGCCATATTGAGTCATTTCAGGTTCATTTCAGGCTACACAAAATTTATCATTTTCCTCCACCGCAAATGGCTATGAAAGTGGTAGCAAATCTATCATTTTGGGACACCAGAAAGCCCCAGTTAAGTCTTCAAAAATGAAACAGTTTTGATGGCTTGACCAGGACATTTCAGGTGATCTGAAATCAGCTCATGCCCGTAGTGTGAGAAAAGTACATCAAACGTTTTAGTTTCGTGGTACGTAGGCCAGAGCGGTCTGAACTTTGCTTTACACTGCGTTTCGAACTTGAAGCTGGTAAGGTCGTGGTCTATGTAAAGCGCGCGGCAGATTCTGCGAGGCGCTTGACGCGCCAAATCGCTTGACCTCCAACTTGCCCTAAAGACTGGCGGCACAGTTTCCCAGATTATGACCGAGGATCCATCTGCCGACGCCCAATGCGCTCTCCAGCAGGCTATCGTCGACGCCAACGATGCTGCCCAAGCACCCAAGAGGAAGTTTAAGAAGAAACGTTCCCGTGAAGGCGATGGTGATGGCCAGCCCAGGGACGAGCAGGTGAAATCGAAGAAAAAGAAGAAAATCCGCGATGCGGAGGTCGTTGAGCCTATCGTGCAGGTGGCAATGGACCACTCCGTGCCCGCCGTCGGTGCGGCAGTGGGTAAGCCGAAGGCTAAGAAGAAGAAAGAGGACAAGGGCAGAGAACCAGCCCTCGCACAACCTCCTACTCTGATGCCTGTGCATCAGCAGCAGCAAGGACCTCCTGTGACGGACGATGTACTTGGTACTTCTTCTGCAGACTTCCTGTCAGCAGTTGTGGCTGCAGCATCTGTGACTTCTCACCTTCAAGACAACGTCCCCCCGCCATACCCGCCGCAGCCTATGCCACCATATCCCCCGTACCCAGAGCATATGGTCCAGTATCCTCCTCCACCTCCAGTATATTCTTACACTCACCCGCCCCCTCCGCCCCCTCCCTTCGGCCCTCCCGGCATGTACCCTGACTTGAACAGCATTCTGCCAGACCTGAATATCGCGTCTAGTGAGGAGCTCCTGCGTACACTCCAGGACATGGACATCGCGAAGTTAGCTTCCGTGCTCAAGACCCTCGGCGAAGCGGGGGTACATACGCCATCTAATCCACCACTGAATATTCCCCCCTCATTTATCCCACCTCCTGCACCTCCGGGTCCGCCTCCTGTAAATCAGGTCTCCGCAAGATCAGTCGCTATTCTGGGCCGTCACCCGAAGCAGGCGAAAGAGTCCGGTACAAGTACGCGTAACCTACCTCCGCCTGCACATATGCCACCTCCGCCACGACCTCCGGAGGAAGACAATCCCGACCATGCACACATGCTCGCGAACGTGTGGATGAATGCGAATAAGCTCGCCGAGATGGTGAAGACGCAGGGCTTGGTGTACAAAAAGGGTAAGTTTTCTGCCATCGAGGATGCTCAGCTTTGCGCGGCGATCGAGACTTTCCGGGTGGTGAGTCTTCTGGCGCGTTTTAATCTTAGTTTATGCTCAATGCTTCATAGAACAAGGGCATGACCGAGCAAGATATTACCGGACTTATCTTCTCTAAAGATCACGGAAGAGGTGACGCATTCTGGCAAGAAATCACGTCTGCTCTTCATTTGCGCCCTATCGCGGCCGTATATCACCACGTCCGCAGACTGTGGCATCCGCTTAGGGGTCAAGGGAGATGGGTGCCCGCTGAGGACGAGAACCTGAGAGAGTGAGTATACATCATGTTTGCCATGTTCTGAGCTGAGCTCACTCTTTGGCAGCGCTGTCGCTCAGCTTGGCCAACAGTGGGAGAAAATCAGTGAGCGAGTCGGACGATCTGCCGGGGACTGTCGGGACAGATGGCGGAATCATTTGGAAGGTCAGGAAGTTAGGAGGAGCGGTCATTGGACGAAGGAAGAAGAGGAAGAGCTCACGAAGATCGTTACCGAGGTTACTGTCTTGCAGGGGAAGGATATGGATAACGATATCTTCTGGGGTGCTGTCAGTCAGCGTATGGGTGGTCGCCGCGGTCGACAGCAGTGTCGAATCAAATGGTATGAAGTCTCTGCTTCTGAGAAGGCAGACACTCACCGTACGCTCTTCAGGACGGATTCACTATCGACCCAGATCAAGAATGAAGGTGCGAAGCCTCGCTGGAGTCAGCTAGATGCATATATCCTTGTACATAAGTGTGTCTCTGTCTTTCTTGATGATGAACGTCAATTGATCGCATTTTAGGGTCGACTCACTGAAGGTTAACGATGATAGCGAGATTGATTGGAAAAAGCTTCCCGACGAACATTGGAACATCTGGAGTGCACACACATTGCAGCGACGGTGGCTGACGATGAAACGTAGCATCAAAGGCTACGAGGATATGACGCATGCAGGTGCGATCGCTCTCTTCGGTTGTAGATGCCTAGTGTGCTAAGTGCCTTGTAGAACTCATGGATATCCTTCGAACAAAAAAGGCTCAGACACCGCCACCCCAAACCGCATCCCGCTCAAAATCACAGAAACAGCCTCGAAGCGCAGAGACTATCGCTGATTCTGATTTGGAAGAAGAAGACGGTTCTACTCCTCGGGCAAGCTCGAACTCGAGCCATGTGGCATAGACTATACCCTCGCGATTCACGCGTAGTTAGGCCTGCTCCCCTTACACTGTCCAGATATTCTATAGCGCAATGCAATTTCTGCGACCCGCCCCTCCCACCATGCAGGGCGAGCGTGAGAAAATGCGGCAACAAGCGACCATGCACAGCATTTACATCAAACGAGAGAAGGGCCTTTGTGAGTGTGCCATCATGTACAGGTGAGGCCACTGCTGTGCTATTTCCGCGCGGTCTTGGATAAGGCCCGCCACAATCCATATAAATACAGGGTGTGCGCCGTGGCCCCCCTTTATTACGGTCATGAAGCTGCTCAACACCCTCCCCCAGACTGACGAAGAGCATTATGCCTTGGAGGTGCTTGAGATTGACACAAGCGTCGAGCATGGCATCACGGACGATCACCTCGCAGACGTTATTCCATACTGTCCAAGCATTCAGGAAGCATATCTCACCGGGGTCTATGACCTCAGCGACCGCACTCTCATCTTGCTTGGGCGCGAGACGGATGATCTGCGGACGCTGGACATCTCGGGCTGCCTGCATATTAGTCCTATCGGCATACACGACCTCGCTGGCCTTGCAACGCGGCTGCAAGTACTCCGAATGAGTAGTGTTTGGAGTATCACGGACCCTGCGCTGAAGACCATCCTGCGCTCGCTCGGCCATCTCACCGAACTCGACATCTCAGACCTCCCGCTCGTGACAGCGCATTCGGTCCGCGAGGTGTGGACGTTCTGCAGGAAGCTGCGCATGTTCAACATGTCGAACTGCACGAACGTGACAGACAGGGCATTCCCATCACCATACTCGGGCACCTCTCACACGCAGTACACAGGCGGCAGACGAAGTCTCGTCGTGCCAGATCTGCACCCAGCGAAGACCCCTTCTCCGGAGAAACCGACGCTATGGATAGACAGCCTGCCACCTCTGGTGCTGCCGACCCACCACCTGCTCGAATATCTGCATCACATCGACCTCAGTCACTGTCAGAGGCTGACGGACGACGCAATTGCGGGCTTGGTCCAACATGTACCACGCGTCACCGGGCTGGACCTCGCAGGTTGCATGGGCCTGTCAAATAAGGTGGTCAATAGTCTGTGTACGCAGGGAGAAACACTTATGGACCTCGACCTGTCGGAGGTGCATCGACTCACCGACGATAGTTTTTTCAGGCTCGTGCGAGCCTGCCCCCGATTGAGGGAATTGAACATCTCCTGTACGTGTTTGTCGCTCGCAGCACTCGTGCCCGCATCTCACAAGGGCTCCACAGACTGCACGCAACTGACGGACATGTCGATTATGGAGGCTGCCTCGCTCGAGAAGTTGCGCCACTTGTCCATGGCGGGTCTGCCAAAGGTCACCGATATCGGCATCGAGTTTCTTGCAGAACACGCTTCTGTTCTTGTCGAAGTTGAAATATCCGGATGCAATCGTCTTTCGTTGGAGGCCGTGCACCTCCTGCTCCGACAGCTGAAGCACCTCAAGCGCCTCGGTGCCTGTATACCCGCCATGGCCCGCCCGGGCACTAAACGGTTCTCGGAGCGTACGCCCTCTGTACGTCCTTGTTACGCGCGAGGATCGCTTTAGATCGCAGGCTGAATGACTCATTCATTTGGCCTTACAGGGATGGGAGCGCAACACACAGGGTCCGTATCGGACGTTCAACGGCGGGAGTATCGCTGCGCTGCGGGCATTCCTAGATAAGGAAGAGGCGAGGAAGAAGGAGGCGGAGCGGAGGTGTATTCCGTTCACGCCGAGGGCAGACGATAGCATGGACCTGTATTGAATATCGAGTGAATATCGAGCCTAGGGTGGCCTATCCCACGCTGTGGTTCGACGTATTGGCGGCGCCGCTGGTTTCCATGGCTCTCGATTGGGCCTTGGGAGGCGGCGGATCCGGGACTTTCATGCTATTCGCGATTTTGTTCCGGTGAACCACGAGTGTGTGTGTCTGCACCCGCGAGGTACACGCGGTCGCCGCCTCAACAATGGCGCAAGTAGCTATCGGTGACCCATGGCATTGGAACAAGGCTTCTAACCACCCATGATCTGCCTTATCCTCCTCGGTGCAATAAGAACTTGATCATAAGCTATAACGACACGTCAACATGCGCGATTGCCCGCAGGGGCGGTCACGAGTGTATGCCTGCATCGAATTCCCTACTCGCATATCTGAGTTCTGTTCGGCAACTCTTGCATCTAACACGGCTCGCGGCCACTGTTAGTTCTGTGAAGATACGGCGCTGGAACGTTCACTTATGCCTCACGTAAGGTCGTCATTCCTCCATTCAACGTGCGATAGCGGTGAGCTTCCTCGTACCACGACGACACTAGGTGACACATCGCAGCTCCACAATGCATCGATGGCTACATGCAACTCCAGTGCCATAGCAGGATTGTGCCTGTCCGTTGTAAATGAGAAGAGGCAAGAAGTAGATGGGAAAATATACAAGGCACGGGCCCTGAAATTAGAATTTAGCGCATTCACACGGCGCCAGGCTTCGACTTCTGCCGTAGAAGCGCAAGCCAGTTTGTTAACCATGTCGGCGCTAAACGGAGGGATTGTCATAAACGAGACCGCAGCTGCCTTCGCGGCGGGAACGAGGCAGCCTCGTCGCGCCAGTGCTTGTGGTGCTTTGCCATCGATGGCGGTGACGAATAATATAAGCGCCGTGGCGTACTTGTATAACCGAGTGCTTATAGGTAAGTTATCAATTTGGGCTGAACGACCCACGAGCACCAAGGTGTGGTCACCATTCCTTCTTGGCAGGGAAGTCTTGGGGACGTCCTCATTGAACGGCAGCAGCATTGCCTCATGCACCGCGGTCTAGTCGAACGAGGGTGCAAGGCGACCCTAGCTGATCCCGCAAGTCTAAGCAACAATTAATGTTAACCTCATAACACCGCATCTCATGTAACCAGTACCTATCTCAACGGACATTCCACCATGTTTAGGAGCCCAGGTACGCGTCTGGGCACGCACATCATGCCTCGCACGGCTAAGGTTCGAAATTCCGTCTTCGTGAGCACGCAGCGCTTCGACGTCCTTGATAAATTCACTGATTTTGCACCGCAAACACAACGACAGAAGCGGGTAGGTCGCGCCTCGTGTCGTCAACGAACTGCGCGAGCGCTGTGTTACACCGAGGAGATGTGCGTCTTTGTGCGTTCAGTTGCAATATTGGCGTCAGGGTGATCTCACTGCTTCGTTATATGCTGTATATTGCGCGATTAACTGTGAGGATTCAGAGCCGTCACTGCGCGACCCAGTACCCGCAGATCCCTTTCTACACGAGCCTGTGTTCTGCAGTCAACAAGTCAGGCTAGATCCAGTTCATTCTGTGATCATTCCTGCGCACCTTCGATTCCGACTGCCGACAGATACTCCACAGGCTTGCCGTCAATTATTCTCGCGGTCACTCGACAGGGTGTCGATTTATCGCACAGGTAGAGGCCCCTGGATACTCATGCAGAGGAGCGCGCGATCCTTCCCTGCTTCACCCATGCGTACCCCGGTGAGGTCGCCTCATTTCGACTTCAAGTCGCACATCGATGGGCCCTTTCACGGTCGCAGTGGATGTCCGACGATTATCTTGCCGTCTACGCCGACGTGCTCAGCAAGCACGCACAGGAAGACGAACGGACCCTGTTCTGATACCGTGACTACTCTGAGCCTTGCGTCCGGAATAATTGGCAGCCTGGTGCGTCGCCCCTGCCTCCTTTCCGAGCGACATTCGCTGCCAGCTAACATGCTTCTTCCGTACAGGTGAAGCCCGCATATGTGTCTGGCCTTGCCTATCAACTCGATCAGAGGAGTACAAATTGGACTCGAGGCTTACTTTGCACCCGGAGATACGGTACCCGCACGTCGCTAGTCACTGGCACTAGTGTGACTCTCACCAACTTGGGTCGTTCTTGAACTTTCGTACTCGGCAGCCGCAACCCGCCTCGGCGCGCGCGGCTGGATGGAGTGCCCGATGTGCCCGAATGATTGTTGCATGAGAATACTGCCTCGAATGATCGAGCTCGGCGGAAGCAAAAATGACGAATGGTCCATGTATGGCTCGGATATATAGGAAGTGCATCACCGTTGTGAGAGACATTGCTCAGGAGCATATGAGCGACCTGCGGCATCGAGAGGTTTGTTTGCTCAGGAGACAGGTCAGACCACAGCTTTAATGTCTCTATCATTAAAGGAAAGGGGGCGGGGAGTGCGTCCAGGGGGAATAGGCCTATTTGGGAGACGTTATGTCCATCGATCTCTCCGGAGGATACTTCCGTCGGAGCTCTTTAGAGGGCGCGTAAGTGGCGTCAGAGCATGGAGGAAGCACTGGAGGTTGAAGGAGTGAAGTACTTGCCTGCAGAGAAGGGCTGGCGTGTCAAGACCCTTAGACGATGCGTATACATGGTCCATGGATGCATGTACACAGGACGTCCGGCACCCGCCAGCGACGGAAGAGCGGATGTTCAAACGACTGCGATCGCCTGCGGCCCACTCCTGGCCCACTCTTGCCGCGACTGCAGAGTGAGAGAAATTCTCCGGATTTTGACTATTTCGAATTAAGTAGCATCGCGAGAAACGATGATCATCGCTGCTGACAGAGAGGGAAGGAGGGGTGCAGACCGTGTTACAGGGATTCGGGCGTGTCTTGCATGCGCAGGTCGTAGGGCGAGTAGGCGCTGTATTTGCGACGAACGTGTACATAGGCGGAAGGGGTCAAATTCTTGCCGTGGTATTTGCGGCGCGGACGCGACGATGCGCAATATGAGAATGCTGGCGAAAAGCGGTATCTAAGCGTGCTAGTCCGTTCTCGGATGCAGCAACCACGACTCCCGGCCAGGGCGTCGACCGCATGCGCAAAGCCTCCTGTCTTCTCTGATATTCTTTAAGTGATTCGCCTCAATCCCACACGCTCCTTTTTCTCTTTCCTGCGCGCCCTCTCTCCGAGCGAGCAGCTGGTGCGCTGTTCAGACCGTCACGGAGGCTGCCAGGCGGTGCCGTCACCGGCATACCACGCATATCCACACCAGTCAACCGGCCGACTAGCCTCTGCCGATCCCCAGTCAGTCCCCACAGGCTCTCTCTCCTCTTACGTCCACGACGTCCACCCCGCCCTCTTTCCCTGCCGTCGTCAGAGGCTGCCCCCGCAGCGAGCCCCGCCCCCGCTCCACCGCACCTATATTTCTCGTGCGTCTGACCGCCCCCTCCGAGGAAACAGTCCCGCTCCAGCGCGAAGGCACAGCTTGTACGTGATCCAGGGCCTCGCGGTCATCGTTTGGAAAGCGTGCAATCTCCAAGAACATTCGAGCCTGCGCAGGGTCAAGGCGTGCATGGTCGCTTGAAGGACCTGGTGCGTTAACTCTTGTTTCAGGACCACACGCCCTTGGCCATTCCGCTTCGCCGATCGTTTATACTGACGCGAGCTCGGCGTTCTTTCTCAGATCACTCGGAACCTTGCTCTTCTCGTCGCTCACTACTCCTTCGTCGCCGCTGCACTCAGCGAGCACATATCCCTGTGGGTCTTCGCCCCCTCCACACCCACGAGCCCGCCTCCCTCAAGCGCGGCCGGCCGAGTCCCTTCCATAAGGACCATCCATCTGGCGAAGCAGCTTTTGGTCCTTCTTTCGCACCTGTCCGAGCTTCCCATAAGCTTTGCCGCTTGGACGACCTTGTGCCGAGCGTAGGAAGCTTATCAGCATCACTTAGAATGGAGGTCCTCACACCTACATCAATACCCCCGCCGTCGTCGCCATATTCCAGCTCTCCCCGGAGGGCCTCTTTTTCACTGTTGAATCGCCGTCCCTCTGCTCAAAAGCTATTGGGGCACCACGAGCCGAATACTTCGACTTCGGTGCTATCCCTTGCTGCATCTTCACAGAGCCTTCTGACCGCGGAACCATCATTAGTTGTAAGCAACTCGCTAGCGATTGGCACCACTCTGCGCTCGACTCGCGCGCCCTCTTCATCACTACTCTCGTTTGTACCTTTGACGCCCATTATGGCCTCTCCGAGGATGACTCCGGACATCGGGGCGGGCTCCGGAGCATTTGCAACTGCTTCCCTGAGCGGCGGCGTCGCGTCGGCCAGCAACAGCGACAGTGCATCGAGCAGCTCGGCATCTACATCACTAGGTGAGGGCGACTATCTTACACGTGGACATCCCGCTTTGCCGCTCTCGGGCGACTCGCTCGCGCAGTCACCCCCGACGCCATTGTGGATTTCTACGCCGCCCACGCCGCCCACGAAGGATAGGCACTTGGTTTCGCCACGCTCGTCTGCCGGCATTCAGGGTTGTGAGTCCGGAACAGCGGGCCCGTCTAACATCACAAGAAGTAGTCAAGGGCATGCGCGCCCTGCTTCTGTCGCAGTTTTCCCGGAGTATCGCGCACCCACTTCCCCATCTATGAACTGTTATGATGTCTCGTCCTCACGTCGGCCACATATCACCTCAAGATCCGTCTCCCCCCCTCGTGCTGCGCGGTGTATTCCCCGCAGCGGCTCGTCTGGCGATATCTGCACTACTGCTGGAGTCAAGCGGCGAAAAACCTTGCCGAGACAGTTTGGCAAGACTCTCTCGTCATCGCCTGCCGCCGTAGAGATCCGACCACACACGGCCACCCACGATGCGGAGAACAACGTTCTCTTGCCCAGCCTGTCTCGCAGTCCAAGGAAGAAAGCGAAAAACATGTTTCCATGCCACACGCCGTCACGGGACGTGTCAGTGTCCAGCTCTCGGACGCGAAAGGTTTTTACACTCGGGGGTGGGGAGGACTCCGATAACGAAGGCGAGGGGTCTGGGGATGGCTCACATGAGTCTGCTGAGAAGGCGGAGACGCAGCCTCAGGAGGTCAGGAGCCCTGTCGACGACGAAACGCCATCGGAAAGTGCGAAGGGAATGAGACGGTACCACGCGCTCTTAGAGCTACTGGCAACAGAGGTGGGATATTTGCTTGATCTGCGAGCACTGGTATCGGTGAGCACCGCAGCTCCAACTCAAACCGCACGTATATTCTTAGCTGCTCCCAGATTTACCTTGAGCAATTGCCCTCTCTAACTGCCCCTGTCCCTGCGCCGCTTTCCCGCCCTTCGCCCTCTGCTCTCTCCATCTCGAGCCTGGCTCTCTCACGCCCGTTCCCCTCTTCTCGGTCTTCGTTTATGTCGGTCCCGGCTCTGTCTTCTGGCTCGGGACCACCCGACGGTTCAAGCTTCGACAGGCACCGAGATGGCTTCGACCGCGAACGTGACGCTGAGAAGACCAGATCTGCACGGCGCCCCCTCCTCTCTGAGCAAGACGTGCAGCTTCTTCGACGCAACGCTCAAGACCTACTTGCTTGGCATGAACGCTTCGTCACAATGCTCGAGCGAGCTCTTGTTCCGTCCGCATTGGCGTGGGTGTTTGCTCAGGTGTCTGAGCGTCGAGGAAGGGAGATGAGGCAGAGCACCGAGGATATGACTGTTCAGAGCGTAGACGAGGCGGTCGACGTAGTCATGGACCTATTTGTGCAAGAGGTGAGTACTCGACCCATGCGCATATATGCAGCTGAGCCGACAGGGTAACACCCAGGCGTCTTCCTTCATACTTTACGAGACGTTCACACCTCGTCACAACGAGGCCGTCGATCTCGTGCGCAATATTCAGGATAACTATCCAGTGGAGTGGGACGCGTACGAGCAACGATGTTCGCTCCTGGTCGCTCATGCTTTCGAGATCACCGCCGACTCGCACAAGGCGCAAACCGTGCTGTCATCGTCCTCAAGTGGCCACAGCATCGACTCTATGAGCAAGAGAAGGCGACATTCGATGTCTTCGCTCTCGATGCAGTCACCCATGTCGCCTTTCGGAGTGATGCCTCTCACGTCCGGCCTGGGTCCCGCTAAGTCGGATGCCGTGGACAGCCATAAGCGCAAGGTCCACGGCGAGTCGATGTATGCGCAGCAACAGGCCATGAGGCTTAAGTTCCTCGACTACCTCATCAAGCCTGTGCAGCGCATCTGCAAGTACCCCCTGCTGTTCGACCAGCTCAAGTCCAAGAGGAGTTTGTCTCCGAACACGGACGAAGCGATCGAGAGGGCGAGCGCTGCTATGCGCGCTGTGCTGACGAGGGTCGACCGCGCGAATGACAAGCAGGCGCACCAGCTCAAGTCCCAGCTCATCGCCACGCGATTGACTGCGAATGGTAACCCGACTTCGCCCGTCTCGCCCACCGAAAGCAATCCAGAACGTCGGTCACAGCTGACACCTGAGTTTCTGCAATCCTTAGGTGCATGCCTTGTATCGGGAGCTTTGGATGTCGTGTATCATCAATCCAATGGCGGCGTGAGAACCAAATATCTCGGTGCATTTCTCTATGTCGGTGGATACTTGATTCTCTCAAAGGTCCCGAAGAGCGGCAAAGTGTATGAGGCGAAGCACTGGTTCTCGCTGGCTGGTTTCCAGATCCTCGACGAGGTCGACGACGATCGTGAGTGCTTCCCACCGGTTAAACCGATGAGCCCTAAATTGACGCTTCTGGTACAGCATCGCTTCCTTATGCGTTCCATGTTTTCAGCGCGAATGTGCATTTGCATTTGGCGGCGTCCTGTCAGCTAGAGAAGACCATCTGGATGGCGGCAGTCCAAGACGCTGTGTCTGCGCCGGCGCCATGCTGGACGAACGAGCCTCCTGCGAACTTTCCGCTAGACGCGCGACCTATCGTGACGGCCTACGAAGAGCAGACTTCAGACTATTCGACGCCTCTTCCGACGCCGCTGCCCACGATTCAGTCAATGTCGGAGTTAGAGGGACCGGGGGACACGGCCTCACCTGCACCCCCGGCTCCGTCTCCGAAGAAGCTTGCCAAGACAATGTCGCGCGTCGACAGTGCCATCATGCGGCATGAGTTTTCCGCGCTGAACCGGCGCACCTCGACATCGTCTGTCAAGGCGTTCTTTTCGCCGCTCACGTTCGACTCTCGCGTTAGCCGCCCATCGGCGCAAATTCGGCAACAAGTGGACCACGGCCTGCACGACGTTATCTCAGACACGTTCGTGACGGTGCGAAACCAAGTGCGCATGCGTGACGAGGAGCTCTTCCAGGTCCGGAAGAGGCCTATGGCGAATATGTCACGGTCCAACTCTGGTCTAACGTTGTCGGGGCTCGCATCCAGAAAGCGCCATGATAGCATCGTGCTCGCTTCAAGTCGCCGGAAGGGCTCCGTGGATGGAATACCCGATGTGACCGGCGACTCCGAGACGAGTAAGCACTTGGTGCTCTCACAGCGGTCCAAGTCTTCCGGGGACAAGCGCAAGAAGCGGCAGTCACTCTCAGTTACTCCGTTTGTGAACAATATCGACTTGGAGATGGGTCTGATACAGAGCCCGGACGGTTCCGTCGAGTCACCTCCAGCCATGACCCAGTCGTCGTCAGCTGCTTCTTCCAACGTGAATTCGGCCTTGCCCAGTCCGCTCGAGAGCAACCTGCCCCTACCGTCCGCTGATACACTGCGCTACAGGCCGAAGCGCACACGTTCTCTAGTGGATAACGTCCGCAACTTCTTCCATTCACGCTCGATCTCGCCAACGCCATCAGCCACGGGCTCGCCGAAGATTGCCGCTGCAGCTCTCGATGCGGAGACGGAGCCTCATGGAGGGCTTGTGCAGTGGTGGCGCAGAGGCTCTCTTCGCCGGCGGGCACAGAGCTCACCCGAGATGCCGACCGACGAGTCCACGCCTGCCACGCCTGCCACGCCCGCCGCGTCCTTGGATGACGGTGCGTACTCCGAGATGACAAGTCAGTCGTCTACGAACGCGCCGCCGAGTCCAATGCCGAGCCCCGACGTGCTGGCCGGGCGGCAGCTGAGCACTTCACGTCGGGTGGCTTTCTCGTCCATCGCGCCCATCTCACGACGGCGGTCGCTCTTCTCCTATGGCTCCCGCGCTGAAGGCGGCGCGCTTCCCCCGAGCGAGTCCCAAAGCTCGACGATTTCCCGAGGCAAGACGCTTAAGCACCTATTCCATTTCCAACGTTCGAACTCTCTTACACCCGTGGATCTGGATACATCATGAGATTTTTGTAGCCTACAGGTTCGGAGCACATGACTCAGATTCGGCCATAGGATTTATTATTCATATTTGTAGTGTTAATCTTGCATTCCTTTCGCCCCACTTCATGTCAATCCCCGCCTATCTTCTATCTTCCACACCCCTCGACGAAGCATAGACTTTAAACTTACAACTTGCAATTTCGTTTCCCTTACACTTCCTGATTCTGTATCTATGGAAAATGTCTGTGTGCACGCCCATCATACCCATGTACTTTGTCGTATACTTGTACACGTCGCTTGTCATTGCATGTAAATATTCCCTTCGCAGGTGCGTGCGTGGTAACATGGGATTTCGACCCGTAGAATCAAGAACATGCACGAGATAGGACTACAGATGAATGCGTACAAGTGGAAAAAGCACAGGCAACATGTGTCATGGCAAGAGATCAAGCATGACGATATGAAAGCAATACACACAGCGAAAATTATGGAATAAGCCCATGTGCACGGAGCAGAGCAGCGTATCTGTGCACAGGTCGGTAAGTATCGGAAGCGGTGTCAGACAGGTGTTGACTCACGATTCCTTCTGTATCTCGACTTCCGCAAGTTGATGGCGCAGTTGGCTATGCGAGTCATCAGACATGATGCATGGATGGTGTGCCAGAGCCGGGCGTATCACGTACAGATTCTGTCTCTCAGTCTCATTCCTGGCCTTCTTCGCTTCGACGATGTCGCGGCTCATGGCAGCCCAGGCTTCGTCCTCCGAGAGAGACGCATCATTGAACATGCCCTCAAGTTCCTCGTTGAATGCCTGCAGGCGTGTGTCAGTTAGCTGAGGCATCAAATTGATCTTTTAGGGTGAATTCGACGCACGTCGTACAATGCATCCTTCTCAGCTGTGCAGTCGTCGAACATCTGCTTGAGGAACGCGGCTTGAAGCTTCACGTTGGCCAGATCGTTGCGGGTCTTCTCCAACTCGTCACTCCTCTGCAGAAGAAAGTCAGTGAGAGAACGAGTAAGTGGAGCTGAGATAATCACCTCAGCGAGCGTCGATGTTAGCCGTGGAATCTCGGCGTTGACCTGGTCCAGATGCTGCATGGCGTTTGTGAGGTCTTGGTCCACATGTGAGGCCAGCTCGTCCATGGACTTGGCGACCTCCTCGACGCGTACGATTTCCGCTGCCTTCGGCAGCACAGAGTCAGTGACTATGCTCAGCGGGCGCGGCCGCCCCAGAGGTTTCTCTTGTGCACGCCTGCCGATGAGCCGCTGCATCTCCTCCATGCGGGCCTGCGCTTCTTTTGTCTAATTTGATGTCGACATCAGCTGCTGCCCACGATGAGCTCTAGACCAAAAATACCTCACCATTGGAGGAGGGGCAGGCCTTAGCGCCGTGCGCAGTTGTTTGACGGGAGACAATGGCCTATCGTCCGGCAGTGGTGTCGTAGACCGCGAACCTGGTAACGGCGTGCCGGACCGTGCAGCAGAGTTTGCAGCCGCGAGCTGCTCATAGTGCTGTCGCAGCTGTCGCATAGAACGACGGGCAGCTTCGATCTAGGAGAGAGTGAGCACATATGCAGTATACCGAATTGACAGACTACGCTTACCCCTTCCTTCGCTGACTCCGACTGCTTGACCAACCTTTGCGCATCATCAGAGCCCATGCTTGTATGCACCCGCAGCAGCTGCTGCTTCGACTGCGACGACGTTCGTCTTGTGAGCGATGCCACGCGGCTGCCTGGCTTCGTCATCGATGGCCCACGGCTCGCAGGGAAGACGCGCCTCCGATGAGAATTGAGTACACCCGAGGAGGCCTTCCTTCGTATCGATAGTGGCTCGACGGTGGCTGTATAAACTGGGATACCACTAGGCACGGCGCTGTCAGGAGTTGTCGAGTCCGACCCGCTGCTTGTCGTGCGACCCCCGCTCGTGTTGAATGGTTGTCGCTTACTGCGTGGTAGTGGTGCGACCATCTTGCCCTTGCCTTTCGGCGTCACGGTCATCTCCGCGATTGCGTGAACGATCGTGTCTTCTGATACTGTCACATCTTCCTCAGATGGCAAGTCATGCGTCCGGGTTTCTGGTGTTCCTGAGACAGGAAGTGGTGACGGGCTACGCGGACCCCTTGGTCGGTGTTCAGCCGGCGGGTACATCATCCTGCTTTGTCGCTCGTTCCCGCCGGGCCCACCAGGTGACGGTGTATACGGTCTGCCCATCGAGCTACTCGGTCGTGACCCTCCTGGGGCTTCAAGCGAAGCCGACGCCCGTGATGCTCTTGACAAAGGGCGAAATGGGTTGGGATCATCTGAGTAACAAGATAGGCCATCAGAAACAGACGCAGCCCGTGTGACAAGCCTGACTGTCGGCATACCCTCGTATAGATCTTCCTCGATCAGCTGTTCTTCGAACACGTCTTCGTCAAACTGCGCATCATTTTGGCTCTGGCTGTTCTGTCGTGCGAGCTCAAGACGTGCAGAGAGATCCCGGTCTGACTGGTCCTGTGGCCGACCAGCATGGTTGTTCTCTTGGTCCTCGTTATCAGTGTACCAATCCGACGACGGCGACCTACTCCGATTGCGATCGCTACCGCGCCACGGTGATACTTCCAGCTCGCTGCCAGACCCACCAGATGAGAGCTGCCTCTTCATGAGTTTCTTCACTTTGTGCAGAGACTGCGACCGCCTTGAGCTCGCGCTCCCAGTGTCAACCGAGATCATAGAACGCCGATCATCCTCCAATGAGGTTGCCGCCGTAACTGTCGATCGTCGAGACCGAGAGGAGTGCGAAATGGAACTTTCTGCTGTCGCCGTCGACTGACTGTACATAGATATTCGGCTGCCAGTGGTCTTGGCCCGTTTATGACCTATAGATCCGTGGTCTTTGGGCGATCCTGTCCTTCCAGAAAATAGATTCCGTGAGATGGCGTCGAGGCTGAAGATGGCTGCCTTCGTCCGTGTTACGGTTGGTGTCGGCGGGGCGGAAAGATTGTTCGTCCGGAATTTGAACAAGCCATAGTGATGTACTACGAGTACCAATTAGCAGATACTCACATGTACATCATATATACGTACTTGTGGCAATGATACGCTGGTGGAGCTTCGCGTTCTCAACGATATCTTCTTCGCCCTGGTCGTCCGGATCACTACAATTCACTGACCAACGTGACACCTCCCCTGGCATCGGCTGTAGTCGCACGATTACAAATGGTGCACCCGGATTACCGAACGGTATTGAGTCCGCTGCACCCGAAGGGTCAATATGGACCACAGCTTTCATCTGAAAGACTCAAATGTCATGACGAGAATATCCTGGAGCGGCAGAAGTAGGACTCTACCTTCGCCTTTTCTCGCAAGTATGCCGTACGCTGGTATAGGTTGAAGTAGGTCGTGGCCGTAGTAACTTTGCCCCCTCTGTTCTCAACTTCCCTTTCTGCATCCTTCAGGATGACAGACTGGCCGAACCTCGTCCGGTACCGCGCTTGAACAATCCACAGGTTTTCAAGGAAGCGCCGCTTTTCCGTTTCCGTACGCGTCGGGTCGAGGTTCACCGAAGATGGTGGGAAGACGATGGACATTGCGCGAAATGGCCGGCCATTCCATTTGTCGCCCGTCTGGTCTTGTGGCGGACTCTCGAGGTAAAAGTGAAGGTCTGTCCCAGAGTAGAATCAGTACGAACTCTGTGAGCGAGCGCTCCATAATACTGAGCCGCGGCACCAAGCGAGGGGCCAAGGCGACTTACCTGCGCCGCCGACGTCCGTGGCAACAACGTCCACAACCTCCATTACACCCTTACAAGACAAGCCTCCTCGTCTCGAGTTAGTAGCCAAGCCCTTACCCTTCACCACCTTGTCTGGGTCGTCAAGCCCGGTCATTGTCCTTCCGCTCTTGTCTCCAGGCCGCTTTGCAATGACAAGCTTGTCATCGAATAGGAACAGAGTACAATGTAATGATGACTCCTTCGACGAACTCGATGAAGGGGTCGACACGACTGGCAAGTGTTCAAGTGAGGAGGAAAGCACGTCCTCGACGTCAATGCAGTCGATGAACTTGCGCGAGTGAGAGATTAGGTTCGGGGGGAAGTCATCGACGCATGAGGATATGCAGTACATGATGGCAGCACGCTTTGTCTGCTCGTCAGTCTCCGCCAGGGCAATCTTGCTCGCAATCTCGTCCGCCTCCTCAAGCTTTGCGCGTTGTGGGTCGTGTAGTGGCATGTGCTTGATCATTGTCCGGAACATTAGGGTGTATCGCGGTATTCGTTGAACGGGATCCATTAGCAGTTCGCGCAAGCCGACGCGGTTCCGGACGTCGGCTTGCGAATATTTGATGCGCTGCGTGGGACGACGGGTAAGAGTAGCTCGCACATTTTGGAGTAGGGTTCGACGGAAACCAGCTTCACGTACATCAATGTAACTGGAGAAGTTAGAGTGCTTGACCTCCTGTTCGAAAATGTGCTGTGCCTCTTCACGCTTCGCGTAGTACTGCTTGTAGACCTCAAAGCCTTTGAGGTCTTTGAAATGCTTCAAGCAGACGTCCCCGACGCCGCCGACGGTCTCTGACCCGTCGGATGCCAACATCCGTTCGAGGTCCCAGAGGAAAGCTTCGTTAACTGGAATGAGCTGGTCAAGGTTGCCAAAGATAATTTTGGCCTCATATGGTGGAAGAATGGCGGTCTCTTTACTCTTTGAGAACTGGCGTAATGGATTAGCGTACTCGGTTTTAAGGGTGTGCAGGCGATCGACATAGGATCGTTCTGTGGCGACGAGCTCGTTTACTATGTCAGTTAGAGCACTAGAAGTTGCGGTATTTGATCGTTTGCGGGGGATAACGTCGGAATTAGGTAACTGGTCGTTAATAGAGGTCAGGGTCGTGGCGCGTTTACGCTGGTGTGGTTCATTGCTCTGTGCAGAGGCCCAGTGAGGTCAGAATAAAACAGAGACAGCGGGGGACGAGCTCACCAGTTGCGAGAGGTCAGTAGTAGAGGAGTTGCTCGGACCTGGCTCAGTTGGCACAGGTTCGAGGTCAATGGGTTCGCCTAGGCTTGCTATGAGGTCTTGCACGTCTGCAGGCAAGTGAGCAAACGCGTCCGAGAGTTAGAGAAAGGGGATATATACCGTTCGGCAGTTCCTCATCATGATCAGTGTTCTCTACTACCACTCCGCAGAAATATACACGTCTTGTGAGCTTTGGAAGGGGCGCGCCCTTGAGGCGGGATATCGAACGCTCTTCGCCGCTTGCGAGAGGAACGCCTTTACGAGGCGTATGGTTGAGGGCCATGAAGGGGTATTCTGCGGTATGCGGGTATAAGAGGAGTTGTTGGCGTGAAGAGAAGAGATAGGGAGGGGAAAGGATAGATGTAATCGAACAAGAATGAACGGAGAGGAGTCGAATAATGCAACAGTATACTGTATTTAATCGGACACCCAATCAGGCACCGCTCCCGCCGCTCCTTTGTTTGGTCCTTGTTTGCCTCCGCCGACGCGCTTGACATCACGAGACCGCGCCTCCGAGTACCCCGGCTGCGGTGCCGCCGCCATCATCGCCACCAATTTAGTTCCGGCGCCGTCCTCCTGATCCGGACCTCGTCACTACCAGCGCCGACACGATCCCACGAGCCACGACCACCATGCCCCTCTCCACCACAAGCTCGTCGTCGACCCCAACCATCACGGCCGCCAATGCTCGCGGCGGCCACTTGCCACCACCCCCGAGCAAGTCATCCAGTCGTATCCCTGTCACTCCCACCGTCCTCCGCTCTATTTTCGCGTCTTCTCGGACCATTCTTGAGGAAAGATCTTTGTCCCGAGTGGCTTTCTTCAGGTGCGGTGCAGCACTGCCGCTTGGCGGCGACCACGTAGATTTACTATCTTCCAGGTTCACTGGTTTCATCCTGAGCTGCCTCGCCATATCTCTTGCCGCAGCTCGCGGTCGAGGCATCAAATCAGCCTCTGGACTGCTCGGCGTCGGCGTCGTATGATGGAGAGCAATATTTACCGATCTACCATGTGATAGCAATGAAAAGTACAATACAGGGATATCATACCCAACATGTACACACTTCCACTAGAAGAATTCTACAACGCCGTGTCTCGGCGACGCAATGGCAATGACCTTGCTCGACATGTTGAATGCACCGCCCCCCTGGTAGACCACCAAGTCACCCTGGTCGCTGAGCCACCCCTCAAGCCCCAACAGTTTCTCCAAGTTACCAGTTACCAGCGCGTACTGCATCTGCTTGTCGATCCACCCGCCAGACTCTAGCGCGACCTGGGATGACTACGCATGAGCGACTCCATATGGAATCAAACGCGTAACAACTCACCCAGCCCGCGTCGAAACGCGCGTTCACTGGCTCCCATGCGTCAGTGACTCCCAACGCGACGGTGACCTTGTGCTTCAGCAGCGCTGTTACTGTCGTTTCGTTGGTAATCGGGGGCCCCGCAAGGCTATCGACCCGAGTTTGCGCATCAGCTCACGCAATACATGAGACATCGCGAAAACCTACATCCTGCGGCTGTCCCATGCCCCAGGGAACGGTCTAACGGGACTAAGAATGACTCCCACTCTGGCTTTGGCTACCAAGGCAATACTCCAGTGAATCATCGCTTATTGCGGTCTTGTCGGGATTGACTCACCGATGTCTGCGGCGAGGAGATGGGCCTCAGACGCTCCAGAGAAAATCATCCTTATCCTTGCTCCCCGGAGTTCCTCCACTTCAGCTTTCAGTTGCAACAGCGTGGCCATGATGTCCGCGTTTTCAACGTCGATGATCAGAGGAATGCGTCCCTGTAGTAACTGTTAGCTCCCGCCGAGCTCAACATGCTTGAAGGCACACACATCAGCAGCCTTCTTGAACCATCGACCAGTCTCCTCATCGTCGTTGACAGCGTCCAGCAGCAGCCGTCGGAGCGTCGCAATCTGCGTACTCACAGACACGTCGGGCATAGTGCCACGCCACGGCGCAGCGCGCCCGACGTGGAGCTGCAGGGCAGCAGTCGGCTGGACGATCGCATCGGGCTGCAAAGCGTGCGCGGCGCCGGTCCTGAAGGTCACAGCGAGTCCTCCGATGAGCGTCGATGCTCCACCAAACAGGGTGGCCTTGCTTAACGATGATGTTGCATACGCTACACCAGCGCGACGCGCAACCCTGTGCACACAACGTCAAACAGATACCCAGGACAGGTAACAGCCGCGATACTGACAAAGCGTTGCGTGTCCCGAATTGAAGTGCATCGACTGCGCGGACCACGGCCCCGGAGTCGCCGAGGATCTTCGGCGTGTTTGCAATGTAAGGGTTGTACAGTAAGCCGTCCTGCGTGGATAGCTCTTGCGTAATTTCCTCAATGCCAAGCGGAGAGCCGAATGTCATCAAGCCCGGCCCAACCGCACCGCCGCGCAAGTCGATCTCCAGTGCATCGTCTTCTTCTGTGAGACACCAGCCCTCTTGTCCGACACAGCTAATTGTGCCATCGACCAGGACGACAGTGCCGCTCTTTCCCTCGGACATACCCGACCATCGCTCCTTGAGGCCCGTTTCGGTACGGATCCACACCTCCAGGACGTTCCGAAGCACGACCTTGCCCTTCACAGCCTTCTTCGGTTCAAGCGGCGGCAGGCCCTCAAACGCAACCGCCTCCTTGCGCTCTTCATCCCAGCTTGGCACTGCTGGTATCTCTCCAAACACCGAGCCTTTCTTAGGAGGGCCGACGAGGACGGGCTCCGCGTCAGGCGCCGGAGTGAGCGCAGTGTCTGCGCGTCCAAGCTGTGCAATGCCGTCGATCCAGACTTGACGAGGGACTGCGCCGAGATGCAAGGGGTGTGAATCCCACAATACGACGTCAGCATCTGCGCCTTCGGCGAGAATACCGATACGGTGAGAAAGGCCGGCAGCTCGAGCTGGTGTGCTGGCAGAAAATATATCAAGCTATGCTCCTCAAAGCGAGGGTCCAGGTAACTTACGAAGTGACTGAAGCCAATGCAAGGTGTGGCTGGAGGCCGTAGTAGTGTGCTTGTTGAGCCTCATACACCACATAGCGGCTATTCAGCACAGGGTGATCGGACTAAGACGACGTGTGAGCTGAGTCGATAAGTCGCTCGATCAAGACAGTCACCTTCATGACCACAGGGATCTCGTTGTCTGCCAAAACGCGAGGAGCAAACTGTGAGCCACGATAGGATTCACGCTTGTACCGATGATTCGACGCAAAAATGGCGACGGCAGGTGTACCGCCCCATGTCTGTTTGAGCACATCTGGCACCAACCAGGCCTCGGAGGCGTGATGGAAGGACGCGATAGGGAAGCCGAACTCGTTGGTGAGCTAGAGAATAGGTCTATAATTGCGCTACAGGGAGATATCAGGCTGGCTTACTCGGACAATATCGTCTAAATCAACCTCTTCGTAGCAGTGGTTTGCAATCTATGAGCCTTGCGTGAGCACTCTAGATCTAAGCGGAAAGAAAATACGTGCATACTTTGACGCGCCCGCGCAAGACGTCGACGAGCATCTCCCACTGCAAGTTCTCGGGGAAGCTTTGACCTGCAATGTCTTCCCACAAGCCAGCCTCGGCTTTCGTACAGAAGTCATCTTGCTGCTGCTTAACCTTACGAGCCTCGTTGTATGCGGAGCGGAAGGACCAAATTGCGTCCATACGGTTGCCATACCGCCTAAGGTTCTCGCCACACGCTTGCCTAGCATTATCGTTTAGCCTGTATGTACTCACACGAGACAAATGAACATACTTCATATGCCTCCAGCGCAAAGGTAGGTCTGGATCTGGTGCAGAACCATTTAGAGTGTGCGGAGGTTCAACTACCATGGACGTTGGTGACCTTTCTTTCGTCTTTCTAAGCTTCATCATGAAGGCCTGTCCGCCTACACGCGCGTATGGTTACCACAAGCACTAGCATGTTGGATGAACACGCACCAATAGCATTACCGCTTCCAGGAAGTACCATAGCGGACGTTACACCTCCAGCGATGGCCAGCTCGAAGGCCAAATCATGCGTATTAAATCCATCGATACTTCGCAGCCAGGGCAATACGGGTCCGTGGGCAGAGTTCACGTCAAATGCACCCGATGTGAAGGGAGCACTCAGCAGCCCAACATGAGAGTGCAAGTCCACTGAGATGATACATGAATTTCAGATTACAAAGCCGTGAGGCAACGAGTTGTACTGACCGAGACCGGGCGTAACCCACGCTCCGTTTGCCTCAACAGTGGCGGGGTCCTTCAAGTTATTCAACAGAGTCTGCGGAATGTAGCCTATGCCCTTTACGACGCCTCCTTCGAGTAGAACGTCGCCTTTCACGGTTTCGGTACCATTCCTAGCCCCTGTCCACACACGCGCGTTCTTGATCAACGTTGGGCGTGTCCCAGGCTCGAATCTATCCGACTGCGCCCGGGTATGGAAATCGTGTGGAGGCTTAGGAGTCGCCTTCAGGCTGGCGCACTGGCGTAGGATTTGTCCAGCATGTGCTGGCACACGGTGGATACGGGTTTCGGGGTTTCGAGAGGACGAGGCAAGGTAGAAGTTGCAAGCATAGAGCGACAGCGTCGCGATAGTCGCGCAAAGCGCAAGAAGCAGCGGCCGCTTGACTGTCGCGCTCCGTCGCGAGCGAATCGCGGCTTCGACGAACGGCTCCTTACTCGACATGTTCGTCTGCGTTCAGCAGACGTGGGTGGTTCGTTACAAAAGACTTAGGCCACGGGGCTACCTGCCAACACCAGCCGTCCGTCCGCGTTCCCACAAAGCGCGTGCAGTACACGCAAGATACGTGCCGTGGCGCGTGCCGCAGGTTCACACGCGCTCGCAGGCCCGCCGCCATGAGGAGCGCGATCACGAGCTTCCGGGAGTTTCCTGACACGATACCAAAAGATAAGTTACGAATAATACAAGCCATTAGGCCTTAGGTTATGTTCCCTAAATCTACGAGTACAGCGTGTGTAGCGGTCAAGGTAAGTGAGCATATGCATTGTACCTGCAGGTGCTCGCATGTTATAGCCGTGGTTTTTTGTTCCGGGTCTCCGCAAGCTGCTCCAAGCGACGTCGCTTTTCTTTAGCAGGTGATTGGGAGTACGATGGCATGTCTTGTGATCCGCTGGACTCTGCGGCAGGTGGTGTGGATACCCTACCTTCCGTGTTGTCGGCCTCCTGCCCCAGACTTACTTCCTCTTCTCCTGGGACTGAAGAGGCCACGCTGCCGGGACCATGTGTCACTCCAAATCGCATAAAGAACGATACCACACTGACCTTGAAGCTCGGGTAGGCGTGCGTCGCACTAGCCGTCCTTTGCCCTTTGCTGGCGGCGGCGAGGATGACTCGGCTTTTCCTAGTGACTCAGGTTCAGGCTTTGAGGACACAGATCTGACGACGGAGCTCAATACAGAGCAGAGGAAAACGAGCTAAAGAGACCACTGACCTAGTTTCCGAAGTTTCGCGTTCGTCATCAACGAACTGCTCCTCGTTTTCTTCGTCACTGGTCTCCAATTCGCGTCGCCTGTCAAACTTGGCCCACCGCTTGGCGACCTCTAGGAGAGCGTCCCACTGTTCCGACGCAAGATATTCCACAGGTTCTAGCTCGTCCTTAGGAACCTCCCTGCGGCACTCAGGGCATCTAACAGTATCTTCGTAGCCGGGAGCCAACTTTTGCGTGCAGCCCTTGCAGAAGATATGTTCGCAAGTCAAGCTATAGAAAATTGCACGAATCAGCACGTATGACGTCGCATAGCTCAGCTCTCGTGCCTAACTGCAGCATGCGGCTCCAGTTTCTCGAAGCATATCTTGCATTCTTCGTCGCCTTCCAGAGAAGGAGCTAGCATGAGATCATGGAACCTCCGGAGTAGCTGACAGTAACTCAGTGGGATCATCTTGGAGAGCTCAGAGACCCATGCGGACCTTGCGCATCTTATGTGCAGTATCTCCAACTTCGAGGTCGGCTTGGGCTTGGAGCTCTTCAGCGTCTTTTCTAATTTCTTTAGCTCGAAGCTATCGCGCATGGGTCAGTACAGACAAGGAGACAGAGCTGGCTGAATGCACTTGTGCCATCTTTCTTCTGTCGCGCTCTCTTCCCTGGTGTCACAAGTGAGATATTTGCGAGACAAAGGCAGAAACTGAGTACTGAGCACGCACCCGTTCCAGTTCGGCCACCTGCTTCCTCAGGGCATTCACCTTTGCCTGCAGCTGTTTGACGCCTGGTCCGCCCTTCTTTCCAGGTTTTGGTTGGGAAAGACTATCTGCCGCTTCTTGGGCTTGGTCTAAGTCTTCTTGTAGTTGCTTGTTCTTTTTCTGCAAATCAATCACATCCTTCTTCAAGGTGCGGAGGCTCTTCATGAGCTGTGAGGCGCATCCCTGTGTTATTGGCGAGTTATGAGAGCACTCTGCTAGGACCTAAAGAACCAACTAAACCATGACATGCCGTCAAGATAGCACGAGTAAGGAGAACAAAGCCTAACGTACTGTACCTCTAGTGCGGTGATCCCAGCATCGACATGGCTATATGTTTGAGCTGGTGGGCTTGCCTTAACCTCCGGGAGATGATCTTCATCGACAATTCCATTGGTGTCTTCCAGTGTAACCTTGGACGTACTCGCGCGCATCTTGCCTCTGGTGGTGGGGGCCATAATATTGACACACGTCGACGAAGTGGGGATGGACAGACGTCCGTTAACTCCGCCATCTTGGCGTACAGTAGTCACGGAGTAGGCGCTAGATCAGAGCGAGCGTGTAACTATCATGAGTTGGGGTTACATGCTAGTTGGTGGGACGCGTGCCGGGGGCTACGCTGGAATGTATCTCGAGTCTAGCCAAGCGCCAGGTAACGGCAGCCTTTTCTTTATTATCCAAGTAAATCCCTAGCTCTAAATTTACATCGCATATCGCCCTGGAGTCTCAATGTTCCTTCGGTCAGTGCTTCTTCAGTCAATGCTCCTTGAAGAAATCCTTGACGACCTCGCCAAGGATCTTTATGGCATTCTTCATCGTCGGGAACTGCGATACAATACTGAGCTGCCAGCTTTAACCCACGTACTAAATGCAACAAACATACCTCGGCGTTGCTGAAGCTGATACGGAAGTGACCCCGGCCCCTATCATTCATATCCTCGTCGGCAGCGAAATACCAACCCGGGGCAACGAGCACGCCAGCCTCGGCAAGATTTATGAAAAGCTGCATCTCGAGCGTTTCTTCCTCGCCCTCCTTGAATGAAGGGTGCGATTCGAAGTCCATGGAAAGCCAGACGAACATGCCCGAAGTCGGCGGTATGAAGGTGAACAGCTTGCGGTAAGACGTCTTCTCGACAGTATCTGTAGGCTTGGCATAGCAATCGTACACCTCGCAGCCAGCCCAAATCGACTCCGTCGAATAGCTCTGGCGCACATGGAACTCCTCGAACAGGGTGTCGATGAAGTAATCACGACGGGCCTTGTACTCGACGGCGAGTCCTATACATAGCTTGTCAGACCCATAAGGGATTTGTACGTCATGATACAGTAGCGCACCGTGCAACCACCTGACGTAACCGTCATACTTCCAGGTTGTCAACAATTGAGTGATGAGGGACTATTCATATGTCAATATACGGCCAGGATGCACCTATATGTGACCACAAGGACCCACTTGTCCGAAGCCGCAAGGCGCTTGTGTGCTAGTCTCTCCCTGCCGCTCAAGACGTTCGGCCATCTGAGGGCTGCAGGTAAAATAACCAAGTCGACTACCAGGTGCGATATACTGTCAATGCCCTGGTCAACTTGAGGCATGAATAGTGGAGCTTGCACATCTCACTTTGGAAAAGGTGTCCATTCGAATGACTCGCCCCTGGTAGTCAAACTTCAGGTAGCTCGGAGCGAGGCTCGAGAGGAACTCGGACTGATCGTGCTTGACAGACACTGTGCTGCGCTCAGACTTGGGCTTGTAAGGACCCTCTTGAAGGAAGTAGTACGGGTCATCCTCGACGATGATGATATCTACCATAGCTTTCAGGAAATACCATCAGATGTGTGAGAACTACGCGTACCGAACTTGACACAGATGGCGTAGATCTCTTTCTTGCGCTTCTCGCCCATTGTCTAAATACTCATAAGAACGTGTATCGCGCGTATGTCTTTCATTCGACTTACTGCACCGCTCGGGTTTTGGCCCACTGGCACAGTGTACATAACGTGAGGCCTGAATGCAAATTAGGCCGGAAATATAGTGACAATGACTCTATTACATACCGCTTTGCACCGCGCTCTTCCTCATTCCACTCGTCCAGCGTCTTGTAGAGATCATCGGCGCGCATACCCTCAGCATCCATAGCAATCGGGGTTGGCCTCACGTTGTATGGCTGGCTTGCGAACATTGCGGACGGGTAGGACCACTCTTCAGTGATGTACATCTCGCCCGGGTTGCACAGCGTAAGGACCGCTCGCGCCCACCCGTCGGTATTACCAGTATGTACGAGGGTGGCGAAGTCTGAGTATGCAGGCTGGTATACCCTGGTAACGAATTCCTTGATGAACTTCTGAAGGGGAACGATGCCCTGCGCGGTGCCGTACTGCAGGGCGACGGCCAGATTAACTTCATTGACGGGGTCGCTTGCATATTTTGGTACATTGATTGGGCTGGTCTTTTCCTTGCCTGCACCGAACAGCTTCCAGACCCAGGATAACGAGGACGACTCCCGCTTCGGCTCAAGAGTGAAGGAGTCAGAAGCAAGAGCTGCGCGGATTGTGAGCGTTTGCCACCTTGCTTTGGCGTCTTCATGACGTACCGTTGGCCGAAACGTCGGCAAAGGGGAAGTAGTCTGGATGAGGCATCCCTGACAATCATACAGTATTTGGCGTCGCGTAACAGGTGCACGCAAAGTATCTCACGCACCACCGGCCAATGGTATGACATTTGGGTTATTCATGTACTTTGCCAGTCCCTTCAGAGGCGACACCTTCCTGCGCTTCGAGAGCTCGGACAGGTGATTCGACAAATCAATTGCCTTACGTCCGGTTTCCGACGACATGATGTGTCTGCAATGCTCCAAGGACGCGATTACAGGGCAGCAAGAGGGCGATGAAGACGCCTGGGAAGGGGCAAGGGCAAGGGCACGCTCAAGTCGGGTAAAATCAGCTCTGCATATATGTTGGGGGAGATGACTAAGGCGCCCGGTGTGAATTACCGTTCCGTTTCAGCCTGATAACGTGTGCAACCATGCTGCCGGCTTCTAGATAAGGCTGGGCCGCAGCAGTTACGTGGAGGATGTCTTGGACAACGAGGAGAGGGTAGCAGACGAACAGAATGACCGCTTAGGTGTTTAAGGTTAGGCTGCGATCGCCGTCGGATTCGTCCGCCTGTCGTCCGCCACATTTCGGGGCCGCGCATGGCTCATCCTTCGGATGATTCCGTCTCGCGCCATCTCGAGGGCCTATGAGCGCAGGGAGAAGTGATTTGAAAAGCCGCTGGTGTACAGAAGCTAGTTTCACAGGCTTGAGAGCATCGTTGAAACAAATACGTATGCCCTGCGCCTCCTCGATCGTCACCAGCAAGTTAAATACTAACAGATGTGGCGCCCTTAAGGGACTTGTAGACTTGTCCGCTGCATGAAATAATTGTCATGGGATTAATCCAGAGGAAGAGACATACCCTGTAAGGATGATAAAGGCTCAGTGTATTGAGGCGCAAGACGGCACTTAGTATCAGAATGGGCATCGATACAAGTTCTAGAACCATGGGTGTCTACAAGAAGTTTGATCCAGGACCATCCTTCCTCCTACACAGGGAGCCATACTTGTCGCAAACATTACGTCTCGTCGTGTTTGGCTGCTAAATCCATTCAGAGGAGTGGTCGGCATCTACAAAATGGTGGTCGGCCATAATGACGTGTGGCATTGGCATAGAATGTTACCCCAAATGAATGCGATTAGCAACCAAACAAGAAGCGAGATGGATATGCGTGCGCGGAGGTCGGCTGCCTGCTAGGAGGTAAGCAGGAGGTCTGGGGCAGGACGAATCAGATTTGAAAGACGACGACAAGGGCAAGCTGCGCCACATACCTTGAACACCATCCCATGCCCAGATGGGGGAGCAGAGCAACCCGGGGAGCGTGGCCCTCCCAGAGCATACCCTTTTATGCCACTCACAAAGATCGGATCATGGTTCTGCACATTTCCTAAGAGCCCAGCGGTGGATGTCGGTCACGGTCTGCGCTTCGGCGAAACCTACTGGGCAATGTGTGCCATCTGGGGCCAATAATTCTATCTACGGGTCCTTGTGTCCAAGATACTTATGATATATCTGATTGGCGACGAACTCAAGCAAGACCACCATCGATCTGAGAATATAGACTAGCGTAGTTCACTGATTAGTATGAGCGCAAACCGGACCTAATTGGATAAGCATAAAAGCAGTCTGTGCAACAATTGAGTACTGGAACCTGTGACCACCCACCGCGCCCACCCAGCATGCACGCGGAGGCATGCTCGAAACACGCGTATTGTCTTGACAAGAATTAACTCCGCGACATTGATGTGACCGAGAGTTCTGCAACGGACTGTCTAACATTTCGTGGCCAGCCAAATGCAACTCGCGTCCATTAGCCGAACCAACGTGTTTTGAAAAGACTCACAGAAATCGAGGATGAACGTTAACGCAGTACAGTCCGATAACGGCGGTGGGCAACTTGGGCTTGAGACAAATGTCTTAGTAGGGCCGAACACTGGAGCTGCCAAGTTTAGTGCGCACCAGCGTCTTTCGCTTGATCAGCACGCTTCGGCAAGTCACTCCTTATCCATCAACACCCATCTCGCTCGCTGCAGCAGTCTCACCCTCACGTAGGAGGTGGGAAGGAATAGGGCTAGTTGGTTGAGGGTAGCAGGAAGGTTCGGTACGTGCTAAGCAGCTCATCACGCACCCACCGTTCAATACGATTCCCTATGCATGCTCAGGATCTTCGTAGCTAGGATGGCGTTTCAGTTCTCCAGGAAGGGGTGTTTTAAGTGCGGCAACCGTGCGTAAGATACTCGTGGTGTCATCGAGAGGAGGCTCAATTTGCTGCCAGTGGGCCATATTGCGGAAAATTGTACGTCAGAGCAACGCCTTTGCTACAATTGCCGCCAGCCCGGCCACGAGTCGGCTGCTTGTCCCTCGCCCCGCACAGTCGCTGCCAAGCAGTGCTATTCCTGTGGAGGTGTCGGTCACATCCAAGCGGAGTGCCCCAGCCTGAGGGTCCAAGCTGGCGGTGGAGGCCAGAAGTGCTACGTACGTCTCTGTCACTGCCAGTTCCTGGCGCACGTACTCAGCGCATATATTCAGAACTGCGGTCGTTTCGGCCATATCGCGCGTGCCTGCCCTAACGGTGCAGGCTCAGGTGCATTTGCTTCCCGTGCACCTCCCCCTGGACGTTCTCTGAACACGTCCACTCTGCCTCCGGTCAAGTGCTACCGTTGCGGAGGCCCGAATCACATGGCAAGGTGGGCCTCTATGTGTATAACGTGTATGCATTGCTCATCTCTCTTGTAGAGACTGCCTGGCCGCCCCCGGTACGACCATCACGGATGGCGGCGCCGGCAACTCCAACAAGAACAAGACCTGCTATAAGTGCCAGCAGGAGGGCCACGTAAGTTCTCACTAATGCTTCCCTCTGCGCACGTTCTTCGCTGATTGACGCATAGATTGCTCGCGACTGTCCTGAGAACGTAGAGGCTGCAGCTTAAGCTTTGTTTTCCGAGCCTTTGTGTCCCTAACGTACCGGTCGGGCGCTGACGGCGAGGTGGATCGCTCGCCCGCCATAAATCACCTTTCGTTCTTGTCGTATTTCGTATTTATCAATGCTAAGTGTACGAGACCGCGATTATGATACCTCTAGTTCCTCAACAGACTTAGTTCCTGTGATTATGCGTGCTCGTCCATCTAGGTGTGTCCTCATCGCCGTGTCTTGTCGTACGTTCACTTGAGGGTCATGAATCTGGATGAACTAGCTAGGATTGCTAGGGAGTGCCACAAGCGGGTCCATCTTAGACCAGCAATACAACTCAGCGGTGACGGCGGCGTCGATGCCGGCCGTGGATATGTGCATGTGATTCCATCTCCAGATGAAGTCACAACGTGGATAAGCAATCGCGGTGTGCTGAGCAATCTGGTGTGGCTCAGGTGGTAAGCCACTGACAGTACGCTGCACAGTGCATATGGCGCGGATCACAAAACAACAACTTCACGAATATTATTGGTTTACCTGTATGTGCGTGCATATGTCCCTTCCATCTCCACGGTTCAGTGCTGATCTAGTGCGGCAGTTCAGGAAGGCGACACGGGTACAGACTGCCCTCGATGTGTTCGTGGTACAAATTCTAGGTGTTTCGCCGCAGAAAGCTCGCGCTCATTCTGGACTTCGCGAATCCCCTGCAAGCACGGCACGAGGTCCAACTTACGAAGTGGTAACAAACCTCACTAAGCGCATATATACACGCTCACGCGACGTCATAGGCAACCGTCGTGATACTGCAATTTGATTCGAGCAGAGTTCCAAGCCAACCGTCCGAAACGCGTGAAGCGCACTCCGCAGGACCACCTGTGAGCACGAGCAAGCCAATCGGATTCGGGGCCATCTCATCCTGGAAGCATCGCTATCGAGCCTGCGGACCGCGTGCAGTGCCTGTCATATGAACCACCGCGCGGCGTGCCGGATTGCAAGCAGCGCAGCGGAGAGCCGTACTTGCGTTCAGGACCCGTCGCTATCGCGAATAGCACCGAAGAACTGCTCAGCGGTCGCGCATCCCCTGTGCGACCTCTGCACCCCAACTCGTGGTCGACGCCGGGTGTTCAGTTGTTTGACCGTAGTATCAGCGTCTTTCAACAGAGGAGCACGATACCATAGGGCAGATCCCCTAACTTTGGTGCCCGCGAGACTCTTCGCTCGGTACGTCTCGCCGCAGATGACTATCGTCTGTGGCGCTTTGACTAAGGAATACGTGTGCAGATGCAAGGGCATGAACACTTTGCGCTCACGCGCCGAGAAGACCCTAGTCTGATCATGATATTGTTCGCTCATTTCCGAGGGCCGTTTGACTCGTTCCGACGTGGAAGGTTTTACTGCATCTCCGGACGAGCAAAGCGTCGGTCCTCCGCAATGAGGTATACTTCTAGACCCTTTCATAATGCAGATGCATGTAGCTACCGCGTTTCCGGCGGTCAGAATTACAGCTTCTCACGACTCGATTACACAGGAGACGGTTTGCGTGCGGAACATTAGATCACTATTATTGGTAAGTAGTCCTTCCACTATGGTCATGACAAGTTCTGGAACGCAGAATGATAAATCGGTGGCACCGACCTTGCCTTCAAAGGAAGCATTTATCCGTATCATGGGAATCTTGAGTCCTGTTGTCTCGAATGAGCGGCTAGAACTTGCTTAGATGATGAGTCGACGACGGTGCGAGAACGCGAGAAGCCACAGCGAGCGCAGCTAGAGCGTTTACGGAGCGGGTTTTGTTCCCCCCGCTCGTGTATAAGAGGGGTACGCCTTGAGCCGAGATAGACCAGCTCTTTTCCTCTTTCCCCTCTAGTGTGTGTCTGCTCTCGCCTTCATGTACTCAGACGCTTACTGACCACTTGTCCGCAGATTTATTTGCTCATCCTCCTTACAATGGATGTCGAGATGACAGTCCGTTTCATGGCTTTCGAGGCCACATACACTAGCAACGTGATCTGCACCCCAAATCTTTCTGTCGAAGTAAGTTTCGCATTATGCTTTCAGCCGCGCTCTTACTTATGTTGCCGGAAGGCTGTCGCGTCGTCATCAAGTCCTATCTTCAAGACCCTTTCCATAGTCTGGCGCTTCCAGTCGGCCTCGCCCCAATCACCACGCTCGAACGAACTCACTGCTCTGTCGACCCCGTTACAAGGCGCTAGGTATCCTGATAGCCTTCTCGTCGAGGGAGCCGCATCCGACTGTGGACCAACCCTGGTCACGCTGGATCTGTCATTCCTGTTTGCTCACGCGGCGTATGCAGGGGCCTCGCAGATGTTCTTCACACAGATCTCAAAAATTATGGTGTCCGCTTTTGAACAACGTTGTTTAAAGCTTTATGGTCCTGGGGACAAGTGACTGGTCCGTTACTAGGTAGAGTCATTGGACTACATTGTCCCCTCTATAATAGAACACCAAGAGGATTGCCTCGGTACCCATAGAAATTTTCTTCACGCAGTTGTCACGCGCAGATATTCGAGGAATGGCTTCTCACAGAGACGATCACTGTTTTTGGCCTCGTGCGAAAATGCCAAAAATGCCATCAGCGTCCGAGTCTCGTGCTGCTTCCTTGAAACCGCGTCCAACTCAACAGCTTACAAGTGATGTAACTCAAAAGGTCTTAGAGTTCCATGTCCTTTCAGCTACCACTCTCAGAATAATCAAGTGCAAAAAGTTTGATTTATGCACTTGAGAGCCACGTAATGACAGGACGGTATACACAAGTACACCAGAGATTCCACACAACGTACGCAGGGTTGGCAGATGGCTGATGATGCTGAGCCTACGGTAGCATGTCAGTATTAGAAGGTCACAATAACCAACGGCGAGTGACCTACCCCGTGCCGACAGATCACCCGCTAGTGCGTACGTTCCTACTTCGTGAAAGGCTGAGCAGGGAACTCGCGACAAGCAGCGGACTGAGACCCATCGGGGTACTCGACTGGCACCTGATGGAAGTATGTAAGCGCAATTGCACCCGCCGAAGAAAGTGGGCGCCCACTCAAGGCGAGGCCGCTGAGCAGCCTTACAAGAAGCGGATGGAACGGACGATGTGGAGGGGGATGGTTTCGGCGCATTAGCAGAGTTCGATCCTGGTGCCGTGGATTGAGGCTGCGACAATATGCGGGTGTTCGTGCAGTATGGCAGAAACCGTGGGTATGATTTAACGTCGCTAACGACATAATATAGTTGACTAGGTCGATAGCTGGGGGATATGAGCGGACGTCGGTGTATTTAACCGAGGACAATGAGCGACATACGGGAATACTCTGCGCTCATGGTATGTCTGGGGCTCCTCTGGTTGTGATTGAAGAAACGAAGGAAGAGGCGGGGGAGAGAATATTTTCCTATTTCCCGTTGGTCCTATGTGAGTCCTTGCGAAAGACCTGCCAGCGGTGAACGGACGAGTAAGAAACATGTCGCGCGCGGAAGATAGACGTCAATCTCCGAAAGCCCTAGATGGTTGAGAGTCCGCGGGGCGGGACGCAAGGCGCTCGATCGTTGATCGGCGGCTATATCGGGCGCCCACATACGCTCATGCGCGCTGATAACGTTGTTGTTCTATTCCTTGGGTCTCTGGCCCCGAGCTCTCACACTGCTCTCACCGTGCCTTTCGTCCTGCCTTTGCTGTTACTATGCATTGCTAAATCCATTTGTATCTCTAATTGCGGCAATATCCTAATATCACCTGGAGACACCACAGGATTGGATCGATACCTTCACAACTACTATCGGATTATCTGACGATATTAGGCCTTAGCGGACTCTTCGGCGTTGAACATGGACCCAAACCTACACTACTCAGACGAGTACGATGAGTATGTGGCGGCATGCTGGCCAGTGCAAGCTCTCGTCATTGACGTCCATGCAGATCTGATCAGCTCAGTGGTCCACCTCGAGGCCGGTCACCTACCCCTCCTTCCTCGAATACACCACCGCCAGACTCTTCTCAGTACAGTCTAGATGATCATGGTCACGTGGCTACGCACGACCGTTCTCACCGGTCTCATCGCTCGAGTGGCCGTCACAGTACCAACCGTGAATTCATGAAGCTCTTGGTCAGCGAGGAAACCGAAGCTAAGCAAACACGGAGATTCCTCCGCTCCGCTCTTGCGCGGTTAGACAACGAGACTGTCCGTGCTCAGGAGGCAGAGAAGCGCGCTTTGGAGCTCGCAGAGCGATTCAAAGTCGTCAACGATGCACGTATCCAGGCTCAGCAGGAACTACAGCGCGTAAATGAAGAGCTCAGGCTTTACAAAGTCCAGTATGACAGTGCTCAACGGGAGCTTATCAGAGGCCAAGAGCTGCTGAAGAGTTTGGAGGCGCAACGAGACGACGCTGAGACACACGCCGCGAAAGCTAGGTCAACGGCCCGACGGTTGAAGGAGGAGAATCTGATGATGAGAGCCAGAGAAGAGGGCAGAAGAGCTGGATATGCAGAAGGCCTGCGAAGAGGTATGGAACAGGCGCGGATGCAAGGATTACGCTCGGACGCGGACGGCGGAACTGACTTAAACATGACTGACGACGCATATCGCACTGACTCTCTGGCAGATCTTCCTGTGCGCAACTTGACCTCTCCTATATCCCTGCAATCCCCCATCCCACAACGCCCCATCCCTCCCGCGACTCTACAACCAGTTCCTCCTGATTCTCAGACGTCACGATTCCATGAACATGGGATCGGCATCAGCCCTGCACCTATTAACGTTACACTGTTGGACGAGCCAAGTCAATGGCCGGATCTGCCTCCCCGACGATCCACGCCAGTCGCTAACCCGCCACCTTCTCCCAGACACCAGTTCACGCATGACCTTCCCTTAGGCTACATCCCACCCATGGACCCAGATGGGCAGATCAGGCTACCGCCTTCGCATGAAATTGAACCTGGCCCTACCTCGCCGCTGCCTCTTCATATTCCTCCTCCTGGCTCAATGCGTAATCGGTCTGATTCGGACGCGTCAGCAGGTTCTGCTGCCAGAGACTATGCATTCGCAAAACCCCAGACCCCCTCAGTAGCCGAGTCATACCAATCCATCCCGGCCTCTCAATCTACAACTATGTCCCAGTTCGATCTTGTAAATCCGCCGCCTCCAATGCAGCAACGCAATTTCAGCGGCGATCGTAGGCATGCGCTAAGTACCATCCAGGAGGTGGCGAGTTCTGCAGACTTCACGCCCAGACATAGTCCTAGCATCGACAGGAGTGCTCTGTTCGACGCCCAATCTCCGCCCCACGATGATGGAGGAATGCCTCAGTCTAACGTGTTCCCGGGTGTGCCTCAAGTTCGCGTCGAAGCTGAGGGTTCTCCTGTGGCTCAAATGCGCGGCCCTTCTAGGATTCATGCTGACAATGTACGCCTTGCAGACGCATTTCGATGGGGACACCCGGATGTTGCTGATGAGATGCGGCGCGGTAGTTCAGAGGTTAGTGCTTAGACGCAAAGTAAGACGCACCGCCTAACGTGTCCGCTGTGTAGTTCCGATCCAATCCGTCGCTCGAGAGTCTCTCCAGGCAGCGACCTGCCCATCCCACGACACCCGCACCGTTGACACCTCAACCACCACCGACTAATCCTTACCGTTCTCCATCGGTGGGTTCTGCAAGAGGGTCTGGAATACCTCAAGAGGACTTGCTTCGGCCGCTACACACGGGCGGGTCCACGAGGAGCTCGCAGGTTCGACGGTCACAGTCCGGTCTCTCACAGGCTTCGTCCGCCCCCGAATACGAAATTGAAGTCATTCCGCCTGTGAGTTCCATTACGGGTGATTGGTGATACTAACCGTGCTGATAGTGACTGCTAGTCTGAAACACCGTCTACATCGTCTCCGATGGAGCGCACGCGAGGCATGCTCTCGCCGGACCCGTCCGTAGTGGACTTGCCTCCGTCCGCCGTTGAACCACCTCTGCCGGTAGCGCCACCTATGCCACCTGTATATAACTCGCCTTCGCAGGGTCGGTACCCGTCTTCGAGTTTGGTGTCGGAGTCGGCCCCAGCCCCAAGTAGTTCCGTCCTGAAAGTCAACGCGCTTCCACCGGGATTCGTTCCATCTGCGCCATCGACCCCACTGCCACAGGACACGCAGCTGCAATCTACTCCTCGCAGCACACCGATAAATCTCTACGCTCCTGTCACCAGTGTCCCGCAAATTCAGCGATCGAGCTCGTCTTCTTCCACCACGAGCAACTACCCGAAGGCTATGCATTCGCGCTCGCGTTCTATGGGTCAGCCACCAAGTTTAGATAGCGTCCGCAGCAAGACGCCGCATGCGCGCCCGCCATCTTCCCTGGGCAGCGGGCCCCCGATATATCAGGGTGCCCCTCAGCCTCCTGGGGGCTATCCAGTGGGGCCAGGACCTGCTGGGAACGCGCCTGAGAGCCCGCGGTCGACCACATCTCGCATGTCGGGACACACGCGCAGCCGCAGCTTGTACGCGGGCAGTACACCTGCGCCGCCGAGCCGTCCTCTGTCGGCCGCGCCCCCCTCCGCTCTTGATTCTGCTCACCAGCTTAGGCGCGCCTCCTCGGTTGCGTCGGACGACAGCGGTGTCTCCGGGCAGTCAAGGTCGTCAAGGAAGTCGCACACGCACTATGACCCCAACCGAAACCTCGACCCTGCATGGCTTGCGGGTTCGCAAGAGCTACCACTCTCGCCCAACACCCGGGCGAATACGAGAGCCAATGCGGCGAGGACGAACACGCCCGGCCCCGGGAGTCGAAACTCATCTGCGTTGTCGTATGCGAGCTTGAGGGGCGATGGCATATATCAATGAGCATGGACATTTTCCACAAATTAGTAGTCTACTATGCAATGCGCAACATGGTTTAGAACTCTTGAAGCCACTCATGATAATGCACGACTCTCCACTGAACGGAGTGCGAAGCCTCGAGCATGCCCACCACCCTTCCGCTCGCGCGGCGGGTTCTGTATGCTACGCACGTCCACAAATTTGAGCTGAGAATGAAACTCAGGGTCTTTGTCTTCTCCACGGAACAACTTCTTGAGGTTCGCCTCCAGCACAGCACCCTTGAGTACTGGCTCGTCCTTTTTTAGTTGTTCAGGGCTACCCGCGTACCGCCATAGCCAGCTTTCCTTTGCACGAAGCAGGTTCGGGTGCTGCTTCTCCGGCGGGACAGGAACGATACCCGACGTTTTGCTCCTCAGGACCTGTTGGTAGCGGTCTGCCTCGTCTCTCGTGCCCGTCCGGCGAACGACAACCTTCTCAATCTCACCGCCTTCAGCCATGTACTCCAACACAATCTTTTTCAGATATCTGTACGTTTATTAGTCCATGAACGAGGAGCACTAAGCAACAGTGCGCACCTCATCGAGCGTATGGGATGGTTCGATGGTTGAGGTGGGAGCTGCCAGCCTTTCCTCGCTGATCTGTGCATGGGCTTCTCGCCATAGACTTTTGGTGGTGCTGTGGCTGGCTCCTCAGGATACAGTTTCAAGGCGGTCTCGAAGATCTCGTGGGAGTCGAGAGCAACGAGATCCTGCCGGTGTCGGAAGACATGCCGGACAATGTTTCGCGCTTCAGGCGTGCAGAGCGCGTTGAAGACCTGCCTGCTCATGATGATGGGTCCTTAAGGGCTCGTTGTGCAGCGGCACTGGAGTAGTTGGCGTGGCGGTGCGGTTTGCGTCGAGAAGGTAAGCGCGGTGTTTTTCTTGGGTAAAACTTGGCCAAAACAAGTCAAACAAGGACCACTTTCTTCTCGGCGTGAAATTCACGCCTATATGGCGCCTAAAGCGCTGCACCGCCTATCACAGCTGCACGGATGAGACTGTGGGGCTCAAGATCTGGCGGATTTTACATGGGGCTAATTTTATACTATTTTGCGCGGATGGAGGTACAAAAGCAGATTCAGTTTGTTTCATAAATACACTTAAGCTATTTCCCCATGGTGATGTTATCATTTTAGTGGTACAAAAAGACACGCTGCTTTTACACCTTTTGAGGTATTAGGAGAGTCAAAATATCCTTAGGGCGGAATCATCATCATTTCTTTCTCCATGTGTATTACTCCATATATGGATAGCCCAGCGGTTATCTGCACCTCTTTTTGCCAGACCAACTTTATACAACAAGATTTACAAAAACAAAAGTCGACTTTATTTTACTCTTATTTTCAAATTTTATCTATCATATATTTTCGCCGGAAAGTGTTCAGGCTTTTTAGCTTCTTTTCTCGCGGTCGTTTTTGTGCCTCTGTCGGCTGAAAATATTTGCTGGTTAGCCCGGTGTTATGATTCGGGGTATCGTGATCTTTGAGCGCTGGTTTTTGTCTGAGATTCGTCCGACCGAAATCATGATTATGTCCAATGCGAAATACGCCCGATCCGAGATCTCCCCACCACAGTTCGGCGCCCACCGAGCCTCAGGCCTCGGAGCACACGTCCGTTCGAGTTGCATTCCGTGCTTAGAAGTCCGCGGTAAACGGCAGGAGACTACATTAGAACATATGTATGATCTCAACTCGGGTAGTAAGCTGCAATAGATGCCAGAGTAACAGGCTACAGGGCGGAGAAAAGCTCACCGTCAAGCTCGCTGGTACCTTCGCCCCTCATAGACAGGGCCGGAACGCTATCATCGTCGTCCTCAAGGAAACCACCACCTAGATTACCTTCGGGGAAATCCCTCTCGTCCTGAGCTATCATATCTTCTCGCCACCTATCCGTCCAAGATGTCAGCAGTATATCAAAGTTATAACACCACGGGACACATACTTAACCCACCCGTCGTGAGACGTGTTCGACACATTCGGGACATGGGCGGGCGCAGGTTCAAATAGACCGCTTTCAACACGGCCGTCGAGCTCGCGTACTCGTCTCGTGTGACGTGCGCTTGCTTGTGGTGAAGAGCTTTCCGAAGTGACATGCCTAGTTCTCCGCAGACAGTGCAGTCGAAGCCATACCGACGACTGCTTCTGAAGACTGGGGTCTCGTTAGTTAGGTCCGGGTGGCCGTGTGCAGGCTAGAGTCTCGCTGTATCTACATCTCACGACAGCAGTCAGTGCTGCGAGCACAGAGACTCGTTTGCACAAGTCTTAGGCACAGAATTTTTAGCACACGGACTCATGATTCATTAGTGCAGAGAATATTGGCAGATTCTCGAATGCGGAGTATCCTGAGACTTGTGTGACATGGTCAGACAAAAATCAATGCTCAATGATCAGATTCCCGAATGACCGAAATCGCGCCCGCGTGATTGTCAATATCTCTCAGATACTGTCACCTCAGTCTCATCCGTGCAGCTGTGATAGTGATGGGTACTCCAGGGTCCTACGTTGGTAGCACTTTAAACACAGGAACAGAAAAAAGATCAGCACTTCAGATCCCCGCCGACGCTGATGACCCCGGAGACCTCACACCGTTGCACATGCAGACTACGACAGGACCAGTTGGCTGATAATTTGCAGTATTGTTATAGACGGGGTGTGTTCTTTCTGTGAGTAAAGTCGAGAAGCTACGGACTGGATACTTATCTACCACAACAGGATCAAACATCCTGCGAGCCAATCTGACCACTATATTTCGGAAACGCCACCAGGGCTGGCTGAAGGCAATGTCAACGATGGGTCATTCGATTACTCCAACCTCTCGCTAGCGGGAGCTACAAGGGTGGGCAGATGGTGGGCTTCTAAAGGCTGAACGACTGTTGCAACGGACGGACAACAGGCAATGCTGATTAAAATGCCAAGATGCAAACTATTGAAGGGTAATACCTGCTTCACCTTGTTGTATTCCGACATCTTCTAAATAGTACTGCAGCGAGAGCGGCCATATATAACGGTATCAGTATCAGAATAGCAATCAGGAAACAGGTTTAGGTGGCTGTACGGGCATGAACGGTGACAGTCTCCACCGATGCTGTACCGCGACGTATAGACGGAACTCCGAGAAGCACCCATGTGGCAGCGCTAGTAATCATTCCGTTCTGCGGAAGCAAGCCGATTTGACACCCGGAGACGCGGCGGATTAGGATCTCTTTCCCTCAGTCTTGGGCTAAGCGCTAAGGGCTAGTACTGGTATCGCAGTGCGTGCGATGAATGATCTTTATCTCCTCCAGCGGAAGCTAATGTCGACCGAGAACATTCTCTGAAACGTTGTTCTGACACCAGAAAAGATGGGAAGCTATGACGCAGCCACTTATCCGAACAGCTCAAACTTTCAAGTTTTACTTACCTAGCTGACCTGAATGGTGCATTTCCGGCTTATCCCGTCCTAGTGCGCTCATCGTTAACCGGGAAACAGTGATGAAATGCCGCAGCTCGTATCAGCCTCCAGATGCGGTTCAATAGATTCTCAAGTTCATTGTTCAGTACCGATATACTGAGTGATGCCCTGGACCTTACTGCCAAGCAACGCTAACGGCGAGGATTCCGGCTTGAGACAAGCGAACGGGATTGCCGCTCAAGTTAGTGGAAACGGGCGCTACCGTAGCGACAAAGAAGCGGATACCGCTGGCGTGGGAATGCCTGCACGTGACCAGCCCTCTGCCCACGCGATAACCCTCTGCCCAGCTCAAGATTTGGTTTCCTCATTTATTCTCCCAAATCCAACCTTTTCAACAACCACCACCATCAGCTCTCCTCCCCCACAACCACTGCCCGTGAGTGCGCGCGTCACTGTTGCCACCGTCCCCGACATCGAGCTCACTACCCCCTCAGCCTTCTCTAACCAACCTCGTTCACCTAGCTACACCAAGGTTCGTTGACGCGTATCGTCCTCCTATTAACGCGCCTTTAATGATGCCGTGTACTTCACAGATGTCCCAGTCGCGTGAAGACTCTGTCTACCTTGCCAAGCTTGCTGAGCAGGCTGAGCGGTACGAGGGTAAGTAGCTTGTACGTGTCGTTGCGAGCAGTAAGCTGACAACCATCACACGTCACCAGAGATGGTTGAGAATATGAAGCGCGTTGCTTCGTCCGACCAGGAGCTCACCGTTGAGGAGCGCAACCTTCTTTCCGTTGCATACAAGAACGTCATTGGTGCCCGCCGTGCATCATGGCGAATTGTCTCCTCCATTGAGCAGAAGGAGGAGTCGAAGGGCAATGAGGCACAGGTTGCTATGATCAAGGGTTACCGGGAGAAGATTGAGAGCGAGCTCGCGAAGATTTGCGAGGATATCCTCGACGTCCTCGAGAAGCACCTCATCCCCTCTGCGGCATCCGGCGAGTCGAAGGTGTTTTACCACAAGATGTTCGTCTTCTTGATTTTCTGATGGCAAGGATGATGGGCTGATGGCCGTGTTTCACAGGATGGGTGACTACCACCGCTACCTTGCCGAGTTCGCGACCGGCGACAAGCGTAAGGAGAGCGCCGACAAGTCTCTCGAGGCTTATAAGGCTGCGTCCGACGTCGCTGTGACTGAGCTCCCGCCAACACACCCTATCCGTTTGGGCCTCGCTCTCAACTTCTCCGTCTTCTACTACGAGATCCTCAACAGCCCCGACCGTGCGTGTCACTTGGCGAAGCAGGCGTTTGACGATGCGATCGCTGAGCTTGACACACTATCGGAGGAGAGCTACAAGGATTCAACCCTCATCATGCAACTCCTCCGCGACAACCTGACGCTCTGGACTTCAGACATGCAGGACTCTGGTTTGTGTTTGTTCAGTGACGTATCGAGGTTAGGAACTCATGATGATCCGCAGATAAGCCCGCTGATGAGAAGCCCTCGGATGAGGCCGACAATGAGGCTTAAGTGCTTCTTTGTCTCTGCCTGAGCGGTTCGTGGTGAACCGGAGGACGCTGTCGGTTGTCACTTTCGTCTCTTTCTCATAGTAATCATCTGCATTCTCCCGCATCTCGTATCATATCGCATCCGTAACGACCGCATATTTCTTCGGGCCGATTCTCCGCCTTGTCGTCCGCGCCGTTCTCTGTTGAGTTTATACTTGATAGTTTAGGGCTGGCTTTGTCGTACAAGGGGATTCGTGAACAAACAAACATCAGAACATCCTTGAAACCCGTCGTTGAGACATGCCGTGCACCATGGTAGGTGCGGTGCAAAGTTCTCGGGTACTTGACCCACAGCGCTCCGACTATGGTCCCGACGTTTACACCCTCGCCTCGTCTTCACTTCGGGGTTGTTTGGTCAAACTGTCTGCTGCGGCATTGCTCCCTTGGGTAACTGGAGGCCGGAATTATTGTGGGGAGCTCCTGCAATTCGACCGCGCGAGTGGTGCCAAGGCTTCGAAGAACGCCAGGTGGCGTTCTGAGATCAATGAAATCTCGCGAAGTCAACCGAGTCGGACATCATGTTTTAGGTTCCCTGAGTTAGCCTTCCCAGCACCGCAGCTGGAGCTCTTAAAGCCTGGCAGACGTCGCGGATGTGCGCTGTACTCTCCTCCCCTTCATTCCAAGGACCAGCAGCGTCGCTGCAGCCCAGCGTTGCCGAATATGAGTGAGTGGGTCCACCGTGCTTCTGCGCTTCTGCAGAGCGCGCTGATGAATGCCGGATCCAGGTTCCTTGGCCATGGGTAGCGCCAGGCGTGAAAGGCTTCAGCAGAAGCTCGCCACGTCTGCTGCTATATCTGCAACTATCGGAGACGAGGAAGACGCCGCACGGAAGGCAGTCATGAACGTCGTGCAGCTGTGGCTGGACCGGCTGCAGCTGGTTAGCGTTCTTGTGAGTGCGCACATAGCCCGTGTCGCGGAGCACGGCCGCTGACCAGTGCCATCGTACATTGCGCGATGCAGACATCATTCTTTGCCGGCATTGACGGAACTCTGCTTTCCTTTACGACCAACTTAATGCACGTTAACGAGCTCAAACCCGCAGACTGGTCGAGTGCCGTCCAAGCCATGAACGCAAGCTTGGCAGGCGCACTCGTCTTCCATGTGTGCGCAGGTAAGTGCGTCATTCATCGAAGAGGAAGCTGTTCACGAGCAAATATGACACATATAGCCGTCGTATCCTTTATCGGATCCTTTGTTCTCATACGCTTCAAGCTCATCGACGCCCGTGGTCACATGCACCCCACCGCCCCACCTACATCCGTGCCGACTACCGAGAAGCCTACAGCCAGTCAGCTGGAGTCTGCGCCTCCGACACTATCACACACGCGCTCCAGCGGCTCCGAGCACCATCATACGGGATTCAGCTCGCCCTTCCTGCAGGCGTCGGAGATGGCACAGGCGGAGTTCCTGCAGGTCTTCCAGGGTCTGTCAAATGCCTGCACACAGGTCGAGGGGCGTGTCTTCATACACCAGGTCCGCCCGTTCTCCTGCTTCCGCGTGTGGAGCACTGCAGACGGCGCTGTCGAGCCTCCGGTGCGCCTCCTCTCGGGATGCCACACGGCCGCGGTCGCGATGTCCGTCGTCGGCTTTGTGCTCGCACTGCTCGGAATCTTGATATTCGCCTGGGTGGCGGTGCCAGTCAGCATCGGAGCGTTTACGAGCGCGTGTCTTGGGACGTGCCTGTTGATGATACTTATGGCGTTGGGATCCTCGTGAAGAGCACCCCGCATATACGACGTGTAATGAATGACATGATACGAAGTGGATATGACACCATCAGAGGAATGAATGCAGACAAGATGAAGATTATGGATACTGTTACATCTAGATGGCAAGCTCTGTGCAGACTGCGTACTAGTTGAAAAGCAGTCTTTTCGGCTGTCAATCAGGAAGTTACAACTAAACAACTCCAGTGGGACTCGAGTTTATGAGCCTCGGCGGGTGCTGTTCAACCCGTGGGAAGTGTACCACGGGGACTCAAATGGGTTAAAAAGACCTACGCACCGTGTGTCAACAGCCCAGCACTACGCTCTTCAAGAGACGGAATATTGCTCCGTTGTGACTCTTGAGCTTGAGTCCCGGACTCCCGAGCGTGGGTTATGACCCTGTAGTGTCTCAAGACAGCAAAAAAAATGCATCCCCGGTGGGACTCGAACCCACAGCCTTCAGATGGTACGTAATCGTAGAAGTCTGACGTCATAACCATTAAACTACGGGGACTTGGTTAAGGTCTACTTTATCGATACTTGATTACCTAGCCATTCGCCCCAATGAGCTTCACTGAAACAGGAAGATTTGCCGCGGGGCAAGAAATGGCGTCGCCGCCCCATACTATCGTCTGTTGTCACAGATGTTCTGGCACTTTGTGGTAAGATTGCTCCATCAATGAGCAAAATAGGGCCTAACCTGCGACTATTGGAACGAAGACCGGTAGCTTTGTGAAATATTAGCCGGGTCTGACCGGTGAGGACCTCGCGGCGAGGCCTCCGCGGGGAGGAAATGAACGAGCGCCATCTATGCGCAAGAGGGACGATCATGTGAACGACGACGAGTTAATTGCGATACTCCACTCACTTAGCCAACCAAGAGCCGATGGCTCGTTCATGTCCCGCTAACTTACGGTCAGAGCGATAAGCATACCTTGGCAAGCAAGGTGGCTCACAAAAACGTGCTTCAAGGCGCGGGCTTCGACGAAGCGCATTGCTCTGTGGGGCCTGCGTACATTGCAGTCATACAGAAGCTCCGCCTGCGGTAGAAGCGCATGGAAGCGTTGAGAACATGCAGCGCTGTGACGTGTTTAATGCTGACTGGACGATGAGAAAAATCAGGAAAGACGACCAGTTTGCGTCGTGAGCATTGTGGCGCAGCACGGCCCACGACGTGGCGACGCGGTTTTACTCTTCATGAGGAACAAATGTCTAGGCCGAAGAAGCGAGTGATGAGACATTTTTACCAATGGAGAAAGACTCCGCTGGAACGCCTTTGACAATCGATTATGTGATCGCACCTGCTTCTTCGAGCTCATGAAATTGGCGTGGGAGGACTGAGCTGTTTGCAGCTAACAAAGGTTGCTCGTGCACTGAATCTGTCCTGGTGAGAAGCACCCTAGTCTGCAGAATGGGTTCCGTAAGTGGCACGCGGCGTGCAATGCAGATTCCGCGAGCAGCATGGTGCTGCGGCCCCTGGGCGACAGGGAGGAGGATAAGGCGCCTTGGCGGGGCGGAGCGGGAGCAGATCGCTGGCACAGCCGATTACAGCGACTGTTTCAGTGTGTTTGCGAAGCAAAACAAAGCCAATCCGACGGAGGCGACTGGATGCGCCGCGCAAGAAGAGGACTGGTTTCTGTATGTCGCCTGGCAGGGGGTTGATCGTTGATGGAGATCTTTAAAAACGACCGATGCCTTTTCGGCAATGTCCTCAGGGTCGCAAAAGGCAAATCTGACCCGGCCAAGTCTCTATGGCCAGCTGGTGCCGTTGGCCCATGCGTGAGAGGCAGTGATAAGGGTCGCGTCGTCGAGGCCGGTCGTCGCTGAACAAAACAAAACAACTCGGGCACACAGAGACGGCGACGCGATGGCGAGACAGAGCTGAAGCTGGCGAGAACGCGCAGGACAACAACGGCCGTCTGGAGACAACACGCAATTGAGACTCGGCGAGATGGGGGACTAGCGCGGGCGCCAGAATTGAAGGTCCGCGGCGTTGGTGAATTTCACACGTCCTGGTGCGGAGGCCCAACCAGCACAAACGAAGGGCGTTGCAGGTCCCGGTGTCCCTCCTGCCTGCTCCTCTGCTTCATCCACACATGCACGCGGGATCTCCCCAGCGAGGCTCCCCGCCGAGCCGTAGCACTCCTGCGCGGAGGGGCCCATCGCGAGCAATGTCCGACAGCCCTCACCTCCAGCAGTCGCCCGCCGAGTTTTCTGGCCGATCAGCCGCGGCTACGTTCACGTCCTGTCTCGACATTGCCGTCGAGGGCGCGATCCCCCTCGAGCAGCTCGAGCCTTCCGCCAACGCAGCCAAAAAAGACAGCACGAAGCCCGTCGGCACCGAGTCAAAGCGTGCTCCCCGCAAGTCCAAGACCGACGCCATTGCGGCCCTCTCGGCCGTCGCGTCCCAGGAGGAATCCAATGAACGCGTATTGAGTGACGAGGCGGGGGTCAGGGTCATACTCAGAGACGGCCCTCCGATTGCAGTTTCACCTTCCCTCGAACTGCCCACCGTCAAGATGCCCAACCCTCGCAATGCACCATCCAAGCCCAAGGAGCGCCCTTTTGGCCTCACCGATTGCCCTACATTTAGGCCAACTCCAGAACAGTTCAAGGACCCCATGGCATATGTCAAGTCCATCGCTGAGAATGCAAAGAGCTACGGTATGTGCAAGATCATCCCGCCTCTGGGATGGTCCATGCCATTTGTGACTGATACAGAGGTAAGCCATCACCTTCTCTTCATATACCCATGCAATGTTCATTCTAACGGCCTCTGCGCCACAGAACTTTCGCTTCAAGACACGCCTTCAACGTTTAAACTCCATCGAAGCCTCATCCCGCGCCAAAGTCAATTTTTTGGAGCAGCTCTACCGTTTCCATAAGCAACAGGGTAACCCGCGGGTGTCGGTGCCTACGATCAACCACAAGCCGCTGGATCTCTGGTTGCTGCGCAAGGAGGTTCACAGACTGGGGGGGTACGAGCAGGTGTGTATTCGTCTCGCCTCTTCCCGTTTTGCCGCTAACTTTGTATCGCCCCTATCAGGTGACAAAGAATAGGAAGTGGACAGATCTCGGTCGGCTATTAGGATATGGCGGCGTGCCCGGACTAGCGACTCAATTGAAGAACTCGTACGCCCGCGTCATCCTGCCCTACGAGCACTTCTGCGACCATGTGCGCAACTCGCCGAATCTGTCTCCCACCAAACAGCACGATCCGAATCTGAAGACGCACATGAACATTCAGACCGCGGGGAAGACCGCTCGTTCGAGCGTCGAGCGCGACAACGACAGCCCACCGCCGAGCCCCCTCTCCACCTCGTCCAGTGACTTGTCCGACTTGCCTGATGAGTCCGATACTCGTCTGCGGCGCAGCGCACGTCAGACACAGGACCAGCCGACACGTAAGCTACTTCACTATCCGCTAGTTATAGTCGTCTAATCCTTTCCATAGCACTTCGTCAGCGGGCGCCGGCCACAAACGGTGACGGCGACCGCCAAACCCCCACTGAGGTGCGCTACTCCGATTCTCCTATCGTGAGGTGGGCACTAAGTACCTCGAAGCCTCACTGCGAGGTGTGCCAGAAGAAGGACCGAGGCGAGGAGATGCTCTTGTGCGATGGCTGCGATTGTGGTCTGTGCCTCACTTGCCCTGTTACCTCACTATATGCGGTGCCTAACGACGCTGAACAGGCTTCCACACATTCTGTCTCGATCCCCCGCTCCAGACTATTCCGAGGGGCCAGTGGTTCTGCCACACTTGTCTGTTCGGTACTGGTGGCGACTTCGGGTTCGATGAAGGCGAGGAACACAGTTTGTCGAGCTTCCAGGCGCGCGACCTCGAGTTCCGCAAGCTCTGGTTCACGTCCCACCCGCCATCTGACTCTGATGGCGATCGCGAGCGTATCTACGACAACGATTCCAACTACCGCTCGAATGCGCCAGACCCTGCGGTCAACCGCTTTGGAGACGTCGTTGTCTCGGAGACGGACGTCGAACGCGAGTTCTGGAGACTTGTTCAGTCGCCCAACGAGACTGTCGAAGTGGAATATGGTGCTGATGTCCACTCGACCACGCATGGCAGGTGAGTCACTCGTAAAATGTATTCATTGCGCGGGTGGCTAACGGAGGCTCGTTATCAGCGCAATGCCGACTTCAGAGACCTATCCGCTGAATACTTACTCCAAAGACCCGTGGAATCTGAACAATATCCCCATTCTTCCTGAGTCCCTACTCCGCTATATCAAATCAGATATTTCTGGCATGACTGTGCCTTGGACATACGTCGGCATGGTCTTCTCAACCTTCTGTTGGCACAATGAGGCGGGTAATCGATTGTGTGTGTATGCGCCACGTTGACTTACGGCGCATATATAGGATCACTACACGTATAGCATCAACTATAGTGAGCTCTTTTGCCTTTGCTCCGGGAGCTGACAGCTTATTGTTCGCAGTGCACTGGGGCGAGACAAAGACGTGGTATAGTATCCCAGGAGATGACGCGGAGAAATTCGAAGCAGCCATCCGGAAGGAAGCCCCTGATCTCTTCGAAGCACAGCCCGACCTGCTCTTCCAGCTCGTCACTCTCATGAACCCGGAGCGGCTCAGGGAAGCCGGGGTAGAGGTGTATGCCTGCAATCAGCGCGCGGGCGAGTTCGTGGTCACCTTCCCCAAGGCGTACCATGCGGGATTCAATCACGGAGTAAGTGCACGCTGCACAGACTCCCACGCCGACGGAGTGGAAAGTTCGCATTTGACTGATGCTCCTCTCAGTTCAACTTCAACGAAGCTGTCAATTTCGCGCTTCCGGATTGGCTCTCGCTCGGCCTGGGTTGCGTGAAGCGCTACCAAGAACACCGGAAGCATCCCGTATTCTCTCATGACGAGCTGATCATCTCCATCACGCAACAGTCTCAGGCTATCAAAACCGCCATTTGGTAGGCCACCCTATGCATACCATGCAGAGTCAGCGCTGACTAGGAAATTTGTAGGCTCAATGACAGTTTGCAGGAGATGGTTGAGCGCGAGCTGAGCGCCCGCCAGCGCGCACGCGCTATGGACATAGGCGAGATACTCGAGGAGTTTGACCGCCCAGAAGAACAGTACCAGTGCAAGATTTGCAAATGCTTCTGTTACCTCTCGCAGATTGCCTGCAGCTGCACAGCCAAGGTTGTTTGCATCGACCACGCAGACAAGCTATGCAAGTGCCCAAAGACGAGCCAGGTGCTCCGCAAGCGCTTCAGCGACTCTTATCTCCAGGACACCCAGTACGCTGTCGCTGAGCGCGCGGGCATCCCTGGGGGTTGGGAGGCCAAGTTCGAGACGCTCCTCAATGAGAGCGCACGTCCATCTCTACGCACGATGCGGGCATTGCTAGCTGAAGGCGATCGTATCAGCTACCCACTTAAGCAGCTTCACCATCTTCGCAAGTGTGTGACTCGGGCCAATGAGTGGGTCGACGCAGCGAACTCGTTCCTCGTGCGCAAGCCCAATCGCAAGCACCTTTCTCGCAAGGTCCGCGGCAAGCGCGACGGCTCGTCGAGTCTCGATGACGTACTGGACAAGCCTGACCGCTCGCTTGCCGATCTCTACGCCCTCCTGCGCGAGGTCCGGGACCTCGGCTTCGACTCACCCGAGATCGCACAGCTCCAGCAGTTGGCCAAGGACGCCGAAGACACTAAGTTGAAGGCGCGGCAGCTCCTCGAGACGGTCTCGCACACGCGCGACCGCGACGCATTTATCCGCGACTGCGAGGAACTCATGACCAAGGGCAACACGTTGAACGTGCAGGTCGACGAACTGACTGAAATAGAGAAGATCGTGTTCCGCGAGCAGCTGCTCAAGGAGCTCGACCAGGAGAACCACGAGCAGTTCACACTCGAGGACGTTCGCCGGTACATCAACCGTGCGCGTGCGTGCGCACTGCCTGCAGATAATCGACACATGAAGAGCCTTGAGAACAAGCTGCGCTTGGGTACTGCCTGGGAAGATCGCGTCAAGGCGGTCCTGGACAAGCCGCATCGTGCGCTCCAGGAGCTCGAGGAGGCGGCCAAGATCCCGGTCGGTGTGCCCATCGACCCCAATCTACTCGAGATGCTCAAGCAGACGAGCATGCGTGGTCGCGACATCGAGCGACAGATCACAACGTGGCTGTCGGGCGAGCCGGCGATGCAGAAGCCGCGCGTGCAGGAGGTCGTCAAGATGGTGGCCCGTGCCGAGAAGGAGTTCGATATTCCCGTCGTGCGCGACATGCGGCGTACGGTCGATTTTGCGGTCGATTTGGAGACGCGATGCGACGCGGTGCTCAAGAACCGCTATCAGCACACGGAAGAAAACGACCTCTTCCAGACGATGCGTCGGTGGAAGAATTACGCAAAGGAGCATCTCAGTATCTTTACGCTGCCGAACTTCGAGCGCCTCGACAAGCAGCTGACACTTCATTTCCGCTGGCTCGAGGGTCTTCCTTGGTTCTGCCGCTCGCATATGGCGCCGCATGGCAAGGCTATTCTCGATGACGTTGTCGAGTCGACACGTCCAGAGGACGACCAACCGCCGCAGGACGAGTATTTCACTTGTATCTGCACCAACCCCGTTCGCCCGCCGGCACCTGGCCAGACATCTGACGCAGTGCAATGTGACCACTGCTTCGCGCGTTTCCACGGTGTCTGCGCCGCGAACGGCGGCTCGTGTCCCTTCTGCGACCACCAACACTGGAACGGCACTATCCGCAAGGAGCGTAGCTGGCACTTCTGTTATCTGCCAACGATGATGATGCACGCGCCCGAGATAACTAAGAACTACTCTGAGGACTGGAAGCAGCTCGAGATCATCGTCCACCGCGTCGAGCGGCTCGTCGGCGTCATCGGTCAGTTCCTCGCGTACGTCGGCCAGCCGGGCAATCAGCGCGCCGACTACATCCCCCAGGTACGCCACTTCATGCGCAAACTGTACAAGATACAGTTCGCTGTCAGCCCGAATCCGGAGACGTCTTATGGGCTCGACCTCGCGGGCCTCCATCGTGTGCTCGCTGGTCAGCCCGCGCCTGTGCGCATGAAGAAGCGTAGGCGGCCGAAGTTTACGTTCGGACAGGACATCGACAAGGATTGGGTCGACGGCACGCGATGCATCTGCAGAGGCAGGACGGCGTATCTGCTTAACTATCCGACAGTCGAATGCGAGGTCTGCAACAAGACATACCATGGTGGCTGTGTCTTCTTCCCAGTTGATCCCACGCCAGGAGGCAACAACAGGTTCATGTGCCCGCTCTGCTGCCTGCGCAAGAACCGAACATATCCATATTCAGAAGTTCGCGTCAAGCATCACGGTATGTATCACACTGCCTTTTGAAGTTTAGACCGGCACTTAGTAGTTTCTTCCCGCGCAGAGAACCAAGATCCGGACGCATACGTCGACACCAAGGAGATGCTCGACACGTTCAGCAAGGAGATCATCTACATGAAGCTTCCCCCTCCATACACGCAGACCTTGTTCGTCGAACTCATACGGTTCACACCCGGACAGCCGGACAGCATTGCAGGACCGCCGACGAATGGTATTACCGTGCCTGGACGAAATGCTGGAACACCAGTCTCGTCACATCCACCCTACCAGAATGGTAGCTCTCCACACCATCGAGCTCCCTCACGTGGCGGCGCGTCGAGTTCTACGGTATCACAGCGCCCGCCGTCGCCACCGGTCCCGTACGAGCGCACTGCGAGTGGAGGTCCTCACAGTGTTCCGCCCCCACCTCCTTGGTCTGCCGGTGGCAGAGGTGGTGGCTCAAGTCGATGGAGCAATGCTGCGGCGACTGCGCCTCCTCCAACAGCCCGTAGCCACCCACCGGAGGCGGGCTCGCCGTTGAACTCCCCGCCGCTGGCGTCGAGGAAGCGCAAACATCCTGACGAAAGCCCGGGAGGCAATTTGTCGGTCTCCATACCATCTCCAACTATGCAACAGCCCTCTCCTAAGCGACGTCCGACCATGCAATCCCCTATGACCAGTATGCAAGCCCCAGTGAGCCATGGGACAACTCAGTCCCCTGTGACGCACACCCCCACGCACCCACCTCAGCCCATACATCCTCCCCTTATGCACTCAAGCGGCTCATCACATATACCCCCATCTATGCCTAGCGTCCGTGCTCCGCCACCGCAAGCAGCGCCGCAGGTACACCAGCCCGTCCATGCGGCCCCCATGCAATCGATGCATGTGTCGCCACCGATACCAGCCCCTCTGCACCAGGCAATTCACAACGGCGCCATGCATTCGCCAGTCCAGCCGATGCAGACCCCGCCGATGCAGTCCAGCCGCCCGAGCCAGGGTTTGTCTCCGTCGCTCGCGATGATGCTCTCCCCGACGCCGAACGACGTCGTGCTGTCTCCGCCACGGCAGCAACAACAGCCGCCTGCGCCTCCACCTCAACAGGTCCGGCAGGCGATACCCTCGCATGTCTCGCCGCACGGTATGCCTCAGATCCAGTCGCTCCCGCAGATGTTCCCACAGATAGATCAGATGCAGATTCCGAGACATTCGGTGCGTGTTAGGTTGCTTGATCATTCTGTGAACACCACGTTTACTAACATGAGAACAGATGGGTCGTAGTGCGTTTGACCGATATGTCGTTGGTCCTCCACCGCGGTCACCGACGGACAGGCGTGGCCCATAAAGATACGAATAGTGGTCTGTTGCTCAACACTTCTTATTCTGCTCCTCTGTTTCCATTTTATATTCCGCAATATTCGTGTATGGTTTTCCTCGTCCTTCGTGTATCGATTCCGCTTTTCTTGTCGCTCATTGCTCTCTTCGGTGTTATTGTGTATCGTATAATATTCGTGCGAAATATCGTTTCAATGCAGGCAGCCCCGGGGAGACAAAAAAACTGCGATGGATATAAATTATGAACTAGATGGATTAGATGCTCTGCGTGTTTGTCCAAGGTATTGAGTTGGTGTCTACCGAATGTAACCGTCCTATAAGATGCGAGAAAACCAGATATGCGATTGACAAGGACTACCGTCCGATCATGAGCTTGTATGTACCCCATCCCGCAATTACTGCAAATGCGGCGAGGACGCCGACAATAGAACCGAACCATATATATGACTACCGAAACCATGATCAGCTACGTCAGTGAAAACGGAGCTTGCTAAGTGAACGCACCGTCATGTCATCCTGACCGGGCACATGCACGTTCATTCCCCAGAGACCGGTCACCAAGTTCATGGGAATGAGCACCGTACCGAGCGCAGTCAGCTTCGACAAGACATCGTTGATCTGGTTGTTGGCGTCCGTCATCTCGATCGAGATCTGGGCGAGGTAGTTGCTGTGCGACCGCGACAAGATCTTCTCGTAATGATTCAGGTTCTGCGTCATCGTAATCAGGTGATCTTGGATATCCGAGAGGTAGAGTCCCTGACAAACGATACATTCAGCTCGTAAGAAAGCAGAGGAACTGGAAGTAGCTAACGATGTCCGACGTTGGCGCGACGCGCCAATTTTCATTACACCGCTTCGCAAGGCCCTTCACGACGTCCGCTTTGTTGCCCATTAGTCGCAGAAGACCCATGACCTTCTTGCGGCAGGTCCCTATCCTCCGTAACATGTCGCTCTGCTCCGCCTCTTTGAGGATCAGCACGAGCTCGTCAATACTGTCGACCTCATACTCGATTCCCTGAATGAGCGGACCGAAGGCATCCGTGATATCATCGATGAGGGCATAGGATATCCAGTCGGATGTCACGCTGATGTAGTCCTTAAGCTGCTTGATGCGGCGGCGGACATTCTGGGGGTGAGGCGTTGGACGGAAGTGAAACTAGAAAACAACGTCACAATAGTCAGATAAGAGGAGAGTGATGGGTGACATACTGAGAGAATGCCTTCCCTGAAGACGATGATGTACATATTCAACGGTTCGAGATATGTCGGACTGAGGTTGTCTTGCTCAAAACTGCGGAAACATACGAAGTAGTAATTCCTGAAGAGCTCAATCTTCTCGCGAGTTTCCTCCATCTGAATATCTTCAGTGGTCAGCGGATGTATGCTAAATACCTATTAAGCACCGTCAGTGCGCACTCACACGGCGAAATTGTCTGACGGACCTTGCTGAGCAGCTTCATCTCCTCATCTGTCGGTGATTGTACATCCAACCACCACGTGTTCCCATCCACATTCGACATCCCTGGTCCATTCATGGTATTCGTCCGATTTCGTAACTCGTTACCCGCCATTTTTGAAAGCCCAGATGGATGTACAGGGGGATGCGATGAAGGATTCGGTGACATGACGCCTCCCGGTCTATGCGACACACCATTTCCATGGAAACCCATGCTGGTTCCAGGCCGCGAGATATTCCCTCCTTCCGGGCGAATTTCCGAGTTATTCAGGCCTGTGAACAAGTCCTCGAACGTCTGGTCTTCTGCAGGCAGCTCGCTGAGGCTCCGCGCGTGGATTGTGGCTGACAGAGCATTCGAGTAGAATGAGAAGCGATATGGTCTATCGTGACCCGAGCCGCCGGTATGCTGCCTTCCGAAGTCGGGCGCATTGGTGGCGGGAAGGTTGTCATAGGAGGGAACGGCGCTGAGAATCTGACCTCCACCGCTAAGTGACGGTCGATAGCTCAAAGCGGGTGGTGGTCCGCCTGCGTTGTGCTCAAAAAGTGCCATTTTTGCACGGCGTGGGCCGGGTTTGCTTTGGCTGAGTTTGCGCTGCCGTGCTCTGGGAGCAGGCATGGGCATGGCGAAGTCCCCAATGCCGTTCGAGCCATCTTGCTGCAGGACGGTGCTGGCTGTCGTCTGACTGCTGGACAGCGGGCCTTCTGGCGGACTCGGGGATGTAGGAGAGTGAATGCCTAGGCGAGTTTTCTCCTCACGCGCATACGACTCGAGGAGCGAAAAGTCGTACTGCTGCTGCTCTGTAAGAGTACTCGCCTGATACATGGGCAGACCTCCCGTGTCATCCTGCTCGCGCTCCGGTCCGACAATCGAAACGAGTAGAGATGGTTCATGGCCGGCACTAAGATGGTTTAGCTGCGTCTCCGGCCCTGGACCTGTGTGCTGGAAGGTGTCTGGCGCTTCATCTTGCTCGCCATGAACGTGCGCCACGCCTTTGGCCAGTGTCAGGTCTTGCTCTTCCTGCCTCGAAAGCGCGGAGAAGATGGTATCCTCGCGCTCCCCTGATGGTCGTGGGATGGGCGGGGGAGTGATGGCTGAGGGCGACACACCGATGGTGTTGCTTCGTGCTCGCGAGAGGTGCATGGCCATGTCAGCATCCATTGCACGCTGCCGTTCTCTGACATCTGGGTCGTTGAAGTTGAATGACCGGTTCAAGGTCGGCGACATCCGTGCTCGCGGGATGAGGTCGTCATCGGCAGCACTATTTCGAGTTCGCACAGGCGAGTGCGAATGCTCAGAATTGCCTCGGATTGTCTTAGGGGATGACGAGAGGGTGCCAGAAAGGACAGAGGAATTGTCCGGGGGAGAAGCCATGGCTGGGATGGCTTAGAGCGTCGATGCCAACGCGCGGGGAGTCGTCAATGATAACAAAGTCAACGATGACTTCGGCAAATGAGAACAAATATGTTCAGCAGTGCTTCCAAAGGGCTGAATGGGTCTTCTGCGATGCCAGGGCCTGGTCAATGGCGGAGTTCGTAAGTACAGAAGTCCGTATGTGCGTCTAGAGGCTGGCAGAATTTCTCAGCCTCGCCGTCCGAAGTGAGTGATCTGTGGCTGCCGCGCAAAGAAGTCGTTGAGGACAGCGTGGAAGACGAGAGTGGGTGAAGCTGCTGAGGTAGGCGGATGTAGACTTAGCATGACGTCGAAAAAAGCAAGCAATTGCAGCCCCGCTCTCCACTCACCGTCCGCCGATGCAATACAAATCGTTCTAATGCACCCTTTCTGATAGGGTAAGCAGGTATGCTTACTGACATAATGTCGCATTGTCTTAATCTACCTAGTCCAGTTTACAAAGCTTGTTCTGCACCTGCACTGCTGAGCATGTGCCAATGACTTCCCGCCTGCTCGTGTATCTCGTCTCCATAGTCTCGCTTTGCATCGTAACCTCAGTCTACTACGCCGCGATAGACACAATCAAAATCCTCTCGCCTCAAGGATGTCGAATGTCATGGATGTCACCATCCTATCTCTTGCAGTCTGGATTTGATCGCACGTGGACACCCTTAGCTGAACGGTATTCGCTCTGGTTGTATCGCGAAGTAGGCTGGGAAGGGCATGAGGTGCGTCGGATACGGAAGCGCATCGCGTGCACTAGCTTGACGGGATGTTAGCTGCACGGTGCACCAGTCCTCTTCATTCCCGGAAATGCTGGGTCCTCGCACCAAGTGCGTTCTATCGCTTCCTCCGCGACGCGTCAATATTACTCGAACCCTCACCAAGTGGCGTACGAGTTCCGAGGAAAGCCATTGAAAGCGCTAGATGTATTTGCAGGCAAGTTCTCCGTTGATTCATGTGCGTGCACCTCGCTCACCAGCAGAGCGGATCAGTCGAATTCAATGAGGACTTATCCGCCTTCCATGGCACAACTCTCGACACGCAGAGAATATACACATTACGTGTTATCGACTATATCCTGTCTCTGTATCCACCAGATACACCCATCATTATCATGGGCCACTCTATGGGTGGCGTCGTTGCCTTGTCTGTGCTCCCTCACCCAAGGGTATCCGCCATTATTACCATGTCCACCCCTTACACACTTCCTCCAGCGCGTTTCGACCGACGTATCGACCACATATATTCGACAAACGAGAAGATTCTGATGTCCGAGCCGACACCCGTTCTGTCTTTGTGTGGCGGTGCAACCGACCTCATGATTCCCTCAGAGTCTTGCATCCTTCCCGAAGCTCATGCTTGGGCAAATGGATCCAAGCCTTACAGGCGGACAATATTCTCGAGCGCACTTGAGGGTAGCTGGACTGGCATCGGTCATAGAGAAATGGTCTGGTGTCATCAAGTACGATGGCGCGTCGCAAGGGCAGCTCTGCAGCTCGGTGCTACTTCTACAAGTACAGAACGTGCAGCCGTCCTGGACACATGGCTCCATGATGGCCAGACTCTTCCATTTGGGTATCCGTCTTCTGCTCCACCACTGTCCTTGGAAGCAGCCGAGTTCTTGCCTGTCGACCTGCGCCTTGAACTGAGGAATCCGGCGGGATCTCGAACATATGTCTTGCCTGTGCCTGGTAGTTCTCCTCCTGGCCAAAAGTTCTTGCTCTACGTGTCGCAAGGCAGCATACCCCCCACCGCCCCTCATAATCCTTTGCCTCTTCATGTTTCAATCTACTCATGCGACTCAAGAGATACCTGTCAACCGCTCCAGCCCAGCATCCTCAAGCTAATGCCGAGCCCTCAGCCTGGGAGGCCGTTCCCTGTTCCAGACGAGGGCTCAGACGAGTCCGAGGGTGTCGTAGTATTCGAAGCAGAGCTTCCTTTGAGCTGCTCTAACGTCGCCGTGAAGATGGAATACGCGGACGGGAGAGGCTGGGTGGTAGGTGACTTCGTCTCAAAAGACCCCTTTATTGCCCGCACCGCGACATTCAGTCAGTATGCTCTATGATGGTATAGTATTTCGCATCTCACTTCCATTTAGGCCCCTTTCTGTCCCACGTTTCACTTGGGTGGTCACCTTCACAGCTGAAATCGGCCATACAACTGCCAAATTTACTATCCAATGCATTAGTCGTTTACAAGCTGACAGCCATACTCTCAAGTGGCTGCACAGGTATAACGCAATTTAATCTCCAGGACCTACAGCTTATTCTATCCTAGAAGCCCTCCTCCGGCCGCTTCTGCAGCACACATCGCATCCTACGGAGACGCATTACTTCCCACTAGGGCCGAGCTCACGGATCCTCCTGCATACACATGCCTCAGCTCCATTCGTAACATCAGCATACACACATGGGGTCAATCTCACCATCTACTCGACGGGAGAAAACGCTTGTGCAGTCGAAGATCTTGCGTTGTCTGTAGACCTCTGGGCAACATTTGGACGGTGGGGTACACGCTATGCGGCGCCAGCAGCAAGCTGGGCGGTCGGTGTCGTAGCTATCCTGCTCTTTGATGCCTGGCGGACTGCTGAGACAACCGGAATCATGCCGAGCGCTGGGTCATCTCTGACTACGTTTACATGCGCGAGGCTGCCGATATTGCTGCTTCTGGCCCTTCTAACGTCATTCATTCCTCTACCAGTCGGTGTGTTGCTAGGTAACCGCGGAGAGTGGCTGCTCGCCCCCATAGCGCCACTGTTACTACTGACCGTCACCGGCCTTGTGGCGATCAGCTGGACCATGGTCCTAGCCCTTATGTGGCCACTCAAAACCTTGACGAGACGCTTCCCGTGAGTGTTCTTCAGCGAGCTGCCCTACATGTTCACTTATGTTCCACAGATCTCGTCCCTCAATGGTCGCGGCACGACGGACTAGCTCGATGGCATCTTTCGGCCTAATCTGCCTCCTAATCTTCCTTCTCGTGCCTTGGCAAGTGGGCTTCCTCGGCTGCTGGATCTATCACCTCTATAGTTGCGCATCCGCAAAGTCTGTCCACGCCGTTTCAGAGGCCGTTGCCATCCCGCTTATGACCCGCGACGACGAAGGCGATAGGCCAAATGACGAACAGGCTCCACTTCCTGCACAGCTGCCCGCGACGACACAAGATCGGAGCGCGCAAAACGAGAGAGAGCTCCTCCTCCTGCTCATGACCTGGCTCCTTCCGCTCGTGGCTCCTGTACTCGCGGTGTGGGTCCGCACGCTCTTTACTGCGGGTTTAACGACACCATTTAACGGCGATCATAATGTGCTGTATGTCGCCCCGTTCCTAGTGCTCGTCGACCCGGGTTGGGGGATGAAGTGGATGTGGACATGGACGTGGAGAGGGCAGGCAGTAGGTCCGAAAGCGCGGTGGACGATGCTTACGCTTGCTGTGGTAGCGTTCGTCTGGGGGCCGAGGTATACGTACGTCGTGTTCGAGGTGGCGAGTGCTGTGCTTGGTGTTGGAGTGATCGCTTCTCTTATGAGGGGATAGAACCGCCTTAGAGATGGCGAGGGCGTAGAGCAGGGTACGACAGAAATGTAGTCTATAGCATTTCAACCCACACGAGTACACTAAGGCTACAACGTCGCGATATCAAAGTACAGCGTTGGCGGAGAACTTAAGCAGTAGTCGTTTGTGGCTGCGAGGCAGCTGTCTCCAGGCCGTTGGCGGCGCCGGTAGCAGCAGCAGTGTCTTGGCCGTTCTTCTTTTGTGTGGCTGCGACGACCTCGCGGATGCCTGCGAGACCTGTCTTCCATGCCACCAGTCGTTTCTCGAGGGCTTCCCATTGCTCGCGCTCGAAGGCACGTGCAGAGGCGCGCACGATGTGGAACGTCTGTGAGGTTTGTGAGAGCTTGCCTGAGACGAGCTGCGTGCGGAGAACTGTCGAGAGAGATCAGAAGATGTTGGGGTGCGTAGTATGTGTAACGACGTACCATCGATCACCCAGCGCTCTACTTGCGAGGGCTCGACCTGGAGAACGTCGGCGATGACGGAGTAAGGGAGGTCACGGCCCACGTTCTGGAAGGCAAGAGTCGTCAAACTAAGCAAGCGAATCTTGCGCTCGAGCTGGGTTTGGTCCAAGTCTGCAGGAATATTTAGCCGCGTGTCATCGAGAGCTGCGGTTGGTACCCACCGTGCTTGGACAAGACATCGGCGTGACCCTCCACCCAGGCCTTGTATTCTGAGAGGCCGTCACTGAGAAAAATCTGGAGGAGAGGGTAAATGTCGCTGTCCTTTGCGGCAATGACAGCGTCTAGCCGGAAGAGTGCATCGAAATCGAAGACGAAGGGCAGCCGGAGGGCGGTGGCGATGAGGTCGACGGCAGCGGCCGATGAAGAAGGGAGGGAGCGGACGTATGCAAGCCTGTACCTGTACGAGAGTACTCTTCGCGAGGATTACAACTGTTGATGAGAGAAACATCGCGATAATAACTTACGGATCATAGGCGAAAGTGTCGACCAGGACCTTCAGATATGAGCTCTTATCCTCCTGAGAGACTTCCCATTCAGAGAGCCACCTTTCCACTTCAGGGAGGGAAAGTGCGAGCTGCTCGAGCTCATCGTGTGCAGTGGCGGTACGGATTAGGGCTTCGTTTACCGGTAGACGGAGACCAGAACGGCGCGGAAGGGAGTTGAAAAGGTTGGAAAGACTGGTGGAAAGTTGCATAAGTTCGCGTGAACGCGTGATTAATCAGTCCACGTACATGCGGTATTTTGTTGAGGACTGCTCATTGGATTGAGTGATAATTTGGACAAGCTTAAGCAGCCGTTCTCTGGTTTCAGGCGTGTCAAGAGGGAAGAGAGTCAGGAAGTGGGCTAAGAGTAAGTTGAAGAAGCCCTCAATCTCTATATCAACATGAGTCGGGAACAACTTAGGCTGGAGGGACGACCACGAACCTTTTTCTGATCCCTCGCCCAGGCCCTTGACTTGTTCTAGTACCAGCTTAAGGACATTTATCCGCCGTTCCTCGTCCTCCTCAAAAGGCTTTTCCCCCTCTTTTATAACAAGTGCATCTTCGAAGGGCTGAATGAAGGCTGCTTTCTCTTCATCTGACCGTCCTTGGGCCAGGTAGTTAACGAGTTCCTTGATCTGTTCAGGTCGTGAGTGAACAAAATCAGCGTTGCAGCTTTACTGAGCGTACTTGGTCTTCGAAAGTGCCCTCTGCAAATACAGATATTGAATCTGTGGCGGACATTTTGAAGGAATCCTGGACGGGGCAAGGAGAGAAGAAACTCAAGTAGGGCAGATCTCCAGATTTACCGCAGGCGCTTTCGAGCGCCTCCGCGGCTGCTGGCGCTTGATGGTGCAGGCCTTCGCTGCCTCCACCTCCCTACGATCTGTAACTCTCGCACCAACACCCTCGTCGCTCGTTAACCCTGCCACTATGTCTCTGATCGGAGACGACGACTTTTTCGATGAGTTACCGGTCGACCAGCGCAGCTGTAGGCTGCTCGGACCTACCGCTTTGGTTCGTCATTGTGAAGTGGCTGTCTCGACATTCCGACCTGAACACACCGCTCGTTTCGCAGATTGTACAGGCCCTGATGGGCCTGCTGGTCATATCATCTCTAGTATATAAGCGACATAGAGAGTCTCCAAAGCGTCCTTGGCGTATATGGTGCGTCTAACCACACATGCCTTGCTGTGAAGCTGTGTCTCACTAGTCGGGCTTTGCGTGGACTAGGTCTTTCGATGTCACGAAGCAAGTAATAGGGCAAATGTTCGTGCATGGAGTCAATGTCCTCATTTCTGGACTGGTTGCGCAACTTTCCTCCGGAAACGCTTGCGTCTTGTACTTTTTAAACATTCTCATTGATACCACGCTCGGCAAGCCAATTTTGCTCCGTCATGATTGATCGTAGGCTGAATGGTCTGGACAGGCGTTGCAATAATTTATTTGACGCTTCACCTCACGACATTCTTCCTGACGGAGAAGTGTGGTTTCAAGGGTTTTGAAACCGGCAAATATGGGACTCCACCATCACTCAACTACTGGTTCCGGCAACTCTCGGTATACATCTTTTCGCTCGCCACTATGAAGCTGCTAGTAGTCGGACTATTCGCTCTTTGGCCCGGAATCTTCAAACTCGGAGAGTGGCTACTCACCTTCCTTGGTCCGAGTGACACTGTCCAAGTTATCTTGTAAGAGTACCCTCGCTTCGACGCAAGTATGGGCGCTGATTATATAACATAGCACTATGGGCATCTTCCCCATTATTATGAATGTTGTGCAGTTCTGGCTCATTGATTCTATAGTCAAAGCCAGCGCTCAGCAAGCCTCAGTCGCCCTTCCCTCCGATTCCGAGCGGGGCTCCGTCGACGAAGATACAGAGCCGTTGTTCCGTACATCGGAGGACGATGACAACGAGGGCGACAGACCTTACGATGTGGAGAACCCGCCGACTAAGCCGCATTCGCGATCAGTTTCTAGAGATAGTCTTACTCCTCGAGAGCCGGAAGAGCCCAAGTCTTCTACCGCTTCGTCCGCGACGGCATCAGGGTCTATAACTCCGAAAGGCGTAGACATGGGACCCAATGCTCTCGCGATGCATGCATATCCTCCAAGCATAGCAAGCTCCTGGGCAAGCTCGAGCTCACCCTCGAGATTGTCGAGAAGTCCACCCTCCCGAGGAATCAGCATATCTCCACAGCCCAGGGCCCACCGGCAATCACCCCCTCCGTCACTATCGCTGCGCCCTCGTTCGCCACAACCCTTCGCCTACAATCCTTCAGACAAACCTCCGGCACGTGATCGCCACTCCATTGAGACACGTAACCATGATGAGAAGGAGTGGGCATCGTGGGACGATGAGAGCAGCGATTGGGCTGATCGGGCTACGGACGAAGCTTGGATAGGTCACAGATTAGACGCAAAGAAGCCCGTGGTACACAACGTTTGGGCCGACCACCAGCTAGATAATTCGGTCCGGATATCGTGACTCTAGGTTTACGGCTATGCTCTGCTTCCTTCCCACAACTTGCCATTCTATCTCGATGCATCTGTACATTCTGGTCACACCTTTGCTAGTTTTATTGCAATTCATGTAGGATCCTTAGGACGTTTACGACATAAATTAGGGTCGAGCAAATCCTCACTCCGAAGAGGGTCGGGTCACGGGACATGTGTTTTCCAAATCCAGGGTGGTCGCTAGCAGCTTCAGTGGAATCTTCCAGCGCTTCATATATACAACGACTCATCCTCCAGCAGCACACTCACCTCTATACCCTTCCTGTACCAGCCCGCTCTCTCTTACCGCACCCATGTCTACAGCAGTCAGCGAGCCGCCCCGCCACCCGTCCATGTCCCGCTCCAACTCGAAGCCGAAAGGCATTCTCAAGAATGCACCACCAACGCAGCCATCAGGGCAGCAACAGTGCGTGGAGAGCTCGCATGGCGCTGATGGCCAATCGCTAACGTGCAGCACAGCTTACAGTGGGACGAGGAGAACCTCGCGCTCACCGAGGCCCAGAAAGACAGTCAGATGAAGATCACGGAGCCGAAGACTCCTTACGTACGGTACAACGCTGAGACGGACACGATCGAGGGAGGTGCGTCCCCGCCGCGCGCTGCCACACATTGCAATGGCCCTCGGGGCCCATTGACACACACTCTTCGTTTTCGCGCCTAGACATCCCCTCGCTCGACCTCACTGGCCCGATGACGACAAGCCCGCCGATGTCCGCACGCTCGTTCTCGCCGAGCAGCGTCGTGGCAACCGACGGCGAGTCGGGACCGCCGTCCCGGCGGACGTCATTCTCGAGCAGCGGCCGGACGAGCTCAGGGGGCGGCGGGGGGCCCGGAAGCCGCAGCTCGAGCCGCAGCACATCGTTCACGCTCCCCAGCGACGCGCGCGAGGTCATCCGGCTCGACGGCCGCCAGCCAGGGGACGAGATAGAACTCGACGAGGAAATGGACGAAGAGAGTGCGTGTTCTTTCCTTTTAGTCGTCCCTGCCAGCCGCCAGTCAGTGTGTGTTGCATCGCCAGGCCCCTGCGGGGCCCTCAGGTCGCTCTCCTTTGTGCGGATCCGCAGCAGCTATGAGATATCGACAGGCCCGGCCTGCCCAGGACACACGCGATCGGTAGCGGGCCAGTTCCGCCGCATATACCTGGAAGAGCAAAGGGGTTTTGCGGGGCGCTGTTCGCAGGCCAGGCCTAACGCTGTGCATCTGCGGATTTGCACATGGGCTGGTACAAGGCGCATTTATGGGGCATGGGTCAATGTCTCGCAGACCAACACGATGGCATGCTGCGGCCCTTGCATCGCGGCCCTTGCTATGATGCGCGCGCTGGCTGTCATATCAACCATACTCAACCAAACGCTCCGGAGTCTAATTATCGTTTCATTATAGCCGCAGCCAAACACGCCGCTTTTGTCCGGGCACGCGGTCGGCACTACTCAAATGAGGCTGAAGCAATGAAGGTGCTCGCTATTCACTCTGCCAAAAAATGTCACACTTATGATTTTTGTAGAGGGCCAAGAGGCTCATCGAAGAGGAGGATGACGACGAAGAGCAAATCGCAGATTCAGAGTCACAAATGTCTCTAGACGACGATATATCCGTGCAAGTGAACGGTGTCGAGCACGCAAAGTAGCGCATCTCGGCAGTGGATTCGTCTTGTCTATGTATTACCAATTGGTACGGGTCATGCATTGTATCTGGCAGGATTATCTCTGGAGCTCTCGATCTTTGTGCAAAGCTGTTCTATGGCTCAGTTATGTATTATCGGATTCGGACATTTGGCATGTTTGTAATTTCCCTTTGCTCATTTACATCGTCCGGCCGTAACCGTGATCTTGCTGCAGAATCTTGCACATTTTGCAGGCTAGAGAAAGCTTCTGCGAGAGCTTAGCCATGACATAAATTTTGTATGCGCCCAACGGCCCGTTTGTTGGGCCTATACAACGTTAGGTTTTTTTTGTGCAACTGCCTCGTTCTCTTAAGGCGCTTACTCCCGCGCCACAAATCCTCTAGCAAGCGCGCCATCTGAAACTTTGCTTGTGGCCTCTGAGTGCGTGCAAGATCCTGCAGAGCAGACAACGATGCACCTACACAAAATCCTTCTTTTATTCATATTTACTACGGCCTCGCAGAGTGTTCACAGCGCTCTAACTCACTCTCTCAGATCAATTTGCGCAAAGTCACGTGGTCGGCACGATCTCTGTCCAAAGCGGATCTCTCAATTTTGCCCCGCTGGAGTCAGACCGTCTTGTCGTACAAGGGCTCTCCCTCGCTCCTTCGCCTTCCCACGACATGGCCGACCACACCGGCAAGGGCATCCTCCTCAAGGCCGACTCCATCGCGGGCGCGTTTCGCGACGAGATCACGGCCACCATCGCCCAGGGCGCGCGCGTGCCCAAACTCGTCGGCATCCTCGCGACCTCTGCCGCCCCGAGCAAGTTCTATGCCGAGTTTACCAGGAAGCAATGCGACGAGCTCGGCGTCGAATTTGTTCTCAAAAATATTGGCGCCGCCGCCGACCCCACGTTGGCAGAGGGCGAGGGCGTCGAGGAGGCCATCATCGACGCGAACAATGACGACAGCGTTGATGGCATCATGGTATGCGTACTACCATGCACGTATGTAAGATACCATGTACTCACAGAGAATGAAAGGTATACTATCCCATCTTCGGAGTGCAGCAGGTGGGTGACTTGCCTCGCGCTGCTCCAATAGTACCCGGCTGAAGCTGTACTCGCAGGATCACTACCTTCAACAAGTAAGGCCCCATGCACGAAAACTGCATTGCGAGTGAGGCTGAGACTGTCCACGTCAAGGTTGTATCTCCCTTGAAGGACGTCGAGGGCCTGCACTTCAAGTTTCACTACAACCTGTACCACAAGTATGTCTATGCCCAGGATTAATCCCCCGGTACTGACAGCGCGCAGCATTCGGTATCTGAAGCCAGAATCACTGCTCTCGTCTGTTGCGCCGAGCGAGCCGCCACCCCCAGTCGTGAACGATACAGCCCCTCCAGGCTTCGTTAAATCGATCCTACCCTGCACGCCACTCGCGATTGTCAAGACCCTCGAACACATCGGCGTGTACAACCGCATCCTGCCATACGGAGACCGTGCGTATGGCAAAACCATCACGGTCATTAACCGGTACGCTCTGTGCCCATGCTATTACGCGCCGGTCAGGTCTGAACGATCTGAACGCCCAAACAGGTCTGAGGTCGTTGGCCGCCCGCTCGCGGCGCTGCTCGCAAATGACGGCGCACGGGTCTTCTCTGTTGACATCGACTCTATCCAGGTCCAGGCAGTTTCTTGAGTGCATCGGTTCCGTGGTGCACACAGCTGACGCGCAGGCACATACGCAGGAGTACACCAAGCGTCCGCCGAGGCCGTCTGACGCCGCGACGGCCGCGAACGACACGGCGCGCTACCACCCGCGGCACGTCGTGCACCCGTCCGCGCTCTCGCTACAGGCATGCCTCGCGCTCTCCGACGTTGTCGTCTCCGCCGTCCCGAGCGCGGCGTACAAGGTTAGGACCGAGTGGCTCAAGGATGGCTGCGTCTGCGTCAACGTCGCCGCGGACAAGAACTTTGATAAGGACGTCCGCGAGAAGGTGCGCCTTCCCCCCTCCCCCCTCGGGGCGCCGTGCAGGGAACATGACCGAGTGCTGACGTTACGTGACCCGGCGCGCCAGGCCTCGGTGTACATGCCCACCATCGGGAAGGTCACTATCATGATGCTACTGCGAAACTTGTCAGTACACACACCACGCCACACTCGGTCCCGAGTTCATGACCTGCATCGTCTTACTCATGTCTGTTCTTGGCGCTTCAGACTGCGTCTGCGCTCGTACCGCGAGGGGGAAAGCCGAAATACTCCGCAGTCATCATGATAACGCGACGCAGCTTGTGCGCACAAGCACAGCACAGCTCACACAAGCCCGAAATTTTTTGGAAGGACCCGAAGCTTCTTGTATTACACCGTAGACAGCAGTGAGGTAGAAATCAATGAGTAACTAATGGGATGCGTGTGGTATGCATGAGTAGAGTATGGGATGTGCGACAGATTAAACGACTGAGACAAGGTTACTTGTCATCCGAAGTGGGCGACAGATGCAAGGAATTCCGGTGTAAGATTACTCACGAGAGGCAGTCTCAATCAGACTGCGCCGCCGTAATTTTGATTGGGGGTATGCTGTCATCAAGCAGGGTCGGCGTGGAGGAGCCTGAGCGGGGGAAGGACCCGCTTATCGGAGTCGACACGCCTGACACCTCGTCGTCGACCAGGAAGCGAACCCGTTGGCGGTGGAGCTGTGTGGGTACGTGTTGAGTGTATTCATGTGGGGAGCAAAAAGATGTCCTGGCGCCTGGCACTTACCTGGGGAAGCTTTGGGATGAGGACGAATATCAGAGCTGAGAGATTGACGGCGAACAACCACGGGTTGTAGTGTGTGTAATGCGTCGAGGCCAGGAACCTGAGAGATATCAGATTTAGACTTGCATTTGAATGCCGATTGCCCTTGGAGCACGTACAAAACGACGGGCACCGAAAACAGCCACTTCTTCGCGGGCGTATAGTGAGCTCCTTCGTCAATCTGTTCCCAGAGAGTAAGGTCGTCGTAGGCTCCTCCATGCATGTCCGATTGGAATGGGATTCCGGTGACCCAATGGAACATCAAGTAAGAGAACTAGCCGCGAAAGTAAGCTCACACAGGCGAGTAAGGTGGATATGGAACGTACCCCGAGGTAGATCAAGTTAACTAGTGTCCAGCTCAGCTCTTGTGTCATCCCAGGTACGGTGTCAATAACTATCTTTCCCGCAATGATGAGGACCGGATGAATAGCCCATGCACCTGCGGTAGCCATGGCAGTCAGTACAGGGGGTACTGCTGCGGACGAGTGCGGACTAACCCTTGCGATTGACCCACTCTGCGTTGACATTACCGTACAGGCTCTGGTCGAGTCCTTCTTCTTGAGAATCTTCTCCGACGGTTTCTACTTTGACTAAACTGCTACTTCTCGCACGGCCGACGCGGACTTTGAGTTCTGACGCGGATGAGGAGGTTTCGATGGTGACTGTAGGCACGCTGAGGGTTGGCGAGGAGAATACGCCACTCATATCGTTGTTATCTCAGGGGTTGAACGAGAGAAGATGTGGCAGGGCCAGGTGGAGGTTATGGTCAGATTTGGGGACAGAGTCCGCGGCCGCCCAGCCGAAGTCCCAGTCGCAGATAGACGCTCGCACCTCATACCTCAACCAAAACACCTGACCCGGTATCGCATCGGCGGCCGGGACATCTCTCCTCTCCCCTAACGCTTTACATGCCGCTACGACCGGCGAGCGCACGACGGTAGCATGCTTCTTCACTGGTGCACGCTCGAGCCCGCGGGGTCGTCCAATCTGGCTGCAATACGCTTCACTTCTCCCGTCCGCATACACTCCATCTCGATATTCCCCACCGACGACAAGCCTTTTACTCAGGACCCGAATATAATTAGGTACGTTCGTAAGACGATACTCTGACGTGTCGCTGAGCCGTCTGTCAACTCTCAAGTCGGACAGAGCCTGAGACGTTCTTCCTCGAACTCTACTTCAACGCACAACCCGTAGCCCAGCCCAATGCAAAGGAGAGGCCGAAACCGAGCAATGCGCTCATTCCGACCATTATCGCCTATGCGGGCGGGCGGATGGAGTTTGCGGTGAATATGAGTCCAGAGGTATGTCGTGAATGATACTACGCTTCACTAACACGCTGAACACTCCACGAAGCTCTCGACACGTCTCATGATCGTGAAAGGCGCGTTTGAAAGCGTGTCTATGGCGATATACGGCGACGTTGTCAACGAGCTGCCCCCGCCAAAGACAACATACGAACCCAGGTCTCTGCCCACGCTGGACATGATACCCCTTTCTCCTGCTCTTGACCCGGCCAATGCACGCGACCCCACAACCCTGGCATGTCAGTTGCTCGATTTGATACCCGATGCTCCATCTCTGCCACTAGTAATTCGGCTCATGTTTTGTCTCAAACCATCTAATGACGACTGGGATTCACCCGACTTTCCTTACTTGTTTACTGACCTCAGCCAACTCCCGGACGACCCCACCATAGATGAAGTATACAGGCTTACTTCGAGACCTGTACATGACGACACTTCGTCGCAAGCATTTGCTGACCTCGCTGATAAAGTCATACAATGCCTAGGCCCCCCAGTGAGTGTGTTTATATGATAGCTGTGCAGCCCTCTGACCTGTAACAACCTAGAATGACTCCCAGTCGTACTACGTCGCTGGGCTTTTAAGTCATGCAGCTTGCCAGCACCCTTCAATGGCCACAGCTCTCATCGTAAGCGAAGAGTATCGCCATGTTTCTGACATCTGAAATGCGGTCGCTCCAGGAGAATCTGGATATCAGTTATATCCTCGAGCCACCTACGTTGGATGAGAGCACTCTCGAGTTGCTTCGGGACGCAGTATCGAACCCTGACGTCGCCCGCAACTTCAACGATCCGAACTTCAAGGAGTTTCTTACCTCAATGTCACAGAATGTGGCCTATGACCGCCGCATACGTACTCTGGTACAACAGCTACTTGATCGGATTGAGGGCATGGCCGTTCTCGAGGATGCGATCTCCAATACTCAAGGTGACTTCGTCGGCGCTGCTGCGGCCCTTAAGGACATTGCTTGCCAAGAGATGTCAACGGGCACACTGCTTGAGTCACTCGTCGCCCACCCAGACCTTGTCGACAAGCTAGCAGAGAACCCCGCCCTCGCAGGATTCCCTCCGACTTTGTTTGTCAAGGGAAGCATGCTGATATCCCACGATGAGTTCATCGCGTTTTTGAGAGCGTTCGTCGGGGTCGGATGTGTCCTTGCCGTATATGCATGGGCTGATAGCCTGCCTGATGAACGCTGCCGGGAACGGTGCCTGAGTATTCTCCGTCTATGGCAAGGTGTAGACGGCTATCGCGAGGTCGGTATAGTGGCTATCTTCATGAACACCTTCTGATTTGCGTGTTCACAGATACTCGACCACCTTTTATTACTGCGGCAAATGGTATTCCGTCTGAACTGCATGCTCGACGGCGATGCGCCAACAAGGGCAGGCGTTGACTCCGAGACTATATTGCTCCAGCTTTGCAAAGCTCCTCGAGCGATGTTACGCCCTGTCCTGATAGATTGCGTCCTCTCCCTGAAACCGCCTCACTGCGTCATGACCTACGAGGACCAAGACTCTCTGCAACGGGCTGCAACGGTAGCGGACAGTGGACTCTACGGGGCGGTCGACTGTCTACTTCAGCCCATGGAACGGCCACCTTCCTTCAGCTATCTCCGTGCACTCAGGGTCGCATTGGCGATTGTGGACCAGGAACTCACAGACAAGGATGAATACGAAGTCTTACAAGAATTCTGGAAGGAAAGCCCTTGCAGTCTCGAAACATGCCTAGTGGACATCTTCGTCGGCCTCAGCGAAGAGATCTGCGGTCACTTCAGCGTCGACCCTCCCCCACTATTATCCTCTGAGGCGCTAGCACATATGTTCCGAGCTGCAACAGAAACCCTCGCGATACTGGTCCGCTTGGCTCCAAACTACCCGCTGCCTGGACGCGTGCTCCGTGCCTTCACGGTCGCCGCCACTGACCTATTTGTCTGCACCGATCTTGCCGATATCTTTTTTTCCCAAAGCAGCCCTGCATGTATCGCCGCTCAACAAGTCAGACAATCTTGTGTCGGCGTCATACGGTCCCTCGCGGAAGTGCCGGAACCGCAAGCCGGGGCAAAGTCCCATGCCCAAGCAGTCCTACGAACACTCCTCGAACACGGTTTGCAGAGCGGATCTCACGAGCCTGCGCATCACATGCTGCAGGTGTTCTGTCTTATCGACTACCTGCTTGACGTCCCCGACAGCGAGCAAGATCCAGTCGCCTGGGGGCAGAGTGTGCTGCCGAACGTACTTCGCGAGCTCTGGGCGTTCTGCCGCGCTCTCGATACCGAGAATAAGGCGCATTTCGTCCGCAGGCTCGTCGCTCTGGACAAGGGGAACGTCGGTATCGGGGATTGGATTCTCCAGGAAGAACTCAAAGACTTGTTGCACTCCACCCGGTCGATCCAAAATCCCGGCGTTACCCAGCAACAAATTCTCATTAGGCAAATGCAGATATCGCTGTCCCTGCGGTTCCTCCTGGATCTTATGGGTGGTACATCCTCCGAAGCTTCGTGGTGTGTCACTAGCCTTGCGACGAGTACGGACCTCGTAGAGCTGTTCGTTTCATTTTTGCACGAAGCACTAGTGCTGAACCTCGCGGCTTCCCAATTAACCAAGATTTTACGCACGATAGCGTCCGAGTCGGCAACCTTTCGTGATCTCCTAAAACTGCCTCTTGCACTTGCACTCCTCCGCACCTCCCAGCGGGCGGATGGGTCCGCATCAGACGTCACCTCTTCGCTGTATCTCGCGCAATCCATTCTTTTGGCCTGCCCGAATCACCTCGTCCTAGCGAATCAGGTGTCAACAGAGATTAGTCATCTCATTCAGCGGCTTACATCAACGACGTACATCTGCGATGGCGACCTACCTGTAGCGTTGGTCGACCTGCTCGATTGGTTCACCGGGACAGACAACCCAACGCTCGTGGGCTTCACCGCCGAATCCTTCGCTGAGCTGTCTGAACAACTCAAGCCCGGGATCGACGAAGAAAAGCAAAGGATTTTGACCCGCGTTCGCGATCGCCTCCGCTTCACCGAGGACCTGCCAGAAATACCCGATGCAAGGCTCCTTCCCGCTGCCATTAAGCTCAGTATCAATGAAATCGAAGACTTACTCGCACCCAAAAGTCCCGTCCCTTCTACCCCGCCTCACAGAGCTCTGAAGCAAGATGTCCTCAGTCTCGTTACTATCTCCCCTCCGACGGCGCTCATTCGTTCGTCCACGACCGGGCTCACGAAGACATACTCTAACAATGACTTCCGGCAACTGCGGCAGGCGCCCTCTGCGCGCCAGAACACAAGCAGGCTACCCAGCATGCATGTGGATGTAGGTAGCACCTCTTGAACACGACACACTGCGCTCCCCGGAGCATATTAATATCTTCTTGTTTTTTCCTCCTCCTTCGCGTGATTTGTCTCACAGGACTTCGAGAACGCAGCGTCCTCGCCGACACTCATGCCGCTTCCGATGTCGCTGCCCGTCCCGCTTGCGGGCCCAAGCACAGTGAACGTGCCCTTCAATGGGGGCTCGCCCGAGAACTTCGCGTCACTGTCACCCGTGTTTAAGCTGCTCTAAGGTAGGTGCTGAAACGATCGCCAGGGTGTAAGATACAGGGAGACGGTGCTAAACACGGGTGCGAACAACAAACGTACATGAACGAAGAAAAGTGCGAGAATGATGTATGATGCAGTGGAGAGAAGAGTCCTGTATCCATGAATGAATGTATGCCTAGCGTTCCTGTATCGAAAGCTACTATATGTAATATTTACGGTGTATTATCATTTGTATATCGAGATCGTCTACGGGCATGAGTAGGGTGAACTTCTGGGTATTGTGGAACAAGATCGTCGCGCGAGCGGAAGTAGCGGTCCATATCGGAAGCGTCGAATTCCGACATGGGAGGCTTGGGAGATATTGGCCTGCTATCTGCCAACGAGACGTTCGGTGAAGGATCAGTTGCTGGTCTCTTGCCCAGGAAGAACGTTCGTTTTCGGCGCGCCTTTACAGGCTGCCGTTCGGCGGCGCTGCCAGATCCTGAGGATGTTGTCTCACGCGGAGGGACGCTGCGTACAGTGAAATGCTCCAGTGTCCGCGTGTAGGGAGATAGAGTCTGATGTGAGTTGCTCAGCATGGAGAGTCGCGAGACAGAGCTGAGCCCTGGCTTCAGAACAATCTTGGGGTCATGTTCAGGGAGAGTGAGGTGGTCGGGTGGTGAGCCGAAGTGGTCGAGGTTGCTGGAGGAGGACGCTCGGCGAGAACGGGCTATTTGTATTACCTCATCGCTCTCCGATGGAAAGTTTGGGGGGGTCGCAATGGAGTGTGTGACGTCGCTGGAGAGGGAATTGCGGGTTCTGATGCTCGATGGGCTACCCAAACGGCTGGCGGAGGGATCTTTGTGGGGATGCATAGGCGAAGGTGAAGATGCTCTGGGGTATGCTGAGCTGGGACGTACGCGGTCGAACGAGAACCTTTCGTCATCTTCGAAGTACGGGCGGGGCGTAGCATAGAGCGGGGGAGTGGTACCGGAAAAGTATGGGTTATAATTGTGGTGACCTGCAGCCCAGCTATGCGCCCTTTCCATAACAGATGCTGAGGACAAGGCGCGAGTCAGTCCAGGTAGTGCATTTGACCCAGTAGGCGGTGAGAAGAGGCTATTTAGGCGAGTAGGGCGGGATGACGACCGAGAGAGAGCAGATACGGACTCGCCCGACGGCGAGGTCAGTTGGGAGTGTGCATGAATGACCCTTGGACGTGTAATCGTCCCGCCACCAACCGCAGGAACAGATTCGTACTCGTGTAGCTCACCCGCCTCAGATGGCGATGTCATGTTAAACGACGAGTCGGCCACAAGTTCCTCCCAGGGGCCTGAGTCGTATGAAGGGTCGCCTTCATCGATCTCGCTTTCCTCTTCAGCAAGCTCCGCAAGACCCTTGTCCGGCGAGAACAAACTGCGGAAGGTGTTAAAAACACTCTTCTGGGGGAGGCCCTCGGGGCGGAGGCCATATGTTGGGTCGAAATGCTCACTGTCTCCATGCCCTTCCTGTTCGGACGAATGCATATGCTGCTGGTTCAGAGGTGTAACTGAGGTTATTGAGGCTGGTCTCCTCCCGAGACTGGATGCGGACAGCATAGACCCAGAACGGGGACGCGTGGTGCCGTTGACGATCGACGATGTGTGTCCAATAATCGGACGCACGCCCACGGCAGGCATACGTGGAGGTATACCGTACGGAGGTACTCCAGTGTCCGAGGCAGCAAACGTTCGTATTCGAGCAGGTGTCTGCGACCGTTTGTTGAGGTAGGGAGCCTCGACTTTCGCCTTGACCCACTGTTGGCTGAGCCTGTGGATAATCCCCGGAAGGTCCTCTCGGAACATTTGTCGCAATTGCCCTTCGATTTCCCCCTGTATAAATTTTTGGATGACGGCTATGGAATCGAACGTGCTGTTGATGTCCACATTCTGAAGAGGGTCTGTCTTGAAGACTAGTGTGATGCCTTTCTGCCGAGAGACGACCAAGACGACATAAGAGTCTAGCTTGAAATGTGATAGTCGAAGTAACATAGGCACAACAAGCGGTTGTTTTGCGGCAAGCATCCCCCGTGAACCACTCAGCATATGAATATCCGGCTGCTTGTGGTTCAGTGGGTTGGCCTTGGCGAAACGACTTCAGCAGTACATAAAGCCCGGACATACTTGACACGTACCTGCACTTTTGTCCTGAGAACGATGTAGGCATCCCCTTCGTATGTCAGGCGAAAAATTCCGCGGAACTGATCCATCGTAAGCTCGCCAATATCCCGAATCTCCAGTTCGGGAGGCTAGATACATTCAACATCTATCTGCCCCTTCGCAGGAGACTCCAGACACTGACCTGAGTCCCCATCTCCAGCTCGACCACCTCGATTCTGTCCGCAATGACAGGAGGCTTGTTGCCCTTATTTAGGGCGGCGTCCAGCATCTGAATCGCATCGGCGTGAAACTGGTCGGAAAAGCGGGGCCATTTGAATGTGAAGGACATTGGCTGCTATTGCGTGAGGAAGAAAGCCGGCTTCATCCGAGGTAACTGTTGGAGGTATTGTACTTAGAAAAAGGCTCACGAGCGCATGGAGAGAGTGTGCTTGTTGCAGCACATAGAGGTGGTGGTACAAACTGGAGCGAGGAGCCGGATCGCACGCGTCAGCGCGCGGCGAGGTACTCATAACAGGCATGACAACCTCGACACCAGCCAAACACAAGCACAGCTCCGCCAACAAATAGCTCTGATTTGCAAAGAAAAGTTAAGTTATATGTGCAAATAGTTGAGGTATACAGGATGATGTGTCGATGATGACGTAGTCAAAGCATGTTAAACCCTAGAGATACATCCGAGACTAACCATGCAAAAGACCCTAAAGGAAGCCGACTGCGTATTAGTATAGACGTGAAGATCGAAGAAATGAGCGGGTTCGTTCCACGGTTATGCCGTGATTAGGCCGTCTACTTTTTGGCCCGGAGTTGGTTGCGTAACATGTCATTTTCTGTCTGAGCGGTGTTCAACGCTTCCAAAAGCGCCATTTGCTGAGTCTGCTGAGATTGCTGAATGGACTCGAGTTCCTCCTTTGCCTTTACAAGCGCAGCGCGGGTCTCGTTAAGCTGCATTTCAAGCTGGCGTCGAACACTGTCTGTAGTTGAGGCCGCTTCGTTGGCCATGAGGAGTGCTTTCGCGCTGAGCTGATTATTCGCCTCGGTTAGCTGCGCGCAGGTCTCTGCCTGCTCCGCGGCCCTCGTCTCGATCTCGAGCTTCTCGCTTTGTAGACGCTCTATTTGCTCTTGCAGCCATTGCACCTCGTCGTGTCTGTAACAGAATGTTGTTCGATGTCTCAACTCAGACAATGAGTAAATTATTACACACAGTTCAGCGTGTTGCGTCATCAGTGAGATGTTGCGCTCCTCCAGCGTGCGGACCTGCTTCTGGTAGGTCTCTAATGCTACATTGCTGTCTTGCGCTAGCTTCTGTGCACGCTCTGCGTTCTTCTTGAGAAGATCATGAGCTTGCGCGAACCGGATAAGCCGCTCTACCAGCGCACGATCGTCCGCTATGAGAGCCTGAATCCGCTCTACAAACGCTTCGATCGTGAATGGTGCAGAGTTCATGGCTAGAGCGAAACCCTTCGGGTCGTACAGCGATTTGAGCGAGCGAACATCCATTTCAGACAGTGAAGCAGGAACGCCGCCACGGGATGATACGGGGCTGCCCATAGGGGATGACGATCCTGTGCGAAAGCTGCGCGTTCCGAGTTTGCTCGCGCGGGCCTCGGTGGAAGGAAGAGTCGCCCATACTGGTTGCAGCTGTGCGATGATCTTCCCAACGTCGCCATCGTACTGAACAGGAGGCTGGCTCGAAGTATTGACGGCCGCTATTGCAGCGGCTGTTTGAGCCTAAATATTCCGAGACGCATGAGGAAAGACAAGATAACATTGCGAACAGAAACTCGTACCTGGAGTTGAATCTCCATGCTCCGGAGTTCCTCCTTGGTCTTGTCTCGCTCTCGCTGGGCGTCCTCTAGCTGTTGAGCCAACGCTTGGCATCTGTCGGAGAGATCACGGTTATCGACCTCCAAATGACTGCTCTCTGAGTGCCACTGTTCCTGCTCAAGAGCGTGTTCATCGATCTGGGAGCGAAGATCGCCGACGTGCTTGCCCAAGGCCGTCGCCAAAACCACAGGGGCAGCACTAGCAGCAACATCCAGGCCATGTGCTTGTGCCAGACTGCCGAGGGTTCTTGACACCTCATTAAGCTGCGCTTTGCTGCCAGAACCGACGACGGCATCGTTCTGCAGCTTGGCGACATGCTCATTTAGGTCGCCCATCATATTCGCTTTCTCTAGACTCCAAGTCGCCCTCTCCTCTTCCCATTGGCTCCTCATCATCTGTAGCTCTTCTTCCTTCTTCTGCATCTCCACCAGGTGTACGCCCGCGGCCGCCGCGAGTGCTCCTTCCGAAGCCGCGGCCGCTTCACCATGGCTTGCTTGCAATTCATCCACCTTCCGCTTCAGCTCTCTGACCTCTTGCCTTCGTTCTTCTAGCTCTATGCGTTCATTCATCCATACGCTGCGTTCTTCCTCCATGGCTTGAAGCTGCATCTGAACGTTTGCTACGCTCGCCAGCTGTTCTTCCAGATCCCGTACCGAGTCCTGAGCGGTGCGAAGCTCCACGCCTAAGGACGTCTCCATTTCCTCCTTCTCAAGCCGTACCATAGACAGCTCCTGCTCCATCTCCATCTGTACTGCGGCCGCAGCCTCGAGTGCCGCAGTCGCTTCCCTCAGCTTCTCCTCTAGCTCAGCCGAGGGCCCACCATTTGGCAGCGCGCTTGGACTATGTGGTAAGATCGCGTCTGAGTGGCCTGCAAAGAAATGTGCACCATCGAAGCGGCCCTTCGAAGATACGGTTTGTACGCTCGTCGCTGAAGATGCAGTAACTGGGCTGAGCTGTGAGCTGCGACTAGGAGTGCTATGTCCGGAGATGTCGGACGCGTCCTGTGGCGCCGTCTTCCGCTCGAGATTGTGGACAGAGTGGCTGAGGACACCGGCCCTATGCTCGAGCAGCTTGCGCTGGATCTCGTTCGCCCGCTCGGACACGCGCCATAGCTCCTTCTGCGCAGCTTCAACTTTGCGATTCGCTGCATCTAGCTGTTCCGACGTCTGTTTGTTGACACTTTTGTATGCGGCGTTCGCTTTCGACAAGGAGGCGGCCGCACCGCGAATCTTAGTCTCAAGCGTGAGCTTCTTGTTCATCGCTACGAGACGCGATGAGAGAACTTGTTGCTCCTGCTCATCGAGCGTGAACGATACGTATCGCAGGATTGAGCAGGGTATCTGACCTTCTTCAACTCCTCGACCTCTTCGGCACTGAGTATCTCATAGCCGCGACTGTCGACGATGGCCTCACTCGCGAGCAAGTCGATGAGAAGGTCATCTCGGATGTTCAGCATCTGCGACGACCGTTTCGACTCGTTACCTCCGGCGACAGCTTTCCTTGCGAGCTGCGAGACGCGGTTATGTTTCGGTGGTGATGAGGGACCAGCACCAGGAGACTGTGGAAGGTTAAAGTACGAAGTCTGCCTGACAGGAGACACGGCACTGCCAGAGGACCGCGAGCTGCTGAACGACGAGTTCCCGACATCATCTTCGGGTGGCACCGTCGGTTTCTTCTTGGCGAAGGAGAGCGCAGCAGTTGTCGGAGGCGAAGGAGAGTAGTTCGACTCCGTGGGTGACGCGGGAGGCCAGTTTGGCTTGCCGGAGAAGAGCAACGGGGCAGTACCGGGGTGGGCTGGTGGCGACGCTGGCTCTGGCGTAGACGGTGTGCTACTGCTACCGCCACCTAAGAACCGTCGTACACCGTTCATTATTGGCAAATGTCTTGACGAAAAGCTGATTAGAGAATGGGTATCTTGAACCTAAGAGGTATATCGTGGAAATCCCAGTAGAGCGGGACAGCAGCCAGCTGCAGGCGAGTGTTGACAGTTCTCCTTTGTTTTCAAGAGTGGCTGGGCACATATAACGCTGGCCGAAGCTGTGTGGCCGTTGGCAGAAAGGCAGGATGACGTGAAAGTCAGAGTCGTAACGACATGGTCGGGCGAAAGATTGACAATTCGACTCTTGATAGCTTGATGCATGATGCCCGGCGCTCATGGCGCCCTAGAGATACCAAATCACACGGAAAGTGCAGAGAAAGCTTCCTGGCTACGGAATACACAATCTAACGTCATTAATACACCTACATTCATATTACAATCCCATCAGCGACGTAACCAACCGCTCGCCTACAGCCTCAGGCTCCTGCCTGGCCATCTCTATCATGCTCAACAGTTTCTTGACGCCTATGTTGATGCCACCGGTCTCGTTGTCACCGCCGAAGCCGGCCTGCTGGAGCATCTGCATCGTGTGCTCACGGTCGCGAGGATTTTTGAGGAGATCCACCTCGTTGAGGATAACCTCAAGCGAACGCAGGTTTGATACGGGCGGAACGCGGATCTCCGAATCAAAGCTTTCGGAAAGGCCGAGATCTGTTAAAACGGGGCGCAGAGAGGTTGTGGCAATGACGAGTAGGCGCCGGCCTTTAGGTGGACGCTTGGCGAACAGGACTAGCAGCGACTGTAGAACAGAGTTCGAGAATCTAGGGCCAATGGGCGTGAAATCTGAGGCGAATAGTGAGCCGCTGCGTCAGTCGTACTTTTCAGCTTGAAGCGTGCGCACCTAGCAGACGTTCCAAGCTATCAACAACAATGACACTGAGTGGACTCTTGTAACTGTCAGAGAAAATCTTGCTGATGGCGGCAACCTTCTGGCTCTCGGAGAAGCCAACCATGTCATCGGGCGACACGAGTTTCATGAACGGACAGTCGGATGCGCGGGCGATGGTTGCAGCAAGCGCAGTCTTGCCGGAACCCGGAGGTCCGTGCAAGAGCAAGCTGACGAGTGGTGTACGCGTCGAAGTGCGTACTTGGTCGATGAAGAGCTCACCAGAGCGCAGAATGTCGTTGATGACTTGGTCGTAAAAGATGATGCCGTTCTGTATAACCTGCTCGAGCTCCTCCTTCGCAACACCATATGCAGGGGTGACTTCCTCGAGTGCATTCATGAAGTCAGAGCGGTTGACGCGCAGGTTCTCGACGTCGTCGGAGATCCCAGCCATCGTACCAACCTAACGTCGCATGCATGTCAGAAGCCGTCAAGGGTGTCCATAGAAGACGTTACCTTGACATGTCTGCTGAATGCGAAACTCGTAGCACTCTTGACGAGACCACTCAGCTCAGCTCCAGAAAAGTTCTTCGTGAGCTGAGCCAGTTCAAGCAAGTCGACGTCATGGTCCATAATGCTGTTCGTCCGCATCTTCGCTGTATGAATGTTCAAGATCTGACGACGGCCCTTTTCGTCGGGGAGAGAAATTTCCATGTGGACCTCGAGACGACCCGGACGCAACAAGGCCTCATCAATCATGTCCAGGCGGTTGGTCATTCCAATAATGAGGATATTGTTCAATTGGTCAACACCGTCCATCTAATGGCAGCTTGTTTAGCATCAGAATTTTCCCATTCCATGAAAGCCCACCTTGGACAACAGCTGGTTAACGATGCTGTCACCAACTCCAGTTCCACCTTGAGTCGAACCACGCTGCTTGCAGATAGCATCTAGCTCATCGAAGATGATGATATGGAGACCACTCTCGTCACCCTTGGCCTTGTACTGTCGTCCAGAGTTCAGTAAGAATATGGTCTACCGCGAGGCCAGTATGAACTTACCTCCTTCTCGGCATCTGCGAAGAGCTTTCGAATGTTTTCTTCCGACGCACCGACGTACTTGTTGAGGATTTCTGGACCGTTTACGATCTTAGGCTCCCGAGCATTCAGCATCGTACCAATCTGTCTGGCCAGCAGGGTCTTGCCAGTACCCGGAGGTCCGTGCAACAGGATACCTGGTGATGAAGTGAGCACATAATTATGTGGTGGCGCATGAAGATAACCGACCCTTGACGTGCTGAATACCAAGTTTCTCCACAATTGAAGGAGGGAACACGCGCGAAGCGAAAGCACGGCGGAAGATTGTGCTGAACTCGGAGTCCAAGCCTCCAATACCCATATCCTCGAACTTGAAGTTTGGCGCGAGGATAGCATTCGGTGGTGCCCTTATATGATAGTGAGGATATGTCCCACAGAAAATAGAACGCGGACTCACTTCTTCGCGCTGGACTTGAGCTTGATAGCACTATCCGCCGCCTTGATAAATGTGACATCCGTTTTCTCCATTAACACACCGGAAGCAGCACCGTGACCCTGCACAGGAGGAGCATTGACAAGCTCAACAGTTTGGAGCCCTGTGACTTGGAGCTTGAGATTCTGCCCATGAAACTCGAAGATGAGCAGCTGGCCGACGCTCAGCATAATGCCGTTGTAGGCGCGGATGAAGTTCTGGGCCAGCTCGTCGGCAGAGAATGCTTCAGGGATTTCATGACCTCGTCGAAGGAAACCGGCCTCGATGTCTACGGAACCCAAGTATGATGGGGTGTGCGGATAGGGCTCTACCGTGACCGAGTCTCCGGTGAGGGAAAGGCCAATCCACTGTCGCTGCAAGCTGCCTGCGCCCACAGAGCCAGGGGAGATCTTTCCGGTATTATCGTGACTGAACGCGCATCAGAAGTGTGTGTGCAGCAACGACACACATGTGATGCTTACCGCACAGTCAATGGATACTGCTGCTTTGCGATAACATGCTGCCCCTGGTGGAAGTCGGAAGGGTTGACAATTAGACAGTTAGTGAATGCTAGTTGGTCGTTCGGTGCCGATACAACGGAGAATCTGAAATGCGACCAAGGTAAGCTGAAGACAAGTGGACAGTGAGGGGATGCACGTACGCGCCGCCCCCTCGGGATGAAGCAGACGGGGTCCGCCTGTGGCTATATCCTCCTTGCTTCTCATACATCCGAGGGTCATCATAACGAGGAGTAGGAACACGTTGCCCGGACGAGGGGACGCTAGACGTGCTCCCCGGGGGAGGGCGGGAGTACGGCTGTTGGCTGGGCTGGTTACTCGCGCTGGAACGGCTGAAGAAGCTCATGTTGGGGACTAGAAGAACGTTTTGGCTCTAGAGAGAAGGCGAATAAGAACAAGACCGCCTGATGCAGGCAGCAGTGGGTAAGTTGGATATCGTGGAGATGGCGGTGGCTGCGTGGAAGGTGGCTGTACGGACTGAACCACACCAGTCCGCTATTGCGTACTTTGACTGCGCTCATGGTCTGCGCTGCATTATTCTGCCGCCATTAGAGCCTGCGAGGATATGTGTGTTCGTGTATTGAATATGGGTACCGAAAATGCATAAGAGAAGAGTCGATGCGAAAGATGGTGTCAGGTGCTGACAAGACTAGGCTAGTCATCTATCCTGACTTCAACCGTGCATGCTCTCCATCCTCAGACCATTTATACATCGCTACCGATGTCTTTGTAGATATGTCCCGGTTCATGCTGTGTGGGCCAGCCAAAGTTTTGTTCCGCCATGACAGAATCAACCTCGTGCCTTTCTCTCTTCCTCGCCACACGGTATACTCCAACCCCGCATCGTTCAAAAAATTCCCCTCCGCAAATTCCTCAGTATCTTCTCCATGTCCTCGGAGAGCATAGAGAAAGAGACAAAATCGCCAGAAACCACTACACCCACAACGTTCTCTCTGAATACAATTCTCAACAACGACAGCGAGAACCTTGAGCACCCGGACTTTAAGGACAAACCGGAGGGAGGTTGGGACGAGGAAGCGGGTGCAGGTGCAGCCAAGGGGTTCTGTGTAGAGTGTGAAGGTGCAAATCACGGAAGCTGTATGAAGTGCATTCGCCAACAATTCTTCTGCCAGATCAACCCGCTCAGTTGCACTGCGAGAACTGCAGTGATGACTTCTGTGAAGTCTGCTACGCCTCGCAACACCGAAAAGGCTCTCGCAAAAACCACAAGACCAAGCCCTTGACGGGCTCTGCCGGGAATCCAGAGAACGGAAAAGCTTCTACCGAGCAGCGCGACAATGGGGTCTCTGTACGTCAGACCGCACCTGTGACAGCTCAACGGCTCACCACCGCTCAGATGGATGTAGACGACGAAGGCGCAGTTGACTCCGATGACGAACTCGAACAGCTGGTTAGTGAACAGACAGACCAGCCGATTGTTCCCGAAACACAACCTACGGCCGGCGACTCCGTCGGTGAATGGTTTGTCGAGCGGGCGAAGTACATTCCAGTTCGTCTTACTCTGGGCGAGCGCAAGTACCTCCGACTGCTCGAAGCCGCGCTCAACGTGTCTGAGTATACGGACAAAATCGACACCGTTGGCTTCGGTCTGTCCAGAGCAAAGCGGATCGTTCATCAAATCCGGGAACTTTGTGCAATCATGTCCGGTCTTGTCCTTGCTGCCGATTACAAGCAAGGGCAGGAACTATTTTCGGACAGAGATTTCGCTGCCAACGAAGATTTTTACCAGCAGATCTTCGAGTTGGGCCGCCGCCACAAAATAATGAACCCTGACAAGATGCGTTCGACCTACGGGAAACTTATTTATTTGGTTCAGGTAGGTACAGGTATACTCAGTCAGAGCATACTTGCATCTAATCTCCTGTATAGGATAGTCAAACATCGGAAGTTAAGGACATGCTTGGTTTCTCTTGTGTTCGTCCTATCAAGACAGTACACACCGTCCTCGAGCAGCATGGTGCACTAGATCTTCTCCGCGAAGATCTTGTTGCCGTTGCCACCAAGGAAATTTACTCGGAAGGTCGGACGAGGCGAGATGTTCAGAAAGACATCAGAAACAAGGAGCATGCTATCGAGACACTGGCCGCAAAGTATGAACACAAGGACCTAAGCCAGGAGCAAGTTAGGCAATGCCTGTACAGTATCGGCGACAACCATGCCTTCCTGCGTACGAACCGCGACCCATGCGACCGTATGATCATGTACCTCAAACAATACTACCACCCGACGCAGGCGAAGGACAGCAAGAGCAGTCTTGCGATCAGGAGCGGAAAGGGTGGCGCTCGTCTTAGCCATGACCACGCAAAGCAATACGCATACGTCTTGCAAAGCCTGACTCTGTGGCGCGAGATCCTGCACGGTAAGTGTTGAATATGATATCTAAGGAACTGTATCTAACCGTTACTCCAGACATGTTTCATCTATGGTACTTGGCGGAATCGGACCTTCTGTCAGAAAACATCCCCTACCGTCTGCGCGACACTGGCCAAGGCCTTAACCGTGTGCAGGCTGCGCCCAAGACGTCTCGCATGATGCATGCAATATTGAACCGCGCGCAAAGGAGCATCGGCTCGTGGGTTGGCTCTTCTGTCATTCACATGGGCGATCACAACGTGCCCAATGCGCTCATGTTTATCGGTGCTTTTTTGTTTATCTGGAGAGCAAGTAGAAGACTCAACGGCCTCCAGACAAGTACTCGCAGGTGTATCGCATCCTCCTGCCTATCTGCAACACTGTTTCGAAGATTCCAGAGCTGATGGAAAAGCCGGCGTTGCGCTCATACATCGAAGACGAGTTTGGTTCTGCAGATGGCTGTATCCGAGAGATCCTTGGCGACTTTTTCCGCCACGGCTTTGACGGTTCTGGTGCAGATAACTTCTTCGACGCTGGCTCGTGTATAGATGGCCGGCTCACTTCTGCATGGAACTGGTGTTCGTCGTTGGAGAAGAAGAGATATTTCCCTATCTTCCTCTTGACTGGTGAGCGCTTTGTACGACACGTGAAGCGATTCAAACCTGACTTCATTACATAGGCTTCATTGGTTTTGATGGGGAGTGGTAAATAGATTATAGATCTTCTCCCATGCCACCCCGTACCGGCCTTGCTGTCTCGTGGAGTAGCAGTCGTATCCCATGGCCAGACTTCCACTTCCCGTTCACGCGTCTCTTCGCATGGTGCGGGTTACAGCACCGACGCATAAGCACGCTCGCCATACGAGCCTTTCTCGGTAGAACCCTCCTTTGAAAACATCCGATACGCTCATTCTTGCAATTCATGGTACATTTTGCTCATCGTATCAGGCGTTATTTGCAGCCGCCGCATGCATTACGACTGTATTCCTGGTCTTTGTTCCCACACGGGAGTGTGCCGCGGAGCCGCAGGTTATACGGGGCGTTCAAGGTCATACATTGCCGAGAGCATTGTCAGGCGTTGGTTGGCTCCGCTTGACAGGTTGTCAGCGTATGTGCATTTTGGCTTGTGTAAAAATGAAGCTCTCATCTCTGTGATATTCCAGCATTTATGATTACGATCACGAGTCGCGTCCAAATCAATGACCATGGGCAGGTAGTCAATGGGAAGTGAGCTTCAGGAACTTGAAGATCTGCGTCCCATGATACTCTCACCTTGTGGCTTTTCGTCCGGATGGACGGCCTCTCACAAGGACCGGATTATTCTAATTTATGGTGAGAAAAGCTACGCCGTGCACGTAAACGGCCATGTGCAGGATCAAGCATCGCAATTGACACCTCAGCAGCGGGGGCAGCGTGAACACTAGGCGTTCTGGACCATATATAATCCATCCTTCTGAATGAATGTGCTAGCCCGGAGGCTACCTTCACCCTCACCCACTTGGCGTCGTGCGGATACAGTCATGCGGGTCTTTTCAGCTTGGATCGTACTAGCGCTTGCTGCTTTCACGGCTGCGGCGCCAACCACGCATACGGTAAAGATCAAGGAAACTGTCAACGTCCCTCGAGGATGGACCAAGAGGGACGAGGCTCCTCGCGACCTTACCGTTGACCTGCGCATTGCGCTTCCACAATCCAACTTTCCACTGTTAGAACAGCACCTCTGGGAAGTCAGGTTGGCAATCGTTTCGACGTCGCTCCAGTAAGGTGCAGTTCTAACGCCTCCCTTTCAGCGACCCTTTCAACGAACGATATGGAGCACATCTTTCGCAAGAAGAGGTCAACGAGCTGATCGCCCCACACCCCGAGAGCGTTGATCTCGTCAATTCCTGGCTTGCGGAGCATGGCCTGAGCGGGGCAGACATCGCGCGTTCACCGGCAAGTGATTGGGTCAAAGTCCGAGTCCCAGTGGGTCTAGCAGAGGAGATGCTTGATGCGGTCAGTAAGACCTCGTGTCCACGATTGATTTTGACAGAGAACCACTATATTCACGCTAACGGCATTATCATGGCAGAAATATCACGTATACGAGCACTCTACAGGGGACACGCTTGTCCGCACTACGTCCTACAGCTTGCCGGAGCATCTTCATGCCCACATCGAGCTGATCCAACCGACGACGCTCTTCTCGCGCTTCCGCGCGAGTAAAGCAACTCTCCACTTCGACCAGGCCGCCCAGACCTCTAGCACTAATACAGATGCACCTGCAATCAGCGTACCGTCTGCCTCGGGTGGCACAGTCGACGCCAGCTGCAACACTACGATTACCGTTACTTGTTTGAAGGAACTTTATAACGCTGTTGGTTACACTCCCTTGGTGAACAGTGGTAACCAGGTCGCCTGCACAGGATATCTCGACCAATTCGCGAACTTGGATGACTTGCAGCTGTTCTTTGCAGACCAGGTCCCCGCTGCCGTCAATTCATCTTTTAAATTGATCTCCATCAATGGCAAGTTTTCTCCCCGCGTGCACGCGTTGAACTACGCATCTAAAAATGCAAACAGGAGGGCAGAATAACCAGAGTGAACCGGGCGACGAGGCGAATCTTGGTAAGTTTTGGGTACTGCATCGGAATACCGTTCAATATAATTGATCCCGTCTAAGACACGCAGTTTCTCTTTGGCATTACCCATCCTATCCCTGCGACGTTCTTCACCACCGCCGGCAGTCCTCCCTTTATTCCCGATGTTCTCACTCCTACGGACTCCAACGAACCCTACCTCGATGTATGTTAACATAAGTCTTGGACCGAGGAGAAGGCTGAGACTCTACATTTCAGTGGCTGGACTTCATCTTGAACACTCCGAACCCACCCCAAACAATTAGGTGAGCTGTGTCTTGGCTAACACTTGCCTCCTTGGAGCTCAATCGCGCCATCAAGCACAAGCTATGCAGACGATGAGCAAACCGGTACGCACTTGTCCAGCTTGGTATGCGCCCGAAACAGTTCGCTGATGCTGGGCGTTAGTTCCCCCGAGTTTTGCTCAGAGGGTCTGTCAAGGTTTTGCCACGTTGGGTACGTAAGGTCTAATATTAGGTGTCGGCTGCACTGACGAGCACGGAAGGTGCGAAGGGCGTCTCGCTTACCTTCAGCTCCGGTGACGGCGGCGTGGGGGACGGTGATCCAGATCCCGCCACACAAGAGTGCTTCACGAATGACGGGCGCAACAAGACCGAGTTTGTACCCGAGTTCCCACCGTCCTGTCCGTTGTGGGTACAATATTCTGTCGGTGCGGTTGCAAGACGCTGATCGACCAACAGCGTGACCGCGGTCGGTGGTACCATCCACGTTCCAGAGACCGCCGTCGACTTCTCAGGTGGTGGATTCAGCAACTTCGTAAGCGTAGTTTTCTTTATTATGATTGAGCACACATTTGACGTATTGATAGTTCAGCCGCCCAAGCTACCAGGCAGCTGCTGTGCCTGGGTTTTTGAGCACACTGGTACCTGGAACTTACGCAGGTTTATTCAATCCGTAAGTGTTCATACGCCTAAGAACAGTGGCGGTGACTGACTAATGTGGCCTAGGAACGGGCGTGTGCGTCCATATCACGCATATCTTTAACGTTTGTTGGAATGTACTAATTCGACGTCTACCAGGGCATCCCAGATGTTGCGGCCCAAGCTGATAATTTCCGTATCTTCTTTGGCGGTAGCCCAATCCTCATCGGGGGTACCTCAGCGGCTTCACCGACATTCGCCGGTTTTGTATCCTTGTTGAACGACGCGCGCATTAGGGCGGGAAAATCGCCACTGGGTTTCCTCAATCCGCTGATTTACAGCATTGGTGCCAACGCCGGACTCACCGGTGCTTTCAACGATGTCACGACGGGAAACAACCCTGGATGCGGTACTCCCGGGTTCAATGTGAGACGGATGCACCCTCACGAAGAAAGACATAATGACAGTTTCATCGCTTAGGCAACCACCGGATGGGATCCAGTGACTGGCTTCGGCACGCCCAACTTCGGCGTCCTCAAAGACATTGTGCTGGCGCTGCCGTGACCTATAACAGGCCTTCGGCAGTTTCTACATATGAACTCTTTACGGAGCCGATTCAGTGATGGGGTGCATAATATCCGGAAATAGCGATGTGGTGTTTCTAAACAACATACACGACTGCTAGGTATTCGATACCACCGTCACCGGCCTGATCATCTAGACAGGTAGTTGCCCACTGCCAAACTCAAGTTCATTGATACGTTAGAGCATCCTTTACGGAACTCCACTGCCCAGACGAGTGGATTCACCAGGCGGCCAGTGCCCTGAAGACACTGATGCGGGTGGCACTTGTTTCATGTGCAGCTCCCGCGGACACAATCGCGGTATTTACCTCCATATTAGTAAGAGTGGCAGTAGTTTCCTGAAGCCGTGCGTGTACCGCGTACCCCACGAAACCTGGGACCTGTTGACCTGTTGGACTGCCCGACACCAGTCCAACGTCATCCGGCGCGAAAATCTATCAGTGTCATGTCAATGGCCGCCTGTCGGCTACTAGCCGCAAACTGAGGCTGACCCTGTGTAAGACATGCGTTGATGGCTCCTCCTAGAAAATGTATATATATCCTATTTCGAGGCCGAACCAGAACTCAAACATATCCATACTGCTCACGAATCCCGCCATGAAATACTCGTCCGTTTGGACAGCGTTCGCCCTGGCAGCATCAGTCGTAGCAGTCCCGTCCCGGAGGACTGATTTCAGGATCAAGGAGTCTGTCGCGATTCCCAGGAGATGGGTCAAGCGAGACTCAGCACCCAGGGACTTGCACATCAACCTGCGTTTTGCGCTGCCGCAATCAAATTTTCCTCTGCTTGAGCAGCTGCTCTATGAAGTCAGGTGAGTACCAGTGCTGCGTGTTATTGAGGGATAGACCACTCAGGGCTGTTCAGCGACCCGTCTCACGAAAGCTACGGGGCACACCTTTCACAGGCGGAGGTGAACGAGCTGATTGCCCCGCACCCAGAGAGCGTCCGGCAAGTAAAAGCTTGGCTTGCATCGTACGGTCTCCGCGAAGAAGACATGTCCTGCTCTCCTGCTGAAGATTGGATCAAGGTAAAAGTTCCCATAGGCTTAGCAGAGGAGATGCTCGATACTGTCAGTTGTTTCCGACCTACGCTTTCTCGACATACCTCAATTAATACCTCATTCGTAGGAATATCACATGTGGGACCATCCCGAAGGTGACTCGTTCGTTCTCGCTACAGCATACAGCCTACCGGAGTATCTGCACGAGCATGTGGAGTTAGTCCAGCCTACGACGCTCTTCTCTCGTTTACGCAGTATGAAGACCACCCTCCACTTCGCCCCGAGCGGAGCGTCTTCAGCTGCCGTCGCCAATGCCCCTCCGATCGCAGTTCCGTCGGCTTCGAACGGGCAAGTTGATGCTAGCTGCAACAGCACAATCACCATCAGTTGTATAAGGCAGCTCTACAACGCGGCAAACTACACACCTCTTGCCGACACAGGCAACCAAATCGCTGTCACAGGATACATGGAACAGTTTGCAAGCTTCAGTGACCTGCAGACATTCTTTGCAGAGCAGGTGCCCTCCGCAGTCAACTCGTCTTTCCAGGTTGTCTCCATCAACGGTGGGTATGCCGCTGTCTTGTGCAATTCTTGCATTCATCGAGTATCTTAGGGGGACAAAATGACCAGAGTATGCTGGGGAGTGGCGAGGCGAACCTTGGTCAGTCCATTTCAGACTTCCGTGGTGCTCATGTGGTTTATGAGGCATGTGGTAGATACTCAGTTCGCTTTCGGCCTGGCGCACCCAATCCCTCCCACGTTCTATTCCACAGGGGGTAGCCCGCCGTTCATCCCGGACGAGCTGACAGTTAACAATACCAATGAGCCTTACCTCGAAGTAGGTCCTTTGTCAGCCAAGACGTCAAGCCAGTCTTACCCAGCATGTAGTGGGTGGAATTTGTCTTGCAGCATCCAAACCCACCAACAACGATAAGGTTTCGTCCATCCCCATATGTTACTCATCTGTGGCTGATAAACGTCCACTAGCACGAGCTACGGAGATGACGAGCAATCAGGTGAGCGATAATGATGACGTGCTCTTGAAAATAATACTCACCCAGAGGCGTTGCCCAGTACCCACCAGCTACGCCACGCGAGTCTGCAGCCTGTTCGCTCAGCTCGGTAAGCCTAGGGCGTGTCGCCATGGAGTACCACTGATAGCCCTTTTTCAGGCGCCCGAGGTGTCACATTGATATTCTCCTCTGGAGACTCCGGTGTCGGGGACGGTAACCCTGACCCCGCGACGCAAGAGTGCTTCGCAAACGACGGCACCAATCAAACAAGATTTCTACCTGCCTTCCCTGCATCGTGTCCATAGTAGGTGGTGTCAGCCACCCCTGAGATGATGTACTCAGCAACTTTATAGCGTCACCGCTGTCGGTGGTACCGTGCAGATCCCCGAAGTCGCGGTTAACTTCTCTGGCGGGGGTTTTAGCAACATCGTGGGTGCAGCATATGAGTTCCGTTAGAAGTCTGATAAACATGAGATACAGTTTTCCCAGCCGGCGTACCAATCTCAACAAGTGGAAAATTTTCTGAAAACTCTTCCCAACGGAACATACGCAGGCCTGTTCAATGCGAGTGGTCGCGTGAGTTGATCAACAGCTCAAGGGTTCCCAGATTGGACAGGAACTTACTGATGCTCTCGTGTACACTAGGCGTATCCAGACGTTTCAGCACAGGCTGTCAACTTCAGCATCGTGTTCGAAGGCGAACCCGCCGGTGTTAGCGGTACCTCTTGTGCTTCTCCTACCTTCGCAGGCCTCGTCGCCCTGTTGAACGACGCACGGCTTCGGAATGGTATGCCGTCCCTTGGATTCCTTAATCCGATGCTCTATGCCCTGAACGGTGCCGGGTTCAATGACATCACGAGTGGTAACAACCCTGGTTGTGGCACTCCTGGGTTTAATGTGAGTTACGGAGCCGGTCTGAGTGTACTTAGCTGATCACGACATATATCACAGGCCACGGTGGGCTGGGACCCAGTTACTGGTCTAGGTACGCCGAGCTTCGGCAAGCTGAAGGATCTTATCGGCATAACGGATTAATGTATGATGCGCATGAGATAGCAGGACCCAACGCAGAAATATTACAATATACGGAAGTGGTGACGAGTACATTATTTACGCATCCGCTTTTTGAAGCGTTCCATCACCTAAGAGTAGTCAGATACCACCGGCGTGTGCAAAAAGGAAGAACGACGACTTACAATCTCGTCTGTGGCCATTTGAGGCCTGTCATGTGTGCGGCGAGGCTCATGATCTTCCGGATTGAGTCCCATAGCCTCGAGCTTCGCATCGCGTAAAATCTCAGCGTCAGACTTAGTTTTCAAGTTTGGACGATAGACTACATCATAACTTTTAGTAACGAAAGCTATGACCTGGAGATCAGTGTCTTACATCTAGTGGCGGCAAGTTGCTCTTCATCGTCCGCGATTTTCTTGCGCTCTTGCCGCCCTTCAGCCACTATGCGCTTTGCTTTCTCTGTCTCCTCGATATTCTTCAGGCGAGCACTAGTGAAGTTTCGTCAAGCTCATCCCCGACCACCGTGACCAAAGACACTTACTCCATACCAAGATCTACCTCTGGTATGGCCGTTAGCATGGCCAGACTGTTGGTGACGTTGCCCTCCTCCTGCTCTTTTTCTTTCATGGCCTTTCTTCGAAAAATCTCAGCCAAGGGGTCGGCGGGCCCGTCGTCCTTCCTCAGCTGCTCTTTGGCTCCTTGCTTGAGCTTCATGTTCTCTTCAATATATTCCATCCTACATCATGTTAGCGACTCTAGAGTTCAACTCGAATCAACAGCAGCGTACATATGCTTGTCTACGTCACAGACATTGGTTTGCTGTGTGAAATTGTTCGCCCGTACGACACGCCTTGCTTTAGCATCTCTGTCTTCCTCATCACTAATTTCGTCAAAAGCGGTATGATAACATGGTGGCTATAGTACGTACTCTTCGTCCGGGTCATGCTGACTTCCTGACGTACCGGGCTTCAGTCCCCCTACATCCTCTTCGCGGGGCCGCTTCTTCTTCTTCTTCAAGTCGCCCTTGCTAAGCTTGGCGGTATCTATGCCTTCACGTGTACGTCTAAGCTTGCGCAGCTCGATGAGGTCTGCAAGACTAAGCTATGAATCACCTGAACTCAGGCTATTATAGTCCATGACTGTACCACCTACACTAATGTCTCATCATCCTCTTCTTGCTGCTCTACTGACTCTTTACTTTCCTCAACCTCTGCTGAAGGTCGCCGGAGTCGTGGTTGAGGGCGGCTGCGTTTCTTGATCATGGTTGTTGGTGATGTGCTCGAACACAGGCCTGGGTCCGCAGATTCTCACGAGCGCTATCGCGCGCTTACGCCAGGCTCCTCGTCCCTCTCATCACCCTGTCCTGTTCTTCGGTCCCTAAAAATGCTAGGTGCTGGGACAGAAAGGGCTGTGCAAAGCTCAAACCTTGTGTCGGTACTCCAGAGAGGTGCGATCCTGGCCGGCTCCACCGGGTCAGAAGGCAAATCCGACATACGAGACGTGCTTACCTCGAGACTATCGCAATACTACTCTGCCCTCGGCCAGGACCAAGTGAGCGATGTCAACGGGGCACTCGAAAATGTTCAACTCCGTACAGCCCAGGAGGCACTGGTTGTGATTGAACAAGTTCAAAGCATCGTCAGTCCGAAACGACCAGACGCAAACCGCGTGCCTACTCCTGGGCAGACCTCGGAGAACGACGCGCCCGAAGAATTGTTGGGAACGCGAGACCTAGCTCAACTGTGTACTCTCTTGTCATTGGTATTCAAATGGGCTGTAGAGCCTCTACTTTCTCGTGTCTCTGCGTCTATTCCAAATACCACACCAGGCGGAAGGCGACGCACAGAAGTTAACATAATTGACCTGACAAGCGTTCCCGAAGACTACCAACTATTACGCTCCATCCTGTTTCGTGTCACACGGCTACTTTTGCTGTCTGGTGTCCGAGGGTCTCTCAATGCGACTCACATCACTTCTGCCATAGTCGACCGTCATCTAGGAGATCTGCTCAAGCCCTGTCTAGTGCTGGGGTGGCTGCCAAAGTCTCTGTCGAGTGAGTCTGTCCTCCCCTTGGATGACTTGCGACCCGTCGCAATGCGTCTCATCAATACGTGAGTGCTTATTCCGTTGTATGCAGGGCGCGATTTTGATGCTGTTTGAAGGCTTCCCGTTTCGCGGAGTGTCACCGCGCTGAGCGGTATCCTCTCAGGCCAAGTCTCCTTGGTGTATGTGCAAAAAATATGCAGTCACCTCATGAGCCGTCAAATACTCCGTCATAATGGGGTTAGGGGTCTTTTTATTGCTCTGTTTGCAGAGGAGGACGTTTCTGGGGATGATGCTCTCCTTGAGAAGCTGGAAAATGTGGCAAAATTACTGAGATCCTTGCCAAAAGGAATGGAGGAGAATGTACGATATGACCAGTCACCGTTCAATAAACTTTCTAATCTGTTCTCAGCAATATTACGGCAATATTGTCCAGCAGCTCTTGTCTATCCTCTCTGCAGAAGGCGATATCTCGTCTTCTCATCGCCGGGCAGCTGCTTTCTCATTATCGAGGATGGTCTTCCCTAGCGACGAGAAAGACAGGACAGGTGCTCTCGTTTCACGAATCTTGTCACCTGCTCTTCAACGGCCGTTCCTGGAGATCACTCAGGGCCTGCTTTTCGACAACGGCAGCTCCTCATCTTCAGCAGATATCCCTTGTCTTGCCCCTAACCAGGCAATCCAGGCGTTGCAAACCCTCTTGACAAACACTGATCCGTCGCCCGAACTCATATCCAGCCTGCTCACGCCCATCGTGCCACCTTTGTACGCGTTATTGTGGACTTTCGACTCCGTCAAGACGTCTGAACCTCTGCTCAAGACGATTGTTCGGGGTTTTATGAGAACTTGGGGAAGATTGGTGGATGGTCCAGAAGGAATCGCCACTCTTTGGCTAGTTGTTAATGGTGAAGGCGGAGAATGGCAAGTGGACGTAGCTGGTGCAATCGCAAGAATCGAGCAGTAAGCAGCTTCAGCTGATTTGTTTGAGCATGTATCTTAATCCACATTCGTTACAGGACCAACGCTATCTCTCAGTTGGGCATGTTCACACCGGAGGACTTGCGGCGAGCCGAAGAAGCCGGAGAGTTCGATGTGGACGCTAATATCTTGCATCTTCGCCCGGACCCAAAGCACTTTGTCGCGTTTCTCAAGTCTCTCGATCGCTCAGATGTCGTCTCGGATCTATTTGTGAGGCTTCTGGAGTCGTACAGAGAAAGCAAGGCTGCTCATGAGGCGGATCCAATGAGGTATGATTCCCGTGTAGCATATATTCTATAAAGTATCTAAATATCTCGTCAGGACGCTTCTCTTCCTTCAACTCATTGTACAAATTCAGAATCAGCTCTCTTCGGGAGATTCTGCCCTCGGCATCTTGAAGAGGCCCGACCACGTACTATCTTTCATCAAGCACGCCTTGCAGACGGCGGCGCAGAGGTCTTCGAAAGTCGACGAAACTTTCGCTTCCAGAAGGCAGACAGGGCTTAAGCTCGAAGATCTTCACATCGTTGATGTGGATGAAGATGACAGCAATGGTGAGATTCTCGAGGCCGACAGCGACGATGAAGACGAGCCTTCAATTCAACGTGAAGGATCGGACGAGGAGATAACCTCGACTGCGCTGAATCTTCTGCTTGCTGTCATGGAAGGTATGTCATGTTCAAGTACTCTGCTGAGATCAAGTCTCAGGACGTCTCAGCCAACCCCAGCCTTAACACACAAACGGTACCGATCCTGGGTGACATCTTCTCGTTGCTGGAGTCGCTTGCCAAAGAATCTTCGGAGGCCATCAAGCCACTGGCGAGGGAAGCTCGTATGGTCCTGACCGCGCGCCTTGCATCCTCGTCCATATCCCAGGCTCCAACAGGAAGCACGATGGAGGCCGGGGAGAGTCCCCAGGGAACGTACCAGAAGGCCCTCAAGCTACTACAAGACCCGATCCTTCCTGTGCGCGCGCACGGCTTGCTCCTCCTACGCCAACTCGTCTCTGCGCGGCTGTCAAATGACAACACGCTGCGGGAGCCTGCGCTCGACCGTGCACTCGTGCCGGGCATCCTCGGCATCTTCCTGCAGTCGCTCCAGGACGACGACTCGTACATATTTCTAACTGCAGTGCAGGGCCTCGCGGCGATGGTCGAAGGCTTTGGGAAGGATGTCCTGAAGGGCTTGGTCGAGATGTACGCGAAAGGCCTCGACGGCGTCGGGAGCATGGCGCTCACACGGCTCGACGTGGATACCAGGACCAGGGTGGGCGAGGCACTCGGGCAAGTTATCAAGCGGTGCGGAGACGCGCTGCCAGGATACGGTATTCAAATCAGTTTCGTCGCACATGCACTCGTCGCTGATACTATTTTCCGCACTTGCAGCCGACTTGCTCGTCCCGCCTCTGTTCGGGGTTGCCCGTGCGTCCCACCTCCCTACGGCCCTGCGGACATCCGCTTTATCGCTGCTGGCCCAATTTGCAAACACGAGCGCTGTGGCTACCCTGCCGTATGCGGTTGACCTTACGGCCGCGATGCTCGATTTGCTACAGGTCGAATCGGTACCTGTGGTCCACAAGCCGAGGGATCGGACAACTCAAGTGTCAGATGCTACTTCAGAAGGTGGCTTGCTAGAAGAAAGTTCCGAGTCAAAGGTTGATCCGGAGAGGTCGAAGCGAAGGCAAGATGCTGTGAATTACCAGCCGACAACGAAGGATTCGAAGATCCCAACACTGCGTCGATCCGCATTATACTTCATCACGCTGTTAGCAAGGGCGTTCGCGAGCCAGCTTGAAATGTCATCGGGTTCCGTCTACGCCTTGCCGGGCGACCTGATGCGAAGGGCAAAGACTATCGTCGGGTATGTTACTGCTACAGATGAAGATTTAGTGGTACGCGTGATGGCGAGGGAGACGCTAGAAGGGCTCGATAACTTAGCGGAAGCAATGCTTCGTTTGTGAACACAATAAATTTATTTTAGTTGTACATGTGATACTCAAGTTGACACTGTGTGTGCCCCGTATCTGTCCCAGCTATCGCGACCTTTAATGAGCTGAGTCAATAAGAAGGCAGCGTTCATCTCGGTCCAAATAAGCATACAACCACACTCTGACCAGAGAGCAGTGAGCACGTGTCTGAGACGGTAGGAACGGCCGAAGCCGCCGTTTCAAACGGTGGCCGGGACCTATACGATCGCTCGTTCGTCCAGAAGAAGGTCTTATACATTTGACAACTCATCCATTCGCAGCGGCAACCATCGCGCCGGCCGACCGTCCGATCTCATCTACGCGTCGTCGGAAACCCTTCCACCGCGCATTACCCGCTTGTAGGAGGACAGCATGGTCTGAGACGCTATCAACAGGAGCATTCAAGCGCAAGAAGGGATTGGCGATAGAGCGACGGTAGGCGGTGTGCAACGCCCTGAAGATCTATAGAGCGAGCAACACCGGTTGTCGGCGACCGTGATCGGGAAAGGAAAAAGACGCAGGTCACGTACTGCAATAACGTCTGTGTCGCGCACAACGGCGTCGGAAAGCTCGAGCGCGATGATGATTTTAACTTTCAGAGGGGTCATGTAGCCGTAGACTGCGACGTCCTCTACGTACAGCAGGCCCAGGTAACACTCTGTGGACTTGGTCGCGTTCGCGGCCGTGACTTCAGTCCTCATCTTCATAAGTATTCGGGTAAAACGAGGACGCCGAGGGCACACTCACTCCGCTCCTCTACGACATCCAAACTTGTGTGGGCGATGTAATGGTATTTCAGCTCATCTTGGCGCGGTTGAGAGAATGTACGGATCAATATGGGATGATTTTGTGGCGACACGAAAGCGACGGCATTCAGACGGAGTTGCGGGGGCATTTCTGAGCGTACAATACTCGCCGCCACACCGGCGCACGCAGACTAGGGATGGGGGAGAAAGCAAGAGCGATTGCAGCTGGCGCTGACGCGCTATAAGCGCGCAAAAGGTGATGATTCGAGCAGTCCCGACAAGTCGCGACACTTCCAGACTAATGACTGACCAGTGCCAATCTGCAGTTCGAGGCAGCTACCAGAGCAGAGGCACGCGTTTTCGGCATAGTTGCTAGACGAGACGAGACAAAACAGCAATGCAAGATCGCAGTCTGGGAGAAGACCACCGGCTTTGTAGCTTGTCTGTGGTAAGGTTGGCGACCGTCGGACCCCGGCGCCGAGGTGGGTCACAATTCTCAAAGCTGGTATTCAAGCCCTCAGACACAAACGAGAGTATTCTAGTCAAAACAGAACTATTTATGCGTCACGTAAGAAAAATCCCAGGGGACATGGAGCAAAGCAGAAAGCACGCATATAAGGCACCATCAAAGTAACAGAGAGCAGAACGCTCGCGTAAGTTGTCTACGTGGCTTTTCAGAGCGAGCCACTCGAGAGGTACCGCCATGCGAAGTAGCCGGTGAGGAGGGCAAGAGGAGCGAAGTACATCATACTATGGGATAAAGCGCGTCAGAGACAGGCGACACGTCAGTAGAAAGTGTGACAAGCATACTTCGATCCTTGTTGAACTGCGTTGTTGACCGCGGCCGATTTCGCAGCGGAGACATTCTTGGCCGCCGACTTGACCTTCAACTCCTATAAGGTGGACTCTGTCAGCGATAGAGCGGCGAGAAGTAGAAAGCGCCACGTACACCCTCCTTCTCGAATTCGCCGACGTAGAAGCCCTTCAGCAGCGCACGGGCCTCGTCGGAGTGGCCAACATCCTCGAAAGCCTCGGTGGCGTCCTTACCTGTGAGAACGACGGACTGAGTCAGCTGAACAAATCGAACCACACTTGTGTTACCCACCGGCCTCAGCCAGAATCACTTCGTCGCCTCCAGGGTGCTAAGCAACATAATTAGTTTGCTAAAACACACCAATGTAGCCGTCGCCGGTGCCTACCTCTTCAATGAACTTTGTGACATTGTACACTGGCAGCCAGGAAGTCAGTATAAACGCGCGTCCTCCCGTAGCAGAGGGACAAACCCTTGGTGTGAAGGAGGACGTAGAGGCTGTTCTTGGTGGAGTTAGCCTTGAGGTCGTCGTAGGTGATGATTTTGGACATTGCGAAGGATGTCGACGGGAGGAGAATGTCGTGGAAGCGTGAAACAAGCTGGCTGTGAAACGGGTCGTCCGATGAGCGGCAACGCGAGGTGCCGCCTATAAAGAGCGTCTCAGGGTTTTCACACGTGGCAGACGCCGGGTTGGCGACTATTATAAAACCATAAGGCGGCGGCGGACCCTCACATGAGGTAGAGACATCAAAATAGACTCATCCTCGGTGTGTAAGGGTCCCCGATGAGCAGAGTCTAAGGCGGCCAACGGACCTGCGGCCCACGGACAATGTCGGGGATCGTTCGCACCACCAAAGCCAGGGTGCATTGTCGCTCACACATTACGATGCTCTTATGATCTGCGCGCAGCCATGTCTGTGCATGTGGCCTTCGTCGTACACGCCCTCGCGGCGTTGTACAGAGCGACACCGTGAGGCCAGATCGTCGGAGAGCAAGGCGCACTGACCGCGGGAAAGTGACATAAAAGGCGCATGCATCGCAAATTTCTCAACTCCGCTTGTACAGCACCCGCTGCGCCACAGAGGCGCGAAATCTCTCTTGTTCTTCGCCGTCGCGTCACTTACGCTCGTCGTCGTGCAAGACGACATGGACGACCGCTCCGACATTCTCGGCGGGCAACTGCATGTTGCCCGTCCCGAGCCACTCTTTGCACTCTCTGGCCCTACCTTCTCCGGTACAATATTCTATACATTCCTTCTCCTCGCTGTCGTCGCTGGTCTTTATTCGCTCACACCGCATTACCGCCAATATCAAGAGCATCGGCACCGCACGTACGCTGAAATATCTCTACAACATCACTAGCACCTCCATGCTAATTGGTTTCTAGGGCTATGCGGAGAAGACATGGCATCCCAGACAGCGATCATCGGCCTTTCAACGTGGCATACGCCTCAGTGAAGCGGGCCCACAGGGAGCGCGAGATGGTGGAAAAGGGAAAGTCGAAGCGGGGGATTCGACTACCCCCTGGTGTCACGAGTGCTGCTATAAGCAGACAGGGTTCTTCTGGTCCAGGTCAGGCCCTTCGACAGAGGCAAATGACAGGTATGTATTCGGTAACGTTTCTCTGCTCATTGGAGGTATTCACAAACGCAGGTGTTTCTTTGCAAGTCACGCAATCTCAGGCTGCTGAAGAAGAGGTTGTTTCATTACCGTCAGGCGACACCGAGTCTCGTCGTGCACCTGGTCAAGCCACCACCGCGAGCGAATCCGACTTCCACATGTAAGGACACCTTTCTCAATCAGTACACATTAGCTGACTCCTCTATGTCCGCAGGCCTGGTGCGCCTCAAGAAAACACCCATGAAAAGCTCGCACCGGCGAGTAGCAAACAGACACTCTACGCACCGGCGTTCGCGCGCAGCGGTCCCGCAAATGGCAAGCACACCCGAGACGAGGAGGCAGTAGACTTTGAGGAAGAGCAAGATGTTAAGACGTCTCGTATGGAACGTTTGGATGGTACCGACGAGGACACACAGTGGGAAGGTGACGTTGATGACGACATGGAGGTCGATGAACCGTCTCTTGTACAGCGTAGGCGAGGCACAAAGCGCCTAGCAAGCCTCGAGGAGGACGAAGGCTTTGAATCTTCGAAAGCGATCGGCAGAGATAAAAGGGCTCGTAAGCTGGTGCACCAAGAGGCTAAGGCTATGCGTGGCAAGAAACGCGATCGCGCGGAGGCTGGCTCAACGTTCGATGGGGATAACTCTTCTGCTGAGGACGAAAACGAAGACAAGCACAGGTCGAACAGGCGTCGCCGTCTGGCTCAAAAGAAGTCTTTGGCAAATGTTCGTGGTCGGAAGCGCGTGCGCGAGCCGGAGGTGGATAGCGATGACGACGACTCGGATTCACTCTCGAGGCGCAGTGCCCGGCACAAACGTGGCAGACGATCTCCTAAGGAAGGTGACTTCTTGTCGGATGATGGCATGATCTCCCACGATCCTCTGTGCAGGGGACGGCGCATCGGCGAGGAATGGGAGTCGAACGGTGTCAAGTACAAAGTTGGTCCCAACGGCCAAAGGCTCAGGCAAGCGTTGGTCAAGAAGTCTCGCTCCCGTTTCCCAATGGCACGTACTTTAACGCTGGCATTTGACCTATTCTAACCTTACACCGTAGCCCAAGGACTCTGAGCATCCTGATCGCAAGGTTAACGTCGACGTTTACGTAGAGGTCTGGTTGTCCGAGGAAGAATATCAGATCGCGAAAGAGCACAACGAACTTGCTTGGCAGTCTCCTTCCGCCGCTGTTACTGAGCTGCTTGAAGTGCCCGTGAGTCCTCTACCCTTCCATTTTAGCCCCGTGTAACTAAGAGCCTTACAGAATTCACCCACCAAGGGTAAGAGCCTTCTCTGGTCCTCGGCAGCGCAGAAGGAGCCCATTCGGAAAACTCTTTCCCTCGCCAAATCGGTCAGTGCCAATGCAGCACTTCGTGCTACCGCGTCAAGTTCTTCCAACGGTCTGCAACGTCGCATCTCAACAGTTGTCACCCCGACCCTTCCATCTGTTCCGGAAAGCCCAAAGGTCAAGTCTTCGAAGTCCTATTCAAAGTGGGAGAAGCAGGACCTTGAAGCCGCGGCTATGGCAAGGCTGAGGGAAAAAGTGAAAGCAGACGAAGTCGCCGTGAAGAAGATCGTGGCCACCACCACTGCGCCAGTTGCATTCCCCACTATTACCGCTACAGTCAAGCCGTCTGAAACCTCCGCAGCAGCACAATCTGTGGAAGCTTCTAAGGCTAGTGTGCCATCCTCTTTCGCTAAGCCTACCATTCCGACTTCCGCCCCGACTGTGAAGGCTTCGACGTCGGACCTGCCAGCCCTCTCGATTCCTTCCTCAGCTTCTAAACCGACTGAGCCGGCCCAGATATCTACCTTTACGATCCCTACCAGCTCTTCCAATGCGGCGTCAGAACCAGTGAAGTCTGCGATGCCCACAGTTGCCGCTTCTGCGTACACGTTCGATAAACCCCCAGCTGCCTCGTCTACAACCGCGCCTTCCGGTGGCACCGCTATACCGAAACCCTTCGCGAAGCCTGCTGCTCCCGCCTCAACTTCCGTCTCGGCTCCTAACTTGTTCGGCAACACGCAACAGCCTAGCACGGCTCCTTCCGCTCAGGCACTTCCTACCACTAATGCCTTTGGTGGCAACACTGAGAACAAGTTCACATCGTCTGCCCCCAGTCCGTTCGGTGCTACTACATCGGCTCAGTTCGCTTCCCAGCAGCCCACTAAGTCGTCATTCAGCTTCGGTGCTGATGCGGTCAAGAAGCACGAGGAGAGAGCCGCCGAGCCTATTCAGGGAGCGGTCTCCTCGGGACCCTCGCTGTTGGCACGCATGGGTGGATTTGCTGGAACAGCTGCATCTCCGACCGGTGGTGCCACGGCATCGTCTTCCACCGCTCCCGCATCGCAGCCTTCGACTACGTTCTTATTCGGCAAGCCCTCTGCATCGGCCTCGACGAATGCGCCGGCTTCGACAGCCACGTCCGATAGCACTGCTCCGGTCAAGTTTAATTTCGGTGTTGCCTCGAAGTCCGCCGTGCCGTCCGCGTCTACCGCCAATTCGGTACCGTCAGAGGCACCGAAGCCCACTGCGAGCTTCGCATCTGGTTCCAGTAACACGGCTGCATCTTCATCGAATGCCATGACTGAGGTCCCGAACTTTCCCTTCTCGCAGCCTACATCGTTCGGGAACAACACTTCTGGGACCTCCGGCATCTTTGGTAACACGAACACTGGCGGATCATCCCCTTCGAGGTTCGGGGGTGCCAATGTGCCCAAGGATATAACTGCGACGCCTCAGTCGAAGCCTGCATTTGGTCACTCAGCCTTCCCCTCCACACCCTTGAATCAGACAGCCAGGCAGACGATGTTTGGCGCATCAACCACGCCCTCTGGTACCCCGAGCGGGCCGATGTTTGGCATAAAGGCCGAGCCTCAAACACCCGCGAACAGCACAGCCACCCCCATGAGTACCACACCAGCAGGCACTCCTGGCCTGGCCCCGGTGTTCGGCAGTAATGCAGCCTCCACGACGCCTGCAGGCCCGCCACCAAAGTCCATGTTCACCTTTGGCAGCAGTGCTAGCACGACTCCCGCTGGTGCACCTCCGAAGTCTGCGCTTGCCTTTGGCACCACAGCTGCGCCCGGTTCGAGCTCATCTCTCTTCGGCAATGCGTCGAAGTTTGGTGCACCAACCATGTCGGGGGCTGTGGGGACTAGAGCGCCTGAAGCCGCGAGGTCTGCATTCCTGTCCGGCCCCGCCAGTGGATCGCTACAGCCTGCATCAGGGGGGCCGACGACTGCGCACAAGTTCGCCTTCGACGCGTTTTCGAATAGTGCCTCTCCACCGTCATCCAGCGCAGCGATGGATGCCTCGAGCACAGCGATGGATGCTTCGAGCACAGCGATGGACGCCTCGGGCACCACACAAAACAGGCCCTCGTTCGTGTTCGGCAATAGCTCGACACCAAGCGCAGGGGCATTCGCCTTTGGATCGAGCGCGGCTGGTACCAGCAGCATGGCTGAGAACAAGCAGTCGACAACGCAACCGACATCGGGGATGTTCGGCTTTGGAGCATCGAACGGCCCGTCGTTCTCGTTCGGCCAGTCGAAACCTCCGGAATCGGGGCAAAAATAAATGTTTCGTTTTGACCCTTGGGACCACATGTTGCTGCTGTATTCAGTTTCTCTTGCCACTATGTTTAACATCTCGCATGCCTGCACACCACTCTCTCCCGACATACATACTCATGTTCACATGCGATACTGCATTTCACTCCAGAACCCATCGCATACATCTATTACCCCGTACTAAAGCGCGAGTTACCGGCTCATGTAATCCAGCATGTACTCTGCATGTTCTTTCGGTGTTCTACTCGAATGTGCAGAGCGTCTTCGAATTCTACAAATATTACCAGATGCAGGGTGAGAGTGAGGATCGCTGCCCAACGTCTCGACATCACATTACGCTAAAACTGGTGGGGTGTACCGGCGCTTTCCTGAGTATCTGCTTTTCAGTCCAAGACACGCCTCTGGTGTGAGGCTGGCAGTCAAAAGCCAGCAGCCCGGTTACAGTTTGGGCCGTATCAACCACTGTGACCATTTTCACAAGGTGTGCCCGATTATCTAGCTGCTAACTGTCAGCCTTCTGAACTTTCAACGTTCTGACCTCTTAGCTCTGAGAAGACCACCCCTTACCGCTGTTTGTACTATACCCTTTGTCTAGAGGACGCATTCCTCTACACTCGTCCGTATACCTTTCAGCGTTATATGCATTACTAGAACGCCAAGCTTGCTGCGAGCGACACCCTCCTTAGCATTGACATTCTACCGCCCCCAACTACCCCCCACTCTTTGGTTGAACCGTCTCACGTATACCATATCTCAACATGATATCTATCACCAGCCCTCAATCGACCCCGAAACGACCCCTTCCGCCAGCAAAGCTCCGCAGACGTGCCCCGTCTTTGCCAGCCCACCCGCCGCCGCCATACGATGACGCAAACGGTGACGCAGACCGCGCTCTGACCAGTGGGATCGACGCGTCCACAGGCAAACTGAACCCTCCGCTAGAAGACTGGACGAATGAGAAGTCTCGTGAAGAGCTCTCTGGCTTGCTGCTCGCCGCCGGGAGTATGATTCATGACAGAGAGACGGGTGCGTCAGTCATTATGCCGGCCTCCTCTCATGAGACTAAGGGATAATGGACACCATCCTCCATCATGCGCATTTCCCTTCATACAGAGCTGGGTTTGACATCTGCCCTTTGCAAGAACCTCTACGAGGCGAACCTCTCCCTGAAAAGTAAGCATGACGCTCTGCTCGCGCGCATACCGACGCAACTCGGCCAGACGGTCTCTCCGCTTCCCTCACCTACACGGGCTTTGTCCCCTCTACCTCCACTTCCGGCTACACCGCACTACTACAGCATCTCTCGTCCCTCCTCGCCATCCGCGACACTGTCACCCTCCCTTGGCCCGTCTTCTCCATCACCGTCAGTTCTCTCCGAGCGCTCACGCAAAGGTCACGCGCGGCGCATCTCGGTCACCCCTTCTGACTTGAGCTACCTCGCTGATCAGAATGCGGAACTCATGCACAAGCTCGAGAAGCTCGAGGAGGAGAGCGCGCAGGCGGATGCGCGCGGAAAGCGCAAGCTCAAGAAGCTGGAGAAGGAGATTGGGCTGCTGAAGGAGGAGCTGGAGAAGACGCGAGAGCGCGGCGCCGAGCTGGAGGAGAGGGTCATGAAGAAGGTGACTGGTGTAGACGACAAGGAAGAAGAGCAGAAGCGACGCAGGCGCGAAGAGAGGGTTCGGGCTCTGAGAAGGAAAGGCGCAGACGAGGACGAGGACGAGGATGAGAAACCCGTCGTTGACTTCGCTCCCGCTCCAGAGCTGCCGAAAATCAGGACGACACTCCCGGTCACCATTCCCGAGGAATCGGAGGCTGCTCTTGCTGATGAAGCCTCGATTCCGGATATCGCTATCATATCTTCGTCCGGTGATATCAGCAGTTTAACCGCATCCACGTCCGCTTCGACGTCGGCTTCCCCCTTGACGGCCACGAGTTCGCAGGCGCACCACCTTGATTATGCCATCATTGCTCAGCTACTCTCTAAGATCCACGAGCTCGAAGAAACCAACATCCAGATTGCTACAGAACAGCGAGCTACTTCTGAACGCCTGCAAACGGCACAACGGGAAGTCGACGGTATCAAGCGCGCTTATGATTGCCTCGGACATGACGACGACGAGATCGAAGTGTGCGTCGTCCCTGACGATGAGGGCGAGGGCTCTTCTTTTGATTGGCCCCGAGATGGGGAAGCAGCAAGCGCTTTTGGCAGTCCTTTGCGAAGCGCTCATGCTTCCACCGGACATACTATACGGTTCAGCAGTCTGCGACGTACTATCGACGGCGACGCCAGTCGTCTCACTGTAGATGACCCTAAGGACGACTTCGCGAGCGGCGTCATGAGACAGAGCACAACCCGGAGCATGCTCTTGCTAGACAATGGCGAGGGTGGTGTTCGTACCAAAGGCAAGGAGACGAAACAGAAGGGTGGTATACAGAAAACTCGGAAGACCGTTGTTGGACTCTTCGACAATCCAGCTGAAGGTTCCTCCGAAGCTAGAGAGTGTACTGATGACTACTTCGCCTCTCTGCACGCATCTCCTTCTTTCCGCACTCTATCGCCCATGCCCATTAGCCCTGTTAGCGCAACCCCCGATATGGGTGATATCTCTGGCTGGTCAAACGCTGCTACGGACAACGAACTCTCCTGTTCCTTCGACTCTTCCTCGTCACAGTCTGGCGAGTCCGACTATGCTTCGCCTATTCCCTCCACCGCCGGCTTTCTCACCTCAGAGTCTCGCTCGCCTTCGCCTTCGCCCTCCCAGCTGCTCTCGCAATTCCCCTCTCCAGCTCCCTCCCCGTCGATGCTCAATGTTGGAGGCTTAGCACTGCATACACTTGGTTCTGAGCTCGGTAGCGAGTTCGGGGACGACTGGGGCGAGCGCGCGGGGAACCATCACCTGAGAGCGACGAGCCTGTGCGAGATGAATGGCGACGTGAGCATGGAAAGCACTGGCAGTGTTCCGGGGGGTTGGGTTCTCGATGGCACCGAGGACGACGCCCTGTATGGGTCCGGTCGCTCCCGCAGTCTTACCATTGATGTTGAGCACGAAGACGATCACGCAAGGACCAGCAGCGGCGCCAGCACTGCTATTGCTCGGAGTGTCAGCGGGGCTTCGGCATCGGGCTCTACGAGTCCTAGCGGTACTGCAGCTGGGACGCCTACCAGGGCGAATTTCCCATTCCACGATGGGCTGCATCCTCAAGTTGTGGTGCAACCGCCCACGCCATCTGCTAACAAGTATAGGATCCCAGCCAAGTCCTTGAGGTCGCGCAACATCACACCCATCCCGTCGAGCAAGTCTATGCCCGGCGACGGTTCTGGCTACGGCGTCAGTACTCTGGAGAAGGAAAGGTTGGAGAAGATGAACAGCCGAAACGCCCGTTTATCACAGACCGTCAGGGCGCGAACGAACAGATGGGTTGAGAGGCGATATGCGGAGTATGCTGTCCCTTCGCTCTCACCGGTCACTTCTCCGACCCTCCCCAGCGTGCCGTTCCCTTCAGCCCAGGACACGTTCTCCGGTGGGTCACTACGGAGACGGACGATGCAATTCCCGCTCAAGACAGGACATGCAATGGTCGTTAGCAGGCGCAGACGCACGGCAAGCACAGCGAAAGAGAAGATGGACGAGTCGTTCGAAGACGCAGTGCACCGTGTGTCCCGCTCGATCTCCTTCTCTGCCTCCGGCTCCCAATCTGGTGTCGACTTTGCGAAGCTCCAGGAGATGGAGCTTAACTTCGCGTGCTCGGATGCCGAACCGGAGGGCGACAGTCCGCGTGGCCAGCAAAACTTTGTCATGCAGGCTGCGCGACGAGATGCTGCCGGCGCGGACAGGCTGTTTGCTAAGAAGGGCGGGTTCGTCGGGTTCGTGCTCGAGGTGTGGCTCTGGCTGCAGTTCGCGATCGTCGTCGTCGTCTTCCTCTGGGCAATGGCGCGTAAAGGACCGAAGAACGTCCTGGAGGACGCGGAGCGGAGTCAGCGGCAGTTGCAGAGGGCCCGGTGAAGCTAAGGGCTCATTATACCTTGGACTCATCTCGCGTTCGATTTGATCTCCACCTCATCTTGTACACATCTTGTCACCTTAGAATCTCGCACAGCATCGGCTACTGCACGTTGTACATACTCTACCTCACTTTTATCTGCATAAATACGTTGTGAATATATCGAGCCACTATGAGTCCAGCGACTCCAGCCCATGTATCTTGTTCGCAAAGTCAGGCCGACTAAGAAAGATCATAGGAGTGGTGTGAGCGCTTGGGATGCCGCTCGGCATCGGATCAAACGCCACGAAGCTTTTGGCGCTCCGACGACGGGTATGCAACCCAGGCTGCTTTGCGTTCAGTACAAACGCACGCCAAAGTTACTTATCGACCCATATAAAAAAACACGCTTGGCATACATTCGTTGACGAATATTTTTTTCTGTAAGTCGTCACATTAAAGGTCCGGTCATATGGGAGCGTCGGACGTTCATTATTCCGTCGCAAGCCTGAAAAGTTTGGTTTGCAGCCACCTCAGCACATCTGCTAGCCCTGTACCATACAAGAATGACGATTGATACACATGGTTCCACTGCAACTGTGACCGAAAGCAGGCTGTTGGGTGTATCGTTCGTCATGCAATTTTTTAATTCGGTATTCGATCGGGCCTAGTCGCCGCGACGATACCAGACCAGAGAGCTTGGTCAAGCAGAGATGCCACGGTGTCTGAGTGCCGCGTCATTTTTTTCAATACATCGTGTGCCAGTCGTAGCCGGATGGCTTTCCGCTGCGTATCGCCCCTACCCGCCGCGTATGAGACGACTGCGGTGCGCCTGGAGTGGATCCGAGGACTGCACTGTGCAGACGACGACGCGCTCGTGTGCACTCGGAAGGAGCGCAGCGTGTTCCGTCCGTGCCCGAGATCACGCTCGAGGCGCCTTGGGCCGGTGGGTGGGCGAATGACGTCATCTTCATGCTTATCGCGGCCCTCCGATAATCACTGACCGGGACCTGGTGAGTCCATGTTACTATCCCCGGAGGGTACCGTAGGATCGGTCCCACGACGGAGTGCAAAGGAGCCATCGGGTTCAGCTCGGGACGTCGCGCTTTGGTTGCGCGCGATAGACACCTTGAGGGTGCGTGCGGGAGACAGCTTGCGATGGGGTGTCGGATCGCGCAATGACGATATAAGTCGCTCTGGCGTGCAAGTTCTGCATTGTCCATCCCCACAATCCATCCTCAGCTTTCCACCAGTCGCCTTACCTTAACACATCATGAAGGTGGGTGTGATGTGCCTTGTCGCCTTGCACATGTGTGCTCACCCACTATCTCTCAGCTCATCTCCAGGGAAGAGCAAGACGCCCAACAGCACGCCACTCTCGTAGGTGGTATCAAGGGCTTCCTCAGCGGTGCAGCTATCGCGCTCCCCGCATCCCTCCTCTTGCAGCAACGCTGGGCATACTACCGCCACCTCCCCCTGTCGCTCAAGGCCTTCGGCGTGATCATCGTCGTCGTACCATCGTTCGTCATTTCCGCAGAACACGCGGGCCAGCGTTTCGAACGCAAGCACTGGTACGTACCCCCCCTCCTTGTCCCTCCGCAATTCGAGCCGAGACTGAGCGGTCAACATGCAGGCATGACCTGGGCAAGCAGGAGCTCGACGCTGCAGCAGCACGGGAGTCGAGGCGATGGGAGTCGCTGTCGGCGGGCGAAAGGATGAGGGACTTCGCGAACCGCCACCAGTACGGCCTCATCCTCGGGGGGTGGGCCCTCTCCATGGGAATCAGCTTCGGTCTCGTCGCACGGAACAGGTACCAGACGCTGCCACAAAAGGTGTGTGTCTCCCGTTTGTTAGCGTAAAGATAGCCTCCTGACAAGGGGGTAGATTGTGCAAGCACGTCTTTGGGCGCAAGGCCTCACACTCGGCGTGCTTATTGTTGCTGGCATCGCTACGCACGCGAACCGCACAAAAGAGGACGAGGGACCTGTTCGGCGCGTTGTGAGTCTGGCCATATGCTCCAATAGGAGGGACTTGCACTAACTTGCTATGTTGTATAGGAGGCAGATCACTCGTGGCGGGACATTGTCAACCACGAATTGCAGGAGCAGAGACAAAGGGCCATAGCTGCAAGACGGTGATGAGTTCCATTGTCTTTGCACAAACTTCCTTCGATTTCTAGGCGGGTGTCCCACTTAAACTTCGACAGGGTCCCGACCCAGAGTTCACGTATAAATGTCTCGAAGATAACGTTGGACGCCTTACCTTTTCCCTTACTATCTACACTATAATTCGCTGTGCACCGTGGAGCTAGAACAAGAGGTTAGACTTATATGTAACATAATATCCTGGCACCTGCCCGTTAATTCGCTGGTGCAGCCTGCAGACGCGCCTCGCCCTTGCAGGGACACCGTGCAATCTCATGTTGGATGTTGAGCTATCGAGCAGCCGTGTGTGCCAGACAATAACGGACAGAGATGAAAGCTCTCGCGAGACAGGACTTACAGTATAGCACGCATTCCGAATACCAATAAGGCCGGCATCATGAAGCTGACTGCACGGCGCATTGGTCGGGGTTCTATGTAAGGCTCGCGGCGTGGCAGATACAAACACATAAGGGGTTCGCACGAGCTTGCAGCCTAACGTTAACGCGTCATGTAGCCATGCATTAGCAGGCTGGCAGGCTGGCAGGTTGTCATAATCCCAAGTCTGGAACAAATTCTTGTAAGTCGGCTGCGAAAGCATACAGCTCTTATTTTAATTACCTTTATTTACAGGCATGAGTGAGCTCACGGCGACGGCCATTACGGAGTGTCCACCGATGGCTTGGGGTTTGTATCCGCACAAGGACTGATTAGGAAGTCCCGACGCAACATGAAACTCCGCTCTCCGGAGTTCGCCGTGCCCAGCCGGAGCAACCATCTTCCCACGAGCTCGCTTGCCCGCGACGCCTTTAGCCTCTGGGACTGCAGTACTTAGAACACCACGGCTGCTATTGTTAATGGCTTCGGGAGGTCGCGGCAGCTCACCTGGACGACAGATTGCAATGAATCAGAGAGTTGGACAACTTGGATGCATGATATCAGAGGTCGTTATCGAAAGTGAGTGCTAGGTTAGCCGCCCTCTTACAGCGGTACTTAGAACGATAGACACCCCCGGGCAGAATACAGCATACGGAGTTCGAAAACTCCGCAAGCGCTAGTGCAAACGAAGTGAGACGCGTCCGCTGAAGTGGTATTCCCGCCGTCACCTGAGGCATCCGAGTCTGACCCGCCCGACCTCCTCGTCTTGCGTTTCTCAATCACGCGTGTCGCACCCTCCTCATTTAGTGTCCATCGCTACAGTCTTGTAATTACCAAGGGTTATAATACATCCGAGGTTCGCCAATATAATATTAATCGCCCGAAACCATTGGGACAAGCCCCGCAGCGAGCAGCACAAAGCCGGGCGGGTCAAATGCCTCAGGTGACGGCGGGATCACCACTTCAGCGGACGCATCTCACTTCGTTCGCACTAGCGCTTGCGGAGTTTTCGAACTCCGTATGCTGTAATTTGCCCGAGGGGTGTCTATCGTTCTAAGTACCGCTGTAATTGGCAAAGCCCTGTATTGCGACGAAAGGCCCGAAGCAGCCAGAATGTCCAAACTTGGCGCGCCTGACCGTCCCCACTAGCTGGCGACCATTCTTCCCACCTCACCACCATCCCTCCCTGTAAGACTGCCTCGCTGTCCACAGTAAGGCCACTACTGTTGCACAATTGCTGAAGCTATTCGACTTCTAGGTCATATGGGCGGAAGACCAGGGACCTCGCGAACCGTCACCAGTATGGCCTTATCCTGGGGCTAGGCTCTCTCCATGAGCCTCAGCTTCGTCCTGATCACGTCGGGCAGATATCAGACGGTGCCGCAGAAGGTGTGTATCCCCTGCTTGTTATCACGAAGTTCACTTGCTGAATAGTCTGTAAGCATGTCTGTGAGCGCAATGCCTTACGTCTGATGTACCAAGAGTACTTATCGTCGCTGGTATCATTATGCATGCAAACCACAAAACCACACAAAAGAGGACGAGGGACCTGTTCGGGCGCCTTGATTGGTCACATGCACCAGCAGAAGGGAGTTGTACTGAATTGACGTGTCATGCAAGAGGTAAATCGCTTGTGGTGGAACATCGTCAGCAACGACCTGCAGGAGCAGCAGCGGACGCCTGCCTCAAGGCTCAGAAGTCGAAGGAGGCTTGTACGGAGACAGCGGAAATCATCACCGTCTTGCGACCTCTCACTTAAGCTTCGGCAGGCCTCGACCTGGAGTCCGCATATGATTATCTCGAGGACGTCCTTGGACGCAGTATTTCTTCTCTTACACTTACACTTGGTCTGCTGTGCACCATTGAGCTATAGACTAGTAGACCAAGCCTGTATGCGATACGATACCTTGCACTTGTTCATTAATTTGCCTGCGCGCGGACGCGCCTCGCCCTTTGCGGGGTCGCCGTGTGATCGCCTGTGACGCTGAGCAAACCTGCACAAAAAGAGCGAAGGCCTGGACGTTCAATTGCAAACGCCTGCAGCCGGCATCTGCGACGACGTATGGGGGCGACACACGCAGAACGCGAGTCTCGACCGACTTATTACCCTAGGCAGCGCACAGCAGAAAAGTGTAATAGGACGCCCAGCTGGACGACCCCTCGAACAAGTTGAGCCTCAGCCTGTCATTCCCTCTCTTCCGACATACGCTTCCTCTCGCACCGCCACCTCCCACGTCGACTGCCGCCGCGCCCTGAGGCTGCAACGCAGGTCAAAGTTTCTAACTAGAGCAGCTCGAACGGTACGATCGACTTCGGCTGTCTGTGCAAGCTGCTGATCTCGGCGCCAAATCTTCCTTGCATGAGATTCTAGGTGCTGCAGACGTCGCCCAGGCCTGCCTGCCGCCCTTGTCTCCTGTTCACGCCGTAGACTACCGCGGCCGGGACTTCGTTGGCCTTGCAGACGGCTTTCTGCGCATATAAGGACATTTGGCTGTGGATACGCCCCAGTTCGCTTAATACCGCCCGCTGCCCGTGTCCTGCTTTGGCACAGTTGCGGTCTAGTCTGTCAGGGCCACTTGTCGCTTTGTTTGGCAACACGAGGACCTTGTAAAACTTGAGATCGAGCCTGGTGAGAGCTTCCACGTCCTGTGTCCGACGACTTCGCAAACAATTCATGCAAGTGCAGAAACACAGTGAATACTCAGTCCTCGTCCCTTCACAAAACAGTCGAAAAAATGACAGGAGCCCGCCCACGCTCTCCCTCGCCTGCCTCTGACTCGGACTCACCCTCTGCACAAAAACGCGCCAAGAAGACGCATGTCCCGGTAAGCGACGCTGTCGCAGACCCGACGCCCTACTTCGCACCAGACCTCCTCGCGCCGTCAACAATTCACAGACTGAACAGCGAATATGCGACGTCAGAGCCGTACAAGTACTGCCGTGTTGATAAGCTGTTCCAAGAAGACCTCCTGGTAGGCGTGAAGGACGAGATCATGAGTGAGCTGAGCTTTACAGAGAAGGAGACCGATATCTACAAGGTATGTCGCTGTATGCACTTTGGAAGGCTCTGTAGGTGTCGACTATACGGCAGGTGAACCAAACCGGCGACCTCGCCTCGCTCAACTACCTCACGGAGCAACAGATCGCGCTGCTGCCGAACCTGCTCAAGCTGCGCGACGCGCTCTATTCGCAAAAGTTTTGCGCCTTCCTGCAGGCCGTGACGGGCTGTGGCCCGCTGAGCGGCACAAAGCAGGACATGTCTGTGAACACGTACACCAAGGGCTGCCATCTGCTCAACCACGACGACGTGATCGGCACCCGCCGCGTCTCGTACATCCTGTACATGCCGCTCCCCCACTATCAGGGCTGGCAGCCCGAGTGGGGCGGCGCGCTCGAGCTCTACCCAACCGTGCCCGGCCCCGACGGTGTTCCCGAGCCCGAGTGCGTCCCGAGCAAGTGCATCCCGCCCAGCTGGAACCAGTTCATCTTTTTCCAGGTTCAGCCTGGCCGCAGCTTCCACTCTGTCGAGGAAGTCGTCGTGGGCCAGGGCGAGGACGGGCGACAGAGGCTAAGTATCAGCGGCTGGTTCCATGCGGCGCAGCCGGGCGAGGACGGGTACGACCCAAACGAAAAGTGTGGCGAGTACAAGAGCTCACGGGAGCAGCTTGTGAGTCCTTACCCTCTTGTTGCAAAAGTTTGCGCTGACTTTGCTCCTAGGCCTCCACATCAACCAACTTCCACACCTACCCCTCTCCTGCGGCGCCGCCCCTGCCTTCCGATCCACTCTCAGAAGAACACATCTCCTTCCTCTCCGAGTTCTTGAATCCCGTTTACCTGCAGCCACGCACCCTCGCCGCCCTCGCCTCTCGCTTCGTCGAAGAGTCCTCTCTCGAACTACACCACTTCCTCTGCACGCCGCTCGCCGAGAAGCTGAGCACCGGGCTCACCGCCAACGACGCGCGGGACGGACTCGGGCCCTCGCGCACGCAGCGCATCTCGGCACACACGGCGGGTACGCGGCACGCCCCCGCGACAGCGGCGGACCCGCCGTGGGAGGTGCGGGGCCCGCCGCACAAGTGGCGGTACTGCGCGCTTGTGGCGCCACCGGCGGGGAGGCGCGAGGCGGTCGTGCCTCGGAGCGCGGCCGGTGCGGACGCGATCGTGCGCTCGCTGCAGGACGAGCTCTACCCCAGCGCCGCGTTCCGCGCGTGGCTCGCCAAGGTCTCGAGCGTGCTCCCGCTCAGCTGGGCCGCACAGGCGCGGCGCTTTCGCCCCGGTCTCGACTACACGCTCGCGACGAGCGACGAGCGCGAGGCGCGGCTCGACGTCGTGCTCGACCTGACGCCCGAGATGCCCGTCGAGGTCGAGGAGGACGACACCGACGCCGCAAGTGGGCGCGGGCGGAGGAAAAAGGGCGGGGAGAAGACGATCGTGAATGGATGGCAGAGCGGCGAGTGGGGTGGGTGGGAGTGTTACATGGCACCGCACGAGGAGGAGGACGACCCGGCGGTGTACCGCTCGGGCTCGCGCAAAAAGAGCGAACAACCGAAGGAGAATGGCCAGAACGGCACGGCAGATAAAGGTACGCCGAGCGGGAGGAAGAATGGGACGAACGGGAAGGAAGCCGTGGAGGACGAGGATGATGATGAGGAAGACGACGGAACACTACTCACCGTCCAGCCGGGTTTCAACCGGCTGCTTCTTGTCCTTCGCGATGAGAAGGTCATGCGCTTTGTCAAGTATGTCAGTGCTGCCGCTGAAGGCTCGCGATGGGACGTCTGTGGCGAGTACGAGATTGGAATGCTTGAAGAAGAGGACGAAGAGTGATATCTCTCTGGCTGTGTCGACTCTTGCTTGTGCCCGCTGCTCTTTTCATTCTGCTTGTAGCCGTACACAACCTGTTGCAGCCTTTGTCTCCACTTATGCTCGAGCCCAATCTTTTGTATTTCTCTCACATAACAGCTTGTTTTTACTGCTACAGCTCTCGTAATCTAGCCAGGTACGCGGCCCATCCCTCGCTTCGATACCTCTCTGCCTGCATCTGTACAGCTTGAACATCGAGGTTGTTGCCCTTACCGTAGATGCCTCTACCAACGATAATGACGTCGGATCCAGACTCGGTGATGACTTCCTTTGGTGTTCTGTACTGCTGACCCATGGAGTCGCCCTTGGCGTCAAGGCCAACACCAGGGGTGAGAACCAAGAAGTCCTCGTCGGGGTCTGCGTGCTCAGCGCCGACGCCCTCCATGCGCCTCTGGGTGATAAAGCCAATGACAAAGTCACGGTGCTCGCGCGCCATGCGGACGGCGGCCTCGGTGTACGCGCCCGTCGCGAGACTGCCCTTAGTGCTCATCTCGGCAATGAGGAGCAGGCCGCGGCCAAGGGGCTTGCCGACAGATGCGAGCCCGCTGATGATGCTCGGCCCGGGGACGGGGTGTGCGTTCGTGATGTGTGCCCAGGATGCGACCTTGTGCACGCCAGACGAGTACTGTAGCGCGACGGTGTTGCCTGTGTGGTCGCGCGTGTGTAGTGTTCACTCGTGAATGCTCAGCGGGTGCGAGAGCGAGCGACACGAACCGATGTCCGCAAACTTTCGGTCCTCGAAAATCATGAAGTCGTGGTTCACGCTCAGCTCCTGCAGTCGTTCGATAAGCGAGGGTTTGAAGTCCTCGATAATGTCGACGTGTGTCTGCGCGCGCGAGTGAACACAATCAAGAAGCATTGCGCGGAGTGGAACACACCTTGACCATGCAAACGGATGGCCCGACGACATCGATGATTCTGAGAAAGTCGTCGCTCTTGGTCACGTCGACGCTCACACAAAGATTTGTCCTTTTGCGCCCGATGGTCTCGAGAAGAGCCTTTGCAGCAGGATTCGAGTGCTTTGCAGCCCTCTGCGCGTACGTCTGACGGTGCGCCATGGTGGTCGAAGGTCAATTTCAAGATCGAGATATTTTGAATGAGTTGCGATCGGACGCTCTACTCAACCTTGTCTCTTCCCTCCTCGCTCAGACAGACTCACTCGCCACCGCAACAACCATGTCCACGACCAGACCACGCGACGAGGACGAGAACACGGGCGCGTCGTCGCCCAAGCGGGCGAGACTTGACGAGCCCGAGCACACCAGCGAGGGTGTGGTCGTAACTGACGCGCCTGAGGCGGCTCCTGCGGAGGAGAAGAAGGTTGAGAGCCTGCTGCCCCCTAGCCACACTCTGCTTGGTGCACCTGAACCTGTGTACACTCCGGATGGCTCCATGCAGTACATCATGGAGACCGACGTCGGTATCTCCGAGTACGTGGGTCACGACATCCCACGCATCCAGGGTATCATAAAACAAAGGTACGCATCCAAATGACACTCACCAGCTTCATCGTTGAGGTTTCTTAAGATTCACAGACTTCTTGGTATACGAGGTCGACCTGGACGGCAACGTTGTACACTTGAAAAATATCGGCAAGCCGGAGTCTTCACCGAAGAAAGCGACTGGACAGACAACATCTGCTAGCGGCGATGCTACGCCCACCGAAAATCCTGAAACCTCAACCCAAAAGGCTGAGACTGAGGCTAAAGCGAAGACACTTGGTGAAGTTCCTGCTAGCGACGCTGTAGAGGCCTCCAAGGAAGAAAAGCCTGAAGAGCAAGCTCCCGAAGAGAACGAGCCTTGGCCACAACGCTTCACAGAGATCCTCAAACCCTTCCTGTCGGAGCCTGTCATGGAGAAAGTTAAGGCTCTGTACCTCGAGGGCCCCGAGCCGCCATTTATCAGCGACAGCGGCTGGGACGGACGTCAATCCAAGCCTGCTGAAAGTGAAGGTGCTGGAGAGAGCAGTTCTATCACGCATCAAGAAGAGCCCGAAAAATCCGAACGCAATAAGAAGGGCAAGGGTCGTGGTGGGCGTGGTGGACGTGGTGGACGTGGTGGCAAGGCCGGTAGGGAAGGCGGAAGGAACGGCCGCCCCGCCGAACGCGAAGATCACCGCAAAGTCCTGTCAGATGTCCGTGTCATGTTCATACGCATCGCTACTGAATATATTCTGATTCCGAGTACCCAGCCAATCTCGTCTAAAGAGACACGAACAGGCTTGCACCAAGCTATTCGAACCTTGTTCGGTGGTAAGCTCGAAACTGAGACTGATACCAATGCTCCTGCTACGGACGAAGGCTCAAAAATCATAATCAAGTGGTCGAAAGCAGGGGCCAGAGGCGGACGTGGCGCTGACCGTGGTGGACGCGGTGGCCGTTCAGAACGAGGTAAGCAGTCAGTCTAGTGACCATCTCATTGTCGAGATAGAGTCGAACTTCAGTACAGGGACCAGATCAGACCGTGGCGAACGTGGTTCATACCCTCCATACGTCCACTTTACTCTCCAAAAGACCAACCGGGATACTCAGGATGCACTTGCACACCTATCACGCTCATTACATTGTAGTGTCAAGGACCTTTCGGTCGCGGGTACCAAGGACAAGCGGGGCGTAACTGTCCAACGAGTATCGCTTCGGAGAGGAAACAAAACTGTCGAGGATGTCTGGCGGACCGCAAATGGACTCGGTGGTCGTCGCTCTACGGAAGATGTTCTGACAAGGCGCGGTGAGCGCGGCATCCGTATAGCGGATTTAAACTACAGGCGTGCTAGCCTCGAGCTCGGTATGCTCAAAGGCAACGCGTTCGTCATCACTTTAAGGTACAAATGGCCCAATCCTATCTTCGCTCTTACTGATACATCATAAGAAACGTCCAAGTCGACTCGTTGGACACGCTCGACCGCGCGATGAACACTATCAAGACCAAGGGTTTCATCAATTACTATGGCATGCAGCGCTTTGGCACGGCCGCAATCCCGACTCACTCTATTGGCCTCGCGCTGCTCAAGTCTGAGTGGCACAAGGCCGTCGACCTTATCCTGCGCGTGCGTCCAGGCGAGCACCCCGAGGTAACAGCGGCACGGAACGCGTGGCTCGTCGACGGCGACCTCGACCGCGCGCTCGAGCTCATGCCGCGCCGCGTCGTTGCAGAGCGATGTATCCTCGAGAGCTTCAAGAAGCAGGGTGGCGACACGCGTAACGCGATGGGCGCGCTTTCCACGGTGCGCAATCTCTCTCCGCACCCTTGCCCAGTTCGCGGGTGCAAAGCCAGGACTAACGCACGAATGTCCAGATCCCGCGCAGCCTACGGCTAATGTACGTGCACGCGTATCAGTCATACGTCTGGAACGCCATCGTGAGCGAGCGGATCCGCCTGTATGGCGCAGAGAAGCCCGCCGTGGGTGACCTTGTCTTCGAGACAGACGGCGAGAACGCAGAGGCGACTGCTGCTACGGCTGCAGATGACGGGGACGACGCGGGTGCAGAAACCGTGGCCGAGAGCCCGGAAGACGAACTGCTCATCGAGGAGAAAGCAGAGGAGGTGAGCAAGCCGGGTGGTGCACAGGGGGATGGTGTGTCTTTTTCTCTTGTCTAGTGAGAGTATCTTGCCCCGTTTGCTCACTATTTTGATGCAGAGGACGCGCCCGCGGGCAAGCCTGCGAAGCGGTCCCGCAAGCCCTGGGAACCGCCGCGGGTGAAGGCGCTCACGGAGGCCAACGTCGACAAGCACACGATCTTCGATGTCATCATGCCGCTGCCCGGACGCGATGTATCCTTCCCTGGTGGCGCGCTCGGCGAGCGCTATAAGGACTTCCTCCGCGCCGACGGGCTCGACCCCGAGCATTTCGAGCGCAAGCAAAAGTACGTACTTCCTTTTGATCAGAGATGTGCGTTTGACGGCGACGCGCACAGGGAATACAGCCTCGGCGGGTCGTACCGCAAGATCCTGCACCTCCCAAAGGAGCTCTCGTGGTCCGTGCTGCGGTACACGGACCCGGACGTTGCGCTCGCGCAGGCGGACGAGGACCAGCTGCTCGGTTTCGACGTGCCCGCAGTCGACGCGGACGGCAAGTTCATGGCGCTGCAGGTGCGCCTCCAGCTCGGCACGGCTGCGTACGCCACGATGGCGTTGCGCGAGGTGACCAAGACCGAGACGAGCTCGCACTTCCAGTCCGGCCTCACGCAGGCGAGCGAGGACCAGAAGTACAGGGCTGTGGCCGCGGAGGGCGTTGAGGCCGACGAGAGCTAGGTTGTCGTGTAGCGCAGCACAACAGATGTGTAAGTAGATAACACGATAGAGAATCACAGTGCAATCAGGGTGCGTGGGTGTCAAAATACAATGCGATAATTGGCATCCAAGCCTACATCTAGGTTCAGAAAATAACGTGCTACAATTCTATATTTTGTATTTTCTTATTTTGATTCTTTACCTTTGTGTAAAGAGCACGAGTTGGCGTAAAAGGGCAGAAGGAGCGGGACAAGAACAGAGTCACGAACAGGGATCCACGTTTACATCGTGAAGTTTTCGACGTTGAGCTGCACTGTCGGTGTACCTTTGAGCACGCTCAACGGGGAAGCGAAGCCGTGCGACAGCGTCTTGCGGACGGTCGTGACAAGTGACCGGGGACCGGACACTGGAGGAAGGTATCAACACTAGCGCAGGGAGCTTTGTAGACAGGAACACGCACCATCCACGGACACAGGACCCTCTGAGTCGGTGACGGCGTTGTGGAGGACCGTCTCGATGTCCGGCCGGCCGCCGGCGATCCGGAGGCCACTGATGCGCCATGTGGTGGTGTCGCCCTTTTCATCGTACGCGTCCTTCTCTGGGTCGGACGAAGCCGACGAGCTGTCGTCGAGCGCATGCACCGCGCCGTGGTCAACGCCGCTGTTCGAGGTGATGCAGGCGGTGAGAGAGACTGTGGCCTTGGACGAGATGGTGGACGCGTATTCGATCGCAGCCTTGAGCTCATCACTTGCCCACGTGATGTGTGCTGTTGCGATAGAGTGAGAACGCGAGCTGACGGGAGAAAGTGAAGAACCGCTTACAGGAGTGGCGGACCGCCCAGAGGAAGACGACGCGCCGTGCACATGCCTTCTTGGCTGCGATCTGGCTGCGGAGCGGCATTAGTCAAGTTGAAGGTTCGTATGACAGCGGAGATGAGGACACACAGAAGCAGCTCGCGCAGTCGAGGTAGGGTGTAAGTTATACCAGAGCCGCCTGACAGCGGCCGTCAGTGAACGAAGCCATGCAGCCCGTCAGAAAGAGGGTGCTCACCAGCGATGAAGACGCACGTGCTGAAAGGTGTAATGTCCGGCGGAGCACCGTAAGGGCCGTCCATGAAGAGAGGTGCAGTCGCGCGCCCGCCCATGACGTCCGCATATTCCTTCAACCGCTTTGTGAAGCCGTCACGAGCGCGGATGATCCAGACCATCTTCTTCGACTTCTCATCGCCCTCGGCGATGTTGGCGATAGTAAAGGGGTGGGATTCGATGGGGCCCAAAGTTGGGAAGGCAAGGGACATGTGCTGACCCGCTCTCCATCCGAAGGGGACGTAGCGCTTGACTGAGACGCGGATGGTGTCGTGGTTGAGCAGCTCAATCTCTGCAGGAGACTTACTCGGCGACTTGAAGTTGCTGAGAATGATGTAGCGGAGGTATCTGCATCCTCTATCAAAGCCCCAGATCACGAAGCATGGCCAGACATAATAATCAAAGCTGCGGACAGGAAGTCGATGTCACTCTGTGTTTCTAGCCGATAGAAAAAGACGAATACGCACTTCCCCGCTCCTCGAGTGTGCAGAAAGGCAACGACGATAAGCGTGCTAATGAGATAAGCTCAGATCAGATATCTCACATCAATCTTGAGTTTGAGGAGATGCTCACAAGGCCAGCACAGTGTGGGCAACGAAGAACCACTCATACCACCGTTTCCGAATGGGTGCAATGCTGATCATGACCAAGATGGTATAGATGAAGCCAACGGTGAGGCCTTCCCTTTTCCATTCGATAACGCCAATCGTATGGGCACTGGAGAAATCATTAGGGCCGGGAAGCAAGACTCGAGCACGTGTTCACTGACTTAACCCTGACTCTAGAGAAGCGGCGTTAGCATGCGGCTCTTGACAGCGTATGAGAAAAATATACCGTGACCAGCCATGGATCCATACTTCAATAAGCACGATGCGAGCAACGGCGCGGTGCATGACTTTAAGCTATTTTACTGCGGTCAGCATCATGACAAATATTGAAGCGAACAACAAGATGCCTTTTCGTGGCTGAGACCAGTGAACCCTACAACGGAACCCTTGAGCAACTGAGCCCTGGACGGGATATCGTAACTTACATCCAATGACGTTGTTCCTCATCGACAGCGCAACGATGACAGGTAACTGGGACGCCGCAATATGCCCAGATCGGTCGGCATAATCCCCAACAGTGAGATTCTGCGCTGTACATTGAAGCGTGAGTGAATGCTTGACCTCAAAAACACAGACCGACTTACTGTTGCAGAACGTCCAGAGAAGAAGGGCCAAAAAGTAAAGGGTGCTCAAGAGTATTTCCAACAGGTGCAGATCGATAGCGGGCACCCTCCAACGGAAGGCGAAGATACGAGAAGCCGTAAGGATAGCAGCGGGCAGCCGAACAACTCCACTCCTCGAAGTTGTTTCCCCGTCCTTCGTCAGCTGGTGACGGCGCCAAAAGGCCCACGCGATAGAGTACACGTTGATGACGACCGCGACCGCGACGAAGCTGAATACGTAGTACAGGACGTCCTTTGGGTATTGCTGGGCGTAGTAGACCGTCAATGCCGTCGGCGTGCGGGATGATAGACGGATAAAGCATACCTGCTCGCCTTTGTGCTTGATGGCGTGGGCGATCGCAGCAGCGGAGGCGGAAGGCGAGAGAGGGGATTCGGCAGTGCTGGACATTCCGGGCACAGGAGGAGGGAGGACAGATCCTCGACGTGGCTTGTCGAAAGGATGGCTTCTAGCGGATATTTATACCCGGAGACAACGAACGGTTGAAGAACATTACGTTCGAAACCATTTGTCCCCGCGATGTGGACAGCTTCTCGTAAAGCAGAGAAGCTCCCGTTCAAGAGAGGCTGGATATCGAGAGGAGACATCTTTCGATGCAGGTGACGGTCACCCGCGTTGCCGAGCGCGGATGCCGGCGAGACCGGGACGGTGATTGGAGGAAAGGCTATCCTCGCAATATCCCAGAGGCAATAGCAAGAGTCACAGCCAAGTTTTCATGCACTGGGAACTGTTTTTCTGGGGGCAGATTGCGGAGGAGATGTGAACTTGGTGTCCGTGTGTGGGAGACGCACCACCGATCGGATTAGATAACAAAAGTTCATCTAATCGCCATGCGCCCGTTATCAGATAAGACGGCGGTGGCCAATCAGCGGTCGACTCGAGGCATGCTCGTCGGGCGAGAAGTGGTCCTACGCACTTCTGAACACTTGAGAACATTTACAGACTCTCGACAGAATGTCCTTACGGCCTGCTGACCACAGAAAATGGAGAGCGGTCGGTCCTGGGGACCGTCTTGAGAGCCGGAAGTGCATTTTGTCAGCTTCTTCGTCTTTCGTCCCAGATGCATACACAACATGAGCGCATCCCCTGCCGGCAATCCAGACTGTACCGAGAATCAAGCCAGTTAGCAAGTCTAGTGGAATGATACAGCTGCGGAGGAAGCACGACACACTGACCGATACGCGTAACGATGTGCTCGCCAAGTGCTCGCCAGCGCGCTACGCAGGCGCACGTTTCGTGGCAAGCCTCCACGATTAGCCTGCAATAACTGTTGCAATTAGCTTTTATCGTGCTCCTGAGTGCGCACTGTCGGTCCTCGAGGCCGTTCCCGACAGTCCTCGACGTTCACAATCACATTGGCGTTCAACGTTCCCTCGCGGGGCTTGATATAGACGCCGTAACCGTCATATAATCTTATCTCTTAATTATCTTGATCACAGTTTGCACTCACCTACACACATGCCCTCGTCCTCGTCATTGTCGGAGTCTAGCTCTTCAGAGTCAGAAAGTTCCTCTCGTGCCGTACAGAGTAGCCAGAAGCGCAAGAGGCACGCTCGTGATGATCTTAACGACTCGGACTCGGGCTCGAACAGCACATCAGTCTCCACCAAAAACTCAGATCCTGGGGACAGCGACGCAGAAGATGTGCCACAGGAGGATGACGTCCCAGTTCTCTCGCACGCAGAGCAGCGGCGCCAAAAGAAGAAGCAGTTGAGTGCAGAGAAGAAGGCCCAGGTCGCTGCTGCAACCGCGGATAATGAGGCTCCCAAAACGAAGAAGCAAAAGGTGAAAAACACCGCCGAGCTCGCTCCGTCCAAGGTACCCAAGCGGCAGAACTCTGTCTGGGTGGGTAACCTGTCCTTCAAGACGACACCAGAGTCAGTCCGGAAATTCTTCGACGGCGTGGGCGAAATCACTCGTGTGCACATGCCCATAAAGATGGCGAGTGCCGGTCCTGGAGGCAGGGGCGCCGTTAAGGAAAACCGTGGGTCAGTTTGCTTGTTGTGTTCGCGCTGAGGACTAGACATAATCTTTGCATCTCTAGCTTCGCGTACGTGGACTTTGCGACTCCGGAAGCCAAAACGATAGCCATCACTCTGTCTGAAAACCCACTGGACGGACGGAAACTTCTGATTAAAGACGGTGTGCTCTGTGTGTGTCTCGTCTTACAATGCAAGTCTCACTTCATGCTTCGTGCTCCAGGTGATGACTTCACCGGTCGGCCAGCTGCCACAGCTCAGCTGGAGGCATCGGAAGGGTCTGACGCAAGAACTGCGTTAACCGGCCACTCCAAGACGGCCCAGAAGATTCTCAAGTCCCAAAAACAGCCTCCAGCGTCGACGCTCTTCCTCGGCAACCTCGGCTTCGAGACGACAGAGCAGTCAGTGCGCGACCTCTTCACGCGCAATCGCGTGGCCAAGGTCGACGGCGGGAACGAGGACGCCGACGCGGACAAACCGGAGCCAAAGAAGGACCAGTGGATCCGCAAGGTGCGCATGGGCACGTTCGAGGACAGTGGCAAGTGCAAGGGGTGCGTGTCCGTTTCTCCCATCGAACGAAGTGTGTGTCTGACATGGCTGGTGCAGATGGGCCTTCGTCGACTTATTCACGACCGAACACGCCACCGCCGCGCTCACGAACCCGAAGAACCACTTCCTCGACGGCCGCAAGCTCGTGGTCGAGTACGCCTCGCCCGAGGCCGTGCGCCGCGGCGGCGGTCTCCTGCGCGAGAAGACCAAGGATGTGCCGCACCAACAGCAGGACGAAGCCGCAGGAGGCGGACACGAGCAGAAGCGGCGCGCGGGACGCGTGCGGCCGAAGCGCAAATCCGAAGTAGCGGAGGGTGCGGCGGAGCGGCAGGACGAGCGGCTTGCGAAGCGGCCACGGCTCGAGCGCGAGGAACCACCGCATAAGGCGTGGGAGGGTAGAGAGGGTCGGCAAAAAATACGCGCAAAGCCTGGTGCGGCTCTCGCGAATGCGAAGCGCGAGACGGCTGGGATCGTGCCAAGCCAGGGTAAGAAAATTGTGTTCTAGGTTTTCTACTGCATGTAGAGGAACATAGCGCATTACATCCAGCTGCTGTAATCTCTTTCTCTTGTTCTACACGGGCAATATTGGTTTGCAAAATTTGTGCCAGAATGTGAGCATGATTGCTCATGTGGATGTGTACTAAAAGACCGTGTCACTTCATATCGTAGTGCAATCTGAGCTCTGAGGAGTAGACCGACTGGCATTGTTGTCGCGCCTGGTTTCTCCGTGGAGAGGAGACAGCCTCTTTGATAGCGATATGAGGCGGAAATAGGCCGAATGGATGCATAATATTCACATGCAGGAGTAGCATGTGAGCATGTGAGGATCCGCACTGTTTCGCGGGCGAAACTCTATATGCGTCACGGTGACAGACGGAGACACAGGGCTTTGTACTATAGTGGCATTTGCAACAGCCGATATGCAGAAATCACGCCGCCAATTGCTATAGGCCGCATAGAGATACATGTGTTATTTTGGATGCGCGCGGCTGTTCAATCTTCGCTGGCAGCGGCCTCTGTTGCCTCTAGCTTCTTGCGTTCCTCCTCCTCCTTCGCCTCACGCTCTTCAGCCTCTACGACTTCAACGTCGAGGGGGAATGTAAGGATTGCGGCTATACCGCTCAGTTGATTGAGCTCTGCGCGACATGTGAGTGACGGATCCTTGGCAGGCTATGTCACGGGGCCACGTACGCTGTCCAGACTCGTGCATGCTCGAGAATATGAGGACCTCCGCTCCCTTCTGCTTGACGTCCTCCACGAGCTCGACGTACCTCTTCCGCACCGCGGGATCGCTTGCCCTGGACGTGGGTCTTGTCAGTACATGGAGACAAGGCACGGGGCAGGCGGAAGTAAGCTTGCCTGAAGAGCTCGTCGGAAATAAGAAGCGTGCCAATTGCGCCACGGTCAGCCGCGAGCGCCACATGGTCAGGCCCATACCAAGCCCGCGTTTCGTCCGTGCCGAGCATCTTGAAGAACCTAATAAGATTTGAGCACGCATGATGTGGCGCGACACGGAACCAGTTACTTGTCAAGCATGATGCCTTCTCTTGCAAACTTCGTCTCTTTTAGTTGAGTAGATATCTGTGGGGGTATGTGTACGCAGTTCTCGGCACGGTCAAACAGGCACCCACCTCGGGGCTCTTCAAGACCTCCACAAGGCTGTGCACATGAGGACTTGTTACGTGGACCTTGACGAATTTCTGCCGCACACCCAATAAAGCCTTATTACCGGTCCTGTTCGCTTCTTGCATGATGTGGTCAAGGACCGAATCCCGAACCCATCCTGGAGAAGCGATGACGATGGCCCTGATTGATGGATTCGAGTAGGGTATTAGGCGAAGGAATGACGCGTATAGTTGCGAGTAAAATCGTTCCAAGCCCTATATGACATGTCCAGCCCAGGTACAGCCGAAGAATCCCTGGTTGCTTACCTTCTCATGAACCGAAGAGTTCGCGGCAATCTTTCGCGGGATGGAAACTTCGAGGCGTTGCAAGATCACTGTCATATTCTGCGACAGCAAGCAGAAGACAGCGGTGCCTATGAATACACAGTGAGCCATATGGTACCATAACCGTGGACTCATATAACGGACCTTCTCCGCACACCACCGCAGCAACCTCCGCACCACGTCCAGGCACGCAGCTCTCTTCGACCCTTGCGCGCGCTATGCTGTCCCATCCGCTCTCTTCCTTCACTATTCGCACGTCCCTGTTCGCCTCAATATCCAGTGTGTGAAATGCTCCCATCTTCACATGCGGGTTCTCCACGGCAACTCGTCCAGATATTGACAGACCCGCGGTTGAGGTCTGCTGCGCGTTAGGATTGGCGTTGTCGGTAACTGCTGTTGACTCTCCAGATGCTCGCGCCGGCGCCCACTCCACACGTGTCACCGCCAAGGTTAGATTCAACCGTACACGGTGCGATTCTGTTGAGCCTGTTGCGGAGACGTTTTGTACTCTCCTTATCGCAGGTGCCCTTACGCGGTCTCCCTATTATTCTGCTCATGAGAATAAGACCAGTACATCTCAAGTTCAGGGGAAGTACATACCACTTGAATCAGGTTATACAGATGCCACATATCCTCATCATCTTCAGGGCGGAGATTGACATATCCCTGACATGCTGTCAGAAGAGAACGGACTCAGTACAGCATGGGCCAATTCATACCGCGCCGTTCTTGTCAATATGTTTCCCGTTGAGTTTCATGCCAGAGGGGATGGTGATGGTCGAGCAAATGAGATGCCCCAGCCAAAAAGTGAGTGATGTCGGTTTCTTGGCGTCTATATGAGCGCCTCCCAAATGGGCTGCGACTCGACGCTTCGAAACTGAACCAACATCCTCCCATACCATGCCCGAATATTACCAGAAACGCGATGGCAGCGATGTCGAGGATGGCGACGAGGAGCTTTTTGCAGAGTTAGAGGCGGAGCTTGAGAACGACGAGAGCGCTGCCGTTAGGGAGAAGGGCCTGGAACAGCTCAAGAAACAGTAAGGTGCTTTCATGGTCATCGGTTGATTCGACTCGAAGCCCACTGACCATGACATGGCAGAATGGGGGAGCTGAAAAAGCTGAAAGACAGTGGGCACGGGCAATACAACGACGTTGTAGACGAGAAGCAGATTCTGAATATAACAGTGTGGGTTTACCCCGTCTGAGAGCCTCGTAGCTGCTAATGGTCACTCCAGATCTGAGCATTTATGCGTCGTACACTTCTACCACTCCAACTTTAAACGTTGCAAAATTATGGACAAGCATCTCGCCGTACGTAACGTCCGCCAAGCTCCCAGTTGCACCCTCCGATGCCACTTATAGAGACTGGCACCCAAATACTTCCACACGCGGTTCATACGTGTCTTTGTGGAGAATGCACCCTTCCTGGTAACCAAGCTTGGTATCAAGGTTCTTCCTGCCCTATGGATCTTCGTAGACGGCATCTCGAAGGATAGGTATGGCTGCCGCCTTTCACACATGTTATATGCTGACTGTTGTAAGAATCGTTGGCTTCGAGGAACTCGGCAATGAAGACGACTTCCAGACGTCTGTGTTAGAGTCAAGGCTACTTCGTTCTGGTGCGTAACACTCGGCACATGACTCCAGAATCACTCAGACTTTATTTCTGCAGCGGTCATTCGAAAGGAGCTCGAAGAAGATTCGTCCTCTGTAACGTACGGAACATCGTCGACATCCGTCAAGAAGCACATCCGCGGCAGTTACGCAAATCCGAATGCTGATGATGACTTTGAATTTGATCTGTAGCAATTCGGTGTTCTCGGTCGACCTCTGATATTCCCCTTGTCGTGCTCTCGTGTTCCCCACGCATCGCTAGGTCAATGCACTGCTATCGTCTCTCCAGATACCCCCTGTAACGTTAAGCCAGCTAATACAGGTCGTTGCAAAATATTGCACAGAGCTCCAACCGGTTTAAAAATGATGCTTGGGGTATGTTTCTAGTATCCAATATGAATGAACCGAGTCCATTCTCCGAAGGGCGCACCGCTCCTGCGCAATCGCTGGACGACTGCATCTAGAGTGTACGGGACGCGAGCAAAGCTTAAGGGTCCATTTTGGAAAAGTCCTTGCTGTAGCGTCTCCGCTATATCGATTCTGCAACTGGGCGACGGACGCCTGTGGACCTGCGTAAGCTGACCGTCACAAGGAAAATACAGAAGTCGACGCTACCACATCGTACTGACGGCAGATCGATAACCTGCCGCCAGTAGCACCGCAATCAGATTCCGGAATTCTTGAGCTTGGCCTTGCTCGCTTGGGGCCGCATCTACAACGGTGCAGGGCACCGTGATCAATGGTTCTGCCTGTGTCTCGTCGACGGGTGCGTCCGACCGCTTGCTGGCCTGCGGACTTCCCGGACGATCGGCAAGACGCAAGAACGATGCGTGGGAACTCGCGTGCTCGAAGAGCAATGCACCGTCGGACGTCCGGTCGTCCCCCAGAGAGTACAGGCTGCCGAAGTATAGCAGAGCTCCGAGCGGGACGGTCTTGCGCATCTGTTCGACAGACACGGACACCGTCCCAGAGAGCCTTGCTATCTCGGGCAGCACGAGCTGCACAATCTGAAGTACCTTACCGTTGTCGCGCTCAACGTCCGGCATCCCCGCAAGGTGGGCGGTCAGCGCGCTGATCGTCGGGATGTAAGAAGAGACGAGAAAGTCCGCCGTGCAGGTCACGGGGGCGTCGGGGGCGTATCGCCCGGCCGCGTGTAGGGGCAGCGGTGGGAACGGGCCCACTGGGCACCACCAGATGCGGGGGCGCGCAAGGCCAGAAGAAGGCTGCGGAGAAAGAGCCGACATCAGCATACATGAATCTCAGCTTGAAAGTGAGAACGGCCGACGAACCTGCAGCATCAATCTCTGGATGATGGGGCTAACCACGCCTTTCCAGATCTCCTCCAAGATGGGCTTGAAGAGCCTGTCGTCATCGCCATGCGCCGCGGCCACAAAGCCTTCTGCGAGTTCCTTCAGACGGGCGGACGAGAGCGATAGCGGGATATGGAGCGGCTTGATGGACGTCGGAAAGACGACGAAAGCATGGCACTTCCTTCCCGCCAACATCAACACTGCGATGAAGCCATCGCCCCAGCCGTTGGAGAGGGCAGTGTATGCAGGTGGCCGAAGGAAGCCAGTGTAGCCGCGCAGGGAACGGACTTGCTCTGCCAGTACGTCGAATTCCGCTGCCAGACGCTGTCTGTATGCTGCGAACGTCTCAAGGTTGTCGTGCACAGGCGATGAGTAGGCACGGCCCGCAGCGAAGGGCACAAATGAGGGGCTGTGCTCCAATTGCCAAGAGATTTGACGCAGCCTCTGTAACGGTTCGGGTGGAGCGGCATGTTCGCAAGGCGGGTGCTGGAGATTCAAGGTCAGTGCCCATGCCAAGGACTGCGCATAATCGAGCAGCTCGACGGCGCGGGCAGGCACCGACGGGACGAGCAGAGCCACAGCCTCCAGTATCTTTGGGACTCGCGCCAGGGCGCTAATTCTGATTTCTCGATGCTCGTCGAAGTGTACGATGAGGCCGAGGAGGTAGACCGCAGCACCGCACGCCTCGGATAGCGACTGTACTCGGTGCGCCTTCGTTGCGAGGTCTATCCAATCTTGGACATACTGGGAGCGGTCTCGCACGGAACAGCAAGCATCTTGAACTGCTGCGGCATAAGCCTCTAATGCGCCGTTCAGATCGCTGTCTTGTTGGTGAGCGTCGAAGCTACTCTGCAAAGCTTGAGCTAGCATATGTAGAGAAGTGGCACGATGAGGATGGCCGGGTGCACAGATCTTTGCTGCCTCTTGTGATATGCGTACGGCGCTGAGGAGGTCCGAGGGATCATGGTGACTGTGGTAGGTTGAAAGGCAGGCACGGGCGACACTAAAACAGGCGTACTCAGGATGGCGAAGGTCAAGACACTGGTGGCAGATGTCGACGGCATCCATGAGATATTCGCGGCTATCGGAAGCATGGAAACGGGCGACATAGAGTTCCGCCAATGTCGCGCGCATCGCACCTATGAACTCCGCATTGTTTCCTTGCGAATATTGCCGGGCCTCCTCTGATGATGATCGCGTAGCACAAATGGCGGTGACAGCGTCGAAGTCCGCCACGGCGTGGTTCGCCTGATACCGCGACGCTAGAAGCGCGGCGAGCCCTTGTGCAATATGGCCGTCCGTGGGATTCACATGCCAGGCCTCCCGCTCTAATTCAATAGCGCGATCGAGGTCCTCGAGCGCGTTTCCTTTGAGATACCGGCTGTTCAAGTCTGTCGCAAGACCCATCAGGGCGGCCGTCCTATTCGGGTGCCCAGGCTGCCGAAGTCGTAAGGCCTCCTCATCGAGGTCTACAGCGTGCTCAAGGTCACCTAGCGCCCCCGAAAATTCGAAGCGCGTCCAGTATGCGTTTGCCAAATTTAGGAGTGACTGCGACCGGTCGGGGTGCCCGGGAGGGCGAAAGGAGAGCGCTCGGCGATGGAGATCAATGCATTCCTGCAGGTCCTCCCTCCGCGCGGATTCGGTGAACCGTGCGCGGAGGGCGATAGCAAGGCGCGTTACGTACAGAGGCCGCGCCCTGTGGCTTGCAGGTAGCAGCCTGAGGGCTTGGCGGTGCAAGTCGACCGACTCGCTGAGATGATCCTCGGATTGTGGGGTCTCCGGGGCGCCACCGTCGAGCGCAAGGACGTACAAGTCGTAGGCGAGCGTGTGCAGCACTTCCGCGTGTGTGATGTTGTCTCTGGGTCCGACAGTGAGGGCGTCGCGCAGATATGCAATGCAGTCCTCGAGGTCCGTGAGCTGAGCTGACATCTCGTACAGCTCTCTTGCTTGCTGAGCGAGCGCCAGGATACCCATGAACTCCGCTTCGTTGTATTCATGTTCTTCCTGCTCATCTAGAATATTTAGTGTCGCTGTGTCAATACTATAAGGTGATGTAGGTAAGATGTGAAACACACCATCACTTGAATCGCGATCGGGCGAGACCAATTCGCTCGAGCTCGTAGTCGACGAATCATCGAGGTCGCTATCTTCGCCAGCGGACTCTCGCGCGGCGCACGACCGCTGAGAGCCTGGGATCAACGGTGGTGTGTCCATGGCAATTCAGCACGTGCTGGGGCAAACACGCAAGAGCTCGTAGCGGAGGGGAGATGTCAACGAAGGAGCTCACCCGTCGGGGCTGGAGCAACGTGCCTGCTCTATTTGAGCAGCGTTGAGAAGGATCTTGAAAACTTTGACTCCGACTCTTCTGACCTCTGCGTGTGCAACGCCGAGCGTCAGTGTTCAGTATCACACTGCGGCCTCACTGCTTTTGCTAACATACACCTTCGGCACTACCAAGACCGGTGCAAGTGAGCTCGTCTGTTATGCGTAAGAGAGATAATGTGAAAAATTGGGCGTCACGGTGACATGACAGGCGCTGCGCAGGTGTCGGCCTGTCACTGCCCTATGCCGACGACTGGGCCACCGCCTCAGAATGCAGTCCAGGACTACCGTCATGTCAATCAAGTATACTCGCTGTGCGGGACATTAAACAAGGTTTTTCCCAGAAGTAAATGTCATGCTATACAGGCAGAACCAAAACAGGGCGTACGCAGTCGGCTCATCACAGGCTCAAACATCTCCCGGATTTTTATATCGCTTAATCGCCCGCTGACGTGCCTCATCATGTTTTACTAACGGCGTCGGATATCCTAGCTTCTCCGCACACCTCGGAGGCGGGTTGTGTATCTCTGTGAGCCATCAAAATCATAGTTGTCAGCGCGTACTTATATTTAATAGCTCAGAGGCCCAGCTCCGCGTGCACGTACCATCTCCAAAAACCTTGGCTAGCTCAGGCACGAAGTAGCGGATATAATCGCCGCTCGGATCAGCCTGGGCATATGTGCACACAGGATGCGTCAGTGTTGGCAGCTGCGAACAGTAGGCGTGCTGCTCACCTTCTTGCTCTGGAGGTACGGGTTGAATATCCGGAAGTAGGGCACTGGATCGACACCTGTGCTTGCACTCCACTGCCATCCTCCATTGTTGGACGCGAGGTCACCATCGATCAGCGTTTCCATGAAGTACTGCCTCCGCCATCAGACTACCTCTTTCAAGCATAGTTAGTCGATACGAGGGGCGTACCTTCTCACCCAACCTCCAATCGATCATCAAGTCTTTGACAAGATACATTGCTGTGACCATGCGCAAGCGATTGTGCATCCAACCCATCTTGTTCATCTGGCGCATGCCCGCGTCCACTATTGGAACGCCTGTGCGGCCATCTTTCCACGCTTGTAGGTGGGACTCGTTTGTCTCCCAGGAGACGTTCGCAAACTTCTCCTGAAAAGGTCTCCCCATCGACACGCGCGGAAACAGTGCGAGTACGTGTGTGTAGAAATCGCGCCAGGCTGTGCACAGAGCAATCACTATCATAACAGGGGTACACAAGGCAACGAGTTCGCAAGGACACACCTAGCTCTTGGACCCAGCGTCCAACACCAGTGTCCCTGCTCACGTCCACCTTCGAATGCTTGCCCTCTGACAGCGCCCGCGTAGCGCGGACGCATTCACGGGCGGAAATCACCCCTGCCGCGAGATATGGGCTGATATGCCGAGTAAGTACGTAGTAACCGAAGATTTCATGCCAACGCACCTCAAGCGGCTTGTCGTGTCTGCGTCAACCCGATCCCTCGCATCCCCGTATTTGCCGAGCCTACTATCTTTCGGCCCAGACTTGGGCTCGGACGCGCCAGGCGATAAGGGATCAGCGGCACCAAACTGAGCAGGGCGTGCTTTGGTATGCAAGAATCGCAACAGAATCTCTTGTGCGGCAGCTTCGCCTGCGGGCCAACAGACACACATGATCTCTGCGTCTTCCTTTGACAGCTCGTAACCTTCCATATATTCGGGGATAGCGGAATTGAAAAGCTGTCCGAAGATGGGATGCTGTCGTACTGTTGCATCGTTAGACTCTACGTCTGGTGCACATGCCAAAGGGTCCGGAGTGTCTGTAAGGTGCGGGATCCAACTACGCAGGAAAGGTGAGTAAACCTAAGTCATTGCTATCGGGTCAGTCGGATAAAAGAACGCGCATGCTGGCTATGCGTACGGTGTACCCGCGGCCGTCCTTCGTCAAAACAGTACCAGGCGGAAGGATACATTTACCATTGACGAATGTGCATTCGGCTTTGCCGGTACGTTGAGCGAGTTCGTATACTCGAAGATCACGGCGCAGCTCATCTACCTCGTGTTCAACGTTCGCGAAGAGCCGACTGGCGTTCCAGTCCGAAAGAGTTGTCGTGACACGCTCAGGAAGAGTTTTGCGCGGGCTGTGAGTAATGACATGCAGCGGGATGTCGAGCTTGGCGAGAGAATTCTACGCGGGTAAATTCGAAGTCAGTGCCCAACAGGCTTAATTAGTGGCACTGTGCCACCTACTTTGATTTGCATCAAATTTCGCAGGGTAAAATCAATTCTACGGGCACTGCGGTCGTGCGCAATATAATCCTGTGGACTTAGGATGAAGAGAACAATCAGAGAAAGACTATGAAGCCGGGCATATTCAGACGCTTGGCTGAGTGCTCTGTTGTCATGAACTGCCGCATCAATTAGGGTCAACTACAGGCCGGCTAGATTTCAAAAAAACGGTACATACTTCGCATATCCTGCATCCTCATCCAATATACGACAGCGTCGCCTTTGCCAACCTTGACCTTGACCTTGCTGGCCATGGCCGCCTGAAGCTGCGCAAAGGGCGTATCCCTATCTGCTGCTGCAGCATTTCCCGCGGTCGCAATCTTGTGCGGCACAAACGGAACATCCTTGTGCATCTTCTTCGCAGGGTGCGCGCTGATGGTCATAGGCTCAGCGGCGCTCGAGATGGAGGCGGCGAGCTTGCCAACGGCGGGCGGTGTAAGGCTACGGGGGCGCTTGCTCATGGCGGCCAACAGTCTGAGCATGCAGGGAGAGAGAAAGCTTGGTGGGGATGCATGCTGGGCCCGTCGACGGTTTTAAGGCCGTCGACGATGTGGCGGACAACATTGACGTCGATCCCGCAAGCTCGCTGACCTGCAGATCGGCGCATCACCTGATCGCCGTGCCCGCGACTGGGGTTAGGGTTGGAACAGCTCAATTATCACATGCCTCCGAAAGAATTTAACAAATCTACATTAAAATTAAGACGCAAAGTCTGTGTGCCATATTCTAGATATTTCGATAGTCAGGCATCCAATGCTAGCGTCCACATCCAAATAATACGATGTTCTCTAGCACATAACTCTGTTCTACACCCTGTACGGCCTGATAATAAGCGGCAGCGATCCCTTGGTCTTGCCGTCGGGGCCGGTGATGACGGGGCGCGTGACGATGATGCTCCGCTTCTTGACGACCTCAGCCGGGACCCCAAGCTCAAACTCGAACGCCCGCACAAGCGCGAACAGAAGCGCCTTCATCCTAGCGGGCGGGAGTATAAGCGATTAATAGGGCAAGGGGGAACGGAGAAAGAGACGCACTCGACGAGGGAAAAGCGGTAGCCGATGCATGCGCGCGGCCCACCCAGGAACGTAAGGAGGTGGCCCCATATCCCCGGCATGCTCGCTGCCGCCTCAGGTGTGTGCTCCCAGCGCTCAGGCCTACCTAGTGGTTAGCACGTAGCTCAGAAGTATATCAGGAGAGGGAGCTCACTTGAATTCATGTGCGTCGTCGCCCCATATCTCCTTGCGCCGGTTGAGGGCCAAGATAGGCAGATACACGCTATCACCCTTCTTGATCTCGATGTGCTCGCGCACCCTGCCATGCTTGTCCGTGTACGGTGTCCCTACGGGAATCACATCGTCTTGCACGGCCTGGCGCATGACGTCCGGCACAGGCGAATGGTGCCGCAGCGTCTCACGCACGACCGCGTCCAGGTACGGCAGCGCATTCAGCTCGTCCATGCTTGGACTGTCCGTGGACACGTCCAGCAGCTCCTCGCGCAGCTTGCTCTGGACATCGGGCCGTTGGGAAAGAGAGAACAGCGCCCATGTCGTCGCCGTGCTCGTCGTCTCGTGTCCGGCAACAATGAACGTCGGGACCTCTGTAGGAAACGCAGCTGAAGTTAGTGTCCTGAACGGCACGCGAGGTACGAGTGTCACACATACGTGCAAGGACCTCGTCGTCAGTCAGTCTTTGGTCTTCAGGAATGTCTGTCGCCATATTCGCGCGGATGAGAAGGGTGAGCAGGTCGCGCTCTGTCATATCCTTGCGCTCGATTCCGCGGCCCTTCTCGGAAGTCTCTGCCATGATCGCGGCCTTCTTCTCCGCGATGAGTTTCATGCCCATGCGGCGCATGACCGCCTGGGCCCGCTCACTGATGCGATTGTTCTCCGTTTTCTACGGCACAGCCCTTGTCAGCACACATTTTCCAGGTCGGCAATGGGAGGATAAACGCACGATGAGCCGCAGCAGAGGGATGCTCGCCTGCAATCCCGCGAAGAACAGTCGATCTGCCTTGGGCTCAGCGAACAGCGTCGTAAACGCCTCGTTCAGCTCGTTGGTCTTCTCCCCCGGGTTCAGTGCCTCAAAGTCGTACCCGAAGCCCGCACGACCGATGATGTCGAGCGTCGTGCGACTGAGCCACGACAGCGCGTCGACCCGTGCGGACACACCGCCGCTCTTGGAGATCTCTTCGAGCCAGCAGTCCCGCATCTGGTTCGACTTGTCCGTGAAGATCTCTGTCAGCTCGCGGATTTGTGCGGGGCCGAATGCGGGGTTCATCACGCGGCGCTGTGCGGCGGTCAGCTGGAGAGGCCCGAGGCTCTAAGGTGGTACAACATACCTGGTGTTTGTGCTGTTCATCTGTAGAAAAGTCCAATGAGAACAAGAGGGGAACAGTGTGAGGGGAAGCACGCACCTTCGGTTACGAGAACGCCGGGGCCGACAACGCGGGAGAGTTGATACCTGGACGGCGGCGCACGCTGGTAGATGGAAGAGTGCGTCATGATATGATTCAGCGCGCGGGTATCCATTGTCCATAGTTTGCACACCTAGTGGGGAGCTGTCAGCACACGCCAAACGGACTCGGATATAAACACATACGCCAAAGGCACTCCTGTAAGCGATAGTATGCCCGTACTGCTGAACCCATCGGTCCTGAGGCACCGAGTGCCCCTCTCGCTCTGTAGTTTTCGCGTTTCCCCAGACGAAGCTTTCGTTTGGCGGGCCAGGGAGGTGTTGGAGGGGGGACGTGCTTATTCTCCATACGAGCAGAACGAGGTTGCAGAGAGCGAGCGCGGCGAGGGTGCCTGTGGCGCCGATGGCGTACACGATCAGCGAGCTGCTCATGATAGTTGCTGAATATTGAAGAGATTAGGTGGAAGAAGGACGTGGGGTTTGAGGATTCATACGGGGAGGTGGTGCAGTACTTGTAGTATACCCAGCCGCAGCCTATCGCAGCCCGGGGCCCGTAAACTGATACCGCTTTCGCGTCTGCAGCGACATTGAGTCTCCGTCTCCGGGTGGCTGAAACTGAGGCCATCTAGCAAAGTTCACTACGACTGTGCCGTCGGCCCTTTGCGAGATGGTGGACGTGGCGTGAGTAAGCTCCCCGAGTCCGCTGATCTTGAAACTTGGCCGATCTTTACCTTCTCAGGGATACATCCCATGCGCCAGCCTTTTATGCAAAGCGGAGCTGGGGCAGCCCAGATCGACGGTCCTAGGCTGGATAATTTCGAGCTTGCTTATTGTCGGAGAGTTCGAGCTCTCCACGGCACCAAACAGGGTTTGCATCGCCACGCAATGTAAATTCGCCCATGCGCCCTAAGAAGCAGGGTAAATCCTGAGGCACAAGAATTGCTACTACCGGTTGGATTGCTCGGAAAAGCTTGTGCTTAACGGTCCGGAAGTTGGGCTCGCTTATTCCGAAATGGCGTCCACAGGACCTCGCGCTGGGCTGCGCAAGCGAGCTTGTACCTTTTCTCTTATTTATTTTCGATTTGTTTGCTTTTCTCTCGTTTGTTGGGTGAGGCTGGCGCTCGTGTGACGTGTTTATCGCCGCCCCCTGGCGGTCCATTGTAAGCGGCGGCGGTCCTCGAGAGACTGATGCTGTGCTGGTGCCGTGGTCGGAGGACCGGCAGAGATCGGTATGGGGGCCAGGCCCTCGGTGCTCGGCGGCCGCACTGGGCGGTGGTGGAACACATGCGGCTTTTTCCCTTGCAAGATCAGCCAAAAGCCGGTTGAATACCAAGGACCGGTCGGAGACGAAACTCTCCACTTTGTCCCAATTTATCTTATCTCAGTCGAGAAAAAATTGGTCCTTATTTAGCTAGTTTTGATCAGGTCTTCTCAAGAAAACCATCGGTCACCACCCTGTGCCGGATTGTTACTTACGTTAGGATATCTCGTCGTACGACCGACTCCTCGAGACTCTTCGCCAATAATCATGTCGCTTCGGTTGCTCGGTGCCCTTCTTGAATGGTTTTATGCCTCAACTGCGATACCGCGAGAGCTGCATCACTTCGCCATCATGCTAATTAGCCCGTATTACAGGCGATGGTCATGTACACGGCCACTAGTGAAACAATCATGCCTCACTCAGAATGTTTCTATGTGGCCATCAGGAAAAAAACACTAAGGTCCCGAGCGTACTGGGAGTGCCGCACCAGGGTCCCCCCACCCCAAGTGGTCTGGACCACTAGCTGTTGGTCCTGGAGCAGCTCGGACTACTCCGCAGAGTGGTCAAATAGATTTGGACCACCATGTAGGTAGCAATGCAATCCACTTGATTCTTCTATATTCCATATGCATAGCAGTTAAATAGACAGTAAGAGATATTATATTATATGTCAACTATCAAACATGTACATGTACACAAAACCTCATAAAATTGAGCACTGTGCAGGCCGTACGTGACACGGACGCAGCACGGAATCCGGAGTGACAGCGTGCACTCGGAGCCGGCAAGCTCAGGCTAATGACACCGCCGGCAGGGACAGTAAAATCACGTCCCATGCATTCTAGCTCGACACTGAACATTTGACAGCAACTAAAGAAACGATAGACCACTTCTGCATGAATTTCTCATTTTGGAGTTTAGGCTTCAGTGCTAGTGATGTGCGGACACGGCTTGGGCTCAAAGCCCGGCTTAAGCCCGGGCTTGCCGAGCATAGGACAAGTTAAAGCATACTACAAAAAGTGAGTATATTTGCATGTGATAGGTTACTACTGCACTCACTCACCGAAGTGCAGCCTCTGGAGGGTATGCGGCGGTGCTACAAGCCAGGCGGCGACGCACAGTTGTGCCTGGCAGAGACCGCCCCGTCTGGAAAGTCAATATCTTGTCTTGTATGTGCACATCAAGCTGTTCTTACCATGCTTTAAACCCAGGGAACAGCCGCACAGTTGGTGCATCCAAGCCTGGGCTTCCGGGCCGGGCTCAGGCTTGGCTTCGCCTTGAGCCCGGCCTTGAGCCCGCTGCCAGGCCCGACTCGGGTCAGGCTTTTTGGGCCGGGCTTTTGGGGCTTGCAGGCTTTGGGCCTGAGCCCGCACATCACTAGGCCGCCGCTTCACCGACCCCGCTCAGGGCATGGGCATCGCAACGCACCCGCTTCATTGCACACCCCGCCATCTGACCATCTCTTGCCTTTCTCACCTATGGACCTCTGCCTCTCATTGACATATGTCTTAAAAGCTAAAATGGGACTAATAAGGCCGAGATATGTTGCCAGCTGCCCGGATAGCATGCTGGATGACTCGGGTGGTATCTGAAACGCCGGACCTCCGAAATCTATGCCAATTGTGGCGGCGGAGCAAGTGGAGGCTCCAAGTGTGAATTCCAAAAGAGAAATTCGTGCAGAAGCGGTCTATCATTTCTTTGCTAGTTGCTGGAACATTATACGCGTTTTTCACATAATCAGAGCATAACCTGGAGTATTATCAATTATTCACATGAATTTCAAGCTCACTGTGCAACTCCAGCGACGGTCTCAGCATTGCTCAAACCGGCGCGCTCGACAAGTTTCGAGACCTATGACACAATCACTGGAGGACTTTGATTTTTATGTAATAGCACATAGGTGTAGATGTATTATATACAGGAAACCGGTAGCAATGGACCCGACAGGACGTGCGAGGGCAGGAAGTGGCGAACTTAAGGAGTGGTGTTGTCCCAAGGAATGGTGCTGTGTGCACTAGCGCTTACCCATTATTATGTCATCATGGTTTAGGGCAAGCCGCGGGCATCTTGTGCCCTGGGACCTCCAAGAGTAAGTGCCTTCGTTCGCACCCTTAAGCGTTTCCTGATGTGTTAACGAGCAAGGCGGCAGCCGCATCCAAATATTCAGTCTTCCAAACACAGCACTATGTGCTCTAGGCCCTGTACGGCCTGATAATAAGCGGCAGTGACCCCTTGGTCTTGCCGTCGGGGCCGGTGATGACAGGGCGCGTGACGATGATGCTCCGCTTCTTGACGACCTCAACTGGGACCCCAAGCTCGAACTCGAACGCCCGCACAAGTGCAAACAGAAGCACCTTCATCCTAGCGGGTGAGGGTATAAGCCATTGGCAGAGTATGGAGACATGGAGAAAGAGACGCACTCGACGAGGGAAAAGCGGTAGCCGATGCATGCACGCGGCCCACCCAGGAACGTAAGGAGGTGGCCCCATACCCCGGGGATGCTCGCTGCCGCCTCAGGCGTGTGCTCCCAGCGCTCAGGCCTATCTAGTGGTTAGTACGCAGCTCAGAGGTAAATTAGCAGAGGCAGCTCACTTGAATTCATGTGCGTCGTCGCCCCATATCTCTTTGCGCCTATTGAGGGCCAAGATAGGCAAGAACACAATGTCACCCTTCTTGATCTCGATGTGCTCGCGCACCCTGCCGTGCTTGTCCGTGTACGGTGTCCCTACGGGAATCACATCGTCTTGCACGGCCTGACGCGTGGCGTTTGGCACAGGAGAGTGGTGCCGCAGCGTCTCGCGTACGACTGCGTCCAGGTACGGTAGCGCGTTCAGTTCGTCCATGCTCGGACTGTCCGTGGACACGTCCAGCAGCTCCTCGCGCAGCTTGCTCTGGACATCGGGCCGTTGGGAAAGAGAGAACAGCGCCCATGTCGTCGCCGTGCTCGTCGTCTCGTGTCCGGCAACAATGAACGTCGGGACCTCTGTGGGAAGTGCAGGTTAGTCTTCTGAACGGTACGCGAGGCACGAGTGTCGGACGTACGTGCAAGGACCTCGTCGTCAGTCAGTCTCTGGTCTTCAGGGATGTCTGTCGCCATATTCGCGCGGATGAGAAGGGTGAGCAAGTCGCGCTCTGTCATATCCTTGCGCTCGATTCCGCGGCCGTTCTCGGAAGTCTCTGCCATGATCGCGGCCTTCTTCTCCGCGATGAGTTTCATGCCCATGCGGCGCATGACCGCCTGGGCCCGCTCATTCCTGCGGTTGTTCTCCGTTTTCTACGACACCATGATCCCTGTTCAGCACACGATTTTCGGATCAGCAATAAGGGGACAGACGCACGATGAGCCGCAGCAGAGGGATGCTCGCTTGTAAGCCCGCAAAGAACCGCCTGTCTGCGTTGGGCGCGGCGAACAGCGTCGCGAACGCCTCGTTCAGCTCGTTGGTCTTCTCCCCCGGGTTCAGTGCCTCAAAGTCGTACCCGAAGCCCGCACGACCGATGATGTCGAGCGTCGTGCGGCCGAGCCACGACGGCGCATCGACCCGCGCGGACACGCCGCCGCTCTTGGATATTTCTTCGAGCCAGCAGTCTCGCAGCTGATTCGACTTGTCCGTGAAGATCTCTGTCAGCTCGCGGATTTGTGCGGGGCCGAATGCGGGGTTCATCACGCGGCGCTGTGCGGCGGTCAGCTGGAGAGGCCCGAGGCTCTAAGGCGGTACAACATACCTGGTGTTTGTGCTGTTCATCTGGTGAAAATTCCGATGAGGCTAAAATTAAACAGTACGAGGAGAAGTACGCACCTTCGGCGACGAGAACGCCGGGGCCGACAACATGGGAGAGTAAATACCTAGCCGGTGGCGGACGCTGGTAGATGGTAGAGTGCGTCATGATATGATTCAGCGCGCGGGTATCTACTGTCCATAGATTGCACACCTAGTGCGGAGCTGTCAGCACACGCCGAATGGACTCGGATATAAACACATACGCCAAAGGCACTCTTGTAAGCGATGGTATGCCCGTACTGCTGAACCCATCGTTCCTGAGGCACCGAATTCTCTTCGCTCTGTATGGCTTTCGTGTTTCCCCAGAGCAAGCTTTCGCTCGGTGGGCCAGGGAGGTGTTGGAGGGGGGACGTGCTTATTCTCCATACGTGTAGTACGAGGTTGAAGAGAGCGAGCGCGACGAGGGTGCCTGTGGCGCCGATGGCGTACACAATTAGCGAGCTGCTCATAATAATTGCTAGATGATGAGGGAGCTAGGTGGATGAAGGACTTGAGAATTGACTTGGAACTCGAAGCTTAAGAATTTATACGGCGGGGAGGTGGTGCAGTAGTGTACCCAGCCGCAGCCTACCGCAGCCCGGGGCCCGTGAACTGATCCCGCTTTCGCTTCTGCAGCGACATTGATTCTCCGTCTCCAGGCGACTGGGACTGAAGTCATCTAACAATGCTTACTACTACTGTACCGTCGGTCCGAGGACAGACACAGCCTCCTGATTTTGCGAGACGGTGGACGTCACGGTGGCGTGAGTGAGCTCCCCGAGTCTTGCACTTGGCTGATCTTTACCTTCTCAGAGGGACAGCCCGTGAGCCAACGTTTTACGCAAAACAGAGCCAAGGCAGCGGCCCAGGCTGACGATCCTGGACTGGATCATTTCGAGCCTGCTTGCTACCGGAGAGCTCGAGTACTTCACAGGGCCAAACGAACACGTCTGATTGCCAGGATTTACATCACCACGCAATACAGCGCTTGTAAATTGCGGGATAAATCCCGAGGCACAAAAACCGCTACTACCGGTGTATAGCACCGGATTGCTAGTGTTCAGTGAAAAAGACCTGTGCCTAACGGTCCAGACTTAACTTGAGCTCGCTGATTCCGACGAATCCACGCGCAAAGGACTTTGCACTAGGGCTGCAAGCAAGCCTGTGCCTTTCTCTCATCTGTTTTCGGCTTCTTTGCCATTCTCTCGTTTGTTGGGTGGTTCTCCGTCGGGTCGACGAGGTTCGTGCTCGTGTAACGTGTTTATCGTACTTCGACCCCTGACGGTCTGTGACCGTCGGACCGATAGAGATTGTATCGACGCCAGGCGTTCGGTGCTCGGCGGCCGGATCGCCGGGAGCGGTTGTTTTCCTTGCAAAACCAGTTAAAGGCTTGTACAGTCGAACAAGAGCCTACGTATCTCCGGTTTTTTACTTGAGAAAATCTAGAGACAGACCTCCACTTTTCTCTGGTCTTACTACGTTTTGACCTATTTTGGTCGATTTTGCACCGGTTTTTACCTCGTGGGGAAAATTTGGTCCTTGTTTGCCTAATTTTAGCCCATTTTTCTCGAGAAAAAACTGCGCTTATCGCGCCCACTCGAGACTCTCCACGTCGCTTTGGTTGCTCGTGCCTCGGCTGAGATGGTGCGAGAGCTGCATCGCTTCGCCACTAAGCTGATTAACTCGTATTATGGGCGATGGTCATGCACACGGCCACCTGAAGCTTAAAGGCTCCTCGTTCTAAATGGTTTTTATTTATTAACGAGCAAGGTGTCGAATACTGGCGGCCGTATTTAAACAGCCAGCCCTCTCCCTGTACTCTACGCCCTGTACGGCCTGATGATAAGCGGCAGCGACGCCTTGGCCCTGCCGTCGGGGCCTGTGACGACGGGGCGCGTGACGATGCGGCTCTGCTTCTTGACATCCTCGGCCGGCACCGCGAGCTCGAACTCGAACGCGCGCACAAGCGCGAAGAGGAGTGCCTTCGTCCTGCCAAGAAGCTCTGAGCATACCTGGCGCGGCAAGGAGAGGAATACAGCAGCAGGGACGCACTCGACAACAGAGAAGCGGTACCCGATGCACGCGCGCGGCCCACCAAGGAACGTGAGGAGGTTGCCCCACACGCCGGGGACGCTCGCCGCCGCCTCAGGTACGTCTTCCCAGCGCTCAGGCCTAACCCGGCGGTGTCAGCAGCACGCACGCACCCTCAGACCGCCACCGGCGGCAGCAGCAGCAGCAAGAATAAAAACGCACCTGAACTCGTGCGCGTCGTCGCCCCATATGTCGCAGCGCCTGTTGAGGGCCAAGATCGGCAGGCACACGAGGTCGCCCCTGCGGACCTCGACCGTCTCGCGCACCCTGCCGTGCTTGTCCGTGTACGGCGTCCCCACGGGGATCACGTCGTCCTGCACGGCCTCGCGCAGCGACATCGGCACCGGCGCGTGGTGCCGGAACGTCTCGCGCACGACCGCGTCCAGGTACGGCAGCGCGTTCAGCGCGTCCATCGTCGGGCCGTCCGTCGGCACGCCGAGGAGCTCCGCGCGCAGCTTGCGCTGGACGTGAGGCCGCTGCGCAAGCGCGAACAGCGCCCAAGTCGTCGCCGTGCTCGTCGTCTCGTGCCCCGCGACGATGAACGTCGGGACCTCTGCGGCGAGGGACTCGGGTCAGTTTCCTTTTGGGCACACACACACGCGGAACGTGAGACGAGACACGCACGCGCGAGGACCTCGTCGTCCGTCAGTCGCTGGCTCTCGGGGATGTCCGTCGCCATGTTCGCGCGGATGAGGAGCGTGAGCAGGTCGCGCTCCGTGATGTCCTTGCGCTCGACGCCGCGGCCCTTCTCGGTGGCGGCGGTCTCCGCGACGATCGCAGCCTTCTTCTCTGCGATGAGCCGCAGGCCGATGCGGCGCATGACCTCCTGCGCCCGCTTCGCCCTGTGGTTGCCCTTCGTTTTCTGCGGCAACCCCCACGGCCCGCGTCAGCACACGCGTTCCCGGACAAGACGCGTGGAAACAAACACACAATGAGCCGCAGCGGCGGGACGAGGGCCTGCAGGAACGCAAAGAGCTGCCGGTCCCTCTGGGGCACGGCGAAGAGCGTCGTGAACGCCGCGTTGAGCTCGTCGGTGCGGCCCGCGGGGTTGAGCGCCTCGAAGTCGTAGCCGAAGCCTGCGCGGCCGATGATGTCGAGCGTCGTGCGGCGCAGCCACGAGCTCGCGTCGACGCGCGCAGACGCGCCGCCGGCCTTGGAGACCTCCTCGAGCCAGCAGTCCCGCAGCTGGTTCGACTTTTCGGTGAAGGTCTCGGTCAGCGCGCGGATTTGCGTGGGGCCGAAGGCGGGGTTCATCACGCGGCGCTGGGCGGTGGTGGTCAGCTGGGGGCGGGAATGGCACCAAGGAGAGGCCACACATACCTGGTTCCGGTGCTGCTCGTCTGCGAAGAAGTCCGATGGGATTACAGGAAGGATAGCTTTAAGGGATACGCACCTTCGGCAACAAGGATCCCAGGGCCGACGAGGCGAGAGAGAAAATACCTAGCATGCGGCGGACGCTGGTAGATGGTAGAGTGCGTCATGACATGGTTGAGCGCGCGGGTGTCCACCGTCCACAGACGCCACGCCTAGTAAAGAGTCGTCAGTAATCATAGGATGAGACGGACAATGTACCACGCACGCCAAAGACACCTTTGTAGGCGATGCTATGCCCGTACTGCTCAGCCCATCGTTCCTGAACGACCGAGTGCTCTTCCTTCTCTATGGTCCTCATGTTACCCCAGAATAAGCTGTCATTTGGGGGGCCAGGGAGGTGTCGGAGTGGCGATGTGTTTATGTTCCATATGAACCGTACGAGCTTGTAGAGGGCGAAGGCGACGAGGGCACCGACGGCGTACGCGAGTAGTGGGTAAGTCATGGTGCGAAGAGGTCAGGTGGGACGGCATGGTAGGTTGTGGTCGCGAGCAACGATGCAGCCAGCCGGGGCCCGTTCACGAGATAGCTGACGTAAGGCAGCTGGGGTCATCCCTCGCCCCCGCCCTGCATCATTTCGCTGCTGACCGAATAAACTAATGTCACGGACGATGGTTGTATACAATATCACTCCAAGTACATGTGCCCTATTCTAGATAATCTCGCGCGCAAGTTACCCAATGCTGGCCATTGCAATCTAAACAACCAATCTTCCAAACAGAGAATGCCAAACTTTACGCCCTGACTGGCTTGATGATCACCGGCAGCGACCTCTTGGCCTTGCCGTCGGGGCCGACGACGACGGGGTGCGTGACGACAGCACTTCGCTTCTCGATGTCCCCAGCAGGGACCGCGAGCTCGAACTCGAACCCACGGATGAGTGCGAAGAGCAGCGCTTTTGTCCTGGGCGAGAGAATGAACGCTTGCCAGTGGGCATGCCAAAGATGAAAGGAAAGGGACATACTCGACGATAGAGAAACGGAAACCGATGCATGCGCGGTGGCCGCCAGAGAACGTAAGCAGGTTGGCCCACACGCCGGGCACGCTCCCCGCCGCCTCCGGTATGTTCTCCCAACGCTCAGGCCTGATCCAACACGTCAGCACTCAACCCATACACACAAATCCACAAAGGAGAGAAACCCCACCTGAACTCATGCGCGTCCTCGCCCCAGAGCTCCTTGCGCCTGTTGATGGCCAGGATGGGGATGTTCACGGTGTCGCCCTTCCTGATCTCGATGTACGAGCGCACCCGGCCGTGCCTGTCCGTGTACGGCGTGTCGACGGGGATGACGTCGTCCCTGAAGACCTCGCGCCGCAGCTTCGGCACGGGCGAGTGGAACCGCAGCGTCTCGCGCACGACCGCGTCCAGGTACGGCAGCGCGTTCAGCTCGTCCATCGTCGGGCTGTCCGTGGGCGACCCCAACAGCTCCTCACGCAGCTTGCTCTGGACGTGAGGCCGCTGCGCGAGCGCAAACAGCGCCCACGTCGTCGCCGTGCTCGTCGTCTCGTGCCCGGCGACGATGAACGTCGGGACCTCTGCGCGGGCACTCGGGTCAGTTTCCTTTTGGGCACACACACACGCGGAACGTGAGACGAGACACGCACGCGCAAGGACCTCGTCGTCCGTCAGCCGCTGGCTCTCGGGGATGTCCGTCGCCATGTTCGCGCGGATGAGGAGCGTGAGCAGGTCGCGCTCCGTGATGTCCTTGCGCTCGACGCCGCCTCCGCCGCCACTGCCCTTCTCTTCCAAGATCGCAGCCTTCTTCTCTGCGATGAGCCGCATGCCGATGCGGCGCATGGCCGCCTGCGCCCGCTCGCTCCTGCGGTTACCCTCCGTTTTCTGCAGGCACCACCGACGCTCTCCGTCAGCGCGCACGAACACACAGCGAACAGCGAGAAAGAAGACAGCAGCATAACACGTACAAAGAGCCGCAACAACGGAAAGGTCGCCTGGAGGAACGACACGAAGCGGCCGCTGCGTCCATTCTGCGCGTGTGGCGCGGTGAAGAGCGTCGCCATCGCCCCGCCCAGCTCGTTCTCGCGCCCGGCGGGGGTCAGCGACGCAAAGTCGTGGCCGAAGCCCGCGAGGCCGATGATGTCGAGCGTCGCGCGGGTGAGCCACGCGTTCGCGTCGACGCGCGCCGACGCGCCGTCGCCGGCCCTGGACACCTCCGCGAGCAGGCAGTCCCGCAGCTCGTTCGACTTGTCGACGAAGACCTCGGTGAGCGCGCGCACCTGCGCGGGACCGAAGGCGGGGCTCAGCACGCGGCGCTGCGTGCGGGGTGGTCAGCCGCGCGGTGGGTGGTAATAGAGTGGGGCGTGGCGCACCTGCTGCTTGTGCTGTTCGTCTGTGCGATTGGGTCGATGAGACTACAGGTGGGACACTAGAGGAGAGAGAGAGAGATACCTTCGGTCACGAGGAGGCCTGGGCCGAGGAGGCGGGATAGCACAAATCTAGAGGCCACCGAACGTTTGTAGACGGCAGGATGCGTCAGGACGTGATGCAGCGCGCGGGGATCCATCGTCCACAGATGCCATCTCTAGTGGGTGAGGATCGTCAGTTGTGCGTCAAGCGGACGACGCAGGTACACACGCCAAAGGCGCCTTGGTAGGCGATGGTCTGCCCGTACTCCGCGGCCCATCGCTCCTGAACCACCGAATGCTCTTCCTTCTTTATCGTCTCGTTGTTCCCCCACAACAGACTCTTGCTCGGCGGCCCAGGGAGGTGTCGGAGAGGCGTCGTGCTTATACTCCATACGTGCAGCACGAGTTTGTAGAGGACGAGGGCGACGAAGGCGACGACAACGTATACGCCAAGCATGTAACTCATAGTAACTGTTGTTTGTTGATGAGGTTCAGGTAGACGGGGATGATGCTTATATACACGGGATGGGTGTGATGATGTACGCACAAGCCGCAGCACGGGGCCCGCGGAAGCCAGGCAATCACGCTTTCTTAGATGCAAATTAATCTGCTGCCTTTGGTCAGTTGGTTGGTTAATGCACCTGAGGCCATCGCAAAGCTGTTCACGATTCACTTTCAGTGTTCGTGGTCAGATGTGACTGTCAGCCTGCACTGCGCTCGGGCGCCGGGGAGCTTACTAGAGATCTATTTCGTTTACGGCGCGAACGGTCTGTACTTATTTCTTTTCCATAAGTTTATTTCAGTTTACAGTAAACATAGCCCTCGAGAAGCCCTCGAAGATATGTCTTCGAGATTTCTCGGAAGAGAGAAGGATTGAAGCCGCTAGTGCGAGAGCATGCGGCGCATGTGATGTGCAAAGCACACTGACGTAAACGCAGTTCAGAACATCAGGCCCCTGGCACCCCTCACCGCGGTCGCTGCTCCCAGCGTCGACCGGCGTCGGTGGAGTCGGATTGAACCGCATAGTAAGTCTGCTCTACTCATCTGCACAGATTCTATCTGCCTGATTGCGGACAAGTCATAACCCTAAGCCTATGCGACTGCGGCTCCGCGCCGAGGTCTCCCATTAGTACATACTTAGATACCTTCCCATTCGTTCAGGCTTGTCCAGTTCTTGTTGGAACATCTCATGCCAACGAAGAGACCAAACGTTGCATTTTATTAGAGGAATCGAGCCACCTCCGCACTGTCCATCGAGCCTCTAGCTCCAGCTTCGGCCTCTGCGCCCAGTGCTAAGTACCACAGCGTCGATTTCCGCACAGTTATGAGTGCAAGTAAGTACAAGTGTTAAAATGATTAGTACGCCATGTCCGTTGGTAAGATATCGATGAACTATTTGTATTATATGTATACTTGGAAGAAATGTCCCGCCACTTCCATCTATCTTTCGTTCTCCCGTGACTCCGTCGTCCTGATGTGCTCGTGCGCCTCGAGCATTGCTTTACGTGCCCACCTCTATGTGAGGGTTTACAGCGGACCGCGGCGTAAGCTGAGCTTGCAAAGGTAAGGCCAAGGCCCGCGGCGGAGCGTGTGGTCATACACAGCCTCTTGCGGTCAATGCGGTGCCATACGCCGCAGCCTTTATGGCATGCGGCAATGAGCTCATGATGTCCGCCGGGCTGCTGTTCCGCCGGCGACCTCTACAAGCCTCTGAACAGCTTCTTCAACCCCTCCTTCACCTCGGCAGAGCTCCTCCTCCTCCGGGCGCGGGCATCGTCTTGTGGACTGAGTACCGAATGCAACTCGTCGTACATGAAATGTGCTTCGCGCGGAGAGGCGGGAACGGAGAGCATAGCGAAGCCGTTTGCAGAAGATGATGGCGGCGAGAACGGGCTGGGCGACATCAGTTACGGTGTTTCGCAAGCGTTATGTTCAACGGTTTGATGTATTGGTAAGTGTGTGAGGGTGAGTGCTCTCGCAGCAGACTGCGAGGCCAGGAGTGGAGAGACGGTGACGGAGCCCACGACGACTTATATACAACACTGCAGCGTGCAGATGATTGGCGATGAGTCGCCCGGTTATAATTAACGGGTTGCGATGCGATAGAAGGCCTGCGGTACGCGTGAGGTTGCCAGGCAACAAACAAAATGGAACGCTGAACAAAAATTAAAGGTGCATTTTTCGGGAGATGCTTGACGAGCAAGCGAAAGACAATGAGCAACGCCCGTGCCCTCTCGCGCTTTCTTTACGTGTCTGATGCGCGTTATTGTCGCGTATTTGGCCAATATCACCCAAATAGGGACAAACAACGACTAGCACAAATTTCGCGCTCACCATTCGCGTTCACGACGCATCGCTCTCATCTTTCTCGATACCCTTGTGAACGACTGTGAGGTGTCCTGATCATTTGGCGGTGAGTGAGCGTTACATCACTTCCTGTTTTCTCTGTGCGACGATGTCACAAAGTTAATTCCCAAACATCCGAACGTCCTGTACGTTATGAGTGAGCCTATACTCTACAACGGTATCTGAGCTACCATCTATCTCTTAGCTGTGAAGTCTCAATTGCATATACTAACTATGCCGTCTTTCCTAGATCAGTAGCACATTCTTGAAGCGATGCTCTCGCAATTGAATGCGTTACTTTTCGAGAAGAGCAGGGCTGGGGAGGCATTCCACATGGTAAGTGTCCAGGCCATACTTCTCTGCTCCGTGGTTTCTCCTTCCCGCCTTGATGTATATTTCTATTCACACTGTGTGAGGATGCACATGTAAGTGCAGCCGGATGAGCACATTTTCTACAACGGTATCTGAGCTTCTCAGTCTGTTCCGCCTGTCTTGCTTCACCTACCCCCAATTACTTACACATCCCCCCAAATAGGTTCCAGGAGGCCGTCAGGATGTGTACATGGCTGTGGATGTTACTGGGCATCGGTATGTCTTAGATTATCGTCGTGCCGGATATTCGCCACTTGTCTGCCTAGCCAAGCAATACATACACTTTTCGTCAATTGCTTTCCCGTGTATGACGAACTTCGCAAATTTCACTTCTTCCACGCAACGGACGACGCGGCCGAATTCAATGACGAGCGTCAATTACTGAACGTGCTGATGCATACATGCAATGTCGCTGTCTTCATCATCATATACGTCCGTCCATCGGCTTCGACATGCTCTACCCTTGTGCTCGCCTGTCCCTTCGCGGCTCTTCGCATCCACGCATATCGACTGGTGACCTCCTCCCAGCATGCTCGCAGTTCTTTCAACGTGCGCAACGAACATCAAACGCTTACATCATTACGGCTACGATTAAGCTCCTGATGTCAAACAGCTTCGCACTCCAAGACAGCCCCAATTAGTGGTAACCACCGACCCTGTGATCGTGGTCACAACACCCAGGGAACAGCCTGCCCTCCGTGCCGCCACAATTTGTGCCGATGAGCCCGCGGAGTGCCCGTGATGTCTTACATATAACTCGAGTATTAAAGCTCGTCCCGCTCTCAAATCGACGCTTTTTTGCAGCATGACGAGGGTACGAGTAATCATGATGTCCGTACTTGCGACTTGCTTGCAGCTCAACGTCTTTGTGGCGTGCGCTGCCGCGGCCGTCACATGGACCGCAACACCATTCAACCCCGCGTCCATTCCCCTCGCCGTGCGCTCACCGTACCTTTCGGCCTGGCTCAACCAAGGCAGCGGGACCGCACTCAACGCAGACTGGCCGCGTTTCTGGACAGGCTCGGTGAGTAGGGCTTCGTACTCGGTACCTGTAGCTGTACTGAGCTAGGCTTGGAGATATTGGGCTGGGCGGGGTTCATCAAGGTCGATGGCACAGCATACAATTTCCTTGGGACACCGTCAGTACCAAGTGTCAGCTTCCAGAAATCTGTGCAGAAAAGCATGACAGTGAGCACCATTAGTTGGATTGCATACACGTAACATTCATGCTTGAACGTAGTTTACGTCTACTCAAAGCACATTTGTCATGACCTCCGGACCAATCGATTTGACTGTGAACTTCCTGAGCCCCGTCGAGGTACGCTTCATCTTCATTTCCTTCTTCAAACGGCGATTTAACTACCCCGACCTGCAGCCAACTGACCTCGTCAAGCAATCCCTCCCCCTCTCCTACCTTACACTCACTGCGACATCGACGGACGGCAAGTCGCACAGTGTGCAGGTCTACACGGATATCAGCGCCGAGTGGGTGACGGGCGACGACAGCCTGACGGCGAACTGGAGCACGACGGTAGGAAGCACGCTCGTGCACCAGGTGCAGCTAGAAGACCAGACGCCGTTCGGCGAGGTCAGCGATCGCATCCAGCAGGGCTCGGCATACTACGCGACAACCGCCGTATGTCTCCTTCCTCTCTCCCTCATCAGACTGCTTTGACATGCGGGACACACACAGGCAAGCGGCACAACATACCAGACTGGCCAGGACATCGTTGTACGCGCACAATTCGTGAACAACGGCACGCTCGCGAACACGCAAGACAAGAACTTTCGCGCGGTCGACGACGACTGGCCCGTCTTCGCGTTCGCGCACGACCTCGGCACCGTCTCTGGTACCTCCTCCCCCATTACGATCGCTGTCGGCCACGTGCGCGACCCGGCGGTCGAGTACATCGTCGCGGGCGGGAATATACAGGACCGGAGCTTGTTCTTTTGGAGCCAGTTTTCAAGCGTCGGCGCTGCGGTGAGTGCTTCCCTTACTTTATAACGATGAGAACGGGAACTGATGGAATGAGGTGGGTTAGATCTCGTCATTCCTCGGTGACTTCAGCAGCGCGCTGAGCCGTGCAAATACGTTTGATGCGAAAGTGCAGACAGACGCCACGGCGATCTCATCAGACTATGCGGGGCTCGTCGCACTCTCGATGCGCCAGGCGTTTGGTGCAACAGAGATCACTGCGAGCAGGAACAGCGACGGGTCTATCAATACATCTGATATCCTTATGTTTATGAAAGGTAATTTATTCGCCAGTATGGCTTTCGGTGACCTTCGCTAAAAATTTCCTACCACCGCAGAGATCTCAAGCGATGGCGTAGGTGTCATTTCCGACTTGATTGAGATAGATTAACGTACTCATTTCCTGCCCTAGAATGTGAACACTGTGGATGTCATCTTCCCCAGCTGGGCTATATGGCTCTACACGAATCCGGCACTCGGGAAATATCTCCTCTTACCCCTCTTCGAGTACCAAGCGACAGGACAATACCCGAACAAGTGGGCTGTGCACGACATGGGCGCGTCATATCCGAAGGCCCTCGGACACAACGATGGTGCGCCCCCTGGTATCTCTGCCAATATGATCGGATTGCGCTGACGAAGACTGTCCCCAGGCAATGACGAGATGATGCCTCTTGAGGAGAGTGGCAATATGCTTATCATGACGTTGAGCTACATCCAGAAGTCGGGCGATCAATCGCTCATCACCTCCTACGTATGCCTCTCATCACCTTCTCCCGCCTGTTATTGGCGTTACTCATGTCCGACCTCGACAGTACAACCTGCTGGACCAGTGGACGCAGTTCCTGATCGCGGAGGCGCTCATCCCTGCAAACCAGATTAGCACAGACGACTTCGCTGGCGCGCTCCCGAACCAAACGAACCTGGCTATTAAGGGCATCGTCGGCATCAAGGCCATGTCTGAGATCGCGTCGCTCGCGGGCAACAGCAGTGTCGCGTCGAACTACAGCGTGCGTGCCGCGGTTTGTTGTGAGTGTGTGAGCTGATGGCTGACGATGCGCGGCGCAGTCGATCGCAGCGTCCTATGTAACACAGTGGCAGGACTTTGCGACGTCTAAGACGGGGCCGCACCTAACACTTAATGTGAGCTCCTTGTCGTCGTTCTTCCTCTCTGTAGGCACTGAACGGCGACTTTTTTTTCAGTATGGTAACGATTCCAGGTTGGTCAAGTTTCCGCTTCTGCTAGCCATGACAAGATTTTCATTGTGCACGTAGCTGGGGTCTATCATACAACCTCTATGGCGACAAGCTGCTCGGCCTCAACTTGTTCCCGGAGTCTGTATACCAAATGCGTAAGTGAGCGAAGCAACGCAAGGCTTCAGCTGAGTCTGACGCGAATTCTGTAGAGACCGCTTGGTACAGCTCACATAATAGTATGTCGTCCTTTTGATGACCAGTAACAGTCAATTGAGCCCCACGTACAGACAGTTTCGGCGTCCCGTTGGACACGCGGCATACCTACACCAAGTCTGGTGTGTAACCTCGCCCTTTCCTGCCCCTTTCACTCGACTAATTACAGCCATCGTAGACTGGTCTATCTTGAGCGCAGCAATCTCAACGACGACAGCCGTTCGCGATCTCTTCATTAGCGCCGTGCACAAGTACGCCGCGGACGGCGAGAGCTCGCAGCCGCTCGGGGACTGGTACGAGACGTTGGACGGCTCCGTCGAGGGCTTCCGCGCGCGTCCCGTCGTTGGCGGACACCTTGCGTTGGTGCGCATCTCCGTTGTTTGTTTGTCGCTGCACGCTGACTTTCGGTGTGCAAAGCTTGCGTTGCAGACGGCGGACGCGAAGCTCGAGTCGAGTGCAGCTGCGTCGCCTACCTCGCTGATATCGCCAGACCCGAGTGTGATAACCGTGAAGGCGAGCAATGGGGCATCAAGGCGTGCGTCACGGTGGTCCCTTTAGATCTTCAGAGGGCACGTCTAGAAGCAATGTAACGACTTGAAACGAATATTCGCTACTGATTTTCTGCCAAGCGCCTTCTTGCTAAGTCGACGAAGAACTTTAGCATGTGCTTGATCTTGCAGCTGAACACGGAATAGCGTGGCTTGGCATACTGTAGCCCGGATGAGGGGACAGGGTTGCGTTACTCGCAGAAACCCTAACCCTCCACGCATTAGCACGTCAAGCGCCAGCTGCAGATTACTTACATATTAGACGCTATGTAAGGAACGGGAACTTACACCCTTTATTTGCAGCCTTATGTCTGTGACATCAGTAAGTTACACCGGCCGCAATTTCTTCCGATCCAGCGTGCAAGATTGCGAGAAAGCTGTTTCCCGGATGTGCTGTACATCTGGTGATTCGTATGTCAGCACTATCTACAACGAACACTTCGCAATCCTATGGCAGTCACAGTGTCGGAATGACAGGCTAGTTTTTGTAGCGAACGAAATGGGGCGAATTCTGATTGAAAATTATTCGTTCGCAGATGGCCATTGCTTCATCCGGTGTCAGCCATACGCCGCGAACGACATCTCAAGTTATGCATATGCTGTTTCTCCGCCTCCCTTCATACCTGAAACATTCGCGCCCGCCTCGGCCGCGGCTCGGGCGCAGAGCCCCCGATTTTCTCGCACATCAAGGGTACGCACACAGGGTCGACTCCATGCGTTACTAACTCGAAGCGAAGAAGAGCGACGCATGTTCCGATGTACGCGTAGGGTCAATTACGACACCTACTCAAAGAAATCTCCGCAGGTATATAGCTTGCGTACATCGGCGAGATGTTCGCCTCTTCATCTCCTCTCTAAATTCCTGTTTGTCTGTGCTACGAGCCCTGCCGACCCCCGTCCGTTCCTTACAAGAAAAAGCAAAGATGGTACAGTGGGCGGAGGCAGCGGAAGTTCAGGAAGAAGCTGGTACATTCCTTTATTTTGTGATTCCCAGTACATGAACCGATATCGGCGGTACAGGCATCTTCATAGATCTGCTCTTCGCTCTTTTCGGTATCTATGTCTGGGAAATCTTCCAGACGTCCGACTTTGAGTGGTCCTTGATGTCTCGCGCTCGCAAATTTTTTTGGCCGTTAGTGAGTGATGTCCTGTTCTCCGCGCCGCTACGCTACTAACCGCGGGTCACAGAGTAAGCTGACAGCAACAGTATGATATGGTTGGGACTTACGATAATAAGTATTCTTCTTCCTATGCAGATACTGCATGCTGCTCGCTTTGGTTGGATCGTGAGTTTGACTTGTTATCTAATCTGTCTGTGTCACTTATGATCCCGTAGGATCGTAGCCGTGCAAGTAACAGCGCCCGTGCGTAGTAAACTTCAACAGGTCACTGTTACTGTACCAGCTCTTAAACTTGCCCCAGATCAACTGTAACGCGCTATACGCCTTCAACTTTGTATGTTTTTCCCTCCACATTCGCATATTCTGATTTCCCTGCAGTGGGCAATCAACATGGCAATCCTCTGCGCCTCCACATTGCTTATGATCCGCACGTCAGCACCATTCCTTTCTCCGCATAGCTCGCGCTCATAGCTGCCAGTGTTGCACTCTGGAATAAGAACCGTCTCGTCATTTTGCTGCTTGCTACGCTTGGATGCGTACACTGGGCGATCCTGTGGCGGGGCATGTTCATCCTCGAAGCGACTTACTCGCCCGAGGCCAAAGGCTGTACCATCACCTCGACGGATCATGTCTTCCTCAACATCAGCTTTTTAATGAGTATGCTCCGTCTTGCTAGACATCTCCCTAAAACGCTGATGTCGATTGTTTGTCAGCTATGGGTGTCAACTTTGTGATACTGCTGCTGACAGCGGCGGCTCTTGCTCGCCAGCGGCTGCGCTCGCACCTGTGGAAGTTACTCTTCCAGGATGGTCTCGTGAATTTCTGCGTGACGTTCGTCTGCAATGCCACACCTGCCGTACGTACACCGTTAGGTCTTTCAGAAGGCAGACGATTGACATAGGGCTCGACTGTAGATTCTCAACATCTTCAATTTGAATAGTGCGTGCCCGTAGCCGTTGCATGAAATTTACAGCTGATACTAGCCGTATCTCTAGCTGTAATGAACATGTAAGCGTTGACCACTAGGTATCCGCCCCGGAATCATCGCGTCTGATCTCAGACATGCAGCATTGCAATCGTCCCGGCTGCGACAATTTCGTACGACCACTTTCTTCCGTCCTCGACTGTAGCTTACTCACCAACGTGGCTGTGCACAGCTCCGTCGCTGCATGCCGTCTTTTCATGCGCCTGCGAAACTATAGCAACGCCCCGGATGACTCGTACATCCACCCTACAACGGTGCTCGCCGGAGGTAACAACGTACACTACACTGGCGGGAGGCGTAGCCGCGCTATGGGCATCCGTCCGACGCCCGAGGTGCGCGTCACGACAACCAGAATCACTGCCGAGGACTTTTCGTGCGTTTCCTCCCTGCGTACAGACCACCTTCCGCTGACCACGTACCCAGCGCCCTGCCACAGAAAGCGATGCGCTCGTCTAGTAGATTGAGCGCTGATCTCGAGTCCGAGCTTGGCTTCGAAAATTGAGGACGCATGGCCTTGGTGTATGGGCACAAGCCGGCAGCTGACGCTAATGGAGGGCAGGCGGACGTAATTTAAACCCTTATATCTTATCTGTCATGCTTTCTTGCGCGCGATCCGCGCCGCGGTGCTGCTGATGAACAAGGCAGACTCCAGTTTTATATACGAACGCATCCGAGAGGGGATGCCTTTCGCTCCTTCCACATGGACGTGAGTAGATGGTGAAGGAATCAAAGGTACATTACAATCGTGAAAGACCCGAAATGAGACAAAATAAAGGGACATGATACAAAAATCTCCTTCCAGCGAGCCGATCATCTCCTGCGGTGCAAGACGACCCGATCTCCGTTTCGCGGCAGGCAGACCCTGACGATTCGTCTTGCCTGAATTGGCACATACAGAGAGACCCCTGGATTTGCGCCACTCTTCTCTGCGTGAGCATCGAGGGTCGTGTGCCAATATGGGTTTTGAGTCTGTGCTCTCAGGCTCTCAGGTGATGTGGCGCCGTCGACTTCCATGCCATCGCCTGCAGATGCAGTGTGAGTATAATATGAAATAGAAGGATTCAGCCATGAGATGAGCGTAAAGAAGAAAAAAAAAAGGGGGGGGGGGGTTGAAGCAAACCTTGCCACTGCGTGGCGGACTCTGCCTGGGATTCATCCGCAGCAGGGAAGGGATGGATGGGCAGGTTACTCGAAAGAGCTTGAAAGTTCGACACAAGATCTCCACTTTCTGTGATCGCTTAAAGACGTGTGTCTAGAGATCGTATACTAAATAGTGAATAATATTTTCTGAAATATACACTGTAAGATAAACTCACCGAACTCGTCAACTTAGGTTGAAAGCTGACCATTATCCTCTTCGGGAAACGATATAAATCGTACGCTCTCGATAAATCGGCCTGAGTCACTCTCACATGGCGACCTGCGAGGTTACCAATGACGGCAGCCAGTGGGAGAGCGAATTTCTAGCACTGGCACTCGCTAGCGGTTGGGGCGACGGGCGGGCGTCGCCGCCGTCGGTAAATTCCGCCGGGGGTTCGGTTTCACCCTTCATGCACATAGGTTATAGCGCGTTGAGTAGCAAGACAAATGCTCAATAATGCATACAGCGAGTTCGATTGCCTGGGCAGCCGAGGAGAGAGTATGTTCCGAGCCGCTTTTGATTCCAGATAACAGGGCTGAGGACTCATTGTTTCGCAGAAATCGATTATGTATTCTCTGAGATGCATGTCGTTGTTTATCACGTCCCAAGTTCTTGGGCGAGCATGCGACGCAAGCTGACAGCTCTGCAAACACGCACAAGCATTGTAACACTCGCGAGCGGCCTATTGAGCCATGTTGCCAAATCTATGTATCCGCGGATGGTTCCGTCGCTCTGGATAGATGCCCAGGCTGAGATCCTTGATGACTTTAGACTCTGAGCTCACCCATTGTCCTATCCCCTAATGGTGAGCTCCGTTCACCAGACATGAAAGCTGTCTATCTTACTCATACTCAGGGGTGACCACAGGACTTCGAAGGCTTTTTCGCAGCACAAGGTCTCCTAGGGCCAATACGGCATGGCGGAACATTGACTTTCATATGAGTCCCGTTTCAGCGTATTTCAAAGATGGTCGACCTTCCAACCTCAAGTAAGCCACTTTATACCTGTGCGTCCCTGAAGCTACTACCGCTGCACCCATGCTAAAGTAGGCGTATTCGACAGGCCGCATAGACGACCAGCGTTCTTAGTGCCTGGGCGGAGAATGCAGCCTTCGCTCGGTAATGTCTCGGGCATGCGGTGGTCGACACGATAAGCCTTTCAAGCTTTGTAGTGGGATATCAGTCCCCTTCATCATTTGACAGCTTCTGTACGGGTACTGTGGGGTCACACGACTACCATGCGTATTCATCAATATCTCTCGTCCTCGGCAGCAGAAGGTATTTCGGGCACTGTGTATCCTCTATACGGACTCATCGAAGGGGATAACCCCGTTCTCTCAGGCTACGACGTGCAAAACGAAGCGAACGTGCGAAGGGCGTTGTCATCTGAACGCTAGATACCTCGTGTGCCTTGGGCTAGAGGCCTGGGTCGGTTTCTCGGATATGGCCTTGCGACGGAGCATGTGTATTGTTGAGGGGAAAGGACAAAACTATACAACAACGTAAGATTGTGACCTAATTTCTCCGGGGGGTGGTATGTGCCCTGATGATTGTTGGCTGGTACACGCGGGTGCACCTAAGGTTAGGGTTCGACGCGTCGCTAATGAGCGCGTCTCGACGCGACCGCGTCGCGCGAGGCAGCCATGACCGCGCATATACACCCTCGCAGACATGAAGTACGGTGCAGTAGAGTGTGTACAAATCTGGTGCGGTGCGCTTCCTGTTCATTGGCCGGGAAGCACCGACTGATAGCGGCCCCGTGCACAGGACATTGACGACGACTGGGGAGGTACTCGTCTGTTCCGAGTCACCACCGCCTCAGCGCCGAGTCCCACGACCGTTTCCTCTGCAGCTCTCCATTCACTCTCCACAAGTATCTCAACCCGACCAGGGGTCTACGGAGAGATGTGGTGCGACGAGCTTGCCAGGCGTGTCAGGACGCTGCGATGCGGGCGACGTCTCTCGCGGAAGACACAGCGGTCTCTGCCCTCTGCGGAGCCATCCCCCATACGTGGTAGCCTCTGGGCACGCGCAGGCCTAGCTATAGCCGGCTCCCATTCGACAGAGATGCCACCAAACATTCCCGGCAGAGCCTGGGCATCACAAAAGACAGACAGCTAGCCCCTCTAGGAACGGGCCTGTCTCAGACGATAAGGGCGTGCGACGCTTCGCGCAGCTGAGCACGTTCGACATGCGTTGCTCCACTGTCCTTTGTCGGCCGGCAGAACCAAGGTACGGGTATCCGCGTATAATGCCCTCAGTGTGCGTTGCCTAGCTGCGAGCACGCTGCGGTGCAAAGGGAAAGATCCGGGGGTCCTCATACACAGAAGCCGAGAGGACACTGACATCTGTGTTTCGGCAGGGCTCTGCGATCTGATATGATATAAACAAGAGTATACACTTAGCACGTATAAGAGGAGCAGTCCTCGCCGCAAGAAATACTCAGCAAGTTCCACTCGAACCTAGCTGCACTAGAACCTCGAATTCCAAGCCCAAGCAACCATGTTCGCTGTACGTGGCGCCCTGCGAGCCTTGGGGCCTCACACTGACCTACGTTTGTCTCACAGACTACTGCCGTCCCCGTCAACGCCCACTGCGGCCAGGCCCACTGCGTCGACTCGTACGTACTGACTCTCGTATCACCTATCCGCGATGTCTTCCACCGCAACGCGCAAGATACTAACGGTGCATTACAGGTGCGGTTGCGCTACTCCCGCCGAGTGCAAGTGCGAGAAGAAGTCTGAGTAAACTCGCACTTGCCAGCCAAGCGTTCGGCGTTGTTCACCCTCGCGCAGACATTACGTCTCGTACTTCTCGGATTGTATGATATTGTCTCGTATGCTGTGTCGATGAGGATGTAAGAGCTGTTGGAAGATGTGAAATGGCATGTATAAGTGGTTGATATATGCGAGCGACTGTACGCATCTCAGTCTGTGCGAGCCTGAGGTAAAGTACCTTCTGCAGCCAGCGGGCTGTCCGACCAGTAACCATACGTAGCGGATCTCCCGCACACACCCTTGAGGTGCCTATCGCGCGCAATAACAATGTCTCAAGCTCTCGAGCTCGACCCGATGGCTTCTATGCGCTCCGTCGCGGGACGCTGAACGGGTATAGGAGCACAGAATACAACCAGTTCGCTCATCCCGATACCATCTCATTTGGCAACGCTATTACGCGTTGTATAGTTACAGGTATTCGGAATTCAGCACAGGAAAGTGGGAACGAGCACACGTCTCCTATACACTTTCAATAACAAGTCATGAACCCTCTGATTCAACTCCGATTCATCGCAATCTGTAGTCCGGCACGAGACTTACCCAAGCCACCAATACCATTATGGCAGCCTGGTGCCGTTAGCACTGCGGGGTTGTCCTAGAGGCCAGCGTGATCGGCCACGGCACTCTGACTCGATCTTGTCAGCCGACGACTCGGCGGGGGCAGGAAAAGTGGGTGGTACCTCAATCCTTAGCATGCCCTGTGAGGCGCGGACGATCTCGAGTCTCTGATCATCGAGATGCGCAGCAAACGCGTTGAGAATCGAATAGTCGTACATAATCCGGGAGTCTGTACTCAGGCGGCTGCGCAACCACCTCGGATACGCTGTCTTGTTGACGTCTGGCTTGAGGAGGACGATATATGTGTTCTCCATTTTCTTGCCGTTATAGCATTGGACGTCAACTAGAGGCTAAGACATCGCAGGTGAGAGAGCTCTCTTGGGATGGCGGATGGGGCAAAATGATGGGTAGATACGTTCGTGCTCAGCGCCCGTCGTTCCATACCTTGCGTCGCGGTTCTGGCTTTGGGTAAGCATCGGAGTTTGAACACGTCGATCAAATTGAATGCCGCATTCTAACTTGTTTGAATGCGAGACTTACCTTCCCCCTCCTGCTGACCTCTTCAGAGCGATGGACCACTCTGACAGCGAGATTACCGGCGACGAGTACTACAGCGATGAGACGATTGCAGAGGACTTTTCACAGGCCCTCTCGTCCCCTGAACCTGAATCCGGTCCAGCCGCAACCACAGACTATATCCCCGTTTTACTTCTGAGGCTGTAGACGCGGCGAACGGAAGGAACGAGGGTTGATGAGGACCTTTTTACTGCCACTAGTGAGAATTACTTGCGCAGGACCAGTGCCTTCTCTTCTGCTAGTGCGGCGACGCCCGCAGCGTCTCGCAATTGTTCGCATGCCTCAACACCCTCGAGCTCGTGGACTTGGGCGGCGTCGCGCTGTACCCCACGCGCCCGTGCTCGGCGCGGATGCGAAGGGGCTCAAGCGCCGTCGCGGAGATGCGCGTGTCGTCCGGGCGGGGCGAGGGCCGCACCAGGGTGAGGCACAGGTGGGAGGGTTAAGCCGATGGCGGCGGCGGCGGATCGTGGGCCGTATACGAGCGCGAGATCTTTGAGGTGGAGGTTCAGGACTGCGTGCAGTACTGCAGAGAGCAGGTATGGGTCGGCGGCGTAGCGGCGTGAACTTCTCTTGCGCATCGACGGGTCTGCAGGCAATGCGTTCTGGACGTAATACGAGGAAGGTTATGAGCGCAGCGAGGTATGCGTTCCTTTGAATGAGGGGCAGGAAGGCCTTTGGAGTGGGGGACATATATCGAGCCGAAAACCTGTTGGTGTGTTGGATTTAACGGCGAGTCAGAAACGCTTAAATGCACAGCAGAAAAGTCTGTTCAGGATCTTCCCACCTGCTACACTCATCGGCGAGGGATTCATAGGGTCCAAGCTGCAGTTGATAGGCATGTCAAAGCGTTGTGAAATACCACCTGGTGGGACACTGCCACGAAGAGGCACGTACTGTGCTGCCCCCTGCGGTACCGGCCTGTGCATACGCGCTCTTGATATAATGGGCTTCCCGAGAAACCAGTGATAACAGCTATCAAGGCCTACAACAGGCACCAAGTTCATACGCACCAACTTGTGCCAGCCTGTTATTCGGAATTTATCAAAGAACAAGGGCAGATATTCGGTGCCAAAAGCGGAACAAACGTCCGCGAACCAACGCGCCAAGTCAGAGCGGAGCCGCCGGTTGCGTGTGTAATCAGCAAGAAGCTTGAGAACCAGTCTGAGTAGAGTCGTGATGGCATTGGGCTACATGACCAGCATCCGAATACACAGGCGACATAGCCAGCTAGAGCAGTATTAATATCCAAACCAAGTGATAGGCCGGTTGAGAGTGGCTACTGTATCTCTCCAGACCAGAGGATCATGTCATCGCGGAGGAGCTGCAATATCGTGAGCGAATCCTCCAGAGCCTGTCCCTCGGGCATCGTCGACGCGGCCTGGATCGCCTCGTCGAACGCGTGCTTGGCGAGGAAGCACGCGCGCTCGGGGCTGTCCGCGATGTCGTGGTAGTAGACCGCAAAGTTAAGCGCGAGCCCGAGGCGCGTCGGGTGTGTCGGCTCGAGCGTGCAGTTGGCGTGCTTGTACGCAAACTTGTACGCGTCGAGCGACGAGGACGCGTTCTTGTCGTCCGGCTGGTCCTTTGTGAACTCGGCCAGGTAGCGGTAGTAGTCGCCCCTCCTGCCGGTGATGTCAGACGGCTCCATTCAAAACTGACGGAAATCGGCTCACATTTTGCTGTAGAAAACCTTCTCTTCTCCAGGGTTTGAGGACGGGATGAGGAACTTTTCGAGGAGTTCGACTATCTCGAGGCAGACGCCGTCGAGCTCGCGCCGTATCCGCTCCTTCTGGAGGTGCATGAGGGCGACCTGCTGTGGCGTCGATCGTGGCGCCTCCCGCTTCTCGAGGGTGTCGATGACCCGCCATTGATTCCGTAGCTGACCCGTTATGTGCTTGAAAGCGATGGACAGCAAGTTTCGTTCGTCGATCGTCAGCTGGTCGTTCGGGCTGTTTATGAGGCTCTTGATGTGGGCGACGACATCTGTGGTCGAGTTAGCCGAGTACGAGAGTTACACGAGTTGGGGCTACTCACCTTTGTAACGATCCGCCTGATCAGCAACCCGAGCCAGGTAAAGCCGGTCAAGCCGCGACACAGTCACGTCCAACTACGGGCGTGTATGTCTATCAGTGCTGAGCGACGCGTTTTCGATCGGACACTCACAACAGGTGACATGAGACTAAGCAACGACTCGGAATTGGCTGCAAGGACGCAGAGATGAAGTCAGTTTATATTGCCATTCGCGTAATCCTGGGCGAAGGGTATACACGCACTATCGCAGAGCGGGCGTTCCGGAGGATGATGATGTGGGCAGAGGGAAGGCAGGGTGTAGGAGGGAAGGCGCGGAGGTCAAGGGTGTAAGGCCATGAGGCGCAGCCGTGTTGGCTGCCTTGCAAGGTGCGTGTCCACCGTCGAGGCCGCCGGCGGGGATATTAGTGTCGGCAGCGCGGAACACTCGTGTGAGGAGACCGTCTAATCCGCTTTCTGATATGATGTCACCACGCTAGGAATTTCAAGCCATAGCAGATAGACCACGACATGTCTCTGCAGGGTTCAACGAGTTGCGAAACATACGGATGGGTCTAGTTAGGTCGGAAGAGGACAAGAGACGGTCGCCGTCGATGGGAGCCGTGCTGCCCGATCGTCCCGATCACCCGGAGATTAGGGTTAGGGTCAACTCAGCCCGATACACGCGAATACATTATTATGACTTTGCGCCTCTAACCAACAAAATCCCTGTGTCGCACTCTCAATATCGTAACGAGCCTGGTATTAAATGTCGTTAGCTACACCCAGATAGCCTGTTTTCCGCATCCCAAATCCTGTGCACTACGCTCTGTACGGCCGGATAATCAGCGGGAGCGACCCTTTGGCCTTACCATCAAGCCCGATGATGACGGGGCGCGTCGTGATGCCGCTCCGCTTCTTGATATCCTCAACCGGGACGGCGAGCTCGAACTCGAAAGCGCGTACAAGCGCGAAGAGCAGCGCCTTGGTCCTGGCGAAAGCACAAGCATGAGAGCGAGTTAAGGAGGGGTCACAGACGAGACGCACTCAACGAGAGAAAACCGGTAGCCGATGCACGCCCGCGGCCCGCCAATGAACGTGAGCAGATTGCCCCACACACCAGGCACACTTGCTGTCGTCTCGGGGATGCGTTCCCAACGCTCAGGCCTGCCCAGCTTTCAGCACACTGCTCAGTGAGCACGCGAAAAATGGGAACGCACTTGAATTCATGCGCATCCTCGCCCCAGATCTCCTTGCGCCGGTTCAGAGCCAGGATGGGAAGGAAGATGAGGTCGCCCTTCTTGATCTCGATGTGCTCGCGCACCCGGCCGTACCTGTCCGTGTACGGCGTGTCCACTGGGATGACGTCGTCCTCGAACGCCTGGCGCGACGTCGATGCTACCGGCGAGTGATGTCGCATCGTCTCGCGCACAACTGCGTCCAGGTACGGCAGCGCATTCAACTCGTCCATCGTCGGACTGTCCGTGGCCACCTGCAGCAACTCGTCGCGCAGCTTGCGCTGCACATCGGGCCGCTGGGTAAGCGAGAACAGCGCCCATGTCACCGCCGTGCTCGTCGTCTCGTGGCCAGCGACAATGAACGTCGGCACCTCTGCAAGAGACACAAATTAGTCTTCTGAGTGCACGGAATTGAGTGAGACACGCACGCGCAAGGACCTCGTCGTCGGTCAGTCGCTGGTCCTCGGGGATGTCCGTCGCCATGTTTGCGCGAATGAGAAGCGTGAGCAGGTCGCGCTCTCTAATATCCTTGCGTTCAACGCCCCGGCCCTTCTCGAGGGTCTCTGCCATGATTGCCGCCTTCTTCTCCCGGATGAGCTGCATACCAATCCGGCGCATGGTCGCCTGCGACTGTTCTGCCCTGTGGTCGTTCTCTGTTTTCTACGGCATCACTCCCCGTCAGCAACCTGTTCCCACGCCGAAACCGCACACGGAGACGCACGATAAGCCGTAGTAGAGGGATAGTCCACTGCAGAAATGCGAAGAAACGCTGATTTCGCTCGGGTTCCGTGAAGATCGTTGAGAACGCCTCGCTCAGCTCGTTAGTCTCCCCTGTCGGGTTGAGCGCGTCGAAGTCGTACCCAAAGCCCGCGCGGCCGATTATGTCCAGCGTCGCGTGGCCGAGCCACGAGAGCGCATTGACCTGCGCAGACGCGCCGCCGTTCTTGGATATCTCCCCAAGCCAGCAATCTCGCAGCTGGTTCGACTTGTCTGTGAAGATCTCAGTCAGATCGCGGACCTGTGCGGGACCAAAGGCGGGGTTCATCACGCGGCGCTGGGCGACAGTCAGCTAGGGCGAATGAAATTAAGATAGCGTAACACACCTGGTGTTTATGCTGCTCGCCTGTAGAGTGACACCAATGAGGATGCATAGGGGACGGCGCGAGGGGGACACGCACCTTCGGTCACGAGTACGCCGGGACCGACGACGCGCGACAGCCCATACCTGGCGGGCAACGGACGCTGGTAGATGGTATGGTGCGTCATAATGTGGTTCAGCGCACGGGTGTCCATTGTCCAGAGGCGCCTCACCTGATCACAGGATCGTCAGGAAACTGGAACACTGGATAGACGACGTAGATACGTACGCTGAAGACACCATAGTAGGCGATCGTATGCCCATACTGCTGGACCCATCGGTCCTGGCACACTGCGTCGTCTTCCTTCTGTATCGTCAACATATTTCCCCAAAGCAAGCTCTCGTTTGGTGGGCCAAGGAGGTGTCGGAGGGGCGATGTGCTTGTACTCCATATGAACGATAAGAGTTTGTAGAGGCCAAGCGCGGCGAGGGCGCCAATGGCGTACACGATGAGCAGGTAGTCCATGGCGATCGTTGGTTGTTGAGTAGTTGTGGGGGCCCATATCGACGAAGATAGGACTTATATAGTATAGAACGCACACTGCGGATATGATGGTGTTCCTTGGCACAGCACACGCAGCCAGCGCTCGGGCCGACGTCGCGTGGATGCAATGTGGATGCCGTATAGGCATGCCTTCGCAGATGCGCATTGATTTGTCGTCTCCGAATCGCTGGCATAAGATACCCCGAGTCATCGCAGCCGATAGTGCACAAATCGGCGCGCGCTCCTCAGCTTCCTTGACAATCCGTCGCATCAGTGAACTCCTACCCACAAGCGTATGGCGCCTTTGCTCGTAGTGCGCGTTTGGTCTTGCGTGCTAGTTTGTCTGGCCTGGCGAGCCAACGTCGCGAATCGTAGCGGGGCCGTGGTGAGAAGCTCAGCTCTTTGTTGTTCTGTGTAACGAGCACCACGTGTTGTATGTTCTCCACATATGACACTAGAAGGAAGGTTCGTTTCCGCCGGACCCTCTAGCACTCTCTTTGAATCAGCGTCATTCGAGGACGCATCATGGGGTATAGTCACGGACTGTGTGCATTCTGGTTACTATAAAACCACAGTGTCGAGATGCCTGTGACCAGCCAGTCTCACAAGAACGGTTTTCTCGGATGCAACTGACGAGATAGCGATTCGTTCTCGACTTCGAGCGCACAAAGGCTCGGCGGCCTCTCGGTCCTTCTGCTCCCGTTCGGCCTAGTATCCAAGATCTGATGAGTTGGGAGATTAGCCTTTCAGACCTATCAAGAACCTAACAAGAAATGCCAATCACCGAGGTTGCGGCACCATAATTAGCTTAAGGTACGAATCGATGTCATTATTTATGCTGGCAGGTGCATAGATTGACGGCTAGCATGAACTGCCCCCCTTGCTGCGTGGGGTGCCATGATTTTATGCTTCTACTTTTATGATTAGATCGGCGAATGGAGCGGCCGCGTCCGGAGGTACATTAGACTGTTTTCCGTCGTGAATCTGAGATGGCTCTCTTCAGCATTCTACTAAGAGAGACGGTATTTTTAGCATGATATATTGTGGCCAAGCAGGCTTACGCAGTACCCAAGTGTTTTTGGCGTGCTTATGGATCCACCGCCGCACCCAAGGCTGTCGCAGCACTCTCTTCTTCGTCGTCAAACCATCGTTCTTCCTCGTCTCGATCAAGATCTGAGTCCCAATTTTCGTCCCAGTCGACCCTGTCGTAGTCCACCACCTGCAGAATAATCGAACATTACTAAACGAGAGCATTTTCCAGATGGATGAATATGCACGCACGTCTAGCAGCCCGTAGATAAACCTCTCTTTCAGACGACGCTTGAAAAGTTCCACCATCTCTTGGGGTGACAACTCTTCTTGTGCAGCAGCAGCAGCAGCGTCTTCGTCGTCCGTGTCTTCTTCTTCCTCTGGAATGGCTTCCTCAGCTTCGCGCTGTTCCCTGCGCAAATCTCGAGCCCTCTCTGCCTCTCGCTCCTCCGTCCAGGTGCCAAGCAGCTCTGCCAGTTTTCCGACTTGCCGTCCTTCCGTTCTTCCGTCCATAAACTCTCTGTCTGCCCACTCCTTCTCATCTTCCACCTCCCTCCTCGCGACGTCTTGCATGTTTCCGACAGGCCCCGGCCAGAGCGACGAAAAGGTCGCTTTCGCCAGCGGCATCTGGAACTCCGGCGGGTCCGAGTCAAAGTAGCGTAGCCGCCGGTTGCGTATCGTGGGCAGTTTTGTCCGCTGTTTAGCGTTTACGTGGGGGGTAAACAGCACAAGAAGGTCTTGTGGTAGGCTACGCATATACTGGGCGAGGAACTGCTCGGGCTGCTTGACAGGGGAAGGCTCGTAGTCCCTGGGGAGGCCTAGATATTTGAGTACGACCAAGATATGTGGCTCAGACTGTGTACTATCCACCGCTTCAGACATTGCGTATCCACGAGAGAAGGCGTGAAATGTCGCGAGTGCAACAGCAGATGCTTTTCAGGTTCAACCCGCCAGTTGCGGATGACCGCATGGTACGGTTATCCGGGCCGCGCCCCGGGACATTGGCTGCGGGCGTTTGTGTGCGCGGTGGTTATGCAGCTTCGACCTCGACCTCGACAATGACTACTATGCCTGCGGACGATTTGCCCACTGTTAGCTCAATGTCAGAGACGAATCTAGGAGATGAACTCGCGACAGACGCTCCACAGGAACTTCTGCTAGTCATCTTCATCCATGGGTGAGTGCTGCGGTTGCAAGGTTTAGGGATCGCGTTCAAGAAGACTAATATTTAAACCACTGTCAAGGTTCAAAGGGACGGACTCAACGTTTGCGCAATTCCCCGAAAGGTTGCAGCATGTGCTATCCGAGACGATACAGAATGCTCACGTCGAGAGTGTCGTCTTTCCGGCGTATGAGGTGCGCTCAGTCCCCTGTCCGCGCTGCGGCTTGACACTGATAGCTGGCTTTCATATGCGAAGACTAAAGGGGAGCTGGTAAGACGCACCGGTAACTACTATGATTGTGAAGCCTGAACCTCACAGAACGCAGCTGTGATCCGATTTTCAGACTGGCTCACCAACCTGACAGTTGAGCGGGAGGTCGCGAACGGGCTTGGTGGCGGCGCAGGCAAAGCAAAGATAGTCCTTTGCGGACACAGGTAAGCACTACTATTATTTGTCCACAGATAATACCCAAGACAGTCCAGTATGGGAGGTCTGCTCGCTGCAGACGCACTCATTGAGTTCGTGCGCACCCGCCCTGACCAGTCTGCCCCACTCTGGCCAAACATCGTCGCATGTCTGGCATTCGACACTCCGGTACGTCCTCGACCAGTCTACCTAGTATTTCAACTATTTCACTTACGTCAGTCCAGTATTTCGGCTTACACCCCGGTGTATTCAAAAATACAGCTAGCCAAGCGGCAGGTTATGTCAAGTCCGCGCACGACCTGTTCTCCGCAACGACGTCTTTCTTTGGCTCCAAGTCAACGTCAGCACCGGGTGTAGTCCCCAAGGCTGCGCTCCTCCCTGCCCCGGCCGGTCCAGCATCGCCCTGGAAGAAGTGGGCGCCCGCAGCATTCGCTGTAGGCGGTGCCCTGCTTGCGGGCACAGCAGCAGGGACAGCATATTACAAGCGAGAGGATATCGGGGTTGGATATACGTGGGCCACGGATCACATGAAGTACGTTGGGACCCTGTGGGACGAAGCTACGCTCAAGAAGCGGGTGGACGACCTCATGCAGATTGAGGAGAATATGGGCGTATTGTTCCGGACGTACGTATTCCGCAGTACACAGTACCGCCGGCGTCAAACATTAATCCTATTGCACAGTTTCTACACCTACCTCCGCCCATCTCCCCCAACCCACCTCACGCCCCGCACCTTCATGATCCTCCCCAAAGCGCCCTCAGAGTGCGTCTCGCATTTCCTGCAGGCCCCGAACAGCATCGCGAGCGACGAGATTGAGGCGCACATGGGCATGTTCGATGCCAAGACGAACGACGGCTACTACGAGCTCGGGCTCATCTCCGCGCAGCTCGTCCGCGACGTGATGCTCGCGAGTCGGAGCGGCGACGTGGACACGATCCGCCGCACGGCGCAGCATCCGAGCGGCGAAGAAGGCGTGACAAAGCTCGGCGAGGACGAGGGTGCGCGGCTTGCGACAGAGGCGGCCGAGGCTGCACAAACGCAGGGTGCCTCGTAAGGCTCCAGGAGTAGTCGAGGCGACTCAGAGCAGACGGACGGTCTCGGCGTATGTATGTATACATTAGATGTACGATGAACTTGCAGCGTCCTGTACAAAGGGTATGTGTATGTACTTTTCTTTTCAGCGAGCGAGGTGCTTGAGGGACAGCCGCATCGCATAGGCGTCTTCGCCGTCCGCATCTAGACAATGGCGACGCGCAGGTCAGGGCAACAGCCACAGTACAGCAGGGCGGGGACGTACAGTACTTTTTCTCGATCTCCTTCACGGTGAAGCCGAGCGTGTCCTTGTACAGCGCCAGTGCCGCGCGGTTGGACTTGCGTACGTGTAGCGAGACGTAGGAGGCACGATACACTGTCGCCATAGCTTCCTCTACTCGAGCGATGCATTTTACAGTCAACACAGGGAGAATGCCAAAGGGCCAGTACGCACGAGATTGCACCATGAGCCTCTTCGCCAAGCCCAGTCGTCGGTAGGATCTCAGCACAGAGATGGATGTAACGTGTCCATGGGGCTCGTCACCGTCAGTAACATCTTCTTCCCTATAAGCAAAACACGCTGTCGGATCCTCCACAGTTCGGCAGATACGCATACACTCACATTTTCGCTAAGATGTATCCTACGATCCTGCCCTTATGATCCTCCGCAACGTACGACAGCTGTGGCCAGCTCAGCGCATGGTAGAGGTCTGCACGTATATGTTGGTAAGGTAGCGAGCTCGTGTGGAGTGGTAAGCCAGGACGGACAGTACTTCATAGTGTAGTTCTCGGGTAGGTTCTGCAGGTTACAGGCTTGCATCCCAGCGAGGTCTTCCACCTGGCGCTGTTCAGCCTCCCTGAGCGCACCGCCTCATATAGATACTTACCCGAGCTGGGCGGACGTTCATGATGAGTTGAGTGCGGACGACGGTGAGCTGGAGAGGCGGGAGACGTGATGCACCGCGAAGCGCGCTTCGCACCGCCGTCCCAGTTTAGCATGTGTACACATTCATCGCGAGACTTATACGATCACATTTGTTTACAATTACATTCGCCAAGACGCACATGAACATACGCTTGCTATGTTTAATGGAACTGTAGTACACTGGTCAATGATATTATAGGAGTTCATGGGTATGTAGACAGTGGAGGAAGAGGAAGCACCGCAAATTAATTATTATTTACACCGAGCCAAACTCAAAACTCGGAACGAAGGATTGCTCCAACCAGATGCATCTACTGCTCACAACAACAAGAAACCAATGTCAGTGTTAGTCTACGGAGTCACGGCGGGGCGGCGGTGCCGACGGGCCCTCATTCAGGCTTACGTTCGACCCGCGTCCAAAGAGGAAGGAACTCGCATAGTGCTCCGCGGCGTTGATCGTGCTACGCAGGCTGCGCTTCACGCTCCTGCCCCTGGCGTCCACCTCGCGGCCGTCGACGTACGCCCGCTGGCCGCCGAGCGCAGACTGGACCGAGTCGTGCAGCTCCCGCGTCGTTGGCGAGGACGGGAGCGGCTGCGCTTCCTCGTGTTGGATCTGCGTCCACGACGAGCTCGACTCTGTGCGTGGCGGCGTGCGCTGGTACGAATTCGACGAGTCGTTCAGCACGGGGTAGCCGTTAGCGCCATTGATGCCGTTGACGCGGTGGTCGTCTTCCACGATGGGCATGTGCGATGAAGAACCGCCGTTTGGTACGCCAGAAAACCGCGTGGCGAGCGATGGCGGGCTCGTGGGGACGACTATCGGCTGTTCGCGACGAGGAGAAAATTGGCCATTGGTCCCGGGAGTAGGACCCATCCCACGTCCATGACCGATCTCCGCAAACACCAGGTCAGGAGTGATCACCCCTACCCTAGTGGAGTTCGCCGCCTCGACGTAGTTTCGAAAGAAGCCTGTACCAGTCGAGTGATTCGTCCCGCCACTCCGATTCGACGCTGCATCGCTCGGCGCTGGGGAAGTTGAGATTTCCACGATGGGTTGATGACCGAATCCGCGCCCGCGACGAGATGGGCCAGGAATGGATGCTGCACCTGTGGGCGAGGCGTGTCCTGAGCTTCCGCGAGAAGTTGGCAAGTTGACGCGCTCTCTTGTGATGTAGAGCTCTCGTGTGGCAAACTGTGGTGTTGCCTGGACATCAATCGGGATGTACTGTTGTACCGGTTCTCGTATTGCGTGATGACCGTTTGTGCCGTTCTGGCGTACCACCGGTGTCACCTCCATGTCTTCATCTTCATCCTGCTCATCGTCTCCATCATCAATGACGTCCATGGCGGTGGCATACGGTACGCGATACGTGTCCTCCGATTCGTATTCGTATTCGGTTCCGCTCTGCTGTGCGTTGTCGTCCGTGATGGCATTGTATAAATCTGACAAATAGTTCCGCAAGTCCGAGACGCCCTTGCCAGAGTATACACAAAACGTCGATCGTTGTGTGGAGTTAAATTCCTGCGAAACCCAGATGTTAGGTCAGCCAGCGTTGGAGTAAAAATTCAAACGTACCGGGGGAGGCTCACGGCAGAACTGCTGCAGCTCGGTGCGTCGAAAGGCTGGTATACCAGTAAGGCTGAGGTGAGTGAGTTTCGGTAGCTTCTGGAGGAGGAAGTGTACAGCCAAGACTGTAATCTGGTCACAGTACGACAGATGTATGCGTTCCAAAGTGGAGTTCCCTTCACCGAGCGCATATATGGCTTGGTCTGTGAGATTGCTTACGCGTACCAGACCAATACGGCGGAGCTTCGGCAGTGCAGATAGCTCAAACACGGACATATCCGTGAGTTGCAAACAGTCTGATTGAAATCAGGTATTAGGATATGCGGATAGGTACCGAATTGACACTTACTAGCGAGGTCGATATATCGAAGCCTGGTACACGAGCGGGCCAGGGTGCGCACCGAGCGGTCGGTAATGTTACTCGCGTGTCCAAGATGCAGGTAGTGCAGGTTTTTGCCCAGAGCGCAAATGCACTCCACCGCATGGTCCGTGATGTGCGAGCACTTCGCCAAAACAAGGTTTCGAATCTTCGGTGCAACGGAGACGATGCCCTCGATTGCTTCGTCGGTAATTGCCGAACAGGCTGTGAGATCAAGGAGGCGTAGGTGGTCGAAGCGGCGTGTGATGCGCAAGGGCGGCAGCCTGTCGCCGAGAAACGTATTGGAGGTGGGGAATGGATTGGGACCATCGATAGAAACATCGCTCTTCGGTGGGGCTGGAAACGCGGCGTCGGTGAGTTCTGAGCAGTGAGACAACCGCATTTCCCGCATGTTGGTTGAGAACGTCCAGAGGTCGCGCACAGACACGTCTGTGATCTGTTTGCAATGTGTAAGATCGATCTCGAGAAGCAGAGGACATGATTTGGCAAGCGCAGACACCGCCTCGTCTGTGATCAGTTCGAGCCCACCAAGCTTGACTCTTCGGAGGAGGGGGCAGTTGGCAGCTAGTGCTTGAATCGCCTTGTCCGTAAGCTTCTTGCACCCACCGAGGTTGATACCCTGTAATCGCTTCGTAGAGGACGCAAGTGCGACGACGGCTCTGTCTGTCGCCTCCGCAACTCCTGTGAGATCCAGCGCGACGAGATTGGGGCAGCATGGCAGTACTCTTGCGAGTGCACCGTCCGAGATGTTGCTGCAATTCAGGAGGGTGAGACGCTCCAGCCTCACGCACTGCGCGAGCCGGGAGAACAGGGAGTCTGTGAGGTCGGCGCCCAAGTAAGAGAAGTTGAGGCGTCGTATGAACCGTGCGTATAGGAACGTCTGATCCTCGCGAGCCAGGATGCGCATCATCTTGACCAGCGTCGACAGCTTGGTAAAATTTGGTCTGTGCCATAACAACTCCACCGAGCACTCGCACCAGCTCCGAGACACCAACGTAGAGTGGTACAGGTCGCGTGGGGAGTGCAGATGCTTGAGAACATGTATGAGAATCTCTGGGGGTAACTTCATAGCATGCGACAACGGAGAAATGAGCGTGTTCAACGAGGATGAACAGTGAGGCAATGAGTGTGTCCGCGACCACTGGGCCGGAGAGGCGGCGACGGGTTCGGCAGAAACAAAAAAGGTTGATTTGTTGAAATCTTCATCGTCGTTGTCGTCGGAAAGGGAGGTGTTGGACTGGGCGGGCGAATGGTGCTTGTAAATCGTATGCCGCGATGAGCTCGGGGGGTGCAAGTTCCTCATCGTCGTCGACAACAATGCGGGCGGCACGTGGGACGAGAGAGGAAGGAAAGAGCAGGTGCTTACGTCAGCACCAGCAGAGCCCTTGAGATGGATAGTCACCCGGAAGCGAGCGCAGAGCTTGCAGAGAACATTTTGGGCATCGTCGTCACAGCCCCATCCTCGCCAGAGCACAAGACCGTGTCGCCCAATGGACCCTCAGTCGAGTACGGCGACTCTTTCGAACTCACCTTTCTCCCGCTAGACTCTCTCTCCGTCCCAGTTATGAGCAAATCCGTCTCCACCCCGCGTCTCACACCATTCGAAGAGGCTATGGCGAACGCCGCGCTGCCCGAGCCAGGTCCCGCATACTTTACTGCTCGGCAGGCCATCTGGAGGGTACCGCGTAGTGTGCAGCCTTCACAGTCAAGGCCGGAGCCAAGACGGTCGAAAGGATTGCAGTCTATTTTACAGGAAGAGGGTCCACTAGACAAGCAGGAATACTGGGAGAGTGGTTTAGACAAGATCTGGAAAGGTCTCATAGGAGGACAGAGGCTCAAGGAGAGACTGCCCCTCCGTGATCTCGTGCGTATCCCTCTGATTGTATGGCGGCGTACTACACCTAACCATGACCTTAGATCAAGATATTACAGGCAGGCTGGATACGTGACGGTACTTGGCCTAAAGACCAGGTTGTTCGCGAGCCAGAAGACGAACTTAAACTAGACTCTACCTCCGCCCTCACGACCGCGGCGACATCACGCGTTGCGACCCCGCCCGTTACTTCTATTGCACCACGAGAAGAGAGTGGTGCAGCATAGCTGCATTGGCCAGCGCCACGGTCGTTTCCCCCTCATTAAATCATCCGGAAACTACAATTTATTATCTGAACATGCACAGTCGGCGGGTGCTTATATCCGCTCGTGAGTGCACCCACAGTCTCGCTTGCATTTCAGATACTTATGGAATCGGGAAGCAGTGGGCGTGCGGTGAAATAGAGCTCCCTTTTGGTGACACACTTGCTTGATCAGACAATGCGCAACGAACTTGTATCATAGACACATACAGGTACGGTAGACACTACTAATTGTGCATACGTTGTGTCCCTCTCTGTGTCCCTCTGTGTCCTACAATCTTTACACTTGGCTCCGCAAAAGCTCACATAACGCCACTCGTAAAGGCTTTGGAAAGACATGCCAACCTACAGTTGGCGCACACAGCACTGCCCTGGGACCGAGCACATCTGGCCTCTCTGTGATTTACAAGCTTGCGCGGGCTGGGTATCGGCGACGCAAACCCGGTCCTTGAACGACGGCAGTTAGCATTTCAATTAGGCGTCAGTGCTTGATAGCGCCACAGCAATATAACGGTCCTACGATGTGGGAAACATCGTACTATATCTCGTAAGTTCTACCAGCTCGCATGCAAAAATTTGCACAACGTCGTGAGCACACCTCGCGAGGCGGTTGCAAGGTAGCTCATCTGCACTGGACGTTCTGGCTCTTTCTGGACGGTGCTTGGCATGAAAGCGCCTACATACCATATCGGGGCGATCGAGTGACCTCAGCCGGGGAGTAGCCGCAGCTCTGACGCCCCCGTACTCTACTCACACCACCTGCTCTTATATTCTTATTTCCTCCTTCACTGGTCCGTACACATTTCCGCTCTGCGATAGAAGACAACGGCGACGACGATGCTCGGCGGATTCATGAGCTACTTTGGCGGGCGTCGCGACCCAAAGATGTCCTCGCGCGATGCGATAGTCACGCTGCGGCAGCAGCTGCAGATGGTCGAGAAGAAGGAGGAGTACCTCCAGAAGAAGATTGAGGAAGAGCTCAACAAGGCGCGGGCCAACGCCGTCTCGAACAAGGCCGGTGCGTAGCGCTTTCTCCGTCGCTCGGCGACGTGTGTCTCTGTGTGCGTGTGTCGGTCGAGCGACGTGCTGAGGCGGGGCTCTTTCTCTCTGCGGCAGCGGCGACGGCGGCGCTGAAGCGCAAGAAGGTGACCGAACAGGAGCTCGAGCGGCTCCAGGGCACGCGGTTCCAGCTCGAGATGCAGGTCAACACGCTCGAGTCCGCGAGCTTCAACTCGGAGACGATGGCCGCGATGAAGAAGGCGACGTCGGCGCTGAAGGACATCCACGGCTCGTTGTGCGTGTGCTTTCCTTTCCGCGCGTGACCCCATCTTTCTCAGACGCAGTGCAGTGACATCAACAAGGTCGACGCTACGATGGCGGATATACAGGAGCAGACGCAGCTCGCGAACGAGGTCTCAGAGGCGATCTCGAGCACAGCGTACACGGGTGTGGAGGTGGACGAGGTGCGCCAGAAATAATTGTGCCCCATCTTGCGCCGCTGATGATATGTCGCAGGACGAGTTGAGGCAAGAACTTGCAGACCTCGAGCAGGAGGAGCTGGATACGCGGCTCGCAGGGGCAGACCATGTCCCAGTACATCATCCAGCAGGCAAGGTCACTGCGAGTATGTCATCTATAACTAATTTCGCACAATGCACCCCTAACAAGCTCTTCAACTACAGAACCGGCGAAGGTTGCGGAGTTGGACGACGAAGAGGCGCAGCTCAAGGAGCTACAAGCTGCGCTCGCGATGTAGCGCTTGTGGCCCTTCCCTGTTTTTCTCCGATCTAGGATCCCCCCGCATACACCGCCTCCCTTCCTTTACACACCCTCGCTTTGTAATGACCTTGCTGCCATTTCGTTCCTGAACCAACCGCCCGAGCCTCCCACTATATTTCCTTTCTGTCACCTGTGTTAATACACAACTCCGGTCCCTTTGTACACTTTACGACATGTTATTGTATATTCTTACCGGTGATCTTTTTCCAATGCAAGGCCCCCAAGATGCATAGAGCTTACACCCGGAAGAGCGCAGGCGTTGAAGCCCGCGAGACAAAATAAGTGGCTCCAGGAACTCTGATATACAACCGAGGATCTGTACAAAGGACAATATGAGGTGAATAATTAGCCCAATCCGCTGCAAGAAAGGAAACGACGACGACAACGAAGACGAGGAGTCTGTGTACGTGCTATGCATGTGTGTGGTACTTGCGGTGTGGTGGAGATGCAAAAGATTTATGTACGGCTGACAGCTAGTAAATTAGAGAAACGACGGAGCCAGTGGGCGACCCAGAGAGCAACACGCGATACAAGAAGGATGATACCGCCCAGTAAGAAAGGAAGAGAAAAAATACGAGTGTTCGTGTGCTGCAGTCAAAGAATAGCGTCTTCCCGGCGGGCCTTGCCGTCGCTGGGGCAAGGTCCAGGGCGGGTGTCATGAGAGGAATCCACGAATGCTGAGCACGCGCCGTACGTCATTCGTGAAGCGGAGCGAGTCGAGCACGGGGAGCAGGTCAAGGAGGGCTTCGTCATGCGGGTCATTAATCCAGCCTTCTATGGGGATGCCGTTCGCTTTTGGGGGCGCAGTCAGCACGGGGTATACGGCTGCCACGAGTACGCGCGAGACACACACCTTCGTTGATGCTGTAACATATCGGCGAGTTGTCTACTAGACAGACGCGGGAGAGATCCTGCTCGATTACCGCCAAGTCCTTGGTATATGAGCCATTCGGTAGCTGCGTGCACGACTGTGTCATAGAGTCAGGCTGCGGTTCCTGGGCATGCAGACAGCCTCGCACACACCTCGCGGAAGAAACGTTGGCCGAGGATACCCCTCCCAGCGTCCAACCAGTCAATGACAGGATCGGCATACTCTTGCATAGATGCCGTAAATATAACGAGTGTGTACCAGGCCGAAACCTGAGAAAAGAGCAACAATATTTACCGTCAGCGCCCTGTCGCCGCTCAAGTGTAACGAACACCGCCACGCACCTTCCTGAGAAAGTAGTCAACAAAGGGCCGCTTGTAGACGTGGTACAATGTACTGCGGCCACCAAGGGTAACCTCGACAGTGTGCCCTGAGCCCTTGTTCCGCTGCCCGATCCCAAAGCTGTTCAAAACGCTCGAACCCATGCCCTGGGAGTACATCGGGCGCGACGTCGAGTGAATGAGCGTCTCATCGAGGTCTAGTACGAGCGTTTTAGGTAGCAGGTGCAACGGCATCTTGCGCCCACCAGGCGTCGGCGTCGGCGTGCGCGAGTGCTCAACTGCGCGTGCGGCAGCAGTCAAGGGTGCAACGGCGGCAGCGGGCGGTAGCGACGAGTCAGGCAGGGGTGATTTAATGTCCGCGAGTGTGTCAAAGGTCGAGCGATGCACGAGCGGAGCCGTGAGCACCGCCGGCAGGATTGGCGGCGGTATTGGCGGCGGCTGCTCGACCTGTATTGTGACGGGCTTCTCGTCCTTGGACTCGTCCTCCGTCTCCTTGTCCTCGTCGTCGCTCACGTCCTCCGCAGCAGCCTCGTGTTCCGCGACGAGGCCGACCCTGCCTCGTATTGACCGCCACACATTGCAGAGATAGTGCCAGAGTGCAAAGAGGACGTGGACAAAGCATATGCGGTGAAACAAGCTCTCGGAACGCAGCTTGGGCCGAAGAGCTTTCTCGGATGAAGACATCGATGGACGGCGGGACGATGGTCTTGGAGTGGCAGCCGCGGGGACAGAGGTACTCTTCGAAATCGATGGAGGGACAGCAGGGGACGAGGGCTCACCAGGCTGGACGTTCGGGGACGAATATGATCGTTTGAGGTTCCATGGAGAGTAAGAAGCACTCTCAACGGCTCCTGCACTCGCGAGGGACTTATTCGACCAGGTCCGGACGCGCTTGAGCGACGCTGCATCCTCGTCTGCTAGCAGAGGAACAGTCTCAAGCGTGGGCGTGGAGGGTGGCGTCCGGGGCGAGGCCAGTACATCGAACTGGCGAGAGAGGTATGCCAGGGAGTTCATGTGCGTTCCTGCGCCCGCTGCTGGCGTGGACGAGCGAGGCCCTGACGGAGGGGGTCGTGGGCGAGGCTTGGTGCGATGGTGGTAGATATGAAAGGGCGAGAGCGTGCTCAGGCGGTTGATGTCAAGGAGCAGCCCATGCAGCAGGGAACGAGAACGGACGGCGTCTAACATCTTCGGTGACTTTGTTCTGACACTCATCTCATATGCCCCAAACAATTCTGGAATATATCTTGTCTCCCGCCCCGCTTCCGCTGGGGTTTCCCGAGTTCGTGCCATTCAGTCATCGCACATGTGGCATCTGTCCGATTGGCTGTGTCGGTCAAGGTCTCATGATGGATTATAGCTGAGGATCCACCCGGAGACGGCCCCGGGACGCCCTTCCAACGTTTGTCTCCTTGAAACCCATGCCATGTTCTCGATGGCGCCGCGGCTGACGGCAACGACGTCCTCACACCGTTACACGTGCTCGTCGCCTTCGCAAATACGCAACCAACGTGCGACACCAGCGAGGGTAATTTCACAAGGGTCAACATCTGCTGGAGATACGATCGAGTTCACCGACTTCGGATCGTCCAGATAACCACAGTCGCCCGCTAGCCTCGTGTCCGAAGACGTCCACAGAACGCGTTGGCAAAGCACTCAAGCACACTCTCTCATATCGAGCAGGTCCCCAGAGTAAGCGTGCCACGTAACTGATTATCGACAGCGCACAGGGTCCCGGTCCACATACTGCACCAACTCCGGTGTCAGCTGGTCTATGCTCGTAACTCCCAAAAGACGCATCCCCGTCGCGATTTCCTCTCGCATGACTGCCAGCAAAAATGCAAGGGCAAGGTTGTGTCAGACTAATGCTGTTCGGGCGCGCGCTGCGGCCGCGACGCGGGTCAGGACCAGGAACGACGGACTCACTTTCTATGACCCGACGGCACCCTTCTTCGCCCCACACCCCGTTGCCCCACAAGAATGGACGGCCGAGCCCGACTCCGCGAGCACCGAGGCACAGCGCCTTCAGTACATCCGTGCCTCTCCGTACACCGCCATCAATGTACACTTCGTGCTTCCGGAGCAAGTCTGGCCTCTTTTGATGGATCTCATACAGGAGCATCATCGGCGACGGCGAACTGCCAACATGTCAACAACTTGCACAAAAGAGGCTAGTGACAACGGACAAGTCTAGTTCCCGACCACCATGGTTCGACAGTATGATGCTTTGCACACCACTCTGGAACGCCTTCTCCGCATCCTCGATACACTGGATGCCCTTGATGATCAGCGGAAGTTGAGTTAGGCTTTGTATCCACGGGATATCTTCCCCTGTACAGGAAAAGCTCTATCAAGCCCAGTTCTGCCGTCCCGCAGACGGACTTACAGCAAACGTCAGGATCTTGGTAGCCCCCAATTGCCTGTGCTGGATCAGCCCACATCCAACTTCAAGCAGTGGTGCACCTACGAGAGCGACGCCTTTACCCTCGACGCCTGTCTTTCCGTGTGCAGGCCCAACCTAGTGGCAACCGGTGGCTATCAGCCAAGACTCGCAACGCGCCAAAACGGGAAGCGCAAACAGTGAAGCCCTTCGCTCTCCGGTCGATCTCCCGATTTCCCGGCACCGGGGCGTCGACGGTGAGTATGATCGCCTTGTAGCCGTCCTTCTCGAGGCCCCGTATCAGCTGCTCCGCGGCCTTGCGATCCCTGTTCATGTATAGCTGCCGCGACGCGACGCATGAGTGTGCCTCTTAAACCCGCGCTGCACTGCTCCGAGGGCCCACCTGGAAAATTAGGTCCTGCTCCGGCCGCTTTACAGACATGATCTCCTCGACCGAGCAGCTCGCGTTGTTCGAGATCTACGTCGCTGTCAGGCGCGCCCTTCTTCAAGAAAGCGGAGAGGGGAGAGGCTTGCCCCTTGCAGGATGCCCTCCGAGCCCGCCGCGCGCACGAGGTTCATCTCGCCGTCGGGATGGCCGAGCCGCGCGAGTGCCGCGGGGGCGACGAAGATCGGGAGCGAGCTCTTCATGCCCCACATGGTCGTCTCCGTCGAGACCTTCGAGATCTTGTTCAGCCTGGGACGGGTGTCACCAAATGAATGCTACCATGGCGTACGGCGCAGATGAACTACTCACACGCGTGGACGGAACCAGAACCGCTTGAAAGCGGCGAAGTTTTCCCAGTACGCTGTTCGCAGAACGTCAGCTCGCGGGTCACAGGTGCGGAACCGCGGCGCGACACCTCACAGTATTCGTCGTCGCCCGTCGAGCGGTAGTAGCCCCACGCCGTCTGCGTGAGCACCTTCTGCGCATACTCCTGCGCGACCCCCATCAGTCCCTCACGCGTGTCGTTTCAAAAAGACGCGCCAAAGAAGCACAACGCACCTCGATGTCGTGCAGGTTGAGCGCCGCGCTTGGCTCAGGGAGCTCCGCGCGGGCGTGCGCGATGCGGAGCTCTTCCTCCGTCGCCTCGAACGCCTCTGCCGGGAGCGTCTCGGGGTCCACGGGCCCGAGATGCGCCTCCGGCGGGAGGTGCGCGAGCACATTCGGCGGGTGGATCGGGACGAACGCCTTCCTGCAGCAAAAGCCCAAAGCCGGGTCAGCACCCCCCCACTCCTGCATCGGAACAACCTGAGGGTCCAGGCAATCAGCACACCGGGGGACGCCCGCAGGGTATGGGACGGCCGGTGCGCCTCGCCCAACACGCACACGCGCGCGAAGGGTCACGCAGAAAAGGCGAAAAGGAGAGGGAGCGCGCGCAAGAGAGACACTTACGTGGCGTCCTGGCCTGCGAGCCTGAGGATGACCTCCGCACCGGCGGGGTGCCACGCCAGCACCGACGTCGCGTCGTACACTTGCCCGTCAATGACGACCCAGCAACTCTCACGCGTGTTGTGCTGCTGCACCTCCGCGTAGGAGATGTACCGCGCCGCCGCGGTGGTGGCGGTGGTGGCGCTGTTGCTGCCCCCGGCCGCCGTGGGTGCGTCGAGCGCGACGGGCCGTGCAGACGCGTAGCTGAGCTGTGACGCGGGGGTTGTGCGTGTCAGGGGAAACGGCGCACAGGGAAGAGGGGGGAGGGGGACGCACGTATCCGGCGACGAGTGCGCCGCCCACGAGGGCCGCGGCGGCGAGCGGGCCTGCCGCAGGCTTGCGCGCCGCCTTTGTGGACGCGGCGCGCGCAGGCACGAACGTCCTGCCACGTATGCCTGCGGCGAGTGTCCTCGCCGTGTGCTTGAACCTCGTTCTCGCGAACATAATGTAGTACTCAGCCTGGGTGTCGAAAGGGTACAATATACCAGAGTGAAATGTCACCAGTCCCAGGTCCTGCTACGTATAAGGATGTCAGTGCACGAAAGAAAGGTGTTCGGTGCTCCTTTAGCTGGGGCCTTACAGAGAAGTAGACGCACTAGTGGTGGTTGTACGTCAACTTGCACAAGGCCTGCGTCGCATGTAATAAACCTTGCCGCCGAAGGCCTCGGACCGGGACCCGCTCGACCGTACGGATTCCGTTTCTGACGCGCACCGAGGCCCTCGCTGGGCCTGGACAACGTCGCGAGGCGCGGATATCATTTCTCACAGTGTGCAGAAGACTATATTCCCGGCTGATTAACTTCGTGTATAAAGTTACATGGCAACCTCCTATCAGGACATAGTAATTTACAGCTCAGTCTATTTGGGATGCGCTAGGATACTACGGGACCAAGAGTGCAAGATAGCATAGCGAAGACAACAACTTTGTGGACGAGGAGAGTTATTACAGAAAAAGTAGACAGCTTACAGAGAGAGAGAAAAACCCTGATGAACCCCAATAGTAGTACGAGGTGCTCCGAAGTGATGTGTTTTTGCACCGCAAGTCCGACGCGTGGTGGCAATGACCGGAACTGAGAACGAAGACGAGGACGTGTAAACGATGGATCTGCGAGAAACTCTTTCCCAATGGCCGATGGGGGGCGGTCATCGGGGATCATTTGAACATGCGAACGAGTCGGACGGAGGCTGTGTTCATATGGTCCTCTGTCGATCGGAAAACGAGAAAGTCAGCTCGCCGGGAACAAAAACGCCGACATTTTCCGGCTCACCTTCACAAGGGCCCACTGAACGAGTAACACTTTGATACGCTCGTGCAGCGACGCCCTGCAGATATGGCAGGACAGGTGATCAGCCAGCGGCCGCAACGCGACCTCGATCGCAGTGGTCGACAGATCTGCGGTGGAGAGAGAGGCTCAGCAAAACAAAACAAAAAAGCGAGGACACAACAGCCTGAATGTTAGCCACGCACCTGCTCGTGCGTCCCACGCGAGGTACGCGGACGCCAGTGCCCACGCCCGCGTCAGCTTCTTCTGCTCGACAAAGTCGCAGTCGAGCGTCGCGGGGTGGCCCTGCGGCGGGGGGAGCAAGAGCCGCTTGAGGGCGTCGACGCGGCCGAGGTGCAGGAAGAAGAGCCGCTTGAGGTAGGACGAGCCCATGCGCTCGACGTACACGTCCTCGAGGTCCGCGAGCGGGAAGCTGAGCATGTACGGCGACACCGCGACGCCGAGGTCCCACAGGTTGTGGTGCCCGGCCATCGCGTAGAACTCGGCGGGCGCGGTGGGCGACTTGCCGAGGATGTGCTGGAAGAGCGGGGTGCTCGGCGAGATGTGCTTCTTGATATCGACGCCGTATTTGGCGAGTGCGTCGACGGCGGCGACTAGCGTTTCGTTTGAGGGCGAGTAGTGCAGACAGGACAGGCCGTAGATCGTGTGTAGGACGACGTTGAGCACGGCAGAGGTTTGAGGAACGGGAACGACTGGCCCAACGTTGCCTTTCCTCCGCGCATCTTCTTCTTCCAAGGCGGGGACAAGAGAATTGAAGCGGTTCGACGACTCACGGAGAAGCACTGCGGAGTGAATATAGAAGAAGACCGTGTCGGACGAGATGAAGACGAAGTCAGGCGCAGAGGTATACAGATTGGCTCCAGGGAAGAAGGTGGTCGACACTGAGACGACATTGGCGTCCTCTGGCTCGTCGATGGGGGAGCCCACGTTGGAGTCCTGCAGGGATGGATTATCAGCACGGGGCGGGTGTAACAATTCGGGAGAAGGCGCATACAGGCGGCGTAGGGATCGAAGACGATGCACGTGCAGAGGGTGGGGGCGGGGCAAGCGTTATCTCTTGTATAGGCTTCGCTGTCTGGGGCGGTGTTGGGAGCTGGCTGGCCAAAGCGGACGCACTTGTGCTGCCCTCGAAGGGCTCTGCCACGAACTGCAACCACTCGGGAGATTCGATGGTGTTCCTGTCAGGGAGGGATTCAGGAGTGTTGATCTGGAAGGAAGGCTGATAAGCCATGGTTCACACAACAAGAGAGCTGGTTGGACGCTGTGAAAGCTTGTCGGTAGGGCGTGAGCTACTCAGGGGCAGTCGGGGGGCATTATACCCAGCGGGATGAGATACTTATATTTTCTGCGACGAGGAAGTCCTGGGGACAGCAGAGCTTCGGACGACAGGCGCACAGGCAGTGGAGTAGCAATAACTTTCCTCTCCTGGCTGCTTCCAGCCCAATTCGATGCCGTGAGACCCAGTCCATTCCCGCAGTTCGTTATCAGCCTATCCGCCCCGAACTCTGCTGTCCATCGTGGGCTTACACAAACTGCAGCCAGAGATCGCGCTCATCCCGCCTGCAGCCTATACAGATGAAGCGTTCGAGGCGGCCGCTGGCAAAAACGAGTACGACCGTCGGGTGCAGAGCATCTCCAAGAGCGAACTATCCAGAATATTTTCATCTGAACATTTGAATTCTGGTTGATGGTTGAGGCTTTGAGCTCGTGAATGTATGGTGCTCTTTGAGCTGCGCGACGCCACACCAGAGTGACCACCTGCGCAGCGGGAAGCCGAAGCGGCCGGCACAGCTTGTGAGTGGGGCTCAGCGAACAGTGCGGAAGGTTCTGGGACCAGAGATGTAAATTACGATGACAAGTACAGCAGCAGAATGTCGGAAAACGGGATGTAGTGGGAATATACAATGCGTCATGTCTTTGTGCGCGGCGTGGTATCGGTCATCGAAGCTTGTCTTCCGTAAGAATCGCAACGTTCAACTCATCCAACGGAACCAGCTCTTTCTTCTCCACAAGATCGAACTGCGGCATAGTTTAGTGATAAGCACACACGAGGTGACTAAGACAGCTTACCTCGTTGACGAAGAGGAAGAAGTGGCGGTAGCTTGTGTTCATGTGGGCTATTAATCCTTGCACTGTCAGTGCACTGCAGCGTATGGGAGACCTGGGACGTACCCTCAATACCCAGAGCACATATGTGGTCGAAGTGATTGCTGTAAAGGTGCGCGTACACACGGAAAAGTCTCCGGAAAAGCGTTCGAATGGTGTCTCGGAAGTTCCTGGGGAAAGGCACGCCTAATATCTGGTTAGACTCCACCAAGCATCAACGCCTGTCACTACTCGCCTATCTTATTTGGGAAGATTTCCTCGTTGTCTAAAAGCCCTTGTGCCCAGTTCATCAAAGCGTCGACGTACTCCGGCGCTGGCAGCTTTGTGGGCCTCTTGTACTTGACGCCATCCTCCCAAAGATATTCGTATCTGTGCAGCCCATCAAGTTTCCGAACATCTATCTCGGCGAAGGATTACTGACCGTGGGCCAGCAGACATGATAGGACACTAGAAATGAGAGTCGGTATCGGGGCAGAATTTGTGAGACAGCTTGAAAGGAAAGCGCACCTCGTTAGGAGTACAAAATTCGGTGATTGTTCCGTACAACATGTTCAAGTGATTGAAGAAGTCCACGACTACCGGGCACGAAACGTCATAAGCGGGGGCGCGTAAAGAGAATAACCTAACACTAACCATGAACGGCAAGCCATTCGTTCAGATCCTCGCCCTCAGGGAGCTGCACAGCCTTCCTCAAGTTACCCGAACCCTGCGCACGGCGAAATGAACGTGCACAATCAATCGGTACACACCGTTGTTCGAGACAGGGAGCCACTTACGAGTGTAGCCTCGGCATACTTGCGCAGCTGGTACTGCTTCGTGCCTTCGGGGACGTCTCTTCGCGGCTTGAACGTACGCGTCTTCCCTCTGTGGCAAAGCAAGCGCAGACAAGCGCGATCAGCATAAGCGGGCTCACATGTAGCACGCAGGAGCAGTGTACTTGCAGACCAAAGAATGCAGACATGACTTGTGTGTTATGCGAATTCCTGCTCAATGTCAATCGTTGTGCAAGCTCTTGCGGTGGTCGTGAACGGTCGTACACAGAGAACGTGGGCGGCGGCCCCAAACGAGACAGATGCGTCCGCACGCAGGGATCTTGAATCTTGATACCGCGTCGGCACGTGTTTATCTAAAAGTTAATCCAGCGCCTAGATTAGATGTCTCCCGCGTCCGGCTCGACGTTGCTGGCCACAACTTAGAATGCCAACGTGTCCTTACTACTGGACCTCAGGCCTCAAGCTCAAGCTGCATCGTTCAACCCAAGGCATACGGCCTTGGATAGCAGGCGATTGCTACAGTAAGTCGCAAAACGGTTCTACCTCCACATGGGAATCAACATCCGGGTCCGCAGTGAGTTCATACACGGTCGGCTGCAATGAAATCTTCCAGTGGGTTCCGTTTCTAGGTTGCTTTCTCAGTCTACCGGTTTCAGACGCACCTTAGTCACAATACTACCATTCGCCCTCTTAGTCAGTCTCAGGTGCGACTCCTCCAATTACAACGTGTACACGACCACCACGCGAAGGCGCTTGCACGGCAATGGACGGGTATGCAACGGAAGCGCGGCAATGGGCGGTCGACAATCCCGTCCCAATGTGAACGTCATAATTTTGCGCTAAGGAGTATATAAGGTCTGCGTTCGCGAGAGGTCGCTCACCATCGTTCCCATCCTCTAAACGCATCGCATCTCAATGTCTCCTCGCATTCTCTTCGTCTTCACCTCCGCCAACAAGGGCCTCACCGGCGACCCGACTGTAAGTGCACGGCGTGCGCGTCCCGAACACCAAGTTTAACGTGGCGTACAGGGCTGGTACCTCCCCGAGGCTGCCCATCCATTCTGGAGTATGCAAATCGCACTGGCACTCTCACCGGGCACTGTACTCACTCTAAGCTCGCAGTCCTCTCGCCACACGCCGAAATCGATTTTGCCTCGCCCGCAGGGGCCAACCCGCCAGTTGACCCAGGCAGCGTGCAAGTGCGTATTGCCCCTCCCACTGTCCTCCCCCCCTCCCTAACCGAGACCAAAAACCACCGCGCAGGCCTTCAAGGAGGACGAGGAGAGCACCAAGTTCCTCGAGGACCCGACCGTGAAGCAGAAGCTCGCGAGCGCGAAGCGGCTCGTGGACGTCGACGCCAAGGACTACGACGCGATCTTCTACGTCGGCGGGCACGGCCCCGTCATCGACCTCGCGTCCGACCCCGTGAACGCGAAGCTCGCGTCGGCGTTCTTCCAGGCGGGCAAGATCACCGCCGCGGTCTGCCACGGTCCTGCGTGAGTGGGGCGAGCCTCCGCGCACAAGCACGCGCGATATATATGCTGACGTTGTGCAACACAGTGCGCTCGTCGGCGCCGTCGACGCCCAGGGCGAGTCCATCTTCAAGGGACGCGAGGCCACCGGCTTCTCGAACGTCGAGGAGGTCAAGGCTGACAAGGTCAAGGTGTGTCTGAATCGATGCACCTGTTTTCACGCCCAGACGCTCACGCTTCGGACAGGTCGTCCCCTTCCTGCTCGAGGACAGGATTAAGGAGCTCGGTGGAAACTACACTAAGGCTGACGAGGCATGGGCCCCCAAGGTTGTCGTCAGTGGCAACCTGATCACTGGCCAGAACCCCAGCTCGGCTAGTCCGATCGGCAAGGAGATCCTCAAGGCACTGCAGAAGTAGAAGGAGACTCAAGCAGCACAACACAGTAGCCTGTATCATTACACCCAAGTTCCAGAACATTTGTACGCGAGCGAGCAAGAGAGTATGAGAGAGCTATGAGCCTGCCACGTCCATTTTCCTCTTTGCGCTTTTGATCTTGTGGATCTCTTCCCGCTTCCCAAAGTCAGAGTCGTGGAGCTCCATGTTGGCGAGACGCTTTGCTGTCGAAACCGCGTTGAGATGCTCGAGGACCTTCTCCTCGGGCATCTGCATCTCTCCGAGCTTCGTTTCTGGAAAGCGACATCAGTGCGGCTCGGAGGAGCATAAAACGGACGGGGGACCTACTAATGCGATCTTCGATCTTCAACACCCTCTCCTCGTCCCTCTCCGTGACGAAGCTCACGGCGACACCGCCCCTGCCCGCACGCGCCGTGCGTCCAACGCGGTGCGTGTACTCCTCGGGCGCACCAGGGAGGTCCCAGTTAACGACGAGCGCGACGTCCGCTATGTCGAGCCCGCGCGCGCCGACGTCCGTGCAGACGAGCACGGGCACGACGCTCGCGCGGAAGAGGCCCAGCGACGCGAGCCGCTCGCGCTGCGTGAGCCGCGAGTGCAGCGCCGTACTCCGGATCCGCATGTGCTGCAGCAGGTGCGTCAGGTACGCCGCCGTGCGCGGGCGCGCGCAGAAAATCACCGTTGGCGGCGGCTGCACGACCTCCTCTTCGTCGGCGGCGGAGGCCTTCTTCGTCTTCTTCGTGGGCTTGGCGGGCTTGCCCGCCTTTCCCGCCTTCTTACCTTTTACGGGTTCAGGAGGAGCGCGTCGGAGGTGGTGTGTCGACTCTGGTGGGTTGCGGAGGAGGTAGTAGAGGTAGGATTCGCGGACGTGTGATGGCACGAGAATGTAGAACTGCTTTAGTGTCGCTACGGTCTCGACGCTGCGCATGCGCTCGGTAAGTGCACGGTAAGGGTGACGAAGGTGTTTGCAACACGCACGTCTCAGTCATCCGGTGGACGAAAGGCTTCTGCTTGCCGGGCTTCGGTGGCGCGTCCGCAATAGTCTCGATGGATGGCGTCCATGTAGCAGTGAACAGACACGTCTGCCGCTCCTTCGGGATGGCCTCGAATAAGTATGACAGTTCCGGTGCGAAGGTCGAGGTCAGGAGCCGGTCGGCTTCATCGAGGACAAGAAATTTGACGCGGGATAGGTCCCATTCCCCGTTGTTACTGCGAAGGAGATCGACAATGCGCCCTGGCGTCGCAACTACAATGTGGGGACGGTTGCTCAGCTCGATGGCTTGTGATATGATGTCCATGCCGCCGACGACGACTGCAGTCCGGATGTTAAATGCCGCTCCGAGGACTGCGAATTGCTCAGATATCTGGAACGCTAGCTCTCTGGTGTAAAGTTAGCAAACTGTTCCGGCAGAGAAAAAACAATAGAGCGTACCGAGTAGGCGTTAAAATCAAGGCAAAAATACCATAGGGATCGACGGACAGCCTATGAATTATAGGAAGTGCGAAAGCAATAGTTTTTCCTGAGCCGGTCTTGGCATTGCCTATGCAATCCCTGCCTTGCATACGAACCATGTCAGCTAAACTCCTGTTCGTGTGAGACGCTCATACTCGCCTTGGAGTAGCGGTGGTATACATGCAGCCTGAATTTCTGTAGGTGCCCTGATGGACATCTTGTTCAATGCTGCAAGCAATGGGGAGGAGATGCCCATAGCAGCGAAGGAGGCCGGGTGTTTGACTGGGGCGGTCAGCAGTTTTCGAGGGATGGCAAGCGAGGTTCGAGGGGTGATCGACATCCGTGAAGAATAGACGTCATCTTCGTCAGAAAAACTCGGTATTAGTGGCCGAGTGTGGTCTGCTGAGCCCGACTCTGAGCCTTCGTCCTTTTCGCGCTCCTCATCCTCATCTTCGGAGCTGTCGTTCTCGCTTCCGGACTCTTCCCCGTTTTCCTCTTCGCTCCCCTTTTCGTAGTCTCGTCTAGTCGTGCCGCGAGGGGGAAGCTCCAAGTCTGAGTCCGAGTCTCCATCGTCTTCCGGCACGAGCTCTTCCTTGCGTCGTTTGCGCGCAGGGCCGTCCTCTTGCATATGCATCAAGTCATCTGTCGTCAAGGCTCTCCGTCTGCTTGTCATATTTATAGCTTGGTAGGACAAGATATGTCTGAAAAGCACAGGTGGAGGGTATGTGTTTAGGGTAGAAAGGTAGCAGCAAATAGACGCCCATAAAAATCTAGCATCGAGGCGCCGAAGTTCGTACCGCGGTCGCGCTGTGTGGCGTGTCAACCGGTTCTTTGCTCAGAGCGCTCTCCTAACCATCGAGCTATACGTCCGCGTATGTGCCATTGGTCGTCTTTATCTCTGTGCAACACTCGTTTGTGAGCGCACAGAATGCCGAGAGTGAGTGAGTGTGCGATGTCATGTACGCACCAGATGGTCTCAACACATTCTCTTGCTTTGTGCAGGGACGCTGCTCTCAAGCGGCGCGACTAGAGACCTGTGGCTGCTGCTGAGCAGAACCATTTATTGAGCAAGCGACGCTGTGTAAAAGCTGTTACGGTGCTACATTCGCCATCATGGACCGCGATCGGTCTCATTTGGAAGCTGGGCAGTCCTATGGGGCACCCTCGCTTGGGGATTTGGAAAACTTGAAGATTTTATAGCAGTTCGAGATCGCTGGGCTCGTCCCTACCGCCAGCTTCGCGAATGGCTAGTAAACGATACGAATGTCCACATGCTGTGCGCGGGCGTACGTCGAAACACGATACCGGTCCGAGCTGAGACATCTATCGTTCAACATAAAACACTTCAGGTCTGCAGAACGCTGGTCGTGGCATCTCTTTCCCCCCACATCCTATCGCAGTACTCGACGCAACATGAGTGGTGTTTGGGAAGCTCCTCCTCAGCCTCCCACCAAGCTTGGCCGCTACCGGCAACTGGCACCTCTGGCAGGCGTGCATGTCTCGCCCATACAACTCGGCGCTATGAGTATCGGTGATGCGTGGCAGAAGTTCGGCATGGGTGCGATGGACAAGGAGAGCAGCTTCCAGCTGCTTGACGCGTACTACGACGCTGGTGGAAACTTTATTGACACAGCCAACGCCTAGTGAGTCATAGGATCCCTGTCATGGCATCTTGGTGAAGCTGACATACGCATAGCCAGGATGAGACGTCTGAGCTGGTCATCGGCGAGTGGATGGAAAAGCGCGGCAACCGTGAACAGATTGTCCTCGTCACCAAGGCCCGTCGTTCACCCCGTTGGTGAAAGCTCGTATGGCTAATATTATAGTTTCTACAGTACACCTCCAACTACAAATATGGCACTTCGTTCAGCGAGATTCCCCAAAAGACGCATTACATCGGCAATAACCTCAAATCACTGCACAACTCTGTGAACGCGTCGCTCAAAAAGCTGCGTACGGACTATATCGACATCCTATACGTGCACTGGTGGGACTACGTTACCAGCGTCGAGGAGGTCATGAATGGTCTCCACAACCTCGTCGCGCAAGGCAAGGTGCTCTATCTCGGCGTCTCCGACACGCCTGCATGGGTCGTCTCAAAGGCCAATACCTACGCGCGCATGGCCAACAAGACGCCATTCGTCATCTATCAAGGAGAGTGGAGTATCATGAAGCGTGATCTTGAGCGCGATATTTTGCCTATGGCTCTTCATGAAGGTGTGTGGTCCGACACAAGTGGATATGCCTCGTCTGACTGGTGACCTAGGCATGGCCATAGCACCTTGGGGCGTCCTTGCCGGCGGCAAGGTCCGTACAGACGCAGAAGAACAGCGCCGCATCGAGTCGGGTGAGGGCGGTCGCACCATGTTCGGCGACTGGAAGCGAACCGAGGAAGAACGAAAGATCTGCTCGGGTCTCGAAAAGGTTGCCGCCGATATTGGCGCGAAGAGCATCACCTCTGGTGCGCACCTAGTTTTTGTTCACTGCTGCCTATCTGACGAATCTATCTCATTGCTGTAGTTGCTATTGCATATCTCATGCAGAAAGCTCCCTACATCTTCCCGGTCATTGGCGGACGCAAGGTCGAGCATCTGTACCAGAACTTAGAGGCACTCGATATCTCTCTCACTCCCGAGCAAATCAAAAGCCTCGATGACATTGCGCCGTTCGACAAAGGCTTCCCATTCGCCTCCTTCGTGAGTACAATGCTACTTAGGCTGCAGAAATCCCGCTGATTCTGAAATCTTCAGGGTGATGGATCCTACTACAGTCATAGGTACACGGCCACAGGCCACTTCGACAAGTGGCCTGCTCCTCAGGCAATTCGACCTGCGTCGAAATAGTAGGGACGAATAAGTAGTGGCAGATGTATCCTTCAATATAGCCGCCACGAGAACGTTGTTTTGCTTACGAACCGAGGCCTCTGATTGTATCGAGAAGTGTATTGATAGAAGGAGTGACTAGAGGAGTGAAGCAAGCCAGCCATCGAGGCTGTGGCGTCAAATAATATACAGCGACCTGATGTGATTGAGAAAGAAGAGAGGGGGACAGACAAAATCATGAGTAAAAATTAGGTAATCAAAACTTCTCCGCGTCCCCAGAGCAAATGATAGAGTACGCAGGACCTCCAGATTCACTGCTGAAGGACTCTGCCATCGGGTCTTCGAAGGGATATAGTAGCTCGTCGCCGAACACATTTAGCGACAATCCACCGTCTTGACGGTCAGCAGTGTCGAAGGATTGACCGTGTTGAGACGTCGAAGCGACCTGAGTAGAGGACGACGGCCGGCCAGGCCAGGCCAATCCGCTCAGCCCGAGGACGTCGTCAAAGTCACCAGGCCCACACGTAGTGTGCATAAAGATGCCATTAAAAGCCGAGCCACTAGATGCCTAGAGAACATGTATATATTAGTAAAAGCAGGGTCATGAACGATACACGAACATACGCTGACCTTGCTGTCAACAATCTTGTTATTGCCGGCGAGTGGCCGCTGGGAAGTGTGCCTCGCCATTGAATGCTCTGCAGCAAAGGAGGCCTCGAAGCGAGTGAGACGCTGCTTCAGCTGCATGTTTTCGGATCTCAGCAACTCTAACTGAGAGCTGAGTTGTTGAAAGGGCCGCTGCAGCGCCGCCATGTGCGGCGTAGATGTGGAAGACGCCGGACCTGGGGACGTAGAAGGGGAAGGTGTCAATGCGCACGATGGCATGTCAGACTCCGTAGGATAAGAGTCTGCAGGGTGAGGTCTGCAGAGCCCAGAGGAAGATTGGCCATCCGAATCGTCGTTGTTGGAGGCATCCGTGATACCAAAGATACTCTTCATCTGTTTCTTCGCGTACGACTTCTCAGCAGCGATCTCCGCAGCAGAGCTCTTCACGGACGCCTTCCGCGAGGGCTCGAACTTGTAACCAGGGAAGAGCGCCTGGTGCAGGTCGGCCGCATCTTTCGCCCTCAGGCCCCATTCGTCCCGTACGTACGCGGGAAGGCTCCGCCATATGTCGGCGGCGATGACGCTCGTCGTCTGCTGCTTGTTATGCAGCTGCTCCGCGTTTAGCTTGTACTTGAGCAGGAACGAGCGGAAGAGTAGGAAGGCGTTCGCCGGGCGGGGAATGTGTGAGCCAGAGCGACGTGGAATGGCTCGAGGCTTCGGAATCTGATAGTCCGTCGGAGGAAGAAAATCTGCAGGATGCGAGATGTGGTAATTCTGGCGCGGGCAATTGGCCTGCATCAATGTGTTCGAGCCGCGTGGGGAAGAGGAGGGAGAGGATCCGAGGGATACGCATCCAGAGTCGGCCGGCGACGCTGGAGGCATATGTTTGGAAAAAGACCTCATGGGGTGTGCGGAATGACTGTAAATTCGAATGAGCATTATACCTACCAAAAGACGCTGTGAAAATCAGACTTACCTGACAAAGGTTGATTCGTAGAGAGGGACGTTGTGACAGCTGTTGAGAACGACGGTGAAATTATTGGCTACGTGCGGTGCAAGAAGGTGAGCAAGCTCAGAGAGATGAAAATAAGGCTCATTACTGACCTTGAGATAAGCTTTTATAGTGTTTCGCGGGCTGAGGCTCTGCAAACGTGAAACGAGAGGAACGACCTGAAAGACATTCGCCACTGGTGTTCTTGAGCGGAGTACGTAGCCATGGGGTGAAGTGTTTCCTCCATCTCATTGTCCTCATCCCTCAGCGAATGGCCGAGTGCAGCAGCTCAGACAACGAGGAAGGCACAACAAATCAAGTGCACGGGCGTGGAAGTGAAAATCTTTCAGATCTTCATTTCAGAGGGTGTTGCAGATGGCATACCAAGTCCTTTGTTTTATATTAAGGCCTGGCTGCACGCATCAGCCCAAATAGGCAGGAAACGCACGAACTCCCTAGTATTGGCTCGTCAACGATGTCATAGCATTCGTAGCTCTGATAGCTTTCACCGACGCAGTGGTGGATGGCGACGAGGATGAGGCGGTGAGCTAGGCGCCGAGATTGCTGAGCAGGCAGAACTTGAAGTAGCGGATCTAGTGAACGGAGGTGTTTGTGTGCGCCTTCATGACTGGGAGAGGCCTCTTGAGCCTGGACCAAGAAGTTTACCATCATAGCATTGGAATGTCTCTATAAGATCTAGCAATGCCGGTCAGCCCAAGTATGGTATACATCATCTATGAAGACTCACATGACGTCTAATGTCTAGAAGTGAGTATAGTCGGTAAACAAAGTACATATCTACGTAGTCCGTTCGAGCCAGACAGACTCTCCTGCAGCCTTCTTCACCCTGTTCATCACCGCCAAACCCTCCCGTTCCTCCTGCACTTCTTCTATGAGGATGACATGCACACCATCTCGCTCAGCTGTCAGCATGTTGTCGAAAAGCCGCTGGGCTGTGACAGAGGGGTCTGCGACAGGGCCGAGCGGGTACCTTGCCCACTCAACACCAGATATTGAAGGGATGTGGTCCAGAAATGGAGAATCAGATGGTGTCAACAGGCCGACCTTAAGCGTGTCGTTGTGAGGAAAGCGAGCCTTGAGAGAGCCAAGGAACGCGTCTGAGCACATCACGTCCGTGCTTTCCGGCGGTACCGACAGCGTGTGCAGTAGCACAACAGGCACGGCGGGCGAATAATGTCTGTACTTCATGCCGGGCGTCGTCGGTGCCTGCTCCATCGCCTCGTCCCTGTAGTCTCGGCGGTGCACCAAAACACGGGGCACAGACGACCCACTCGGCAGCTCCTCGCGCAGCACGCGCTCGATGTCCTCCACAGTGACCCCTCCCGGCCGGAGCACGCGCACGTCCCCGTCTGCGTGCAGCCCGTCCACGACCGTGCTCTCGAGCCCGACGCCGCACGCGCCGCCATCGAGGATGAGCTCGATCTTGCCGCGCAGGTCTGTGGAGACGTGTTCCGCACGCGTGGGGCTCGGCTTCCCTGACGAGTTTGCGCTGGGGGCCGCAAGCGGGGCGTCCGTGATGGCGATGAGGGCGCGTGCGACGGGGTGTGAGGGCATGCGGATCGCGACTGCGGGCTGGCCTGCTGTGATGATGGGCGGGACGATGCTGCTGTCGGTCGGGAACAGCAGTGTGAGGGGGCCTGGCCAAAACCGCCTGATAAGAACCTCGTAGACAGGTGAAAGCTCGTAGGACGGAGGGAGAAGACGGTGCAGCATCGTTTTCGAGGAAACATGAACAATCAGAGGATTGTCTGGCGGCCTGCCCTTGGTGGAGAAGATGGTAGCAGCAGCTCTAGCATTGAGAGCAAGCGCACCAAGACCATAGACTGTCTCTGTTGGGAACGCCACAGGCTTCAACTTTCGCAGCAGGTCTCGTGCGTCTTGCAGTGCGCGTAGGGTTTCGGCGTCGGTGATCTCTGGGCCTTCGTTCTCGGTAAACGAGATTGCAGCCGGGTCGCATTGCAGGACCCTCGTTTGGGTCGACATGACGGTAGTGCAGAACCTAGGAAGAGCTCGTCTAAGGAATCTTGAAAGGGATAGCATCCCAGATTTCACCAGTTTGAAGCATATGGACGTAGTTGACTCGAGTTCAAAAAATGAGGTAAGCGATCGGGTCAAATCTACCTCTTACGCGATCTCGGACTTCAATCAAATTGACACGCTAGTGGAATCCTCGAACATGGGTATATTATACTTATGACACCACTCGCCGCACTCATACAACACAGCAACGGGCAATGAATTGGAAAGAAAGCTGGTACATACAAAACCTGGACCTGTGCAGAAGCGCCAGAAGATTCCGGGCAGACGGTCAACAGGTAATGCTCACTTTTACATACCACCAGGCGGACCACCCCCCATCATTCTCAGCCTATCAGGATGGATACCGCCAGGTCCCGCCGGTGGAGGGGGACCCTGGCCCGGAGGAAGGAAGTTACCGTTAGGGGGGAATGGAGGCCCTCCAGGGGGTGGGGGACCACCGGGAGGACCATTCACGTTCGCCGGAGGGAAAGGTGGTATACCTGAAACAATTCAGTCAATAAACGAAACAAAAGACGTCGAAGCCGTCGAAGAACAAGAACGCATACCGTTGGGCGGGAAACCTGGCATACCTGGAGGCGGTGGGCCCATTCCAGGTGGAGGGAGGAAAGGCGGCGCACCTGGAGGCATCATACCTGGAGGAGGCATACCTGGCGGGAAGGGCGGACGGCCTCCTGGTCGGATAGAAGGTCAGCTAGTTATCTTCGGCCTTCTTCGGTGTTGAGGACGTACCTGGGAATGGTGGAGGAGGGAAAGGCATCCCCGGCGGGCCGCCAAAACCGCCAGGAACGGGTGCGAGATGCTGTGGGCCAAAGCCAAAGCCACCAGGAGGAGGGCCTCCGCTTGACTCGTAGGCAGCCGTGATCTGGTCGATGATACTCTGTGCTTTATCATGTCCTAGGGCTGCACTCGGGGTTAGCACCAAACCACGGTCAGGGTAAAGTTGCCACGTACAAGCATAGTAGTCCCTAACGTTCGCAAGGTGGTTCCTACCGCTGTTATGGGCTTTGCGGACTGAAAAGCAAATATTAGTCACGAAGGGTTTGTGTCGCATAGTCGTATAAGACTCACCTGAGGCCGAGTCATGAGTCAGAAAAACATCACAGTAGTCGCAGTAGTGTTTCTGAAAATATATGTCAGCGTTGCAGCAGCGAAGCGGCGGAAGGAAAACATACTGGCATGGTGGTCGCAACGCAAGAGGACGAGGAGCGCGCTTGGCAGTTGGAGCGGAGAATTGAGGCGTGAGCCACGTGGTGCACGTGCCCAAGTCCGAGAGCGCCGCCCGCGTTCTGGACGCGACTTCCACGACGATGGACACCTCCGCCGCCATCCAGGAGCCGTTCGACCTCATCAGGCTCTCCCTCAGTGAGCGTGTCTTTGTGAAACTGCGAGGAGACCGTGAGCTGTCTGGCATTCTTCATGTAAGATCTGTGGGTCGACTCGCCTTAAGACTGACCCTCATGTCTCTCTTCTTCTAGGCATATGATGGACACATGAACCTGATTCTGAGTGATGTCGAGGAAACGATTCTCATTGTGGATCAGATAGATGGTGCTGGGGAGGGCCAGCAAACTGTCAATGTGAGTCGCACGAGTCGATATTTGCTGCATGTCGCTCACACTTGGGTTAGATGGCAAAGCGCAAGATGGAAATGCTGTTTGTGCGTGGTGACGGCGTCATCTTGGTGCGTCTCTCCTTATTCCTCTGTTTGATTGCTGTCTTACTATCGTTGTCATCTCTAGGTCTCTCCTCCCTCACGATAGCACACACACTTCCCCTCCCAAAATCCTGCGCATTCATTCTCGACGGTTATGTTCGCAACTACATCTCTAGTCGCGCACGATTTCCGTTTCATAAATCCTTGTATCTGTACAAGAAGCCATTCACCTTTTTGTCATCAACGTACAGGAAATGGAACAATTGCCATACCAGTATGTGTGCTTCCCTTTGATTGCGTGCATTCCTTGTCGTATCTTTGAATTTGGCCTACGGTTGCACTTGAATATTTGCAAGTGTCACGTCTCAGTGCTGCACGGAGCTGCTGATTTAAAGGTGTATGCCGTTAACTTGCGCTGTTGAACAGACGGACTTGATGGCATATAACACTGGCTGACCTTCGGGCATCTCAGGATCTGACGACTGTGATAGCAGCAGACTTCGGGCCTGCGAGGCTGACACAGCCCGTCATGTACTACGGTCGCCATGGTCCTCAACATTCACTACCTCGTCATGGACTGTGGACCGGCCAGCAACCTCGAGGGCAGATTCAAGGTCGAAGAGGAAAAGTACATGTTTGAACTTCGTGACGCTGTATACAATTTACATGGCATCTTCTTCGTCCTCAACAAAATTGACCGTAGCGACCTCGTCGTCTATGTAGTGAGTCGTCACTGTCATGTTCACCCTATGCCACGCTGAACCTCGCAGCCGTCCAATCTGGTAGTCGAGCCCGAAATCACGGCGGGAGCTGATGACCCGGTTTTCTCCCTAGTGCCTCTTAGTATGCAAACCGATATACGCCAGGTGTTCAAATTTGAGCAAGAGACAAAATACATCGTCATTGCTAAGAGATCTTTTGCAATGTGCGCTCCGACGGCGCGTCCGCTGTCGTGTTCGCTCTCGCATCCGTGTACCCCCATATGCCGCTCAAAGCCACACAATATATACGACACTACAGATTTTCGACAGTTTGTGACTACACTCTGCGACGCGTCCTCAAATGACGCCGATTTCAAGCAAGCGCTAGAGGGCCTGGCGGAGACGAGCCTTCCGGTGTCATTCTTGGAGAACATACGGCATGTGGTGCTCGCTGCACGGGACAGCAAAGAGCTGAACTTCTCGCTCCCGCCGTGCCACGATTCGCGGCGTCAGCTCGCCAGGCCAGACGGACTGGCACGCAAGACCAAACGCGCACTACGGGCAAAGGCATTGTACACTTGTAAGTGGAAGTTCGCTGGTGCGACGGATCGTTCAGGGAGCTGACGGGCCTGCAGATACAGCGGACCCTGATGATCCCGCGGAGCTTTCGTTCGAGCAAGGGGAGGTGTTCGATATATTGGCCAAAGACGATAACTGGTGGGGGGTCAGAAAGATGGACGGCACGCGAGGGAGTGAGTGTAGGAGTGCCGCACTTGCGATTTGCTAACTTTCATTTAGTTGCGCCCAGCAACTATTTGCAGCTCCTGAAGTAGCTTCATGCTGCGGTCACCGGCTGTCAGTGCTTCCAGAGAAGTGATGTGCTTGATTTGGATGCTGTTCAATTTTATCTTATTTGCCTTCGTCCATCAAAAACAGAGGGCATGTCTTGACATATGACCTTGAAAAGGCTGGCAAAGGATGAAAGTGCATCCTCAGAATTACTAATTGCAAGTGCTTGGTAGAATAAATCGCCAGGAGCTAAACACCTGAGAAGGTGGTTGTGGTACAATGTCAAGGTGTCTGGAATTGAAGGATCCAGATGGCCATCCTTGTCATTTTTCTCTAGACAACTGGTTGAATGGTTGTTGTGTACACCTTAACCATATTGAAATGTTGTCAACGCAGCATGGACTTCATATTGCTGCTCTGCTATTTAGAAGTATCACAATCCAAACTTTGCAGGGACTGCTGAGTGCAGAAGTTCTTGCCTCTTCTTGGCACATCAGAATTCAGGAAACAGCATCTGGCCATGAAGCAGGGGTGTCTATTACCATGGGCCACTGCATCACGTACAGGTCAGGTTCAGGAGCACTAGCACTTGGTATCTCGGTATCTCCTATGGACCACTACAGTGTGTTGGCAATTGTGTATCATGTCAACCCCGCATGTGTGTGTGACTCACACAGCTGTGATCATAGGTGTGCCAGTGTGTCAACCTAGCGAAATAGCTCTCTGTGTGACAGGCATCTTCTATCGCAAGCATCTCCAAGAGGTTATTGTTGTGTAACAACTATCAGCAGCTGTGCAAGCACAAACTGGCAAGATGCACGTAGGCACAATCTAATACACACAGGGATTAGTCTGAGTGCAAAGGGAAAGAGCACACTGTATAGTATATACCTAATACACACGGTGTTAGCTATATAAAGGGTGGTAAGTGTTATACTGAGGTGTTTCCCATGGTCACGTGGTTGGCAGGTTCCAGCTGAAGTACCGTTAAAACCTGCCACCCTATGATGTCATTGCTCTCTTTCCAGATATAGATATGACGCGCGCAGAGCACACTCAGCTCTGGTGCCTTTTCACTCCCTGCTATGTTTCTCTTAGTCTCAGCTTCCTCAGCATACATAATATTGGACTGAATATATTAGGAGGTAGATACATTATATAAGGACACATAGGAATATCTTTAGAATTTATCTTTGATTACTCGTGAATCCCCCACCTGCGCGATTCCATTCACAACAGTAAGCATACTACATAATGCAAGGGTGACAAAGGGAGACTTACTCTGAGTGCGAAGGGAGGGAGCACACAGAGTGGAAATGAGGGGAGGAGTCCTTATATACACTAAAGATGTAAAATTGAAAGTCTGATGGAATGGAGAAGTCTGCCATAAAGAAGGTCTGTGTGTGGGAGCACTACATATAATTGTTCAATCACTATCTATGTATTAGTATGTGCCTACAATAAGAGTCCACCTTAAGTCCATGCTGGGTGGAACATTGAGCCAGAGCCACTAGGTGCTTCAACACTCCCTTCTTGGCAAGACAATGCAGAACGAAGCCAAGAGACTGGGTGTGACAACTGTGTACCTCAGCTGATAAAGGCTTTGTGAGAATATCAGCCAGATTGTTAACACCAGAAATCCTAACAAGTTTGATTAAGTCTGCTTCTATCAGCGACAACTGCACTTCAGCACTAACAACAGCTAGGGCAGCTCTTCCAGGGAATAAGACAGGCAATTACAACTACAAGGGGTAAGCAAAAATAACTATATGCTGGAGCTAAGGCTCAATAGCAAGAGACTGGGGGTGGGAGGAGCTGAACTCCTGAGAGGCAAGGCAGTCAAGAGTGATGGTCAGGGTAAAAACCAGCTCAAGGCTGGAGATCTTATTCCAGAAAGTCTGCAGCCTTATATACCTTACAAGATAGGTACTATACAGTATTACCTAAGCACACTCTAACCCACTTCAAGGCTCTACATAGGAGCTGAGTCAGAGTCTGACAAAGTCTGACAAAGCCTGACTCATATAAGGGCTAAGTCTGGACTGAGTCTAGTGCTGGCTGGATCAGTACAGGGGTTGAGAGGTGAAGATAGACAAAAGTGATAAGAATAGGAGAGATGTAGAAATAGGGGTAAAAGAGTGAAAATAAGTGAAAATAGGTAAAAAAAATAGAGTCTGATTCATGACAACATCCAGTGATTCACTCCAAGGTAATATCAAGAAGCAGAATGGATTTTGGCCTTGGGAGTTGCGTCCCCTTCAGTGGTGACTACATGAGTACATGTACAGATGTGGAACCAGTGCTACTGCCAGACAGATTACTTTTCCTGTCTCTGGCTTTGCCTGCACTACTCTTTTTTGCCTTATCAAAGGCAGCCTTTTTCTGTCTACAAACCTGCTCGTAGTGGCCTTTGTACCCACAGAAATTGCACTTGCCCTTCTCTCCAGCCCTGCCTGACTTAGGCTTGGCCGATGAGGAAGCCTTCATATTCAGGGCATGGAAAGTGGCGACACTTGTAGTGCAACATTTCACTTCATTGAGGAGATGGTTGTGGATGTCATCAAGCTTGAGGTCAGCAAACTTTGTGTCAGCAAGGATGGGCTCCACAATGTTGTTAAATAAGTCGGAGAGGGCCATGAGCAGACCAAAGATCTGCAGCAGCTCTGGAGTTCTCCAAGCCCCAGAGGCGTCCACTTTTTGCCAGAGTCGGGCATATTCATCAAGTTGGGCAGCAAAGTTGTTGCTGTTTGTGATTGTGTGTGAGAAGTATGCACGAAATTTGACAAAGGCTGACATGGTAGTGGTGGTGGTGTAGTTGTCCTTAAGCTTCTTCCAAAGTGCAGCAGTGGTGATGTCCATTTTCTCTGCAAAATGGAGGAGCTCATCACTAAGAGTGGTGATGATATAGAACCTTGCATAGTTATTGGTGTTCTCCCATGCTTCAAGGTCAGCGGCAGTGACAGTGCCACTGATAACAGGCTTTGTCTCAGTGCCATCACATGTGCATGCAGCAATGAAGTACTGCTTCATCATCAGTGACCACCGATAATAGTTGGTGGGGCCTTTGAGCTTGCCAATTACATCAACCTTCATTGACAGTAGACTGAAGGCTGATGCAAATGCGGAGGCAGAGGACATGGCCATGCGGTGAGGTGCGGTGGATGCTGGCTGAGATGTAGTAGTGGTGGGAGTTATGCAAGGGTTTGTACGAGGGGTTGTGCAAAGACAAGCAGTGGCTTCAGCAGGTGTGGGTGCAGTTGGTGAAGGCAAGTGGGAGGCAGAGCCTTGTGGACCAGACATACACTAGAGTACAACTCTAGTGTGCATGTGTGATGTGCAAAACTCTACAAGTAAACTTGTAGTGTTTGTTGTGGACCAGATGTGCAGCTGGTGCAAAACTCAATGAGCACTACTCATTGTGTTATGGAGTGAATGTGGGGGCCAGTTACAAGCCAGGGCTCATAACCTATTGTTGTATAACAACTATCAGCAGCTGCACAAGTGCAAACTGGCAAGATGCACGTGGGCACAATCTAATACACACATGGTTAGTCTGAGTGCAAAGGAAAAGAGCACACTGTATAGTATATACCTAATACACACAGTGTTAGCTATACAAAGAGTGGTAAGCATACTACATAATGCAAGGGTGATGAAGGGAGACTTACTCTGAGTGTGAAGAGAAAGAGCACACAGAGTGGGAATGAAAGGAGGAGTCCTTATATGCACTAAAGATGTAAAATTGAAAGTCTGATGGAATGGAGAAGTCTGCCGTAAAGAAGGTTCATGTGTGGAAGCACTACATATGATTGTCCAATCACTATCTATGTATTAGTATGCACCCACAATAAGAGTCCACCTTAAGTCCATGCTGGGTGGAACACTGAGCCAGAGCCACTAGGTGCTTCAACAGAGGTACAGTATGACACAGACAGGTTGCAGTGATGAACATTACTGTATATGCAGCCTTATATCATCAAAGTTGATCGACTATTATTGACTGATTAGATAAGGTCTGCTTAGGGAGACTACCTGTGAGTCTACTTAACGTCTAACATGCGTGCTCTCCGCGCAAGACCTGCGTCCAACGGGCGCCCTTCGAGTTATGACATGCGTTTGAACAGAGGATCTGGATTACCAATTGCAACTAACTTGCGGAGCTCGCGCTGCAGCGCTGATTTGTGCCTGAAGCCGGCCTGCAGTTTGAGACATCCGAAGACTCATATTACTATATATCTTTTCTTCGTCGACATGAACACTCTCGACGATCACCATGGGCTACCTGTACATTGTGTATGCCATCAGTGCCCTCGCCCTCTACAAAGGAGGATCGCTCATATGGAGCACAAGCTCCTCGCCTCTCTGACATCTCTGTGGTCTGCCAAACGAGAGCTTGCTTTGGAGAAACATGGGGGCTATACAGAGGGAAGAAGACTCAGTGCCTCAGAACCAATGGATTCAACAATATGGGCACACGATTGCTTACTGCAGACTCTTTAGCATGCATGTTCACATCGTCTGCCCATCGCTACAGTTTCCTAACAATCCTGTGATAAGGCAAAGCGCCTCTGGACAATGGACACCCGTGTGCTGAACCATATCATGGTGCACCACACCATCTACCAGCGTCCTTTTCCCATCAGATATATGCTATCGCGCGCCGTAGGTCCTGGTGTCCTTGTGACCAAAGGTGCGTGTCACCTCTCGTGCTATCCCTCTAACATTCTCATTGGGATCAGTAAATAACAGTAGATTAGTTTAGCGTGCGTTCACAGAAATTCATGAATCTCGTGGGGCGTTCACAGTCACGCTGTGACTTTTATGTTTCTCCCAAAATTGCATGTTTTTCCTTATGCGGTAGCATCCACTCCCGCCCAATTTACAGGCGTGGGACCTACCCCCACCGCCGTAGACCTTCGCCTCCTTACATTATGAGCAGCGGTGACCCTGCCCTCGTCACTTTAAATTATCTTAACCAAGGCTTTGCTCTTGACCCGGTACTGGCAGAACTCGACACTGCCTCAAGCTGCCATCAAGAACAAAGGTTGGATATCCCTAATCTGGCTGTGGAAGGCAATCATCCATGTGGTGGGCCCGCCTTATTGTCTATATCTACCACCTCATGTCTTGCCAGAGCAGCTCGCACAAGACAAGACAGACCTGGAGATGTACACGACACCGTGCCACCCGTGTTCTCGCCGGCCACCCCATCATCAAGGAAGAGGCGCCGGGAACCTGACCAGGACGTCTCTCCTGGGTCCGCGCACAAGATCGCAAATGCTCGAGTGAAGCGCATGCGTGTGGTGGAACAAGTCGGGAATGGAGACAAATAGTAAGTTTGCAAGGTGTGGTTGCTTGCTCCAGCACAATCACAGCACATGGACAGTGCCCGACACAAGGTCGACAAGCTAAAGGGCTTCTGCCGAGACCGCAGATTGCCTGTCAGCGGGCACAAAGAGGCTCTCATCGCACGACTTCATCAAGCAGATCGTGATGCTGCAGAGTGCACATTGGGAGCAGCTGAGACGTCCAGGTGAGCATCTGCTTGTCGCACTCTGAACAAGACAACAGAACTAACGTACAGCCAGTGCAAGCCATGATGCAAAGTCTCGAGAGCCATGTGTTGACACCGGTCTCGAGAGCGACATGCAAAGCTGGTTCCCTGACTTGGACAAGGCTTTTATTGCCGGCTTCATGGGAGACGACAATGTAGATGATGATGATGCTGGTGAGGAGTTGCCGGAAGAAGACGCTGAAGAAGACAGTGAGAAAATCCTGCTGGATAACAACCCCAAGCTCTCCGGTGAGTCTTACTCACTAGACTGTGTGCATCGCAGTGCTTATGAGGTTGATTTGCATGCAGCTACTAACCAATGGGTAAGTCTAATACTTACTCCAGTATGAGCCTGCCATATTTGCTCAATTGGCCTGCTCTGTGGTTTACAGGTGGATGAGTTCATTTTTAACACATGACGGGTCAGCAGCAAACAAACTGAAACAAGTGTACTTCGACAATGGAAGGTGCGTCTCGCACTAGCGGATTAATGTGTACGCTTGAGCCTTGGTATTGTTTGCAGCATTGGCTCACCGGCTCAATCCTTGCCGGCACAGTTCCTGACGCCGTTGTTGATGCCAACCATATGATGGAATACCTCAAGTACAGCGCGACGCGCACAGTCCTCACCCGATGCGGCAAGGAGTCAGGCTCCAGAAAGCAGCTGACATCGGTGTGCACAGCTGTTTTTATCTTCATCATATAATGTCTCACAGCTCTCTCGCGCAGTCTTCGCTGAAGAAGATCTCTGTCATGCTCGGTCGAGTCCGGCGGCGCCAAGAAGAAGATGATCCAGCTCTCGCAGGCAGTCGTCCCACCCAATCGTCACGCCTGTCTGACTTCTATAAGTCAGTGCAGATTCAAGCGCAGCGTCGCCGTTTCGAGTAAGTGTGTGAGCCTGATTGCCCGAATTGATCACGACGCTAACTGCATTCTTCAGTGACGACAACTTTGATGTGACAAAGGACACTATCCTTGATTTTGAACTCCTGCCAGTTCACTTCGAGCAGGTCAAGATGGTAATTTTATCAGAGCTCAAGCAAGGTATGAGGCCTGAATCATGTGTATTCCATTAGTTACTGAATGCCTATTCTTTGTGCATAGTTTCGACTGTCATCAAGACGCTGTTCGGATGGAACTGGCAATGCTCCACATTTAACCGCGGTGACGAGCTGGTCAACTTACTGCTCGGGTGCCTGCAGCCGTTTCAGCTTTTCGTACCAGAATACACAACTGTAGACGGGCGCCGATCAGGTCTTGGATCAAGGTTTTTCGCCATTCTGTGCCTGTTCCATGAAACTAAAGTTGCACGCCCCGGGGTATGCACCTGTTTCCTCCGAGAGTGCATAAATCCATGCTCATCTGTTGGTCAGAAAAGCGAGCCAAACTACAACTGTGTTATCCCCCATTGTGACGCGCTGCGATGTTCCGTCGGAGTGCTCGCGCTCTGGCTCTGGTTTATATTCGATGTGGAGAATCTGATGTACCTGGTGCCTGATTGGGACTGGTCAAAGGCGTCATCATGGCAGAAGGTAAATGCCATCGTTCCCGCATCAAACATGCTCATGCTATCCAACTAGGTAAAACTGATGTTTGGCCAGAAGGTCGGCAAGGAGTGCAAGCCAGATAGCCTCCGAGCAACCTACACAAACATTCTTGACAGGACCACGATCAAGTGCAGCAAGAAGCTTCACCTCGCACGCCGTGCCATCCCGACAGAGCTCGAAAACAAAGGGTAAGTGCATGATAATGTAGCTACATGCTATTGGCAGGCTTTCTCACGTACGTGATAGAGTAAGCGCAGACGCAATCGACAAGGTCGGCCACTGGCAAGGAAACACATGCCAAGAGGTTTACTCATCGAAGATACCAACGACGGTAAGTTACTCATAACTCTCCCGCAAGTCTGATCCCTATCGCTCATTCAACACCGCATCGCAGGCCGTGACCGCTCTCGCTGGCTTTTTTGTCGGAGAGCAGTACAATGTACCATGGGCAACTGTCCCTGTGCCATTGCACCTGGAGGTCCAGGTGTTTCCGTTCGTCGAGGCCGCAATATCGAAGCTTGCGATGTCATCAGCAGACGGCCGGCCGAACAACGGCACCATCAACTTCCTCGAACTTCTCCAGCAGCTCCGACCATTCTTTTGGCGAGTACGTCGGCCATCAGCAGTGTGATCTCGTGCTCAACTTTCGTTTTATTTACAACAGACCGTCACCGTGATCAAGACACGTTTCCCCCGGAGCCCGATCTTCAAGCGTTTCAAAGGACCGAAATCAATCTTCGGGAGCGAAGGCGCACAGGAGTTTCTTGAGGCATGGCCAGAGCTTCTATCAGTCAAGGAGCGCACCGCAGAGGAGTCCCACCAGCAGAGCCTTGTCTTCCGTGAGGCTGCAACACAATCGGCGTTCGTATCACTTAGCAGCCGCCTCTGCAGCATGGAAGACATGTCACGCACGCAGTCTGAGCAGCTCACCGTTCTGACGCGTCGCACAGAACCACTCTCACCATCAAAGAGCCGGCACCTGGATGTGGCACTCAACATAACGAATGGCCCCCACGTACCGGTGCACGAGCAGTTCTGCTCGCCGCTGTCATCCTCGCTCAACAGGCTTGACGTCTGCAGAACGTCGGGTTCACCCGAGGAACTGCCAGTAACTCCAACGACTGCAGCGTTCACGCTGCCATCGACAGTGCCGACGACGCCGTGTACCTCACCATCTCGGCAAACTTTCAGCTTGCCTGCGCCGTCGCCCGAGCGCGTCCTTGTTCCCCAACAGGTTTTGCACAGCGGTCGCAAATATACCGTTCTGCCGCTGGCACCTGGACCGGATCCGCCGTCCACCAACGCCGACCTCATCCTTCCGCAGCCGACTGCCTTTCAGGACCCCCGCAGCCACATTCCAGCTGGGTACCCGCAGTTCACCTCACAGACCAGCAACTGGCCGACCGTGCTGCGGCTGATCACGCAACCAATGGAGGTGTGGGAGTGCTGGGCGCCGATGACGCTCGGGACGTACAAGAGTGTGCACGAGATTTGGCACGCGTGGGACCATGGGGCAGCTGTGGAGAGTGTCGGAAGTGCCCCGCCACTCCGCCTCTTGACACGTTATGTGGCACCATAGTCAAGGATCTGTCGAAAGGAGTGATCAAAGGGCAACAGCAGGTGTGGCGGCCGTCTTCTGCCCAGGTGCGTGCTTCTGCCTTCAGCTTACTGGTTACCGGCAGGCTGACAGACCTCTCACAGGCTCGCAAGCAATGGAGCCTGTTTGAGTTCTTCATGAAGCACGTGCAGGCCGTGATTGACACCGGCAGCACGGCTTTCGATGCCGTTGACACTCTGGACAGCGAGCGCGGCGACCGCTCGATGCCCACCTTTCACACCGACCTGCAGCGACAAGGCCCGCGGCGAATCAAGAAGAAGGCTGCCGCCACGCTGTCTGCTCCTTCAACTAACAGCGCCAGCTCCGAACCTGCGCCGTCTTTAGGTGCCGCAACGCCAGGCAAGCCTGCTGCCGCCGCCGCGACGAGCGGTCTGCCAGCTTTCGGTGCCGACGTATGCTGAGCATCTGGATTCCATCGTTGTCGGCTGACTCACCACGGCTGCCCCTGTTCTCGCTCACTTTTCAATACAGGTACTCATTCACTTAATCATCTACCTTAGTACATTACTACTACCTTAGTTATATTACTACTACCTTAGTACATTACTGCTAGTATGCTAAAACTACCGAAATTCGTGTGCTTCGCGGATGTGTGGAGGGCGGCGCGACCGCCAGGACTCGGCCGCCGTGGTGATGATTTGTACATGTTTGCACTTCGTCGCCTGCCTCGTCTCGCGCCCTGAAGTGCTCTCGCCGCCGCACGCTCGCCTTTTGTCACCATGAACCGAGCGGTCTCTTAGGGCGGGGCACCGACGGATGCGGGGACCTGGGAGACCACGCTGCATATAGTAAAAAGTGAGGTCGTGCGAGGCGCCAGCGAAAAGTCTCGAGGCCCCCGCGAGAACTGTGAATCTTTCTGTGAACGGCCCCTTTCTTTCTGTGAATCGCAGCGTGACGCCGGCCGTTTCTAGGCCGTGGACCGCCGTTTTCTGTGAATCGCCAGAAAAGAGCTGTGAACGGGCGAGGTGAGCACTGGGGCGAAAAGGCGTGAACGCGGGCGTGAACAGGCGCCGGGTTCACAACTCTTTTGCTGAGATCGACACTCTGCAGATGAACAGCACAAGCGCCAGGTGTGTTACGCTACCATGACCTCGACATGTTCGCGACAGCTAACTGTTGCCCAGCGCCACGTACTGAACCCCGCCTTTGGCCCCGCGCAGGTCTGCGATCTGACTGAGATCTTCACAGAAAAGTCGAACCAGCTACGGGACTGTTGGCTGGAGGAGATATCAAAGAACAGCGGCGCGTCTGCGCAAGTCAATGCGCTCTCGTGGCTCGGCCACGCGACGCTGGATATCATCGGACGCGCAGGCTTCGGATACGAATTCGACGCACTCAACCCGACGGGAGAGACCAACGAGCTGAGTGAGGCAATTTCGAGGCTCTTCATGTCACCCCCGTGAAATCAGCGTATCTTCGCGTTCCTGCAGTCGATTATCCCGCTGCTGTGGCTCATCGTGCATCTCTGTGTGCTCTTCCGGCGTGGGAGCGCATTGCTGATGGAGAGTGGTACTATAGAAAACGGAGAACGACCGCAAGTCTGAGCAGTTGCAGGCAACCATGCGCCGCATTGGTATGCAACTCATCCGGGAAAAGAAGGCGGCGATCATGGCAGAGACCCTCGAGAAGGGCCAGGGAGTCGAACGCAAGGACATAAGGGAGCGCGATTTGCTCACGCTTCTCATTCGCGCAAACATGGCGACGGACATCTCCGAGGACCAGCGACTGACCGATGACGAAGTCCTTGCACGTGCGTGTAACACTTATGCCTTGCGTACCGTCCATAAGACTGACCTGCGCTTTCCACAGAGGTCCCGACGTTCATCGTCGCTGGCCACGAGACGACGAGCACGGCGACAACCTGGGCGCTGTTCTCGCTCATTCAACGGCCTGACGTGCAGCGCAAGCTGCGCGAGGAGCTGCTGCAGGTGGCCACGGACAGTCTGGCGATGGACGAGTTGAATGCACTGCCATACTTGGACACGGTCGTGCGCGAGACGCTGCAGCGCCACCCGCCGGTGCCAATGGCGACGCGCCAGGCATCCGAGAACGACACCATCCCGGTGGACACGCCATACAAGGACAGGTACGGCCGGATGCGTGAGCACATCGAGGTCAAGAAGGGTGACCTCGTGATCCTACCTATTCTGGCCCTGAACCGGCGTAAGGAGATCTGGGGCGAGGATGCGCATGAGTTCAAGTGTGTTCCCGGTTTCATGTGTTCACTGAGCTGCGTGCTGACAGTTAGGCAGGCCTGAGCGATGGGAACATATCCCCGAGGCGGCGGCAAGTGTGTCTGGTGTGTGGAGCAACCTGCTCACGTTCAGTGGCGGGCCGCGAGCGTGCATTGGCTATCGGTTCTCTCTAGTCGAGTGCGTATCACTTGGAATCCCTCCTTACCCCGCTCTCGCGCTCATACTTCTTCCAGGACCAAGGCGCTGCTCTTCGCGCTTGTACGCGCCTTCTAGTTCGAGCTCGCTGTACCGGTTGAGAATATCGAGAAGTGGAGCGGTATCACGACGCGCCCCGTCATTACTGGACCCGACGGTAAGACCAAAGCGTCGCTCCCGCTGATTGTTCGGCCATACAGAGCATAGTGCACACAATTTGGGGTGCAGAAGACAAGCTAACAGGGTGTAGCTGATGACATTGAATCCCTGGTTACATAGTTAAAACACCGAGAATGTGACACAGGGACTTTTTTGAACGGAAATTCTATCTTGACACGAATGAAGGGCAGCGAGCAGAAGGAGAGAGCGGCAGAGCAAGTGACTCCAAGTACAACGATATGGATGCCGGTATCACTCTCCCCGAAAGTTCTCGATTCGAATGCACTGAAGCGTGAAAACAAGTTTATAAAGACTGAAGTACTGAACATGAAGACTGTTTGTCGAAGAGCGTGACCCTTGTGGAGATACATCGAAGGAGGAATTGCAGTAAGGTCGTCATATCATATCCCTACGTTAAGGTTGAGCGCGCGGGCAACAGGTTTCAGTTGTGAACATGTGAAACCCACAACATCTCCGTGCTGTTTGAAGTTTGAGACATCGGTCCTAGGGCTCGCGTATATAAATCTCATCTTCGTCGACCTCTTTGAACAGCTATCCAACCAACATTCGCCATGGACTTCCTGCTCATCGTCTACACCATCGGAGCCCTCGTCGCGCTCGCCCTGTATAAGCTCGCATCGTTTATGTGGAGCAGAATCGCATCACCTCTCCGACACCTCCCTGGTCCCCCAAATGACAGCTTGCTTAGGGGAAATGTGGAAGTGCTACAGAAGGAAGAGGAATCAGTGCCTCAGGACCGATGGGCTCAGCAGTACGGACACACGATCGCCTACCGTGGACTCTTTAGCGTGCGTGTCTACATCGTCTGCTCATTGTCACAGTTTCCTGACAATCCTGTGACCAGACGAGGCGCCTCTGGACGGTGGACACCCGTGCGCTGAACCATATCATGACGCACCATACCATCTACCAGCGTCCGCTGCCCACCAGGTATAGACTGTCAGGCGTTGTTGGTCCTGGCGTACTCGTGACCGAAGGTGCGTGTCCCCCTCGCGTCGTCCCCTATGCGTCCTCATCGGAGTCACTCTACAGGCAAACAGCATAAACAACAGGTGTGTTAAGCTGCCTTAATCTCATTCGCCCTAGCTGACTGTCGCTCAGCGCCGCGTGCTTAACCCTGCCTTTGGCCCCGCGTGCTTAACCCTGCCTTTGGCCCCGCACAGATCCGCAATCTGACCGAGATCTTTACGGGAAAGTCGAATCAGTTGCGGGACTGCTGGCTGGAGAAGATATCCAAGAACGGCGGCGCATCCGCGCAGGTCGATGCGCTCTCGTGGCTCGGCCAAGCGACGCTGGATATCATCGGCCGTGCGGGCTTCGGGTACGAATTCGACGCGCTTAACCCGACGGGAGAGATCAACGAGCTGAGTGAGGCGTTCTTGAAGCTCTTCGCGACACCCCCACGAAGTCGGCGTTTGTTCTCGTTCCTGCAGTTAAACATCCCGCTGCTGCGGCTCATCGTGCGTCTCTGTGTGCTCTTCCGGCGTGGGACCGCATTACTGACGGGGAGTGGTACCATAGAAAACGGAGGAAAACCATAAGGCTGAACAGGCACAGGCGACCATGCGCCGTATTGGCATGCAGCTCATCCGAGAGAAGAAGGCGGCGATCATGGCAGAGACTCTCGAGAAGGGCCGGGAAGTCGAATGCAAGGACATGAAGGAGCGCGACTTGCTGACGCTCCTCATCCGCACAAACATGTCGACGGACATCCCCGAGGACCAGCGGTTGACCGATGACGAGGTCCTTGCGCGTGCGTATCTCGCTCACATTCCGTGTTCTCAGCAGAAGAACTGACATATGTTTCTGGCAGAGGTCCCGACATTCATTGTCGCTGGCCACGAGACGACGAGCATGGCGGTGACCTGGGCGCTGTTCTCGCTTTCACAGCAGCCCGATATGCAACGCAAACTGCGCGAAGAGCTGCTGCAGGTGGCCACGGACAGCCTGACGATGGACAAGTTGAATGCACTGCCGTACCTGGACGCAGTCGTGCGTGAGACGCTGCGGCACCACTCGCCAGTGCCGGCGACGACACGCGAAGCATTCGAGGACGATATCATCCCAGTGGACACGCCGTACACGGACAGGTACGGCAGGACGCGCGAGTACATCGAGGTCAAGAAGGGTGACCTCGTCTTCCTGCCCATCCTCGCGCTCAACCGGCGCAAGGAGATCTGGGGCGAGGACGCACACGAATTCAAGTGAGATCCCTTCATGCGGTCTTTGGGCTGCGTGCTGACAGCTGGGCAGGCCTGAGCGATGGGAACATATTCCCAAAGCGGTGGCAAGTGTGCCTGGTGTGTGGGGCAACCAGCTCACATTCATTGGCGGCCCGCGGGCGTGCATTGGTTACCGGTTTTCTCTTGTCGAGTGCGTCTCACTTGTAACCTCTCCTTATTCCGCCCTCGTGCCCATACCTCCTCCAGGACCAAGGCGCTGCTCTTCGCGCTTGTACGCGCCTTCTAGTTCGAGCTCGCTGTACCGGTTGAGAACATCAAGAGGCGGACCGGCATCATTACGACACGCCCCGTCATCACTGGACCCGACGGTAAAACCAAAGCGTCGCTCCCGCTGATTATTCGGCCATACAGAATGTAGTGCGCACAATTTGGGATGTGGAAGGCAAGCCATCTGGCGTGGCTAACGACATTGGATATCCGGTTCGTTGAAACATCGAGAATGCGACATGAGGACTTTTTTGAATGGAAATTTTATTTTGACACGAATGAAGGGCAGCGAGCAGGAGAGCAGCTGGGAGAGCAAGTACAACAATGCTAGTATCACTCTCCTCAAAAGTTTTGATTTGAATGCACTGGAGCGTGAAGACAAGTTCTGAAAGACTGAAGTACTGAAGATGAAGACTGTTTGTCGAAGAGCATGGCCCTTGTGGACAGTGTTGTCACTGACGGCCATCATGACCCGTCTGACACCTGGTGTCAGTCAAGC